AAGGTCTGAAAAGTAGTAGTAGCATCATGCGCCTGTGATGGAGAGCTGTAAAGGTACTATGTCGGAGGTAAACAGTCTTTTGGGATGAGTGAACGAGCTGTAAATAGATAGTAGTGACAAGTAAGTGGAAAGAAACGCAAATCTCATGGCCCTCATTTTGAAAACAGCATCACGAACACGCATTAGGGAAGTAATGCAGACTGGAGAATTGTAGACATTTCCCTTACTCCTCTGATGGGAAGTGATTTCTAAACTCTGAATAGTCATTTTCAATGTGTCTTCTGACTGCATTATAACAATTGGAGGTACTAGTATGAATTGCAAGATGCATTTGTGAAGTCAGCAGTCTTCCAGCAGCGAGCTGTTCATGACCAACAAGTGAGTGCTTTTGCCCAAAAAGCGAATGATGTTCTATATAACATTCAACGAACCAATTGTAAATACACCCTTATGCGGACACAGGATTATTGTGTGACAGATTCCGTTTGACCTCGCTCAGAAGTGAGAAGATTGCCGCCTCTCGCACATGGATGGCGTGCACAGCCAGATCAGGCACAATTACCAATGATACTCCTCCAAAGCAGTCAAACCCACCCCTGTAACCAGATGTATCCTTCGGAGAGAGTATCTTCCGTATGAGATCCTGAATACGTGAGAAATTGGAGTCGACCAAACTGACGATTGGATGAAGGTGGCTCCCAGGGCTGGAGGAGGAAGAGCGCAGGCCACGGTCCTGTAGTTGAAGCTCATTTAACTGCTCCTGTATACGATGCAACAAGTTGTCGTGAATTTCTATAAGTCGTAGATATGTAGAAATCATCAAGAGTTCCGATGCTGGGTCAAGAGACAACGTTCGAGGTGGTGTTTCAAGCGAGCTGTCCTTTGTAAGCCATTCCATCTGTCTTGCACAGGGAGGTAGTCTTTCCAACGTTTGTGTAAGAAAGTCAGCCAGCTCCTCTGAAATTTTCAGAGAACTTGTCACGTCCAGGTGATGTCCTTCAGCCGAAGTCGCTTCCCCCTGACCCCGGGCAGTCCGTGAGCCGGCCGCTGACTTAACGCTGGGGAGTTGCTTCAAATGCTGGGTCACGAGGGCATTGAGGCCGGCCATCTTAGCTGTCCACGTAATTATATCCAATTCGTCCACAGGCAATGATTTGGACAGCTGGATTCCTATCTGGTGTCCGCCTGCGCCGATTGAGGCCAGGGCTTCGAGACAGATATCTGTTGAGGACGAAGCCGCCGACGAATCTTCCAACGAGTATAACGTAGCGTCCGCCGAGTGTGACTGAACCAGGTCACGATTACCAGTCATTTCAACATCTAGTCTCTCTATCGGGCCATCAAAGCACCTTGACGTGCTGTGTGATGAGGTCGCATGCAGGCTCTCGGCCAGCGCTGGCACTGCTGCTTTCTTATATCAGCTGACATTCGTGAAGGTACATTATTTGCAGACTCTCACCTCGACCCTTTGCGGTTACGGACTCGAGTCTGTTATCAACGTCGTTGTTGTTGCTCTTTGAGGCATCTTGTACCCCGAACAAAGGCTGACTTTGGCGCTTGTTCCTCTTCGCGACGCTGAAGACACATATGCTGCCGGTCTGTTGACAACGCTGGCATGGTCCGCTTTCGCTTTCATGATTGCGTGTACACTTGACTTTGTTCCGGTGACAAGTATCGCATGCTCTGCGAACTTGTCCTTGAAGCGACGGGTCGACTTGAATCACCGCGTTCATGTTGTATGCAACTCGCAGCCCATCTGCATTGCGTCGTGTTGGAATCAATGAGAAAGCTGGCTATAGGTCGAACCTAAAAGTATCGATACAATCAAGCCGGAATTGTACCCTTACTGACGAGATGATCTTTATAATGTCGGGACCCACGGGAGTTCAAGGCTTAGTAAAACACCATTCAATGGATTACTCAGAGGACCCTTGTAACTTTGATGGTCTGGCGAGTTGCCTATCTAGGAAAACCGCCGACCCTGCCACGTGCCGGCTTGCCAGGTGAGGCTCGGCATGCATATACGAAGGGCTACAATGGTACCAGGCAGTATCATGATACGTGGAGATCTCGTTGTATGATTTTGGACGTTTTGTAACCTTGGGAGTTGTTGCATTCGCCCCTATATGACAAAACACTCTCAACGAAGGCCTGACTTGTTAGATTGAGCTCCCAGGTTTTGCTTAGAACACCATCGAACCTTGCGTTCTTCGAAGATTCGTAGATTGCTTTTATGTCAAGCGCAAGTGACCTAGACGTTACTAGAAACATAAGTACATTGTCTCTAAAGGTGGACTAAGACTGAAAGTCTAATTCGTTGCTGAACTGACTGTACGTGAAGGGCTTCCCTTCATGATGAATAACTGAGGTAGGTATGAAATGCAGCATGCTTCAATTCCGTCTTCAATCTCGTTCAGACTTATCCATGGATGTCATGGCCGACACTCTTTCTCTTTCTTGATGTCACAATACCGTGATATGTAAGGCTTAGGGTCTAGGCTAGATTTTCAGGGTCTCATTACCACTTAGAACAGTACGTAGCTACATCTGAGCGCGGCAAGTGTGGCAAGTATTTTCCCGGTACATCTCATTGCCGACAGAGACCTTTTGACTATACGGTCGCGTGCCGACTGCCGCCTTTGCTATGGTAATTTAGTGCATTCAAGTTTTCCGATATACCCGACGCTGATGATTTGGACTTGGGTTGAATCCTACCCTATCGAGCCATATTTCACCCTTGATTAAAAGCCATCGACGGCTTATTCCTTTACTATCATACTGACTACTGGCTGTTCAATGATCTTGTCCGTTGTTGTTCACAAACAAGTCCCCAGGTGTCGAGTATGAGCATACCAGCTCCAGGGTTGCCGTTCGGCGAAAGCTTCATTGCTGGTCCTCGCATTCTGTTAGGGCACAAGAAGAGACTGAATAAATGAAAGAAAGAAAGAAAGAAAAAAAGAAAGAAAAAAAACAGGGAACTATCTTAATCATCGGCCTAAGGTGGTAGATAAGACTCATACGTCCTTCCACCGAGGCCAGCGAGCCCAGCGAGAAGCGAAAGCCGATCAGACCTCTTCCCAGCAACTGACTCAAAATGGTCCAAGCCCGAGCGGAAGTTTATATGGAACCTTGGAAACTCGTAGAACGAAATCTCTCGGAGCAGGAAATTTCAAAAGAAAAATGGACGACGGAGTCGAACTATTTTCTCTTTCTTTTCCCTTCTCTCCTCTCTTTATGAAAGCAGCAAAGCGTTGTACGATTATGCATGATAAATACAGTACAGATCGTCAGTGGACTTTTGATTGAGACAGGCAGCCTTGATATGAAGGTAGGCAGGAAAAGCCCCTCTTATGACGGAGGATCGTCCACGCTGCAGATCAAGACAAGCTTTTTGCGCCAAGCTGGCCGGGTTCCGCCCCGATCCGATCCACAGCACCTCAACGACTGGTTCGTGCCGTATTCACATATCCTTATTAGTCTCTGTACCTGCGTAGCACGTCCACAGAGAATAGAGGAGGATATGCAAGGGGCTCAGCTTGTGAAATTACAGAAACTCCATCTTCATGTTTCCTATGACAGAGGCAGTCTATGTCAAAGTCAAGAATTGTTTCGTGGCCCCGAGTGGTTTTGCTGACGAAAAGGCTGGGCTGTGTCCCGCTGACCGTTGTCGGTGCCGACATAGGTACTTTACAGAAGGACGGCGGGCGTATTCCTAAAGATTTGTGCAAGCCGCCTCTGGGTGCATCGCCTGCGCGATTTAACGAACCAGCTCAGCACATACAGATTACATCTTACTTCTTCTTGAACGTACGAAAATTCAAAATGATCAACGCACGCGAGTCGTGCCAATAGGCTGGATACTGGCAGGGGCTTTTGAGACTAAAAGGCGGCCCACACACCCGCTTAGAACTTGGTCTTGCCTCGGTCAAAGGTCGAGATTGGCTCTATTGGGTGGTCCCGGTGTCTTTTCAAGCTTCCGGCCAAGCTTCTTGTCTGTGAGCATACTATGTCATTTTAGTCAAGGACCTGAGGGTTACACAGTCGTGCATGTATGGACATGTATACTTCAATCAAGCAGGCTTTTGTCACCATCCCTGTTTACATCTCTATCATCCTGTTCTCGAGGTAAACGACAAAGATCTTAAACAGCCGATCGTGCATAGTGCTTAGAGTAGCACTGCATAGGAACTGGCCTGCCGACCCGGATACAACGTTCGGAAACAACGTTGAAGATCAACACAACGTGGGGCCCGGAAACCTGCAAACCATGCACTATGACGGCACTCCCCATGTGGAGCCGTTGAGCCGCCCACGCGACGCCGAGATTGAGCAGAAGCTCAGTCAGTCACCGGATCTACCGGGTTGGTAGGTCAGCATCTTCCTTGGTCACTTTGCCCTATCGTGCTCTGGTATTGGGCTGTGTACGGTAAAGAGCCGCCCGGCCTGCAAAGGCAAGCAACCCTTGAGGGAAAATAGTTAAAGCCGCCTGAACGGGTACGACGGCATTAGGGCACGACATATGTAGGCTGGCGCTTTGGCGCATGCTTCCCTTGAGCAATGGTCATACCGGAAAAGTCCTCTCCCCCCCTTCCCCCCCTCTCCCTTCGAACCTTTGAATGCCTCACGCGAGGAGAGGAGGTCCCTGAGGGTTTCCTGGAGTGGCCGGCTAGTGGGCCATGCGCGTTTAAGTGGTCCGAAGCGGGCCAACAGCGAGGCAATTCATACTACTACTGCATGATGCTATTCTTTTAATCGCTAATGGCTTTGCTCCGAAAGAGCGAGCCGGTAGAACCGGGCACGCGAATCAGATTTTGCTCACTTCCGTCATGAGGGAATAAAATGTTGCGGCGCTGATCAGCGTAAGAGTATTAGGTACTTTGTGCTGTAGGGGTTCACTTTTTCCTGTTTCTTGTTTAAGACCTGACTTCTCCCCCCATCGTCGTGTGGCATGTGAGGATTCCCTTTCCCGCTTTTGCTTTTCTGCGTAGTTTCGGGTTCACAGAGAAGCTCCGGGAACGTGAGGCTTGCCAACTGATCGATCCTTCATTTGTCTGGACAAGTCTTCCTTCACTTTCTCGAGAGGCTGTCTGTCTGTTCCGCAAATATGACTCTCGGTCACAACAGACATCATCCGGACGATGACGTCGAGGCCAATGCCTTGGACAACAGTTCGAGCAGCGGCGGCCTCGGCGGGAAGGACCTCGGAGAGTACGAGGCCCTCGACCGGTACATCACCACCTACGATGCCAGCGGCAACAATCATGGTGTAGAGGAGGAGGAAAGAAAGCCCATCGCGTGGTGGAAATTCTGGAAGAGCGAGGACCCGACGTACGACAGTCAGCAGGCTGGACAGGAGGGCAAGGCGCCGCCACATTGGCTCGAGACCGATATTCATGCCGGTATCAGCAGCAGCGAGGTCGCAGAGAGACGGAAGCGTTTCGGCTGGAACGAACTTACTGCTGAGAAGGAGAACCAGTTCCGCAAGTTCTTGGGCTTCTTTGAAGGACCAATTCTATATGGTGAGTATGATGTGAGAGGAGCCCGCTTGCCATTCATCTCGAGTGGCAGAGCCAAGCCTATATTGTCAGAAATGGATGCTAAAAAGTGTCTCCTCCATTGTTTATAGTCATGGAAATCGCTGCCCTGCTCGCCGTTGGTCTGAACGATTGGATCGATTTCGGTGTTATTGTTGGCATTCTTCTTTTGAACGCTTTTGTCGGATACTACCAAGAGAAGCAGGCAGCAGATGTCGTTGCCAGTCTGAAGGGTGACATTGCTATGAAGACAACTGTTGTTCGGGACGGCCAAGAACAGATCATCCTGGCTAGGGAATTGGTTCCAGGCGATGTTGTAAGTTTTCTCAGTCCCGAAATTTGCAGTCATCTCACATTCTGACTTTATTCTATCTCATTAGGTCATTCTGCAAGAAGGACAGACTATTCCTGGCGACTGCCAGCTGATCTGCGACTACAACACCCCTCAGGACTTTGAAGAATTCAAGAAGCTGAAGAACGAGGACAAGTTCGACCCTAATGCGGCCAGTGAAGCCAATGGCGATGACAAGGCTGGCAAGGAAATGAACGATGATGACGATGCTGGATCTATCCACTATGGTGTTTCTCTGATTGCTTGCGGTGAGTGAGATGTCGCATAGTCCCTCTTGGAGGGGCTCCAGCAACTGACGGTAATTCATACAGACCAGTCCGCCATCACCGGAGAGTCTCTCGCTGTTGATAAGTTTATGGGCGATGGAGTTTACTACACTACTGGATGCAAGCGAGGCAAGGCGTACGCCATCGTCACGACTTCAGCAAAGTACTCGTTCGTCGGAAAGACTGCCAGTCTGGTCGAGGGTACCAAGGATACCGGGCACTTCAAGCAGGTCATGGATACCATCGGCACATCTCTTCTTGTCCTGGTCATGTTCTGGATTCTGGCGGCTTGGATCGGTGGATTCTTCCGTCACATCCACATTGCCACTCCAGGCGTTCAGACGCTTCTTGATTACGCTTTGGTGCTTTTCATCATTGGAGTCCCTGTCGGTCTGCCTGTCGTCACCACGACCACTCTGGCTGTTGGTGCTGCGTACTTGGCCAAGCAGAAGGCTATCGTTCAGAAGCTGACTGCCATTGAGTCTCTGGCCGTGAGTCCTTCCCAACTCGAATGAATAGTGTGTTCTGTGAAATTTTACTGACACAAAACTCCAGGGTGTCAACGTGCTTTGCTCTGATAAGACTGGCACACTGACTGCGAACAAGCTCTCTATCCGGGAGCCATATGTCGCCGAAGGCCAGGACGTCAACTGGATGATGGCCGTGGCAGCTCTTGCCAGCTCTCACAATATCCAGTCGCTGGATCCTATTGATAAGATCACGATCCTGACCCTCAAGCGTTACCCCAAGGCTCGCGAGATCCTCCGCCAGGGATGGGCTACGGATAAGTTCACCCCATTCGATCCCGTCTCAAAGCGCATTACTTGCGAGTGCCGCCTCGGAAATGACAGGTACATCTGTGCCAAGGGTGCTCCAAGAGCTGTTGTCCAGCTGGCCGACACGACCGAGGAAGTCCGGAATCTGTACAATCTCAAGGCTAAGGAGTTTGCTGCTCGTGGATTCCGATCTCTTGGTGTGGCTGTCAAGAAGAACGACGAGCCGTGGCAGCTGTTGGGGATGATTTCCATGTTCGACCCCCCTCGTGAAGACACCGCCCAGACTATTCTCGAGGCTCAGGCTCTGGGTATGTTCTCAGTCAATTTTTCTTGTATGCTTAGGATAACTTCTCTGACTGTGTTGCAGGTGTTCCCGTCAAGATGTTGACTGGTGATGCCATCGCCATTGCCAAGGAAACGTAAGTGACAACGTTCCTTTCACTCGGCTTATTTTATAAACGAAGAATTGTAACTGATAAAGATATATCACAGTTGCAAGATGCTGAGCATGGGAACCAAGGTTTACAACGCCAACAAACTGTTTAACTCTGGACTTTCCGGTGCCCTCCAGCATGATCTCATTGAGCGTGCCGACGGGTTTGCCGAGGTGTTCCCCGAGCACAAGTACCAGGTCGTGGAGATGCTGCAGCAGAGAGGCTCCCTGACCGCCATGACTGGTGATGGTAAGCGAAAACTCTGGGCGGAGAAAGCAAAAAGAGGAAAAAGCCATAATATGCTAACAACAACTGTCATTTAGGTGTCAACGACGCTCCCTCCCTCAAGAAGGCTGACTGTGGCATTGCTGTCGAGGGTTCCTCCGAGGCCGCTCAAGCCGCAGCTGATATCGTGTTCCTGGCCCCTGGACTGAGCACCATCATCCTCTCCATCAAGACTGCCCGACAGATCTTCCAGCGCATGAAGGCTTACATCCAGTACCGTATCGCTCTATGTCTTCATCTCGAGATCTACCTGACCACCTCCATGATCATCCTGAACGAGACCGTCCGCCCCGACCTGATCGTCTTCATCGCCCTCTTCGCCGACCTGGCCACTGTCGCAGTTGCTTACGATAACGCCCACGTCGAGCCGAGACCCGTCGAGTGGCAGCTCAGCAAGATCTGGGTCATCAGCGTAATCCTCGGATTCGAGCTCGCCGTCGCTACCTGGATCGTGCGCGGTACCATGTTCCTCACCAACGGCGGTATCATCCAGAACTTTGGCTCCATCCAGGAGGTTCTCTTCCTCGAGATCGCCCTCACGGAGAACTGGCTCATCTTCGTCACCCGCGGCGGCAAGACGTGGCCCTCATGGCAGCTCGTGGGAGCCATCTTCGTGGTCGACGTGCTGGCCACCATCTTTTGTCTGTTTGGCTGGCTGTCTGGTAGCGGTGGTGGTGTCATGTACACGCACCCCAGCGACTCCTTCAAGAACAGCAGCAACGGCTGGACGGATATCGTCACCGTTGTCCTCGTCTGGGCGTACTCCATCGGTGTCACTATCTTCATTGCCATTACGTACTATATCCTCAACAAGATCCAGTGGCTCAACGACCTCGGCAGGAAGGACAGGCACAAGAAGGATACGATCCTCGAAAATGCGTTGTTATCGCTCAATAAGGTGGCTATTGAGCATGACCGCAACACGGAGACGGGTCACGACCGATTTTACCTGGTCGAGAAGGCTGCTGCCGAGGACGAGGAGTAGAGGAGAAGATACATGAAAAAAGATGGCGGAGGATATTGGAAATGGCCTTTGGTGTTTAAGGGTGATTTGGGTGAAATTGTTAATAGATTTCCATCTCGGCGCAGTCGTTGGGAAGGTCTGAAAGCATAGATAGCATCAGGTTTAATTTCAATCAAACCATTTCAAGAAGTCTCATGTTTGTGCGTTTTGATTCGTCATACATAGCGTTGCCATGTAGATGCAAGAGCAGTGTCTGATAAAAGAATATATCTTACGCAGTGTCATGAAAGCTTCAACGTCTTTCCAGATGACCTGCTGCAACAGGCGGTGGTGAGGTTGAGTATGATCACGGTAATATACAGGTCTATTTACTTGAGCAAGAACTGGTTCCATGGTAAATGTGTCTTGAGAAGCGCTTGAAGGGCAGCCTCTTTGAACATAAGAATTGAAGTTATTTACACGAGTAAGATGGTACCGTGAATTTCAAGAAGCCAACTATGATTGAAATCGCCTGTGTCAAGTGCAGTGCTTTCCAAACTTTCATGTGTCCACAGCTACCCTGGACGGACAGACCATCGCATTTGCCCACTGTCTCCTTCTCCTTGTCCTTGTTTCTCTCTTTCTCAAAGGCACTGAGCGTAGTAAGCATTCTCCGTGGTGCAGGTGCCACTCGCACAGATGGTAGGCCCCGTCCAGCCACTACCCCCACACTGCCCATAGAGGCTCTGCCCGCCGGTGGCCGCCGAGGTAGCCGACGTGGTCACAGCAGGCGCGGTGGTGGTGGTGACCAGCGTGGTCGAAGTGCTGGAGACAGAGCTGGATGATGCACTGGTCGCCGTCGAGCTAGCGGCAGTCGTGGTGGCTGACGTGCTCGCGACTGAGGAGGCGCTGGTACTCGCGGCGCCAGGCGTAATGGCAGAGCTAGTGACGGTGGCAGTCGAGCTCGTCTGCTCTACAGAGCTGGGGAAGCCGCTGTACAGTGTTGGACCCGGGATGGTGTAGTTCTCGGACGTGACGTAAATGTTGTAGCTGGTGAGTTTCCCAGGCATCAGTTTCAAGGTTCTCTTGCTCAATATATGTGCTTGATTGTAGATTATATGATTGATATTCCCAAATGGGCAGTAGACAAGGAAAGGAAGAGTGGTCGTCAACGTACAGGATACCAGGGTCTGTCTCGTGGTATAGATCGGTTCCGTAGGTTCCGCTCGGCAGCAAGGTGCCCGTCCCCGAGACGGCAAGGTTGAAGCACTGCGGATAGTTCTGCGCGCCATCCTCGGTCTCGGCGCTGTGCAAGGCGATGATCTCAGTCCGTAGGACGTAGTTTCCAGGGAGGAGGTCCTCAGGGATCTGCACGAGCCAGGTGCTGTTGTTGTTGATGAACACGTCGTCGCCCCAGATGCCCGGGTCGGAGCCGTTGATGTAGCCCACCTGGTCTATCTTGAAAAACTCGAGCGTTGTCTTGTCGACTATTCTATAGTATTAGCCCAACACCGTGCACACTCTGGTAATCTAGAGGTGCGATACACTTACCTGTCTCACAATCACCGTTACATGCAGCCAGATAGTCCAAGTAGGGGCCCTTGTGGCTGTCGGGCCAGGGAATCGCCCACTGGATAGAGATGGATTGGCCTGCTACCACGGTTGCGTGGCCGCCCGCAGGTGTCGCGTTCTTATGGCTAAATAGCTCGTCAGATCAATTAATCTATATTTCTTCTTCTCGGCAGATAGGGTGTGTTCAAGGAGAACTGCCCGAGACGCTTTGTATAAAAAGACGTATTGCCCCCCTCTTTCCCTCATCTAAACGTTAACTCTTCATGCCGGGGACATAAGAACTTACCAGATGATGTCTCCAGTCTGATAAGCATCTGGTGCGACGAAGCCATTATCAGTGTCATCAGCTGTCCAGCCCACAACGATGGGAGGATCAGCCAGATATGGATCAACTGTCGGGTCATAGCCTTGCCACCATACTCCGTCTATCACGAGATTATTCACGTGGCTGTGAGCAAGGACGGTCGTGGTGGCGGCGAGGGCGCCGAGTATGGATCGTGACAGAATAGACATGATGGATTCAGTCACCTGAGGACCAGCCCAGTGATGGTGATTCTCTTTCACGTGGGCAATGTCAAACACAGGGGAGTTTTTAAGCCTTGATAGAGAGCTAATCACAGCTGTTCGACTCGTGGGAGTGGTCCTGCGCTGGCCAGTTCGGAAATGAAGTACAGGAGTGGCCTAAAAGAATTTAGAGCCACAACTTCAATTTATACGTGGGCAGCCGGAAAACAGCCGTGACAACTACCGTATTAGAACTCTCTATCCACCATAGGAAGTTTGTTCCTAAGTGGGAAGTCTTCCGTCAATAAGATAGCACCAAAGACGTCTTCAGATCCCACCAGATGCTGCTATTGCTTTTCTTGCAAGTGGGTACTTGATATTCCCCCGCCACTTGTATCCACGTGCGATGTCTCGATTCCTTGTGCAGTCTGACCGCGCGTGCCCAGTCCACTTTGAGATGGTTCCATCCCTCCATCCCAGAAGAAGGAGAAAGAAGGAGGGGGGGCGGCGGGTTGGCTTGAATGGTACCTTGAAGAGGGCCAGTCCGGAAGCATCACTTGCCCATTCCGAGCACCTGCGGAACATGGTCGTCCTGCAGTCGTTTCGGCATGTCTCACAGGGCAACATTTCGACGCCGCAACAGAAGTCGGTTGTGGCCTGACCGCTTAGCTCGGAGAGCGCCATACTCCACGTATGCATGGTTCAAGTATTCCTTGACTTGCAGATGGCCGGACATACAAATTCTCGACCAAGATGTTGATAGTTGTTCGCTTGAACATAAGCTGTTTCAAATATAGTGCATTTTCTGCCACCGCCTCCACTTTCACTATAGTAGCTATTGTGACATTCCTTTCTAGCAACCATGCATACTTAGACCCTTGAATGAATCTAGCAACACCACCACATTTTCTCTCTTCAGCTAGCTAATCATGTTACATAAAACATTTCTGTAAGTTTAAAGCTTAGCTTCTCAACCTCTACAGCATTTTCTCTTAACCTTTACAAAATTTCCTCTTAAACTTTCTTTACTATGTAGTAAATGTTTCTTGGGAGCAATCTGAGTGAAGAAATTTGGTACTGGACGGCCAGCAGTGGTTGTTGCTAAATACATCCTAGGTTCTAGCCTACAAATATCCAAATCTGATTCAGAAAAAGCGTATCTAGCAGATGGCCCTGTTGAGGAGTGTGACTCCTTGCATGAGCATGGAGTGATATTCGTCGTCAGCCTCCTGATGCCAAATGCGGTAAGTTCGGGCCCTAATCTTCCATGCCAAGACCTGGGGTACATCAAGCACGGGGCGAAGAAGAGAGGAATCAAGGCTGGCATTTGTGATCGGCACCAAAGAGCATTGCGCCCACTGGCCACGACGGTGGCTATGGTTGCGACCGAATGTTGCTCTGCCATGAAATGAATCCGTTTCCCGGTCGAGATGGTATGATTGGGACAGAGAACCCAGGATTCCCATCACCTGAGCGCGGAGGAGCGGGCCTAGCCTCGTGAGGCGGCACGCAATCAACTGCTCCGAAGAATGGCAGCTTGTAAACCCGGTTAAGGGATCAATGATGGCTAGCAGAAGAAAATGCCCGTCGGAACCAATATTCTTTTTCCATGTGGGAACCACGTTGCGCAGCTAATTCTCGACGTCTCTCGTGGTGGACGAGCAGTTAACCGGACCTAAGAATTCGGACATGTCTCTCGAAGTTCCTCCGCCAATGGATCGCCTGATGTATATTAAGTCTCACCCCCTGGCTTGTGGATCTTGACGTCCTCATAGGCTGAAAAGTTTTGCGGTATTGCTTTTGAAAGGAATAAGAAGAAAGACAAAGAATAGCAACCTAGGCGTCGCACGACATGCATGCTGTGGATCAAGGATATTTGCTGCTGCCGCCCTTCATAATGGTCGAAGAAAGTTAGACCTAAAGTGAGATGTGTATATTTGCACGTCTTTATGTCCGCAACCAATATACATAATACAACTAACGAGGCAGGGATATCATACCGTCATTCATGAGTAGAGAGAGAAATTCAACCATTGAACACCCGCTTGCTTCTGCCAAGACGGCGGCCCACACACACCTGCCACGTTCTTTCGCATGAATGTGATGACCAGTCTCGCCCACATTCCTGTCTCCCTCCGTCTGAAGACGGACTTCATAGACTTCGTACGAGCAGGCCCTGATCGGACCCGATCAAAACTCTCCGTCCCCTCCACCTCCCACATTCGCAGCCGCCCACAGCCCAACCAATCCCCACCAGTTGACCTTCCATCCTCTCCACAGTCCCTCGACGCCTTGACCTCGTCGGAATACGGTCTCGGCAACCCGCGGCTTGCCCTTCTTAGACGCAGCTCGTGTCCTTGCTGCCGGTGTTGACGGAACGGCTCTCGATCCTTCCTCGTTCACGATCGTATACATGGTGCCAAAAATGCCGTCGTATTTCCCTGGAGGCACGATCGTCTCAAGCGAAGTTGTCGCAGTACCCATCTCCCCACCACTGCGACCGCTCTTGGCTGAGCTGCCGCCTCCCTCAATGGCGCGGACGTACTCTGGCGAGCTCAGCACGGCAACCTGGCCCCGACGAAGCACCGTCTCCAGCGGCAGGCTGACGAACAGAGCGACTGTCGACGAGCAGAACTTTGCGAGGGAGAAGGTCGTCGGGGACACCTCACTATCAATCATAAATTTGGTCCGCAGGACTAAGGGCGTCGACAGCCGGAGAATAGGCTGGATGAAGGAGTGGAGGGCGGTAGGAAGTACAAGGCTTGATGAACACATATATGAAGGCAAAGAGCGCAATATGCCCAGTGTCCGCCGTGGACCCCGTGACGTTGATGTGATGATAGACCTGGCAAAACGTCAGCTACGGCGTCTCATCGACATTAGCACATCTTCAAGACACACCTTGTCCGGACGAGGTCCAGAGGAGAAAGAATGAGGCCTGTGATCACGGCAGCTGCAGCCGCAACACACAGAGAGGCCCAGGGGTAAGGGGATGCAATGTCCACCAGGCGGTCCATATCCGTCTTGAGGCCGAGATCCGGCACATCCAGGAGTGCGCACAGCAGACTCCTTGACCAGGCTTCCAGCAGAGACTGTAATACCTTGTAGACAAAGGTAGCGTTTGTCCCCTTGCACACGCCCCATGCCCCCTCATTCTGCCATAGCTGCGACATGACCTCCGTAATCGAGTCCGGCCGGCGGATGTTGAGCATGTGGGGCGGCAGCGTAGACTTCTTCGCAGTCTTGGGCGTTTCTGGTGGCGGTGTTATGGACCGTCTCCTTCGTGTACGTGCTGGGGACGGTGTATGAGGAACAGTCGAGGTGAAGTACGCAGGCTCGTCGCCTTCTGAATCTGAGAGCTATAATTTTTTATTTTTCAAAGTCAGCCGGCCATGTCTGGCGCAAAAGTTGTTGTCCACTGCCTGTTTGTTTCCCCGGGGTTCATGACATACTTCGCCATATGGAGTTGCATTGAAGCTCGACTGCCTAGAAACCATCGGCGAGGATGGCAAGCTGGGCGAAGCTCCCGTGGCACCAACGTCATCCTGGGTGCGGACCTGCAAGATCAACTTGGCGGCGTCGAAGGGCTGCGCCAGAAACACGGTGGTGTATTTCCACATGAGCTCGTTGATCACCTCCTTGATGTTTCCAACAACCGAGGGCGATGGTTCAGAGATGTAGTCCTTGTAATCGAGATCCGAAAACATGTCGCGTGCCTTGGACGCGTACTTGGCGGATCCATTTGCTGAGCGGGAGAAGGCATTGGGACCGGGGATGTTGGACGATTCGAAGTTAGATTCCCCGATCGTAGGAGGGACATAGTAAGGGCGGAGGGGGTTGACCCTTTGTCTGTGATTGTTTGCCATCTTCTGATGTGTGACAGTGCTGTCGATGATTGTTGTTGGGTCGTTCAAATCTTCAAAACCTCCTGGCAGCGAAGCGTCATGGATGGGTTGATTTCTGCTGCCAGCAGCTTCGGTGCTGCCCAAAGGCGCGGACCAGTGGATATAGAAATCCTGTGTGCGTCCCCTGTACAGGCTTGTGTCACCTGCGTAGGGTGTACAAAGCTTCTTGTGGTGTGTATCAGTTGTGTGTTGGCATGTCGTTTGCTTGTTTGCATGAAGAGAGTCAGTCGCATGAAATCATTCCCCAAATGTCAAAAGTCAAGGCCCGGCCCAGCCCAGCCAAACCAGGATGGAGAATCCCCCCATGTCGGAAAACCTGAAGGCGGGGGAGCTGTCTGAGCAGCTTACCTAAGCCTATTATCTTTTTATCGATAAGCAGAAAAGAATCAGAATTCTGCTGACGATCCGGCCTCTCTGTATTGGAAGGACGTCAGTGCAGGGTCCGTAGCCGGCTTGGCCTCGGAATTTCTCCCGTGATTTTCTGTGTCTCACTCTTGCCCTTCTTGAGATAGATTCAGCATCCTGCCTGCACAATTGCAGCCAACGTGCATTGAATTGCGAACGCGCTCGCTGATTATTGGCTACCATCTGGTCGGGTAGCTGAACATCTTCGAACACGCCGTCTGCTCGCCTGGCTAGGATCCAAGTCCTCAGCTTAAAGCCGACTTAGCCCTCCCTCCGCTGTCGCCCTCTTTTTTTGCTTCTTCTTTTCCTCTCCTCTCTCTCTCTTTCTTACACACACAAGCTCTCGCCCAACATGGCGACCGCAAGGACGTTCACACGCTCGCTCGTGCGTGCGCAGGCAGCATCGACCTCGACACCCCTTCAATCATTTAGCAATAAGTCCTCTCGCATAATACTGCCTCGCTCAGGCGCAATATCCCGAAATCACCGCACGCCCAGATGGACACAACAGTTCGGCTTGGGTCAGAACCTACGGCCGTTCTCCTCGAGCGCAATAAGGCGGCATGGGCACATCGATCCGCCCAAGCCAGGCGAGGAGATCTACGTGACATTCATCGATAAGGACGGGCTAGAGACCAAGATCGCTGCGTCGAAGGGGGATAACCTACTGGACATAGCCCAAGCGCACGATCTAGAAATGGAAGGTACGGCACGAGCCCGTTCTGTGCTGTCGTTGCAAATTGTGACAATCCGAGAATGCGATTGCGACAAGAGGCTGACATGTTCTGTTCCCTATAGGTGCCTGCGGCGGGTCCTGCGCATGTTCAACGTGCCATGTGATCGTGGAAGACGAGAAATACTATGACAGGATCCCCGAGCCCGACGATGATGAGAACGACATGCTGGATCTCGCATTTGGCCTGACGGAGACCAGCAGGCTGGGCTGCCAGATCATCTTGACCCCGGAGCTAGATGGACTGGTGGTGAGGCTGCCGTCCATGACGAGGAACCTACAGGCGAGTGACTTCAAGTCATGACAATGTTAGGCGCCGGCTGGACGATAATAGTATGATCTGGTACGCCATGGTAGACGGCACGAGGCTCACGATGTTGACCATATCGGAGTGTGAGTGAATAGTAAAAAGAATATCAAGCTGCTCAGGGAGTCCAAAGACGAGTCAAAGTCGCAGATTTGGATGGTATAGACCGACTGCCTTGTCGCCTGTGGCAAGGGCAAGGCATTGTATTTTTTATGTACAGAGATGGTCATCACTACCATCCAGCCCCGTTGGACCAAGCGGGAGACACATCGCTCCTCAATTAAGAAATTCTAATCCAATCATAAGACGCCCGTCAAATGCAATGACTTCCTTTTCAAGTCTTCAGCTCTGCTCGTAGATTCTGCAAGCCAGGTCAAGCCTCCTCCAGCGGGCCCTTCTTGAGCCCACCTCCGCTCGAAGCAATCAGATCCAGGAAGCCCTTTTTGCTCATCTCCGTGACCTTCTCCTTCTTCCGATCCACACCAATTACCCCTTCCTTTCGCGAGACCCTTTCTGCCTCAGCAGCCTTGACCTGCGCCGTCCTGAACGCATTGAAGAGCTGTACCACACCCCTCTGCGCGACTTTCCGCAGTCTCCGTTCCGTCTCTAGCACACCCGCGGTCGTCTCTCCATCAGCGTCCGCCACGACATCTCCAGTGACAGGGTTGATATTGCTGAAAATCCCGTTGGTAGCAACGAGCACATCGCGCACCCGCCCCTTCTCCATAGCCAGCCTCTTCTGATCCCGCATCTTCTTCCTCGCCTTTGTCTCTAGCGCGTTGTCCACCGCCTGCCGGCTCGCCTCGTGCGCCGCCGCGCTGCGGGCCAGCACGGGGTCCGCACGCCGAGTAGACGAGAGCTTTGTCGAGAGTATCTTGGACATGGACGTCGCGAAGGCAGCGGGGTCGCTGCGCTTAGATTTGCCAGTGCGCTTGCCGCCAGCTCTGCCGCCGTCGTCGCCGTCGTCGCCGTCGTCGGAGTCGAGGTCCGAGTACTCATCACCCTCGTCGCCGTCGTCTGTCGAGGAGCCCGCAGCGCCCTCCGAGCCTTCAGAGGCGGAGGCGGGCGCGTCCTTGGCCAGCCTACTCTCGGGTGCGTTTTTGGCTATTGAGACGGCGGGCTTCTTCTTATTCTTCAGACCCCGCCGCGGCACCCGCTCTGCCTTGGACTCCGAGTCCGATGCATCTGAAGGCGAGTCTGTATCTCCGCCGTCGTCTACCTGTGCAGTGTGGATGTCATCCTCGTCCGAGTCGAGCAGGTTCACGGCCTGGAAGTCCTCGTCGTTGTCTGGCTCGGGTGCGCTCTCGCTTTCGCTGTGGTAGGCCGTCTGTTTCTTTTGCTTTTTGGTCGGGCGGGTGGCTTTTGACTGTAGCGCGTCGTCGCGCGATCGCTTCTTAAACGTTGTACCAGCCATGATTTGGTTAGATATGGTTTGGCAAGGCGGATGAGAAATAGAGAGAGTTGTAGACTTGGTTATGGATAGAGATCGCGGGAGGGGTGGTGCAAGTCGAGAATTCTGCCGCTTAGAATTTTGGCGGTCAGCGGAAACTTTTGACAGGGATAAGCAAGGGTTGGGGTCTAACCCCTGCTCAGTCTTTCAGACCATGGCAAGGCTACAAGGGTGTATTATTGAAGAGAGATCAGCTCGGATTTATGAATGTTTGGAAATGGCATGGCAGCGAGTCGCGATAAGGTGGAAATTACTTGCTGGTTATTGTCCTACAGGAAATATTCCTATGTAACTTATATGCAGTCTAATGAGAAATCATGAGTGTCCACGCGCATTCTACTAAGAGAATTTATTAACTACTTTCTCTCAACTCGATTTGCTCCCATCTCAGCATCAGTGCCTTTAATATGCACGACAAATTGCTCTGTGGTGAAAATTCAGTCTCGAGAGGATTCCGGCCTAGCATTCTTCACGACCTCGCCCTGTTGGTAATATGAGATGCTTTTGGGATCTCCTGTGGCGTGACGCTCGCACACTCTCCAGCCTTTCTATCCATGCTGATCATGAAGTTGATGAAGAGTCAACCACTAGACCCAAATGACCGAGTCAGTGCCCTGTCGTCCGCCCACCGTCGAGCATTTGGTCATCAAATCGGCCCGTCGGATTTGGAACTCGTGCTGCTGGCGCGACATGTGTGTCTTCTTCATCCGGTGGGAGGCTCGCGATGGAACTATGGCCGCTCGTGGGCAGGAAAGGGTCGCGGGACTTTTGATCGGTGTCCAAACCAGGTCTCTCGTCTTCACTGGCTTAACCTTGGTAGTCGCTTGCGAATTAGAGGTCTCGTTGAAGAGGTTGGTGCGGCGAGAAATACAGACTGGCAATTTACAGTCGTAGGTGCCGTTCAGTTCAGTGTCGACTTGGGATGGAAGGAGAGAATGGATTGTACGAGTCGCATCATCGGCCGGCTGCTGTGAAGGGTGACTGAGACACATGTTGGCCACGTTTATGGTGCGAGAGGTATGAAGTGGGCTCTGTAGTTGGCCAGCCGCAAGGAGGTTGGGATCAGACTTTGGCAGTTGACCATCCTTGACCTGACGATGAAGGAAGCGGCGCAGTTGACTGAGGACGATGTCGACAGAGAAAGATACGAGCCAGACCACGCAGATTGTGATCGTTTCGGCGGATAGGGTAGCGAGAATGCCAATGAGGCGTATGAGAAGTACAACAGCGGTGGATGTCGCCTGCGTATGCAGGCTGCCGTCCGGGGCCGCGGAAGGGAAGATTGTTGACATTGTGTTAATGCACTGAAGTGATCAGTATGGAAAGAATCAGTAGAAGGCCAAGAAAGGTGGTCTTGATCGAACTGATGCGTGCTGTGTTTTGAGAAGTGAGTAGAAGAGAAAACTGCATCCACAGGCGACATACTATATACTTTGTAGCACAACAGACACTTGGAGGTTTTCTATCCTACATTTTCGTGGTCAAGTGAGTTACTGGGAAAGTGAATTGAAAGATGAAAGACCTATGTGGTAAAACGCAAAATTGAACCCGTGCGGCAGCTCCTTCACCTTTGGCAATTCACAATGAATGACCTAGTGTCGTGAAATAATTGGTAGCCCAGCGCAGCAACTTCACGAAATACAAACAGACTTCAATCTCAGTATTCAGTCTACTTTACGGCTGTTTGTGCCTTGATGATGAAGGTTCAGAAACGTGTGCAAAATTCATGCTAGGGCTCTTCCGGTACGGAAGTATTTGCTGAAAAACTGTCTCTCCACCCTGAACAAAATAGTCTCTAGGACACAAAAGATCGCAAAATCAACTTTTCAAGCATATCTCTCTTCTCAAACTGGCCTCGTTTACGATTTTTTTACCCACATATTATCGTCTTTCAGATGTTCGCAACACAGCGTCATGCGGCATTTTACTCGCCAGACCATATGTGTAGTCCTTTAAGTGCGCACCGGTGATATCCTGAAAGCAGCTGGAAGTCTCAAGCTTGTTTTATGGGCTATAACATAGCAACATTTACTAACTACAATTTTATGAAGCTTCAACAAGTGCAAAAGGTCGACTTTTTATAGAGTATGCTAACCTACTTTTCCCTTCTTAGCTCCAAGCTGGCCGAGTCCAGTCCCGAAGTCATCAACGGCACAAATAAATTCATACGATCATACTTATAGTGCACCAGATTCTGGAACAGCCACACAACGCAAGATAATTGTCCACACGGTTGATTGGAGCGAAATGTCCAGCGCTTTTTTATTTTTAACAATTAGAATATAAACATCAAGAATAGAAGTGTGCCACTCATAGCATCATGTTTGAGGCACCACGAACTGTCTATGGTTGTTTTGAAACCCTTGCTCTCCAGCCTCAAAGCTATTATTGAATCAGCAGGAAGCGCCACTTGGGATATTCTTGCAGCTCGAGCTCTTCTTTCCACCGGTCACGCTGTTGCCTGACCACTTCCAGCCAGAGCAAGACCCCTTCCCACAGAGAATGTAAACATCAGTCGCAGATGACGCGACAGAACCAGTAACCTTGGATACAGTAAGGCCGGTGATGGGCACGCCGGTCGTAGGGGTTCCAGTGGGGCTGCCGTTCTCGTAATCCTGCTCAATGACGATGCCATAGTTCGTAATGCCGCTTAGTGTGATTCCAGAGTAAGTAACGTCGGACACGGAACCAGTCGCGTCGTAGACAGTCTTGATACGCACGCCATTCTGCGAGTTGATGATCTTGGAGTTGGTGATGGAGACGGTCTTGACAGTATTGTCGGAGCGGCCGCCCACAGAGCCGATGGACAGACCGTGGCCGCCGGTGCAGGACCCACTGGTGAAGGTGATGTTGGTTCCTGAGTTGATGGCCAAGCAATCATCCTGGTTGTTGATGACAGCTCCCGAGATGTAAATATTCTCGGAGGAGCCAACGTCAAAGGCGTCGGTGTTGTGGCCCTTGCTGGCACCCGCCGAGTTGTCCATGGTCACGTCAATGACATTGAGATCGGTGGCTGAGTTGATGCTCATGAATTGCACAGGGGTGTTCTTGACTTTCAGGTTGTGGATGGTGGATTGCTTCAAGGAGTGGGCATAGAACATCTTTGGCTTGGTCTTGCCGCCATTGCTTCCTTCACCATCCCACTTAAAACATTTGTGGTCAGCATTGCACATCCCGAAAAGACTAAATCTAAGACTTCACTTACCCACGCGGCACCGTTGCCGTCGATAACATGCCCAGAGGCGCCAGTTACTTCGATGTCCGTGCCGGAAACCGAGATGAGCGGGCCCTCCCACTCCTTGTAGCCAAAGGAGGTAGTGCCTGCGAAAATGACCTGTGTGTGGGATGGTGTGAGTCTAGAGTGAGTAACGTAGATGCTCTATCCAAGTATTTACCTTAGTCCCAGAATTCAGCTTGGTGAGATCAAGCGTGGTGCCTGAAGGTACCGCAATGTTGTTAAGAGTGATCGTGGCACACGACGCCTTGGATTTGGAGACTGCAGCGGCATCCGTAAAGGTGCAAGACTTGCTGGCCCTGTCTTCCAGGTGAGCGGCCGGCGTCACAGCAGGCGCTGGTGCAGCCTGTATCAGGGGCAGCAGTGCTGCGAGAAGAAGAGTCGAGAACATCTCCGTAAGATTGTAATGATAGAAGATAAAAGAGTGTGGATTACGAGACGCACGAAAAAAGAGTGAATGAGAAGAATGACAAAGAAGGGCAAAAATGAATCTTGACAATTCAAGGCATGATTCTACCAGCATAGGCAGTCCTATGCATTTATACTGGGAAATGGCCTTCTGAGTTAAATCCACTAGCAGAGCAAAATTTCCACTCTCGTGGACACTGCACGAGGTACTGCGATCTCACCATTACCGGGCGTCAATAAACGCAAGATGAGAGACAACAACGGACTGGTACGGTTCTTAGCCATGACTCAGTCCACAAGCTTGAGGCTACTCCAGCCCTGAAACAACTAATACCGTCAAACATGCCACAATCACAAGAAGGCAAGTGTGCCAAGCAGTTCGGTAGACTTCAGGTAATTAACTGGGGTCAGCCTAGCGTACGCCGCATTCCGGGCACTCCATATGTCTAAGTCTATGCTTAATTTGAATTGTCTGCGCAATTGATATGATTCGTGCAAATAGCATTGATCCGACTGACTCCCTACAAGGATAAGCTGAGCCAGACAAATCAAATACGAGGTCACAGTATAGTTTACCTTGGCATCAGACCCTCTCTGAAATCGCTCGCCTATATCTTGACTGTTGCATTGAAGAAACTCGAGCAAGGTCTACCCACCTTCGCCAAACCTAAATCCCCAGGCGAAATCCAGGCCTTGGGACCCTGGCCAGTAAGGTCTCACAAGACCTTTGTAAATACTTGAGAAGTGGACGCTTCGTTTCGACGGTCTTCTACTGGACAAAGTCTCTTAAATTGGCGGTAAAACCACAAGATTCGATGGCTCATGTAAGGACTGCCAAGGTCAGAAGACGAGGTCTAAGGCGCTGGAAAATGGGAAGCAAGTGGGACAGTGAAGTTAGGCGCATTGAAACGAACCATGTGAGACTTCGGGATGTCCTATTAGCCAATAGCTATTGCCTCGTGGAGAATCATCAGTCTTTCCAACAAGGCAACTGAGGGATATAGACCATTAGATTCCTAAAAGATATCAATTGAGAGCATCGTGAACTGGGCTATGTCAAGTCTGTCAATTGTGAAATGAATCGTGACTCACGACGCCCCCGTTGTTTCCATGGACACAAGCTGGGATTCCAAAGCGCACGCTCTCCACGTTCCTGCCATTGCATCTCATCGTCTCTCCCGGCCAGACGAGCGGTCTACGAACAACGTCTTCCTCACGCTCACCCTGCGTCACAAAAACATCAAATATGTTTGATATCGTTGGGTGCTTGTCGAATATCCTTGCAAGCAGGCAAACCGCGAAGGCCAGGCGTTTCTAATCTGCCTTGGTCCACCAAAATTGAATTTTGGCCTCCTGATCTGTGGTGTTTGTGAACAAGGATTCCAGGCCTAGAGTCACAAGGACCACTCCACCCTGTCCAATGTTGGCATTCAACCCTGGGGTTTTCACGTTGATGACACCTTGCAGGACTGATAGAACGCACGTCCAATCCGCCTTCGACTCACACATCCTGACACAGGCGGATGGTGGTACATGCTTATTGAGGACTTTCTGTCCACTGCTGATGTGCTGGGCCTGGTCAAAGTTGACCACTTCCCGTCGAAGGAGGAAGGTAGAGAATGCGACCGGCGGCAAAGTGCCAATTGCATGGCTCAGGTCTTGTCGAGCTAGGTGGCCCGGTGCAACCTCCCAATGGTCAGCCGCGGGGACGATTTGTTGATGATTTGGAAGAGCCACCGTGACGTCTTCTGACGGCACGCGAATAATTTCCAATGCTTGAGAAATCTTCTGGTAGGTACCTCCTTGTTGCGCATGTGGGAGCTGCTTGACCTCAGCAAGAACTTTGAAGGCTTGGGCAAGGACACTGGAATTTGTAAGATGTGCAGAACGAGCGACCGTGTGTGAGGTATGAGAGCTCAGAACGTTGTGACCTGATTCATCATATGATTGAGCCGAGGAGGATGCGGTGCTGGGACGCGTCAAACTTGAGTCTGATTCGTTGACGACCTTGTAGGCATCAATGACACTACCCGTGGACTCTCGACCACGACCAAGATCAATGCCACCAAGACCATCCATACTTTGAGCTGAAGTATGTTCAGACCCAGTCACCATGTGTTCAGAACAAGGAATAATGCCGATAGGCTTGACCTGTGACTGGCCAGTCTGAGGGGGCATTGGTCGAGCGGGAGGTGCTGGAGCGGTGCGCATGATCGGCAATGGCACAGGAGTTTGGGAAATAGGCTTGGTAGCGACGGGATGTTTCTTCGCTGGGGATGGGTTGAAAGACGCAATCCGAGGTGTATTTATCGTATTCGTCAGAGACATGCCAGGAGGTGTAGCGCATGGAGGTTGTTGCTGTGGCCGCTGAGCTGGCTGGTGGGGCAATGGCACGGGTGTTTGTTTTCCACTAGCAAAGAACTTGCAAGTCGAACAAGCGGCCAAATAACAGTTGACGCACTGGCGGTTGATGACCTCCTGGAGCTCATTCATTTTTGCCGCCTCTGGAGGCAGGATCATACAATTCCTCCGTTTCTCTGCACTGCGCGTCTTACACACATTGCAGAAAAACTTGGACCCCGTGAGTTGCAGTATCAAGCTCATAACCACCTTGAAAGAGCTCTGTCTCGTTCGAAGGACACCCTCGAACCATTCGTGGTCCACGTTGTTCTTCCTCCGCAACAAGAGTGCCTGCAAGAAAGCTTTTTTCTCTACGGGCTTCGCATGGCTGTACGTTTTCTCCCAGTTCTTCATCAAGAAGGGCTGAATGGTTTTCCAAACATCAGACCTCTCCTGGACAGGGTGCCAAAGAGTTTGAATCGTAGCTTCGGATGCCTCCTCAGACACCAGCTCTGGATGTCTGTTCTCTTTTGTATAAGAGACATCGCTGCTCGTACGGGCTGTCGCACTCCCTTCACATGGGGAAGCTGTGTCAACCAGAGAGCGCTTTTTCTCCAAAGGACGGCTCGATAGATCGTTTGTTGGGTCGCTGTTCTCTAGGCCATGGCTATATGCCCTCTTTCTGGATGTCTTGGGTGCTCGTGAGTATGTGGGTGTTCCTGCACTGACGCTTTTCAAAGACACAGTCACAGGCTCCTTCTTCAAGCCACTATCGGTGGAGTGTTCAAAGGTTCCTATGAAGTCCCTGATGCCTCTGTTTGGTTGCGAAGTCCTTGAGTCCGACATCCGCGCATGTGCTCTCTGGCCCTTGTTAAATTGATGAGGCCCGTTTCGAAAGCCACGAATTGTGTCGATGCTGTTCCGCATCTGGCTTTTGCTGCCTCCACCATCGGATTGCCGTACTGACGATTCAACCATTCTTAAAGCCTTGATTGCACAGCAGCAAATGGCCCTATCGGAGTCGGACGAAAAGTAGCGCTCTCACCGGCGCGAAGGTTGGTTGAAACCCGACACAACCCGCGGTTGAAGATCCTTAAGACAAATCAGGCGTGCTTTCAGGGGCGATAAAATCAAGCAATCGGGTAGCAGAAGACTACTGCAGTGGCTTTAGTAGGCAAAGCGACGAAGAAACTTGTTCGAAGGCGTGTCTTCCGGTGACACCTGGCGCCGTAAGGCAACCAACGGTCCTCTGAGCCCTCGGTAAGGCCGTCAGAGGGGCATGTCTCAGACAGACGCGCAACAGGCACAAGACTCTCGCGGATATGAAAGAGTTCATTGCCCTGCTTGGTCGTCAGTCGGTATCCTAGCGCCCCGATGGGGACGACGATGACGGGCTGTGAGATGCGCTTGGAAGGGACCAATTGTTTTCCGAGGACGCGACTCGTCGTACCGTCTCCGCTCTCTAGACATGTTCAGGGCTTAGGAAATCTGAAAAAAGTATGTATCTCTGTAAAAGGACCGAGGGAACTTACTGGAAGGAGGCGAGTCGCATGCTTTGGGAGGATCTAGTATGGTTGTTGTTGGTAGTGGATCAACGCGCGTGGTTGTTGGGGGGGGGGGGGGCGGTTGGACCTCGTGGAAGCAGGGGGTGGGGGGTCTCAAAGCTTAACCGAATTGGGAAAGCAGCGCAGCTGAGTTGGGCACAGCGCCTACTGTTGCTGAGGTGAAACAGGCAGCTTTTCGAACATCAAAAAGAGACAGGGGGAAGGAACCAATACCGAGAATCAATAGACCGAGTAATAATGGAAAGAGGGTGGGAAGCTCATGTTCAACTCGATGGTCAATTTCAGGAAGAGGACGTCCCAGGGTTAGGGTAATGGCGACCTGTGGGCCTACTTATCCACCATACAGCAAGCAAAAGCCATGAGACATCAAAACGGGGGGGGGGGTTCATTGATCATCTCAGAAAGGACGACAAAGCAACCAGAGAAATATATTTTACAAGAAGCAAACAGAATCAAAGTTATCGTTCATCATTGTGAACCACATCTCATGACACCCCCCCCCCCCCTTTCAGAAGGTCCGCGCACTTGCCAACGGCAGATGAAAAGAACCCATGGGAATTGGGGTATTGAAAATGAAGAGAAGAAATCATCAACGTTAACAGCATCTTTCAATATGCTTGACCAGGACCGTTCACTTCTCGTTGAGATACAGTAGTACCGAAGCCAGACTTGTCCCACTCGGGCTTCTGTTGTGACATCTCGCCCAGGAAGGGCCGCGAGACGTCATGCGTGCCGTGCACATCGGCGGTCCTGCGGCGCCGCACACAGCATCTATTTGGTAAAACATGTCAGCGATGACAATATTCATGATTATCTCATTGGTTTCAGGACTTACGTGATCAGGGCACCAATAACAACAAGCAATGCGCCGCCAATGCCTGCGCACAAGCCGATAACGAGTTTCTTATTCGACTCCGACAAACCACTGTAGTCATTCTTCGCGGCATTGACTGCGCTTTGCACAGCATTGGTAGCGCTGGCTGATGATGTAGGCGGAACGTACGACTTTGGGCTGCCGCTAGATGCTTTGATCTGGTTATTTGCCGACCCGAATGTGGATGTCAAGGTCACCGCCCCTGTGGTATTGGGAAACGTCACGCTTGAGCCGATGGGCACCGACTTGTAGCAAGTCGAAGTCTTGACGGTCTGCTCTGTGCTTTGAAGCGAGACCGGGCAGTTCCTGGTTGACGACTTGCAAATCACATTGGTCACAGTGTAGACAGATGTGGCAGACCCCAGGGTAAGACTGGTGTCAGCACGATTGGCGAGCAGGGCCGGTTTGGGGCTCGTCGCCCCGGCGATTGAAGTCTGACTAGCGGTACCAGTCGAAGATGCCGTTGGGGCGGAAGCACACGCCGAGTAGAGTGTGGTATAGAAGACCTGGGTACTGGTGTTCGGGGTGGGTCCCCAAGTGTGTTTGTCAAGGTTGACGTAGGCGCCGGCGTCGGCACCGAGACCAAATTCGTACGTCTCAATGACAGGCAACAGGCAGTCTTCCGAATAATCAGTGTCACTTCTAGCCTTGAGTTCCGTGGACGTATCAGTGGGCGTGATGTTAGTTCTGAAGTGAGCAAGGTCTGCATAGACCTCGACGGAGGCTCCGGTACCAATACTGAAGATATCCAAGTCCTCGGTCATATTGAGACCGGCGGTGACCCCAAGGCGAAGGGTAGCGTCAAATACAACACCCGTTGTGTTCACGGTCACAGGTAGAAACTCAAATGTACCATCAGTGCTTCGAGGACCGGTCAGTATAGGCATGAGTGAGAGACGATCAACGTTGAACTTACAGGTCGATTGTCGACACGTCCGAGCCGAACATGGCAATATCCATGGCCAGGCCATCATCGAATGCAATGTGAACTCCAGTCGAGAGGTCAACTTCGGAATCTAGAGCTAATATGAGGTCAAGCGAGATGAAAATCCCTATCTCCTCTTTTCCGATTGCAATTCCGGCGGGCTGGTACCAGTCTTTGGGATACAACGGAATTTTGATCTCTTGGTCAGCATTGATGGCAACATCAAGCAGCATATAAAGCTCCAAGCCATCGAATTCGAGATGGACTGTTGTTTCTGGGATCTCCGTCAAGTTCATGTTGAAATCGACGTCAATGGTTGGGAAGGTGTAATTGTCCCAGTCAATGTCCGTATCATTGGACACTGGAAGATCATGTCAGCCCGGGGTCGATATAAATTGTGGTAGGGGTCAAGGTCCTTTGGAACAGAGCTCGACTCAAACGTGAACACAAACGTACAATCACCCGTGAAGAAGTTTTTCACGTCAGTGGCAGCCGTATCGGCAGCCTCTTCTGTTATGTTCACTGACCAAGCTTTGAATGTGTCCCAAGCTTCGGTCGAGATATTCTTGATATCTGACCCGAAATCGTCGACAAACTGTTCGAATGCTGCAGTGGCGTTGAAGTCACCGTCGATCACCAGGGTGGCATATGCAGTGCCTTTGACATAACAATCAACACATGATACTGTCACCATTCCGCTTCAAGTTCGAGGTCAGCAGGCCAGGTTCGGAGAACGGGAAACAGTCTCCAATAAGCGCATCTATACTTACAAACTGAACAGCTCTGCGTTACTCCAGCTCAAATTAAGAGAGCCATTCGTTTTATATGTGTTAACATCGGAATCGCGCTGTTGAATACCGGCAGCAATCCAATCTCGTTGCAGACGCTGCGCCACTGAAGTATCTTCAAAATGACGCCGAACCTCGAGGGCTTGATTTAGGGTTCTCGGAGCCTCTGTCAGGCCGTCGGCCGCAGCGCCGAGACTAAGCGCCGCGATGGCAGCGCGTGCAGGTGAGAGCAGACGAGAGGGCATAGTGACGATGTTCATGAAAGGGGAGACGAATACATAGAAGTTATTGAATGTATGCAAGCTACAACGGCGTCGTATTCTCACAATGGGGAGGCAATGTGTGTCTGGACCTCACCAGTCTATATATCATAATCAGCACTCAGCGGTAGCCTCATGGGTGCTTCATATCAGTATCTCTAGAGGTACGCAACCTTGTGTTCAGTTTGTAGAGGTGGGCTCTTTGTTCGAGGTCATGCACAATATCGGAGCTAAAGCTAATCCTGGCTCATTGATATGCATGTTGGTTATCAAAGTCGTGGCAGAGTTGTCGAAATGGCATGCAGCTGGGACCCCATTGGGCCAGGGATCTTGCAACAGCGTTGGTCGTATGTGTTCCTTAACCCCTCGGATTCCTGACCTTTCCGCTTCTGGACATCTATCACTTCAGCTGTACCCTTTCTGCAGTTTCATCCACCCATCTTTTTGAATCCTGCGATATACCGATAGTGATCTATCAACTGCAACTCATGTTGTGCGAAGCAATCCTAGTCATGTTCATACGGTGACCTGAAAATGGTTCAACAGCTTGAACAACCACTCTACCATACACTACCATGGATTCTATAATCAACAACATTATTAAGTACTTGAGGGTTCTACCCAAACTTTGTTTGAAGGTTGAATAGATGTGATGCCAGAACCTGCACACTTTTACAGTTCAATGTTATGGACACCAGGGCACATAAGATGAAGGGTAGAACAGCATTGACAATTCAGCCCTCATTTAGCTTTTGGTAAAGAATGAACGTTTGTTTCTGTGGCCCTAATGGGGACAAAATACCGATGCACGGCCGGATAACTGCGATATTACGGGCATAATTCCGGGGATGGGACAAGGCTGCGTGGCTTTGGTCCAAAAATACTTGTTGGGGGCGATGATCCGGCAGTGCCACATCCTGTAGGAATTCTTGTTTAGTCACGGAACCGCATTATCGGTATCGCAATCGCGATCCTCACGCGGTGCTCTATCAACCCGCCCCACCAATTGTCCAAATACATGCTCCTATCTGTCTACACCTGTCGACACTTTTGTGGCTTCTCATCCACGCGCAGCCCATCAGATACCGCTTCGCCACCATCAATCTCGGCCTTTCTGAAATCATAGCGAAGTGTTCAGTCAGCCGCATAGTCGCCGTACTGTTCCCTTCATCTTTTTTTTTTTCTTTTCTTTTTTTTTCCCCGTGTGAAGGGCTTGCTGTTGAAACGCATATCCTGACTGAGAATCCATTGAGCCTACCTTTGGGGCACTTAGTGCGAGAAATGTTCCCGGTGTGCATGAAGTGATTACTTACCTAGAAGGGAGAATGAAATATCTATCCCGCACCTGCATTCTTGCATCTGTGGAATTACCTTATTGAAGTTTAGACTCAATATGGGCTAGTTGTTATGGCCAGTGGACATGCCCCCGTTTTGAATATGTATCTCTCTGCCCCTCTCTCTCTATTCTGCATAATTCGTTAGGCTGAGAGGTGCTTAAGCTAAAGATCGGCCCGGAGTTTGCTCGAGTACAATGATACCGATTCATGTTAAACTTCACTTATGTCCAGGATTTTGGCAATTATTTGAGGATCAATAAAATCAATATCAAGCAATGTGCCTTTCACACCCTTTCCTGTGAGTTTAGAACGCAAGATTTTTAGCCCCTTATTAGTACCAATCAGATTTAAGCAACGACCAAGGCCATCGCGAGGTGCAACGGACTCTGCCCTTCGCCTTGTGACAAAATCAGCTAGTTATTTCATTTGGCGTTGCGACTCCGCGCTTGACACCATGCCAAATTCTCGATATGATTCATAATACTGACTTCTCACAAGGTTGGCTTTCAGTCATAGGAGCTTTAACTGAACATCGCACACGGCTGTGTGCGTAATCTCTACCGCGAAGCACATGGTTTTGACGGAGGTGGGAGAGCTTTGATGCTCTTAGGTAGTTGCGTGTGGATCGTCGGCCCCAGTAGTTCTATTGTCTTTTGTGATGGATGCAAATGAACCAATCTTGGGTGAGAATCGTAAGCAAGGCTTGGAAAGAATGAGACTATGGAGGCTCCCTTCATCAACGTCCAATATTAGGGCAATTATGGGAAAGTTTGACACGGCCACGACAACTCTAATGGACTAAATCTGATGACCTACCCACATGGGTCAACCGTAATGCTCCTGATATACAATAAGCATCACACCCATTCGCGAACTGTGTTGTTAAACCCAAGGAAAAAGGGGGGGGGGGGTGCGCGGGACCTGGCAAGGCTGCAGTGACTTAGACGAGGCTACCGTAGCAAATTTTGGTATGGGGCAATGCGAGCCAAAAAGAATGCAAGCGAAAATGGAGAGTGACCGGAGAGATTACGATCGACCACAAGTTGCAAACTCCCTTGTTTCCAAAAGCTATAAAATCAATCCATGGTCGCGCGACAATCGCGAGACGATCAACTCTTGCCTACCGTATCGGGCCACGTGAGCAGGAGACCAGGTCACGTCAGAGCTGCAGTAGTTTGCATTGGCGCCGCACGATCTACTGCGCAATGCCTGAGCCATCTGTTTTGGCTGGTGTCCGTCAGCAACTCAATGGTCGCTGCAGGACAACGTGGTGCGGTGCGAAGGGCGGAAATGTCGTGACATGATGACGGGAGAGAGTGATATCGGAGTCACTAAGCTTGAGACTATCATATTGCACCGCCGCCGCAAAAGATCTGATGCACAACACGTCAAGGCCTGGAGCAATCGATAACAATTGTCATCACATGGCAGCTGAGAAGAAGTATCTCTACCATGTCTAAGCCGCTAGGTTAAGGCGAAAGCGAGCTAAGAGATACCTCCTTCAGCAAGAATTGCTGATATCGTCTGATAAGGGATGGTCAACACTAAGATGCCGCATCACCACCCATCCCCCCTGGCTCCGCTCTCACCAGGCCTCTCTCATTCGACTCATACTGACAAGGAAAAAGGATGGCTTCATAGATGATTCTGTAATTCGAATCTGGTCCATAAATCAGTCTGTCATCAAGCATGCCTAGAACACTGGCTACAGTTGATTACGCCCATCCGATCAAATCTTGAGACTGGTCATCAGACGCTGGACCGCCTTGCGGTCTGCTGACAACAAGTCTTCTCATCTGCTCAGAGGTTAAGAACGTGATCGCGAGACAAAGGAAGGAAACTTTGCAACAGACTCGTGGGTCTGCTGACCTAAGAACCCTGCAACATGTCAGCGGAAACATTTCGAACACTCAGGTGAACGCATCTGTTTTGTTTCTAAGACCATGGTTGTCCAAACCTGATACAAGAGAGTGGGAGAAGCCCAGAGAACAATCCAAGTTGTGACGGCCTACCACCCAACCCCTGTCTGGAGCAGCGCCCCCCTCCCCAACCCCGCAGTCCGCCCTGATCAAGTAGCCCCAGTACAAAAAGCCCCCACTGGATACTAACTTGTAGCGAGCAAACTTTCCCCTAGCTGCCGCACCTCAAGTATACCGTCATTCTGCTGCTCTCCACCTCTCTCTGTTCACCTCGGCCCCTCCCCGACCTTTCTTCTCTCCAACGTCATACGACCGGCAAACTACCAAACATTGTACAACCTCACAACAAGTCGCCTTCAGATACTTGCGAAGATGGCAGCCGTCGAAGATACCAGTCCTGTTTCTCATTCGCCACCACCACCTAATGTCAAACGCCCCAAGGGAATTCTCAAAAACTCGTTCCAGCGCTCGCCTCCCATCTCGCCTAACGCGACCAGCAGCTTCCCACAGGCCGCCGTCAACAGCGCATCTCCCGAACCTTCTGCGTCCGAGAAGGAGGTCACTATCGAGAACACCAAGATCAATGCAGGCCACCGGCGCTCTTCCTCGACCGCAGGCAGCCGCCCAGGCGGCGCTCGACGCCTGAGTTCCCGAACGCCCTCCGTCGCTGACCCCAATGAGGAGGCTGACCCTCGCATCAAGTGGGACGAGGCCAACCTGTACCTGACCGAGCAGGAGCGCACGAGTACCATGAAGATCACGGAGCCCAAGACGCCGTACGCGAAGCACTACGACCCTGCCGAGGACCCCAGCGATGACGAGCAGCACACGGGCAGCGCCGGCGGAGCTGGTTCCAAGGACAAGACAACAAGGGGCCAGAATGAGGACGAAATCCCCGTCATGTCTCTCGGTGAGCCTGAAGAGGCCGTTCCCGAGATCCCGCTCGACGAGGTGGAGCTGGCCAATAATAAGCGCAAGCACAGTGGCAGCGGCAGTCGCGTGCATGTCGTCGATGACGAGGAGCAGGCGGGGCTTTCGCCGGAGGAGCGCGAGAAGCACCGTCGCTTTGAGGAGATGAGGAAGAAACACTACGAGATGAAAGAGGTCACCCAGTTCCTGGGCCACCCCGAGGATCTCGATGAGCTGGTTGACGAGGAGGATGGGGACGACCAGGAGGGGAACGGAAGTGCCGTGCCCCCCGTGCCTCCACTGCCGGCTGGAGTTAATGGCAGGTCTGCTTAGGATGCTTTGGGTTTCGTGGAAACAGTTGAAGAAATCGGATGGCAGCAACAGGGCACATCCGTGAGGCTACGGAATCAGCGTTATTGTCTTTAGGAATCAATTATCTGAGGTCACCTTTGCGGCGAAAAGGCGGATTGGCGTCACCTGATTGGGAAGATGGCCTTTGTGTGTATTGCTTTTGGGGTCGGACGAGAATACGATGCAATCGCATGCACTTACACCTTGCGCACTACACAACGGGACTCCGAAGGGCAGCAGAAAAATACCTGTCGTCGTTGCGAGGCTAGTGTTCTACACAGGAACCTCTTCGACTTGAGTCTTCTGAATTTTATGGGGTCTAAGTGCTTCACCGCTATCAAGTATCGGCTCGGCCATTGAAGTGATCGCGATGCAATGAGGCCAAGTGCCAACAGCCATGAATGTTACCCTGCCGTCTACGTACATGCCCAGGGCGCGCAGAAGATTCTATCTACTCAGTAGCAGCAGTCCTTGCGAGACTGCTGTTTCTTGTGCGGCGAATTCTCGACAAGGAGCCTGTCTAATGTATGATGTGCCATGAAGGGTCTGCACTGCATATATGTATGCCTTTCTCGCGCTGAGTGTCCTCATAACAACCCCTTTCTCGCCAACTCAACCTTTCGAGCCGCCTCTCCTTCTTTGAAACCCCCCTTGGACACACAGACCCGCTGTCCGTCCGCAAGCTCAAACTTGTCCTCGTGACTAGGCCACGCGCAGGGGCAATGGTGTGGGAAGTGGACGCAGGCGAGGGTGTCGGGGCATAGGTAATTGCTACAGTACGCTGTATTCCGGTTCAATGTCAGCACAGGACGGAATTTCTATAGAGAAGGGATGGGAACCCACCTCTGTCGACTTGTGACCTGTAGAATGAAGCATCTGAGGGGACGTTCTGCTGCTGCTGGTGTTGCTGCTGGCCGCCGCCGCCACCACCGAACATTTGCTCGAAGAAGTTGAACTGTGCGCTCGCGAGCCCCAGGAGGGCGAAGAGAACCGAGAGGGAAAGAGGGGAATGCATTTTAGACAACCGTGTTGGAAGATGAACAGGGGGAAGAGAGCAATTCCGTGACGTCGAGTTGCGAGAAGACACAAAGTAATCGTTTTATAGCGTAATAAGAAACCGCCAAGTCATCCGTCCCCTGCCAGGAGCAACTTGGCCAAATCCACAGCACCGCTGGACTCGCACCCAAGCTCTTATCATTATCGCACTCGCTGACTCAGCCAGCCAATGCTAGAGCAACGACATTTTTCGCGAAGCTCGTCATGAACAATAAGTAGCATCACGCGCAGCGCCTTTTTCGAAGAGGGAGCTCGCAACACACCTCAACCCACGATGCGGCTCCCCCAATTACAGCGGCCACTGCAGGCTGCTGTCATCAGCGGCGGATGCAGACCAGTCCTGGCGACATTCACATTGCCAATACGACCCGCAATACCTTCGTTACCGATCCCGACACGATCAGCAGATGGGAATGGGGTTGTCGAGGGGAGGAGATATGCCAGTGTCAAGTCGCAGGGAGCGTACAGGATACCGAACAAGAAGACACTACCGAAGAAGCTGGGCGCAAAGAAGACTGGTGGTATGTTGTAGCAGCCACCACCACCAACACCACCACCGCATACATGCGCACATTTCAATCACATACGACACACATTTGTATTTAAGCTGACAGTACCACTCCTTCTTACCTTACAGACCAGTATGTTATCCCCGGCAATATCATTTTCAAGCAGCGCGGCACGATCTGGCACCCAGGCGAGAATGCCCTCCGCGGACGCGACCACACAATTCACGCCACAGCGGCGGGCTACGTAAAGTACTACCGCGACCCAGAGCTGCATCCGGACCGCCAGTATATCGGCGTCGCTTTTAACAAGGAGGACACGCTTCCGTATCCGAAAAACGAGCCGAGACGCAGGAAACTGGGCATGGTCGCCCACGTGCGCAAGCCCTCGCAGGGGCCTAGTGAGGCGATGTCGCCCAGTGGCATCCCCACTCGCGTGCTACGCAAGGGCGGCCTGTACAACATCGAAAAGCTCGAGAAGAGTCTGTGGTCGAAGGACAAGAAGAGGGAGCTGGCTGAGGCGCATCAGGCTGCCACTGCGACCAATGTGAAGAAGGAGGAACAAAACTCACCATCGTCCTCTTCAGTCGCAGCAGGGGCCGGCGACGCGCCAGTCTCTGCAGACACTTTCGCGGCTCAGGCAACCGCAGCTCAGGGGGCTGTACAGAAGCGTACGCGCGGCAAGAAGACGAAGTTTGTCCAGCCCCTTGCTTTCATCCAGAAGCGCTGGCTCGAGCGCCGGCGCACCAAGGTGCTGCACCTTAACCCGCGCAATTACGCATACTCGGAAAGCAACGCGGCCATCGGACGGCTGGTGAGCAGGACAATGTACACGGCGCCGTGGAAACTTGGTGGGCGGAAGGCCAGGTTCCGGGCGAAGAGGCAGAGGAGGGAGGAGAGGATCAAGCAGATCAAGGCAGATAGGGAACTGGTCAAGGCGGAGAAGGAGAAGGAGAAGATTGCGGAGGAGCGGAAGAGGGCGGCGAAGCTGGCGAAGCAACGCGCTCGCGGTGCTGGCAAGGCAGAGAAGAGCGTGCCAGCCGAGGGGGAGAAGGTTGTGGCCGCGAAGGAGGCGAATGCTACAGAGACGGAGAAACCCATTGACGCATAGGCAGGGAATGCTGTATAAAACTTTATGTATGTGCATCAATACAAAACATTTGAAAGCTGCGCGCTATTGTCAAGCGAGGTCTCAGTCGGTACGGGCCCGGTGTTCTTCGTCTTGTCCCGCAGGTTGCAGGGCCATTACTTTGTACCTATTGCGATATATATAGAAATACGTGTATGCGGTGGCGTGTGATCATCCTGCCGATGTCTTTTCTTTTTTCTTTCTCCGTCTGTCGCTCCACCGTCTATAACAATCTAAATAGACTCCTTTGTTGCCTCAGCCTTCTCGAGCGGATCATCAGCTGCAGATGTGACCTCTGGGTCATCCCCGCCGGCGTCGCCAATAGCCTCGTCCAAGGCCTCCTCTCCTTTGAATCCTTCAGTGGCAGCAGGCCCACTTTCTTTCTTTGCCTCGGCATGCTCAAGAGCATCGCCGGCCGCGGTAGTGGCTTCGGCGGTATCTGTTTTCAAGTGCCACCTCTCAGCGCATGTATTTTTACGTTTGGTGTTTGGGGGGGGGGGGGGAAATAAGGTAGTATTATACCAGTCTGGTATGGATCTGGCTTACCTTCGCTTGGAGACATGTTTTCTGGTTCCTTGGAGTGACTGATAATTTTTTTTGTTTTCGCGATAGAAGAGAGCAGTGTGGATGATGAGAGCGTCTGTCCAAGCGCCACGCCACAGTGGCAGTGCGCGTCGCCCTAATTGTTCATTTTGACAACAATACACCAAGTCATGCCCACAGTAAGACACACACACACACATACACACATCCTTCGCGCCCTTCATGCACCCGCTGTCAAATCTAATAAGGAAACCTTGCTTTCTGGTCGTGGGTAGTGGTTGCAGTGACGTCAAGGCGCGGTGCTAGCAGACACGCATCCAGGGGTTCGATTGGTGAAGTGAAGCCCATGTGCGCGACTAGAGTGAGAGAAGGTGCGGTGGCTTGCAGGGTCATTACATAAATATACTATGTACGAGACACAGGAGAATAAACCATCGCCGACATGCCTTTTACGCCACGGGTCTTCATCTGCTGCGGTCAACCTCTCGCGGCCGGGACCTAGTCCCGGGCGAGACCGGACATTAGGCGACGGAGGATCGGATGGTCGGGAGACAAGAAAAGGGTGGGGGAGGATGATTGATATGCAAATAAGGCTTAGTACGATGGCAGAAGTGGTCTATTGCAAATGAATTGTCGTTTCCAAGAGCTATCACCGGTCACCTACGCGCATCGCTGGCATTCCGATCCCTCCACCTTTTGAGACTTAAATCAAGCATCGAGACCATGACCTTCTATTCCTTATTTTTTCACACTCTTTCTAGCTGGTTTATTTTTGGAAGAGATTATCTTGGCTATGGACCTTCCGCCGACAGAAACATCGACGGAGATGTCAACCTCAACCGAACAATTCAGCCACCAACAGGAGCCCAGGCTTGACTCTACATCACGGTCACGGCCTCATCCGAGCCGTCGACGAGACAAACCGCAACTCTCTTGTAATCTCTGCCGTCGGCGCAAGTGAGTCCAGTGCCCTGCTTATAGAAATTCTCGTTCAAGCTGATACGTGTTGCTCTCGAATTCGAGGTTGTGATGTGATCGCCAGCAGCCTTCTTGTACTGGATGCCTCCTACGGGGCCACCTCTGTATCTACGCTGAGAATAATGGAGTATCGGTCCCCTCCTCACAGCCCGCTCGTGCCATTCCCAGCCTGCATGACCGCATCGTCCACCTTGAGCTGCTGGTCAAATCCCTTGCACCTGCGACTGCGGTAACTCTGGAACATCAGCCCAAGCTGGACAACTCGAGCCCAAACTCTATCTTGTCTCCAATTTCAAGTCTCTTCTCGAACAATTCCAGCACCAGGCCGTACCAGAGGGCAAGTCAGTCCACAACACCCGTCAGTGGGTTGTCTGATGCTGGTAGCATGAGGTTCAGTGGTGCAGGAGCTTACTATATCGTAAGCGACCATTGGGCTGCAATCCTGGACAGCATTGCAGACTTGAAGGCTCACTTTGACCGCGAGGAGGATATTAGACTGGTCACTACTCTACCAGAAGCCTCAAGGTATCAAGATGCTTCCAATGACGGCTTGGGCAGCCGTGATATGAAGCATGCATTGCTCTTATATGGGTGTCCTAGGCCCAACTCAGGGGCTGATATCTTGACTTCTTTGCCACCCAGGCCTGTTGTGGATAGGTATATCTCGCGGTTTTTTAGCCGTGTGGATTTGGTAGCCACTTGTCTGTGAACCCTGTACTCTACCAGAGGATATCTGGACAACAAACTGACACTGGAATTTATGATCTAATTAGCTGCTGCCCACGGGCCAACCTTCCTGCGTGAGGTAAGGGCTAATTACCAGCGCAGCCAGATTCATCACAAGGCTGACAAAGAGAAAAACAGTATGAAATGTTCTGGACTGACCCAGAAGGCACTCCCATCATGTGGCTCGGTCTCCTATTCAGCATGATGTGCCTGGCTCTTCTGGCCTCGGACTCATCTGATGCCAGCCCTGGCGTGGAGACATACCAGCAGCAAACGCATCAGATCGGCTTATATCGCTTGAGAGTTGTGCAGTGTTTGGTACTGGGCGAGTATACCAACCCAAGCCCCTATGTGCTGGAGACGATGCACAACTACGTCTATATCGAATTCATCATGCGGTCCGACGCCTATGAGGACATCTGGTTCCTTCACGGTCTCACAGTCAGCCTTGCTCGACGCATGGGCTACCACCGTGACCCGCGCCACTTTCCACATATATCACCGCTGCAGGGAGAAATGCGACGTAGATTGTGGTCTACAGTGTTGCTGAGTGATATCCTCATTTCGGGTCAGATGGGAATGCCGTGCATGATATGTGATGAGCAATACGACACGACTGAGCCTCGTAATCTGAACGACGCCGACCTAAATGACGATACAAAGGAGCTGCCCGCAGGCCGACCGGAGACCGAGATTACCACAACGCTTGGGCTCATAGCAAGACGAAGACTGTTGACTGTTTTGAGCACCATCTCCACCTTGACGGCGGCTGTCAAGCCACATAGCTACAAAGAAACCTTGCGTATCGATGCAGCGCTGAACGAGGCAGAAGCGAGTCTCCCACAACCACTCAGGATGAGATCCATGGCCGCCAGCGTAATGGATACCGCCCAAACCATAATCTCCCGCATCTTTCTCCGTCATCTCTACTACAAAGGCCAGATCATGCTTCATCGGGGCTATCTCTTTCTACAATCAGAATTGTCCCCACCAGATACCATAGCAATCGAACCATACGCCTACTCACGCCAAATTTGTGTCAATGCCTCACTCGGCTGTCTGGAACTTCAAGATATCCTGGACAAGGAAGCCTGTCCTGGTGGTCAGCTGCACACAATGCGGTGGCGGGTGACATCGATCTTGAACCATCATTTTCTGACGGCTACGATGATTCTGTGCTCGTTACTGTATCGGCGACAGACGCTGGGTCGGGAGGAAGACATCCTCGCAGCCTTGCGAAGGTCGAGGATGATCTGGATGCGGAGGAGTGCCATTTCGTGTGAGGCCAAGAAGGCTGCGGAGACGGTTAGCATCGTATTGGCGAGAGCCGGGGAGGGTCGTGGGGCCATTTTTGGTAGTAGCGAGGAACAGGTCGTGCCGGACTTTCTACCGCTCTCTGTAGCAATGGGTGATGATTCTGTGTCTCCATTTGGCATAGAGCACATCTCTTCATATATGGATGGTCCTAGTGGCGGTACGTATTTCGTCACTACCTATCACTCACCTACTAACGAAGCTCCTTATATCTTGCTGACCGCGTTCCAGCTAACCTATGGTCACCTAATGCCCGGGAAATCTCCACACTTTTTGGACATGCTACTGAACCTCCTAGAGTCGAGCTTGACCGCGACGAATCTCTACCTAGTGGGTTTTAACAATATAGAGTGGTAATGATCCCACTGCCTGCATTGTCAGTCACTCTCAATCTCGTTGACAGGAAATTTGAGATGAAAATCCGATCCTGTCCCGCGTAGCTACATACCGTTGACACCGCCTTTCTATACATACGTTCTAGGCAATCAATGATCAATAAACTCATGAGCTTTTCGACGAAATATTCTTTCATCCGCTAGGAATGCGGTTTGTTTTGTCGCTTGGGGTCGGGAGCATGGCTTATCAATCAGATGCTGAAAGATGGCAACAAACATGGAAATTCTTTGGCCTACAATCCAAACTCGCATCCTTCTCATGACATCGTGGCCAACTGAATACCTGGTTACATGAGATATTACAGCCCATATTGTTTAACCGTGGCTACCCCGCAACATCACTCCCTCCAGACGCCTAAATCTCTTGCCTCTTCAATTTTCCCAAGATACCATGCTGTCTATAGAAATAGGAGCTTTCTTTCCAATACTGGCCAGGATCCAGCAACTCCATCTAATTATATGTTAGAATGTAATGAAAATTCCTTGTCCACAATGTTCTCGAAGGCAAACCTACCTTGTAGTTCAGAAATAAAGCGGGTACGATCTTTTTGATCTCCATGATGGCGATGAATTTCCCAGCACAAACTCGCCGACCAGCACCAAACTGCAGTAGCTTGTTAGTACGGGAGAGTTTTACAAGTTCATTTAGAAAAAGAACACCTCGTACCGTCATAATACAGTCCGTAAGCTTCCGCCGCGCGGCCTCACTATCAGCCATGAAGCGTTCAGGCCGCCAGGTCTCGACGTCGTCGCCAAAAGTCGGCTTGTGGCGGTTGACGACATACGGGTTCATGCCAACGCAGGTGCCCTCTGGCACGAAGTGGCCATGTAGAATGACACCTCCCTTGGGAACGATGCGCTCGAATGGCAGGCAAAAGGGTGGGTGCAGGCGGGATGCCTCGTGGAAGCATGCATCAAGGTACGGCAAGTCTTTGACCTCGTTCCACTTGGGATATGGCTTGGAGAGCCCGGTGGAGGCATCCGCCGCGCGGAGCTCCTCTAGCAGCTTGGAGAGGCTCTCCGGGTTTGCGAGAAGCTGATAGACCAGCTCGCGCAGCACGGCAGAGACCGAGTCCGATCCCGCGATAACGTTGGAGTAGGTCCAGGTCCGACACGCCCTGGGTATCAAACCTCTTATCAGCTGCGGTCAAGTACATAAGATGCATAGCGTTGGACCGACTCACCAGTCTGGTAGTTCCTCATGTTCTCGTTGGATGCGAATGAAATATGACAGGAAGTCGCTCTTGCTACCGTCTTTCCTTTCTGCAGCCAAACCATTCCTCGTCCGCTCATCCACATTCTGGGACACGACACGAAGGATTGGTGCAGCTACTTGATTCTTCAGCACATCCGCCAGGGGACTCTTGTAAAGGATTCTATCTGCGAGGGGCCATTGCGTCATCTAAATCGAGGAATCAGTGTCTTCCGGTATCATCATTGTTTTCAAGGGCTATTTAGTCAAGCGTACTGGCCCAATACTCAGATTAAAGTCCCAAGCCCCGGCCATGAGACCATTTATATCTTCGCCAGTCTCAAGGAATCCATAGCGTTTCGAGAATGTCATGGTGCCCATGAGATCGTAGGCCCAGAATTGAAGCCAACGTCCGATGTCCAGAGGGGCACCAGTCTTGGCAAACCGGCGGTCTAGTTGCTCGAAGAAAATCCCAGTTACGTCATCAACAAAAGGCTCAAAGGTGAGAAGGTGTGAAGTAGAATAGAGGCTGGAAATGGGCGTCCGAAGCTTCTTATGCATAGCCTCGTCCTGGGTTGTGAATACAGCAGGCATAGCACCGCCCTTAATATAAGGCATGATCCCTCGATAGAAGAGACTCTGCTCTGTCAATTAACATTTTATTCCCGTCAAGGAAGGCTCAGGGGCTTCTACTTGCCTTGATGAAACCAGGCCGCATAGGATACAGCTCCGGTATGGCCACAGGATCACTCAGCGAAATCATGTTTGGCCCGAGTCGAACAAACTCGCCATACTTTTTGTGAAGATCAAGATGAATGGTCTCGGCCTTTTTGGTAAAGACCCAAGACATCCTCTGAGCATCGGTGAATTTTGCCCAAAATGGGCCTGGCATATCGCGAAGCCTCCAGTATGATGCAAGCACACTGAATAGAACATAAATTGTGATCAATCCGCCAATGACCGCGGCATCGATGGGCAACCGCCCTATCACTTCACCAGATGCTGCCATGATCTTGTTCGTGTCTTGACTGACTTCCTAATGGGTTGTTGAAGCCTGTTGCGACACAAAATGACGAAGTGACCATGTGACGATGACAAATTGGCAGCTGACTGTCCAGGTGATGAGACCCAATAGGTTCAAATATAATAATAAAATGACCTAAGAGCAAGAGACAAACAGAACATACAGCTCAACGCTCTTCTAAAGTTTTTTACTGAAGAAATGAACTCTTCAAGCCGTAACGACCGCCATCGTCTGGTTATGTCCAGCAATTCCACAGCTTTTCATCAATCCATGCTTATTATAGCTACCACGGTACGTATATAGCGTGATTACCACGGCTTAATGATAGTACTAATGCAAGGAGAAATGTGAAAGGCAGATAGATCGGTGCAAAGGTAAAGTTTCCTTCCCTGCCCGAGCATAAAATACTCCGTACCGTCCTAGGGGACATCCCCCGAGAAAGATGATTAGTTATTTTATATGTCCTGTCAATCCCCACTTGACACTTCGCGTTGTTCTTTGGTCCGTATTTATGTCCGGACGCTATGCTTGATGCTCTCATAACTATGTGTTGTTCGTATACAGTCAATTGGCTCTTCCAAGTACAAAGTGCTTCCAGTAGTCATTTGAATAAGAGATCTGTACAACAGCTTCAAATGGTATCAATTTATCTTTCTCATATACTATCCGTCCAAGACTAATGTGTGGGAATATTGTCTTTCTTTCTCTTTGTTTCCTTCTTGTTCTGATCGAATACGCAATGCTTAGGTGCAGCTCTGCACGCTTGGCTTGCCTCAAGCTGGACTTAAACTGACCTCTAGTCCGTGTAGTAAGGTGTTTCCTCGTTGTGACTCTATTTGTCAAAAGGAGAAACATATACTCCGAGGAGCAGAGAGACCTGAAAGTCCGAAATGTGCATGACTTCCAGCCCCAGGCTTCCTCTTGGATTTTCTTACGTGGGATCCAAGACTTTGGCGGACCTATAAACTCTCGTAGCGTCGAGTTGGTTCCTTCATGTCGCGTTCCTTTGGATGATTTGCCCTTTTTGGCCCCCTCCGCATTCCCCCGGCCAGCACTACCTTCTTACCTCCAGAGGCTGACCAGAGATTATTCCAGGCTGGTATTGTGTCCATTGCTCCTCGAGACCACGCACCATGGTTGGCTCTACACTCCAAAGGTCGAGGCTGAGAGATTGGGCTGTGGCTACTTCATCACGTTGGGTCGTGTCATGCTCTCTCACACTTTCTGTCCGTTCACGGCTCACTGAGCTGCTTACGTGGCCGAGGCTGAGAAAATTTCCGTCCATGTTCAGGTCGGCCTGAGTACTGCCTCCTATGCCTAGCGGGATCCAACATCGATGATTGGACAGGGGATTGAAACGTAATCTCTGATCACAGGATGAGGCACTGGCACCCTCCAATCCTTGGTCTCACGATAGTGTTGGGACTACACAACGCCCCTTTCGCAGTTTCTACCCTACCGAGTGAAGAGGATTCGGCATTCCCGAGTTCGTGACCTGAATTCAGAATGCGTGGCTATGGCTAGATTGATCATTTGAGGGTGTCATGGAATTGTTGGTCACATGTTATGGCAATGATATTAGGACCAATTTTCGCCCCAGGCCTGTGCGGTCTCATGTATAGATAGCAAATATCCCAGTTTGAAGTATTGAAAGAGATGCAATGTTTACATTATGGGACCTTTGGAGAAAGCTCCTGTGAAGTCCGAACTTAGTTACCAGCTTCGTTGTCACATCGTGCCATATCCGCTGGATCGATCACAGAAAATGACTCGACTCAACACACTCGGTTTTGCACTTGCGTTCGCAACAGCTGCCTGCGCCGCACCTAGTTTCGACCCGTCCTCATATTCATCAGGGGATGTTGTCAAAGTCGACGTGGCCGTTATTGGAGGCGGCGCAACAGGCACTTATGCCGGTATATCACTATCTGACATGGGACATAGCGTCGTCGTTGTGGAAAAGCTAGGGTTGCTGGGAGGCCATACCAATACGTATGTCGATGCTGGGACGGGCATTGCAATCGATTACGGCGTTCAGCGATATCAAAATGAGGCCAACACGCTAGATTTCTTCAGCCGCCTGAACGTGACGCCTTCCGATGATTTTCCTGTTTCGGCTTACAACACAACCATCTATGCGGATTTCTCATCGTCCAAAGTCTTGGATTTCACGCCGGGCACTAACTTCACGGGCTGGCTCGAACAGTGCTACAAGTACCCCTGGATGCAATACACAAGCGACATCCCTCCTCCTGTTCCAGAGGACTTGTATCTGTCCATGGACAAGTTCATCACCAAATACGACCTTGGTGACATTGTATACGAGCTCTTCACCATCTGGGGGGCACCAATACTGAACACCCCTTCCTTTGGAGTCTTGGTAGACGCTGGTCTGGCGGAACTGACTTCAAGCTCAACTAATCGAATTGTTGGCGGCAACGACAAGATCTACGAATCGGCTCTCGACGTGCTAGGCTCGAGCGTCCTCCTGAACTCGACTGTCATAGCAGCCAAACGAGGCAGTACCGCAGATGAAGCCACCTATCTGGTGGTATCCACGCCAACCGGCTTGAAGCTGATTCAGGCCTCGCGTCTGCTCATCACAATCCCAACGACCAAGACCAACATGGCTCCTTTCGCTCCGGATACCAAAGAAGAGCAAGTATTCACAGACTTTGAAGTCAGTGGTTACTATACAGGCCTCGTGCGGTTTTCAGAGGCGGTGCTACCTGCAGCAACTGCATACGAGAATGCAGACCCCAATGCAGAGTATTATCTACCACAGCCGCCAGCCCTTATTAGCTTTGCACCCACGGCGGTTGAAAACCTATACACGTACAGGGCTTACTCGACCAACGTACTGTCTGACAGCGATGCCCAGACTGAGACCTTGGACCTCATCAACACATTCGTCACTGGTCTCACCGGGAAGACTGCAGACATCGAGCTCGCTGCTTTCAACAGCCACTCGCCCTTCCGCCCAAGCCTGACATCAGAAGCCATCAAGGGCGGTTACTGGGGCAAGATGTATGGCCTTCAGGGATATCGCAACACGTGGTATACTGGGGCTCAATTTCTACCCGGCTCGAGCCAGCTGTGGAACTACACGGCTACATTGCTGCCAGACATCGTCGCAAATCTGTGAGGGGGTTTAGTTTGATAATAGATTGTAAGGCTTCAAGATTGGTTAGAATACATAGAACGTATATAGTGTGAGTTGCAGTTCATCGAAAATTTCAGTAGCTATACCGAAACTTCTTACTTTATTATTGGCTCTGAGAGCGCGCAATGTTGTATTGTGGTTGACTACGCTTAAATCTGTTTAATGTTCTAAGAAACCTTTCACTTCACCTCTGTTGAAATGGAGTATGGAACTCTTGAAGTATCGACACGGCCTATCATTATCAGCACCTACAACGTGAGCAGAATCCAACAAAACAATCTGCAGAAGTATGGAGAAAAGGTAATCGTGTGGTCAATGGCTCGCTAATTATGTGAATTCTAGTCCGTCTTCATCCCGTCTACCTGCCGGGTCAATTCTCTCTTCTACTGCTTTCCGGCTTCAACCAAAGCAAAAATTTCGACAAATCATATCACTGGATGTGCAGCAAGGAGCAATCATCGAAGACCCTGCAACCACGAAGAGCGCGATTGTACGATTGTGTTCTGACTTGATATGTGATTGTGTACATTTACACTCAGCAAAACTTAAATTGTCTCTGGCATAAAATCCACAGTTTTACTGTCCGGCTTCCAGCAACTTCTTGTACTCGGCTTGTGCGTCCTTCACCATCTGGCCTTCGTCATAGTGCCAAATCTTGTGCGAGCGCCATCTCAGCTCGGCCAGACATTTGTCCCAGTCTGTCATAGTCGGTGGGTACCGCCACTCAAGGAGTTGACCGACCACACGACTGCTGCTACAAATAAAGTGAGCGCGCTCAATGCGAATGTTCGTATAGGCTTGAAGAGCTGCTCGGATAGCAGCTCCCCGGCCAGCTCTGAGGCCGGCATCTACGCCCACACCCTTATTCACATCAGCCAACAAGTCTGCAAGTACGAGGCAGTCCTCAATGCCTGTGCCAGCACCGGCACCGTGGTGAGGACTCATGGCGTGTGCGGCGTCGCCGGCGATTGCAACGCGGCCCTTGGAAAAAGTAGGCGACGGGTTGTCCACGCTGTCGAAGATCCCCCACTTGACGAGTCCAGTGTCTCCTGTATACTCAACCACCTTTTGAATCAGGCGGCTAATTGGCGCGCGGTGGTGTTGGAAGGCTTTGATGATCGTGTCGGCGTCGGCAGGCGCCGTGAGACTGTCCTTGTCCGGCCACTCTCCTGGATCGAGCACGAAAGCCACGACGTTGATCATCTTGCCGAGACCGATGGGCACGCTGCCGATGTAGCTATTCTGACCCATATGCATGTGCCGGTTGTGCGCTTTATATTCTCCCAATGCCGCAGCTGCCATATCCATTGGCAGGGCACACCGGACAGCATACTGATGGTTGTATGACGGCTCAGCTGCCGGGTGGTTGCCCAGCATCAGCTTTCGGATGCGTGACTTGATTCCATCGCAGCCGACGACTATCATTTCTTAGCAAACGGAGGATTATGAATCTTTCCAGTACAGATGGCAACAACATACCGACATCTGCCTCGGCAGTGGTCCCGTCTTTGAACCTGAGTATCGTCTTCTTGTTATCTCCCTGATCAACAACAGTGTCTATGTTCTTGCTGAACACGATCACATCTTTCGGGATCAACTTGAGAAGTTCTTCCAGGAAATGTGCGCGAACACATCCTTCGAATCCTCGGTAGCCTGTGTAGAGCTGGAAACGGAGAGGCTCCTCATCACTTTCGTCGCCTTCGTGGTTGTAAGCATCCACGTATTTGAGCCAGTCATTTGGGTCGTTCGGGTCGCCGTTCGCAGTGGCAACCTTTCTTTCGGCCTCGAGAGCCCCAGGATGCAACAGAGCAAGGGCTTCCTTAGTATCTTGCATGGTGTTAATCCTCGTTGCTCTGCCTCGTGGACGCTGTCAAGACGAAGACAAGACTTACTGGGCTGTCGCGGTCTGTTAGCTAATCTGGTACTTTATATTGGGACATGGAAAAATTCCGGGGGGAATATTCTCACAGTGAAGCCTATTCCAGCCCCAATCGGGCGGAAAGAGGATGTCTTTTCGTAGACCTTTACTCGAACGTTACGATACACAAGACCGGCTGCCAAGGCCAGGCCAATGATGCCACCGCCAACAATGGCAACCTCAAGAGGTTCTTCTTTTGAAACTATACCGGGCATATTCTTCCGGGTAGACCACAAGGTAATTGAGGAATAATACTTGTTCTGCGATCAAGCTCGAGCTTCTCGTTCACACCGCCGTTGTAGACTGCATGTGTATATTATCAATTGAGATTACAATCCACTTCTTGAAATAGTGGTACAGTAACTGATATAGGATCGTAATGATACGAATTGTCCAAGAACAGGGACTCAGCAATACCGGCATTAATATCTGTATCCAAATCGGCGAGTTTTCGTGAATGCTCCGTCTGGATCTTCTGTTCACAAATCCGGAGTATTTGTGCACCCGACTGCTGGCTCATGTTCAGCACCGGCGGCTCCTCCCTACCGGTTCCCAAAATCTGTGGCTTCATGCCGAGAAACCATTTACTTATATATAGATAAAAAATGATCGTATGATGCGATGATTGCCTGATGATCACGTTGTATGTCTTTTCCTCATCCTCTAAACCCCAGTCACATCCTCCTCACCATGGCCGACTACTCAGACTTCTCCCGCTACCAAGACATTTTTGGGCAGCTTCGCCTTCTCAAAAGCTATACTCATTTCCTGCTATGTTTTAAACTCCCGGAAGGCGCAACTCCGGATTCCATTGCTCAAGACCTGAAATTGGCAGTTCTCAAAGTGACGAAGACGTTTCCATGGATGACAGGCAAGGTTATCAACGAGGGCAGCGGGCCTGGAAACTCTGGGTTGTTCAAGATTGAGCACTGCCCACGCTGGGAAGAGCCAAACAGCATTCTACGTGTCAAAAACTGCTCGAACGAATGCGTGTCATTTGATGAGATCGTGGCTGCCAAAGGCCCCATCGATGCCTTCGATCCGGACGTGCTGACGCCATGCGTGTCCTTCCCCCAGAGCTACCAGGAGACCGAGGACGACCCTGCAGCTGTGCTCGCGCTTCAAGCAAACTTCATTAGTGGCGGCCTCCTTCTCGATGTCGCGGCTCAGCACAACATCATGCCCGGCAGCGGCATACTCCAGTTCTTGAAGCTACTGTCCAAGGCTTTGAATGGCGAGGAATTCACACAGCTAGAGATTGAGCAAGGAAATCGCGACCGCCGTAACATGATCCGCCTTCTCGGCCCTGATGAGCAGTCTGTCGATTTGAGTCGCTATGATCGACCATCTCTGCTCAATATTGCTATTCCGGCTGTGCCAGCGCCGTTTGGCCGCTGGTGCCAATTCCGCTTCTCAGCCAAGAGCTTATCCGCCCTTAAGAATACAGCCAGCGATGCGACCAAGTTCGTGCCGCCCGTCACATTTGTGTCATCGAATGACACTCTGACGGCCTTCTTCTGGAAGCGTTTGGTGGCGCTGCGACTGGCGCGCTCGCCCCAATCCGCCGCCACCGCCTCCAAGTTCGTGCGCGCTGTCGATGTTCGCAGCACTGTGGGCGTTCCAGTAGAATACATGGGACACATGGTCTATAATACCTTCTCGAGGCAAACATTTTCCGAGGTCGCTGAGCAACCGCTGGCAACGCTGGCCAGTCTCATGCGGAAGAATCTTGCGGAGGACATCAACGAGCACGCCGTGCGAAGCTTTGTGACTCGGCTGGCCAACACGCCTGACAAGACGAAGATCATGTACGGGGGAGAAATGACGCCGAACGATGTGGCCTTCACCTCTATCGCGCAATCTGACCTCTACAATGTGTCATTTGGCAAGCTGGGCAAGATCTCGTTGTTGCGCAGGCCCAAGTTCATTCCCCGCGCAACGACTGCGATGATGTTTCCAAAAACATTGGATGGGTTTACAGACTTTCTCGTTTGTTTGAATGATCAGGACTTGGCCGACCTGAAGGCGGATGCTGATTGGAATGCGTATGCCGAACTGATCGACAGAGATTGAAGTATTAGAATTTGTCCGAGACTGTATGAGAAAAGATATAGAAATCCAAAAAAGTCGAATGTGGCCTCGATATTCACAAAAGCGAGAGTTGTCATATACATCACCTAAACATTCCATACTGAACGTGATTGGACTTTTGGTTACCCTCTACTTGATAAATTAAGTACTTAGGCGTCGTGATCTGTGGCCAACAAACTGCTACGTGATCCGTATGTCTCTCTCCATCCAGGTTGTGGTTTCTTTTTCTCGCCAAGTTAAATGGTCTATTGCTCAGAGAAGCTTCTCATCGACTTCCAAATAGTTCCATGCGCCCAATACTCCAGTCTGCCTAGCAAGACTCATGATCTCGCCAACAACAGCAATTACATCACATGTCTTGATTGGCACACGGTGATCTCCATTCCACTCCACCAGCCTCGTGGTAGCCCCATCACAGTATCTCTCATACAATCTTCGATGACAGTTGATGCCAGGATCCTGCAAGCCATGTACATGTAAGGTCGGAATGTGCAACGTATGCTCTCCTTTGTCGTTGACATCGCTGTAGCCACTGTCCACGCCGCTCAGGGCCGACGTATCAGGAAGGCTGGAACGGCTGAGGAACTCGGGATCCATCGCAACAAGGGGTCCTCTTCCGGCCAGGAGCACCCCAAAACGAAAGCACATAGCGTTCGTGCCCTGTGCTAGTCCCATCTCAGGTTCTTTTTTCTTCCTCATCATGCGAACTTGCTGCCGATATAGCATCGATGCAGCCATCTTGGCTCCCTGACTGAAGCCAAGCAGCGCAACCACTTCGCCAGTGGCCCCGAGAGCGTCATCCTGCTCTATAGCCAGCTGGATGGATTTTTCTATGGCCGCAGTGGCGGCTGCCGCATCCATTTCGGGATGATCATCTGTCCATCGCAACCAGCGACGAAAAGGGCCCCAGCCGTTGTAGACGGACAGAACGCAAGGGCCGGCTTGTGACAGGAATGGTGCATCGACGAACACAAAGCGGAAGTGGGTTCCCAGAATAACTGTGATGGATCGGCATTGTGCGCGGAAAACCCGGGCGTTTGAACCGCCGCCGTGCAGGCAGAGGATGCGTGGGAGGCGAAGTTGTTCCGAATCGCACGAGACCGTCATGGTGTCGGTGCAGTTTTGCGCTTTCCACGAAGATCAAATTCAAAAGTATTGTTCAAGTAGAAGCTCGAGTGATAGGGGAACCACATTTGCAAAAGGCAACCTGGCTTTCCGCCGCTTTGAGACGCAGAGAGGGCTCTGTCCTCTGGCGCCATAAGGCTGCGGCCGACTTAGACGAGGCGCCAAGCCCCTTTCTTTGGTAGCCTTGAGCTTGGCGATCACATCAACGTCTCTTTACGGTTGCACCATCTCTGACCAAGCTTCTCTTTTTTTCTTTTCTTTTCTTTTTTTTTGTGAGAAAAAAAAAAAAAAAAAAAAAAAAGGAAAACAGACATCACTGTCGCAATGTTACGCCGAGCCCATGTTTAGTGTTCTACCTGTCCAATCTAATAAAACATTAACACAAATCTGTACCAACCAACTTGGATCGGAGTGTGCGATGACCTCTGCCATCCTTTGTCTACTAAGCTACTGAGATACTCCAGCCAGTATCACGGTATGGAATGTAGATAGTGATCGAATCATGTTGATAAGCGAAGAGGCGCAAGGCTGTCCAGTAAGCAAGAAGCGACGTATCAGTCGGAGTAATACGGCCTCTTCGGCTATGGCTGTTTCCCATAAGCCACTTTTCAATACAAACCCTGAAATTGTCCATATTATCGCGACAAGTGGCTAGATAAGGGGGGAAAACAATGCCTGGGGGCCTGATTGACTGGATGGGATGACAATGCATGTGGAGATACGTTGGGGAGTTACTGTTTTGCCGAGCTTGCAGTAGGCTGGTAGGCATCTTGTCAGCCATTAGCATCGGGCGTGAACTCGTGTCAATACTGTACGCAGCCTCATGGTCCAGCCGCAAGCTACCGGAGTTTCACCTGTAAACGTCCACAGTCTCCAAATCTTTGTTAACATGGCAAGCCGGTCGTACAGTCAGCCTCAGGGCCTGTCCCTGACTTCTTCATCACCATGCTGTGGCAGACTCTCGGAGCTCGGACGCAAACATCAATCCTGGTATGATAGATTCTCTCCAAACTAGTATCGCAGCGATTGTCCGGCGCATAAGGTGGATCTGGTTGTCCGAAGAGAAGTGTTCAGGTCAGTCAAGCTCGCTTGAAGTGTGAGTGCGCCAATAATCTCCAAGTCGTGTGCTGGAGCTCAGTAGATTTGGAGAATTAGGTATCTGGACGCCCTTTACAACAATTAAGATTGATTTTGAAAGACGCTGCATACAACCAGTGTATCATTATCTAACTTTGAGGCTGGAAAACTCCGATTGACAGTGTACTCCGCCTGGGCCGTCGCAGGGAGTGTAAGCGTCGGCCTTTCAGTTGTAGTTCAAGAACGAAACTCGCAGGCCGCGGCGATGATTTGTGACTGTTCTAGATGATCAAGAGCTAGTAGGAGTTTTATGTGGGCCATCACGGTTGTGGTGCACTGGAGTCTGTAGAGGAGACTTGAAGCAATGAATGTAATTAGATGAACCAAGCCGGCTTTCCAGCAATCGCTGAGAATCGACAGACTGTTCATCGGATAACTCAGCATCAATTGACCTGTGTGCCTCATCGTGGTGTTCGATAGTGCACAACTCGTATTTTTTTTAGACATACGAGGGTGCTGTCCATCTAGTCCACATCCCCTTCACCAGCCATGGCCACTACGTCGCCTCAACGCGAGAGGATGAGTACAGACACAGTCTTGATCTTCGGATCGCAAGCTCTAGACTTTACCCTGGAGACAGCAGACCAGCTCCGATCTGCCATTCTCACCCGCCCTGCCCTGCACTGGGTTGCCGATGTCCTTGCCAACCTCCGACACCAGTGGGACACTATCACAGAGTCTGTTCCCGAGCTTCAGGACTATGCCGGCGGAGAACTCCTGGACGACCTCCACGAGTGGGTACGAACAGGTGTGTTCCCACAAGGGACGCACGCCTTTCCGCTCCCCAACATTCTCTTGACACCACTGGTCGTCATCACTCACTTGGCACAATATTGGTCCTTCAAGGAACGGGCTGGGGCTGCTGCTTCTCCTCCAAGCCAACAGCGTCGCAGCGAGACCCTGGGCTTGTGTACTGGCATTCTGAGCGCGGCTGCCGTGTCGAGCGCTGCCAATGATGCTCAGCTTCAAAGGTTCGGCGCGGTGGCTGTGCGCCTGGCCATGGTGATCGGTGCTCTTGTCGACGCTCAAGATTTTGATGGGAAAGGACAGGCAAAATGGAGTGTTTTCTCCGCGGTGTGGACCTCGGCCGATCTGGACGGTGTACTTGAGGCAGTGTTGCCAGAATATCCCGAGGTAAGAAGAGCCAATAATCATGAAGTCAAAGAGACTCAGGGGGAGTAAACCTGACATGAAGCCTTCTTTTCTAGGCATACACTTCTGTCCTCCCAGATGAGCGACGGGCCACAATAACCTGCCACAGGACAGACGTAGATTCCCTCCAGGAACGCCTGAAAAGTGCCGGCCTGAGCACCACCAACCTGAGCCTACGCGGCAGTTTCCACAACGCAAGCAATACCAGCCTAGCCGAGTCCCTCATTCACTTTGCCGACAGGCACAGGGATTTCCAGTTTCCAGACATTGCCGAGTTAGTGCTGCCTACGCGGCTCGACTCGGGAGGCAGCGATTATTCTGTCACGACGACAAGAACAAAAACAAGACCAGGCTCTCTACACGAGAAAGTGGTGCACTCCATGCTGACAGAGCAGGCGAATTGGCAGCAGGCCTTCAAGGGATTGCTGAAGCAGCAGCAGACGCCCAAGGTTGCTGTGTCATTCGGCCTGGAGCGCTGTGTGCCAGGCTGGTTGTCGCGCAAGCTCGGGGCGCGGCTGGTGCAGATCACCAGTCTGGATGAGCTGTCGGCCGAGGAAAAGGATAAGCTTTCCAACACGCTGTGGCCAGGAGGAGTGGCTTCGGACGATGCTGTCGCGGTGGTGGGTATGTCCTGTCTGCTTCCAGGCGCCCCTGACCTTGACGGATTCTGGGATATTCTGTGCGCCGGCAAGTCACAGCACAAAGAGGCTCCCTCGGACCGTTTCTTCTTTGAGACTGCATGGCGCGAGGCAGATCCGCAGCGCAAGTGGTACGGGAACTTCCTCGAGGACTATGACACGTTCGACCACAAGTTCTTCAAGAAGAGCCCGCGCGAGATGGCCTCGACAGACCCACAGCACCGATTGATTCTACAGGCTGCCTACCAGGCCATAGAGCAGTCTGGGTACTTTAATAACCCCACTGAGGATAAGCACATTGGCTGTTATGTCGGTGTCGGTCTGGTCGACTATGAGAACAATATCGCTTGTCATCCAGCTGGTGCTTTTGCAGCCACGGGCAATCTAAAGTCGTTTGCCGCCGGGAAAATCAGCCATTATTTTGGCTGGACAGGACCAGGCCTTACTATCGATACGGCTTGTTCCTCCTCAGCCGTCGCTGTCCATACAGCGTGCAGGGCAATCTTGTCTGGTGAGTGCTCAGGAGCGCTGGCGGGCGGGGTAAACGTCATGACGAGCCCGGAATGGTTCCAGAACTTGGCGGGTGCGTCGTTTCTGAGCACGACGGGACAGTGCAAGCCCTTTGATATTGATGCGGATGGATACTGTCGAGCGGAAGCGGTCGGGGCTGTCTACCTCAAGAGGCTTTCGACAGCCATTGCAGACGGGAACCAAATTCTGGGTATCGTCGCATCATCTGGCGTGTACCAGAACGAGAATTGTACCGCCATCACTGTGCCCAACGCTCCCTCACTTTCTGGGCTGTTCCGAGATGTAGTCAACCGTGCTGGCCTTGAGCCTAGACAAGTGTCTGTCGTTGAGGCGCACGGGACTGGTACACCAGTGGGCGACCCGGCCGAGTACGACAGCGTACGGCGTGTGTTTGGTGGTTCCAGCCGCTCAGGAGGTAACGCACTGTCCTTGAGCTCTGTCAAGGGCCTTCTGGGTCATTCAGAATCGGCATCTGGTATTGTCGCCCTGCTCAAGGTTCTGCTCATGATCACCAAGAGGGCCATTCCTCCACAGGCCTCCTTCAAGACCATCAATCCTAGCATACACGCCACTCCGGCAGATAACATTGAGATCCCGACCAGCGTGAGGCCTTGGGACGTTGAGTATCGAGCGGCATTGATCAACAATTACGGCGCTTCCGGTTCCAATGCCTCCTTGGTCATCACACAAGGCCCAACAACACGCGAGTCCACAGAGCGGAGTATGGCTAGATCCGGGCTCCAAAATGCTAGATACCCATTCTGGCTCACTGGCTTTGATCGCCGCAGTCTTCGAGCGTATAGCACACGACTGTTGCAATTTCTGACCTCACAAGAGGGAGCAGCCCGAAGCCTAGCACCAACCCTGGCAGATTTGTCCTTCCAGGTGTCTCGACAATCGAACCGGACCCTGCCTCAGTCCCTTATTTTCAGCAGCAGCTCCATAGAGGACCTCAAGGAGAGACTGACCGGGTTTGTCAAGGGGGATGACAAGATATTGGTCCCTACTCCACGGCATCAGGACTCGCAGCCTGTCGTCCTCTGTTTTGGTGGCCAGATTTCCACCTTTGTCGGTCTGGACCGTGATGTGTATGACTCCATCAAGATCCTACGCAAGAATCTTGACGAGGTGAACGATGTCTGCATATCTCTCGGACTCGACAGCATCTACCCAACATTTTTCCAAAAGACGCCCATTCACAACACGGTCGGTCTTCAGACGGCCCTCTTTGCCATGCAATACTCCTGCGCCCGAACCTGGATCGATTGTGGTGTCAAGGTCTCTGCCGTGGTCGGGCACAGCTTTGGTGAGCTCACAGCCATGTGCGTCTCGGGCGTCCTCTCTCTGAACGATGCCGTAAAACTCGTGGCCGGTAGAGCCCGCATTATTCAGGACCAGTGGCCTGCCGAGAGAGGGGCCATGATGGCTATCGAGGGCGATCTTGAGGACGTCCAACGCCTGTTGGCAGAGGCGAGCGACAAAACCCCAAGAGAGGCTGCTGCTACTATTGCGTGTTTCAATGGGCCTCGAAGTTTTACCTTGGCAGGCTCAGCTGCGGCCATCGACACGGTCTTGGAAATTGTTGCGGATAAAAATAACATGTACAATTCGGCCGCCTCTGTCAAAACGAAAAGGCTCGACGTGTCACATGCTTTCCACTCGACGCTGGTGGACAACATTGTGCCTGCGCTCAAGAAACTAGGTCGCAAGCTCATCCTCCGGAACCCAGTCATCCCGCTGGAAAGGGCAGTCCCTGATGACGAGGCCAATTCTGCTCTGACCGTGGACTTTGTTTCGGCACATATGAGGAACCCCGTGTATTTCCACCACGCCGTCCACAGGCTGGCGCAGAAATATCCAGAGGGCTGTATCTGGCTCGAGGCCGGGTCCAACTCAACCATTACTATGATGGCTGGTCGTGCTCTCGGATTACCCAAGTCTTCGTCTTCATCTTCACTCTTCCAAGCGGTCAATATCACGAGCAATAATTCGTTCAGGTATTTGGCCGAGACCACCACAAACCTCTGGCAGGCCGGCTTGGCCGTGTCGTTCTGGGCCCATCACGCCTCACAGTCTTCCGAGTATCCCATTCACCTTTTACCTCCGTACCAGTTCGAAAAGGCCAAACATTGGATGGATCTGAAGAAACCAGTCAAGGCAGTTCTCCAGGATTCTCTTTCTCCACCTGCTGGTGCACCCCAGAATCCACCATTCGGCAGCATCCCCAACGGCGTCTGGACTTTCATGGGTTACCAGGACAGCAAAGAAAGCAGAGCTCGATTTCGTATCAACACAAACACAGCCGAGTATGAGAAATATGTCTCGGCGCATGTGATTGCCGAGACTGCGCCCATCTGTCCCAGCACGTACCAGCTCGTCATCGCCATCGACGCCCTAGCTAGCCTAACGGGAGATCCAAAGTGCAAGCGGATCAAACCGCGGCTTCAGGGCATGGTGAGCCACTCGCCTATGGTTATGGGCTCTTCACAGTTGTACTGGCTGGATGCAGAAAGGGAACAGGCAGATCCAAATACCTGGACTTGGAAGATTGTTGGCGAGAGCAATAGTAGCAGCAGCAGATCTGGATCGTCGAATCCGACGACGCTCTTCGTGGCTGGCTGCCTTGAGTTCAAGCCTGCACAGGAAATCGAGCAAGAGATGCTGCGATACCAGCGGCTCGTCCAACACGAGCGAAGTCTTGTGCTCCTCGATGGCAGTGCAGCCGAAGGCGCTATTGTGGGGAGCCGAAATATCTACAGGGCATTCTCGTCCATCGTCCAGTACAAGCACCAGATATACAGAGGGCTTCAGAGGCTGGCATGCCGCGGAACTGAATCCGCAGGGCGAGTCAAACAGGCGCACACCGCCGATAAGTGGCTTGATCTCGGCCTTGCCGACGGGTTCTGCCAGGTGGCTGGCATCTATCTCAACAGCATGGCCGACAGTTCTGCTGCTGACGAGGACACGATGTTTATCTCTGATTGCATCGATAGTTGGATAAGGTCGCCTAAACTGGATTACGATGACGAAGAATTGCACCCAGTGGCTGTGTGGGACATCCTAGCGTGCCACTCGCGGCCTTCGGACGCGGAATGTACCAGCGATGTCTTTGTCTTTGATCATGAGACGGGCGAGTTGGTTGAAGTGATTCTGGGGATTCACTACGTGCGTGTTGCGCGAGGCAGTATGGGCAAACTCTTGACCCGTCTCTCTGGTGGAAAGGCTGTGGCGCCCTCCTCATCTCACCCTGCGGTGTCCTCTTCTCAGTCTCTGAAAGTGGTTCCCAAGGTGAATGGCCATAACGGTCCTTCAGAGGCCATTCTCAACGGCCATTCTAAGCCGGAGAAAAAAGAGAAAAAATCGCAGAAGACAAAGTCGACGACACGTCCAGATATCACGGATCAAGTACGAGATTTGGTATGCAACCTATCAGGCCTAGAACCCGAAGAGGTGCAGCTCAGCTCGAAGCTCGTTGACCTGGGTATCGATTCGCTTATGGGCATGGAACTGGCGACAGAAGTACAGAATCTGTTCAGATGCAGCCTCGACATGTCTGACTTGCTGGAGGTCACTGACTTCCGGAGTCTGATCACTTGTATCAATAAGGCCATTGGACCGGGCGACGCGTCTGTCGAGGAGGACGACAATGATGACTACGATGAAGCTGAGGACGCTGAAGTCCCACAAATCAATGGTGACAACAACAGTTTCCATGCCAACGGGCAGACCAATGGAGGAATAGCAGTCAATGGCTATACCAGCGAAGACGTGAATGGTCTCCACACGACCGACACAGAGGACCTCACCTCCATTCCAATATCTGTCCTCCTCGACGCCTTCGACGACACCAAGAGTGCCACAGACCGCTTCATCCAGGAAAGCGGATTCTCTGACTATGTGGATCAGATCCTGCCCAAATCAGATGAACTATGCGTCGTGCACATCCTCGACGCCTTCGACCAGCTGGGTTGTCCGCTGCGCGACGCAAAGCCAGGCCAGGTGCTCGAGAGGATCGAGTACCTGCCCCGCCACGAACAATTCGTCGAGTTCATCTACGATCTTCTCCAGACGAGCGGCCTGGTTGAGCTGAAGAAGAGTGGTGGTGATAATATCAGAATAATCCGGACCAGCAAACGGCCTCCTCAGAAAACAGCCGCCTTGCTCCTCGAAGAGCTGATCCAAGACAATCCCATCCATGTATATGACCACAGGCTGACCTATCTGACGGGCTGTAAGCTCGCAGACTGCCTGGTCGGAAAGGCTGATGGGCTGCAGCTCGTGTTCGCCTCGGCGGAGGGGCGTGAAGTCGTCTCCGGGATGTACGGCAAATCGCCCATCAACGTGGCCTGGATTCGACAGATGGAACATCTGCTGCGGGAATTCTTCCTCCGCCTTCCCAGCCGGCAGCAGCAGCAGAGGAATCAAGGTCCCATCGAGATCCTTGAGATGGGCGCAGGCACAGGAGGCACCACTGCCAATCTCATCCCCGTCTTAGAGGGTCTCGGTGTGCCCTTTAGATACACAGTGACAGATCTGTCGCCCTCTTTGGTGGCTGCAGCACGCAAGAGATTCAAGGGAAAGAAATTCATGAACTTCCAGGTCTTGGATATCGAGAGTCCTCCACCGGCAGACCTCCTCAGCAGCAAGCACATTGTCTTGGCCACCAATTGTGTGCACGCTACGCACAGCCTGGCCGAGTCTACCAGGAATATCCGCAAGTTGCTGCGCCCAGACGGTGTGCTGATGATGCTGGAGATGACCCAGACCATTCCCTGGATCGATCTCGTCTTTGGCCTGATCGAGGGCTGGTGGCTGTTCAACGACGGTCGCCGCCATGCCCTCCAGCCGCCCGAGGTCTGGGACCGCACCATGCGGTCTGTCGGGTATGGCCATGTTGACTGGACCGACGGCGTTCAGCCAGAAGCCAAAATTCAGCGCATCATCATCGCCACAGCCTCGACGCCAAACCACCACCAACAACAAATCGTCAACAATGGCCATCGGGTACAGAACCCTTCTCCATCCTCCCTTATTTCTCCTCCTCTTTCTCCTCCTGTTGCTGCTGCGAGCCTCTCCGCTGACCAGGCCGCGCGCCAAACAGCAGTAGACGCCTTCGTCGCCAAGCACACGGCCGACTTTGCCGTCCCTGCGCCGCTGCCCACAGAACAGCAACAGCAGGGTGGCGGCGGTAGTGGTGACTGTGTGCTGATCACGGGCGCGACGGGAAGTCTCGGCTCGCACCTGGTAGAACACTTTACCAGAATGTCCAACGTCCAACAGGTCGTGTGCCTCAACCGCCGTAGCGTCAGCACCGAGTCGCAGCCGCGCCAGTTGGCGGCGCTGTCATCACGGGGCGTGCGGCTTTCGCGCACGGAGCTGGCCAAAATCAAGGTGCTGGCGGGCGACACGAGCAGAGCCTGGCTGGGCGTGGGCAAGTCGGAATATTTTGAGCTCGCCGCCACCGTGACCCATGTCGTGCATAATGCGTGGCCCATGAGCCTATCGCGTGCTGTGGAGGCTTTTGAACCTCAGTTTCGGACTATGCGCAATCTTCTGGATCTGGCGGCCGAGTGTGGAGCGCGGAATAGGAAGAGAAGGAGACAGTCTGGGATCGAATCATCTGAGATGGACAAGGTTGGCTTCTTGTTTGTGTCGTCGAGTACGTTTGATATTTTTCTTCTTCTTTCTTCCTTTCTTTCTTTCTGTCTCTCCTCATTTCCATTCTTCTGTCCTCGGTCTCCTACACGTTCAAGAGTGTCACATCTGATGGATAAAGCTGACATTTGCGTTGAATCCGGGCAGTTGCAACAACAGGCTACTATCCATTATGGTCAGGGCAAGTTCGGGCGCCTGAGGACAGGGTTGGTGTTGAGTCCGTGCTGCCCAACGGCTACGGCGACGCCAAGCTCGTGTGCGAGAAGATGTTGGACATGACACTGCATCGATTCCCAGACACATTCACTAGACCCATGGTGGTACGCATTGGCCAAATCGCGGGGTCTACCTCGAGTGGTTATTGGAACCCCGTGGAGCATCTCGCCTTCTTGATCAAATCCTCGCAGACCGTGCGTGCTCTGCCAAACTTCAAAGGGGTCAGTGCCTGCTTTCCTTGTTCTTCTCCATCCTTTGGCAATGATGAATACAATGTTATTGATTACTCACTATTATGATTTCACTTTCCATACAGACTCTCTCTTGGTGTCCAGTTGATAGTGTGGCCGCAACCCTCGGAGACCTCCTTCTCGGTTCCGACAAGGCACATCCCGTCTACCACATTGAGAATCCTGCGCGCCAGTCCTGGCAGGACATGGTTCGGCTTCTAGCTGAGCAGCTCGATGTTTCCGACGTCGTGCCATTTTCGGAATGGTTAGAGCGGGTCCGGAGTCATCCCGGCTCGGTCGAGGACAATCCCGCCGTGGGCCTGGTGGATTTTCTTGGACGACACTTTATCAGGATGTCGTGTGGTGATCTTGTCTTAGATACGGTTCATGCACGGGAGCACTCCGAGACGCTGCGTAATGTGAGGTCTGTGAGTCACGAGCAGGTAGCCAAGTATGTCGAGAGTTGGAAGAGGACTGGATTTCTGAGGGAGTAGCAAGGGTGTAGTTTCATGGTCAAGTAGTCAGAGTTGTGGTGTATGGGCAACCTTTTCCCCTTTCCATGTTCTTTGTTGTTTCTTCCTTTTGATAGACCATTTCCACAGGTAAATAGACTTGGTATAGTACTGCATGATATGGACGTCATCGTTTTTCTTTCGGAAACTTTGAATAGCTTTGCTGTAGTACTCAACATCCAAACAGCAATTTGTTTTGTTTTGGTGTCTATATTCTCTTTCAATAACTAAACAAAGAAGAAGAATTAGTAGTAGAACATGAGATCATGTACTAAGCAAGCAATACGTATTCGAGTTCCTCGTTACTGCAGAGGAGGGTCGAATCTCAAAGGCTATGCAACAAACCGTCGGTCAAGTCATGTTGAAAATAGTGGCGCGCACAACACAAATTAACCCAAGATGGAAAACAAAGAACATAATGAAGTGTGCTAAGAAATGTCGGAGAGATATTTCAGGTAATTTCTTTTATTCCTACTTTTTCTTTTCCCTCTACTTCAACTACAGCATTGAGACGCCTTGAAATATTGTTCATTCTGCCTGCGACTCAATGCTCCCATCCTGAACAGGAATCAAAGTGACGAGACTGGAAGAGACTTCTGCATCTAGCTTACATCTTACACCTGGAATTATTTCCTCTCATGTAAACGTGTGGGCTCTCTTCTGAAACTTCACAGGGAAGTGGTACTCTTGCTGTCCGTATCTAACATGTCGTCATTCCTGCTCAACATGGTCGAGTAGTGTGCCGCGAGGTAGTTCACATCAGACACTCTAGCCAAGGCCTCCACACAGCTGGCGAGGTCTTCTTTTATTGTTTCTTGCTCCTGATTCTGTTCCTCGTCCGTGGTAGGAAGGAAAACGGTCGAGTGTCGTTGTAGGGATAAGTACTCGGCTGCCGTGTGAATCGCTATCGGCATGAGGATGCATGACTGAAATCGAATGTATTAGCAAGTATGTTCTGATGTACGATAAATGTATCCATGTCCCAGCGAGCCGTGATCACCTTGAAAAAGCCCAGTTGGGCATAATCCCTGGCCACAAGGGCAATTTCATGTGCAGCCACCGCCGCCCGTTTCTGGTACTCAAGAACCTGAAAGGTGGAATCCTCTTGCATCATGAGAGGTTCTGTGATTTTGTACATGTAAAGTACTCCCGTCTGAAGAGATACATGGGCTTGTAGAAGGAGCGGATCTGCGTAAAGTGAGGATGAGGAATAGCTCTGGCTCAAGTTGGCCATCCGTGCCATCAAGAGGCCATCGATCCAATCGTGTCGCTCCCAGAAACTCTTCGTATTGCCATAGAGCTGTTCCATGGAGGACGTGTTGGAATGCGAGTATGCTCGGCCGCTTATAGTTGCCACCATGGCAGCTTCTATTGTCCGAGATGAGCGTTGTCAGTCAACTATAAACCTCAAGAAACAAAGAGCTTGAGACTGAGTGGCTTACCCGCTAGCTGCGAGAATGAGCTGTACAGCCCGGACCTGGAGACCAATGCCTCAGGTAGAAAACAGCCTTGGACAGGATTTCCGCTCTGGAAATCTAAGTCTGACATCGGGAGGCGGGTGCAGATCTGCATTTTGCTAATAATCAGACGACTAAGTTTTGACATGATCTTGATGTGGTAGTAAGCTGAAGGGTCGAGATTCCAATGGATATACACCTACGGCTTCTTCAGTCAGTGTCACCGGAAGTCCCTTGTCTGGACTGATTGCGAGATCGAGACAGCTAGATGCCCTGTTAGCCCTTCAATATCTCAGCTTTGTTTCTCTTTCAGTGTCGCTCGCATGGGGATGCTCACTAGCTGGACCAAAATGCGCGTCTCTTCTCTTCTGCGGTGACACCATCATCGACGGATGATCCGAACGCTTGCATGATGCTGGCCTGCGGACTGTCGACTTCGTGTAGTTTCAGTAGCTGTACAAGCCGGAAGACCCTCCCGGCACTGATCCAGGCTCGGCGGTAGCTCGAGCGGAGGAACTCGTAGTGGGTCAAGAGGAGCCATGCCTGTAACTGTTCAAGATGTTGTTGGGACATATCGTGTTCCTCGCTCTCACGCTCCTCCAACATTTTCCGGGTCTCGCGATACATGGACTCACGCATACTCTCAAATTGGGAGGACATGGCCATGGCCAGAGTCCACATGGCGTTTTGTAGACACAGCCGGTAGCCTCCACAGGCTGTGGCATCATCGGTGGACGCCCATGAGAAATAGCGTGTCTTGTTCAAGATAGGGACGATGGGATGTGCTGGTAATTCGTCAACGATGACTGTAGTGCTTATAGAACTGCGAAAAGCCTACCTCGGTCGAAGTAGAGCTGGTCTCTGGATTTTCACAAGTTGAACACCAGGTTTCAGTCCAAGCCCTCAGTGGTATCGATCTGGTCAGGACTTACAGATCAGCCCGTACCCACCCAGTCAAGAAAGTGCTACGGGAACTCAGCGGTGTTGTAGGGTATGGTGAATAGCTTGGACCTGGGCTCTTTTCTGAAACAGCATTTAGGTCATCACCAGACGCCCCTCTGCTTGTTCGTCGCCCATCCCATTGTACACTTTCGCCGCTGCCAATTTCTGCTTTTTGCCGATGGGCCTCGCTGAGATTCGACGCGACTTCAGAATCGCCTCTCGTCTGCTCGAGCAACTTCTCTTCAAGATTTTCTTTTCGACGAATCAGCTTTGTGGGTTCTCCCAAAGGTGAATCTTTTCTGTTTCATACGATACTAAACAATCTTAACAATATATGGCAGGAGGAAATAGAATCGTCATACCAATATGGGTACGTAGGTCTTTGAGAAACCCCTTTTTAGGGCCCCTAGGTAATCGTTTGGTACTCCTTTCGCATGGAATACCATTTTTGAAACATGTCCCACACGTAGGTCGACCCCGGTCACAACGAAGTTTCCTCTTTCTGCACTCTTCACATGCAGTGCCTGGTTGCTGTCTATTATTTTGATCCGGCATGGCGTCCGTGCTTTAGAGGATTTTTGTTACGGCGTCAAGGACTGAAATCCCGAAACACGACAATAGTGACGCAGTAATTAGGACAGCGGGACTCTCTGATCGGAGACGTATCTAAATAGCAGCGAAAGCACGCCTGGGAGGCTGATGACCCTTATCACTGCCCCCAGATCTAGCCTGATGATGGCTGTGGGTGAGTGATAGCAGTGGCTGAGTCAGGATGGCAATCCATCCTATGCACAGTCACCTCACTGTCTATTCCCACAGGAGCGGCGTATACATCCAAACTAGTCGGCCTTTTGGTGAGCTTGACCTGATATACACCCTGAAATGTACTACAATAAGCACCACAAGATAGGCTATACTATTAAGGGCACCATTTAGAAACGGCCAGAAGGACTGGTACGACTATTATCTGACAGATAACCGTGATGGTAAGCAATGCATCCGAATGTCCGATCAGTCCCTCAAATGGGCAATCGTCCCCGGAGAAGTCAGCAGCGACAAGCTGGCCAATCACCTGAAGTGGGTGGCATCAGCGTCAATACAAAATACGGTGGCACTGAGCGGCCGATATTTGAAATATAGCTCTCTTGGGATAATCCACGGGACCCAGGGGTGGCGAAGGGCGTCGGCGTGTGAGCACACGAGCGAGGACGGGATAAGAAACGTCAGCATCGGGAAGTTTGCGTGCCGCTTCCTTTGATGACGCTGAAACTTACCTGATGCTCAACATAATAACGCTATCTTGTGTATTTAAGCACTGCCTAGAGACCAGGACCAGGTTGTTAGGTAATGAGCATCTAATGAACCGCAGGCACACTGCAATTTGTACCCTCAACATGATAAAGCCATGGAGTTACGGCTTTAGGGGTTGCCTTGGGTATCATGTTTTGAAAATATAATTTTGTATGGTTTCTGGACTTCAGGTCTCGTTGATAGCTCATAAATCAAATCATTAGTGATCACAGCACAGAACATGACATACCAGATAACTACTATATGGACTCTCAAGCAGTTCCTTAATCAGCACTGCACTAAAGGACACGGATCCAACATACATCCCAGGCTGTGGTGTGCTTTGTGATTGACTCATGCACGCCGTGTAGTGTTCCTACTAATCGTACGCAGTGAGTAAATGGCGAGTCCCAGGCGCGTGAGATCATTATTCGCCTTGGAGTTAAACAACGATGTGAATGGTTGGATACCGGCCTCTGGGATACAAAGCTGAAACAGTATACCTCCTCACGTTTTCAAGGCTGGATCCATCGTTTGCCAAGGTCAAGCCTCTTGACGCACGATCACGCCCTTTGAGTACACCGACATGGGGATCGTTGCCCTCGATACACCGCGTGTGTCATGCAAGCACGGCAGAGATCGGACATCTTGCAGGTGTCAAATCAAGTGTGTTGAAGCCACATGCACCTCGCCTTGCCAGAACAGTATGCTGGTGCGTTGCAGTGGGCATCTGCCTGGTCGCTTTTTGTCGTACAGGCATTCTAGAACAATGCAACTCTCTCCGATCAAGATTCTACAGCAGATGACTGCTGATACTGTGGCATTCATTCACCATCTTATCATGATCTGAAGAGAATGGACAGGTAGATCTAGCATGCTTTATAGCTAGACCCGATCAGGACGAGGTTCCGCTAAACTCAGTGAGCCTAGGGGATTTTCGGGAAGTTAATCATCTGCGGCTGGAGAAGTTGACGACATTTGATTTTGCCGTTGTTAAGCGGTCCATACTGAGTCCGCTTGCTGCCAGGATTGCTAGGAGCAGATTGTCAGGCTTGATGGGTACATTATGAAAGTTACGTATTTATGAAACTGGTATTATGCCTGGCGTAAAAAACGAGTGCCCACAAAAAGAGGCCGTACGGAACGGGACGCTGGTGGACGACTCAATACGATTCGAGGTTAGCGCCATAGCAGAGCAGAAAGCTAACCTCGAATCGTATCGACGGCAACCTTTCTCGCTTGGTTCCTTAATTCCGAGCCCAACTTCCATACATAGACAAGGAGCTCAAGCCACGATTGGCTGATTTGCCCTTGCTCTTAACCGTAATTCGTATTGCGATGCTGCCAGATGAGCTGCCTGGTTTGTGAACTGGTGCAAAGGAGCCTCTTATATCTTGATGAGTATCTCGTTAATTCGAAAAGAGATAGCCTCTATTCTCCTTTTTGACATCACAGCTCTGACCTTGTTGCACTTGGCAAAATCAATTAGTTCTTCCGTCCACCATGCCCGAATTATCCACCGTACAAGCTTCAAACGCCAGCCTTGCCACCAGCCTTCCAGCTGGATTGGTGGCTGTCTTTGTAGGTGCCACCAGCGGCATAGGCGAGTATGCCCTCAAGGCCTTCGTCAAGGAAACTACAAGTCCCAAGGTTTACTTTGTCGGCCGCACTCAAGCCGACGCAGACAGGGTTGTTGCCGATCTCAGGAAGTTGAACCGCCAGGGAACCTACATTTTCATCAGGTCGGATGTCGCCTTGCTGAAGAATGTCAACGATGTATGCGCCCAGATTCTGGCCAAACAGGAGGCCATCAATCTCTTGTTCATGACTCAAGGCACCATGGCAATTGAGAGTAAGTCCTCATCCCTAACGAGTTAATTGTGTAAGGCTAAGGTAAAGGGAGGAGAGAAGAAGAAAACGAAAACCGACTAAACCCTGATTTTGACCTATCTTGCAGGAACCGCCGAGGGCTTGGCTCCAGCCTATGTTCTACCAATCACGTCTCGTGTTCTTTTCATCCTGAATCTCCTGCCAGCCCTGCAGAATGCAACGGAATTGAAGCGCGTTGTCTCGGTCTTCGCAGCAGGGTTTGAGGGCCCATACGACGACAAGGACTGGGCAAATTTCCCTGTCAAGAATCTCATGAAAAGCCGTCCTCACCTCGCGACCATGATCACTTTAGCACACAGCATCCTAGCGCGACGGGCGCCCGACATCAGCTTCGTCCATGACTTCCCTGGAGCCGTCAAGACCGCCTTCGGCAAGGACGCAAAGGGCAGGATGGCTGTAGTCAGGAACATCTTCAACTTCATCGGACATTTTGTCATCAAGTACTTGCCCCCCGAGACGTCCGGGGCGCTTCAGATCTACAACGCTACCAGCTCGCGTTTCCCACCAGCAAGAGGTGGCGCTGACGGCGTGCCCCTGTCAAAAGGCGTCAAGGTTGCTAGGGGCATTGACGGGAAGCTAGGCAGCGGTGTGTATTCTGTTAATGAGAACTGCGACGATGTGTCGCTAGAGATTGACAGGCACATTGCCAAGGCCAAAGCTGATGGTGCAGAGGAGAGTCTGTGGGCCCATCTCACTGGGGAAATCCAGCAACACACTGGCAAGAATTTCGATTAGTTGATTACTTGAACTTCTTGCAGACGCATATGCGGGTGAAAACCTTAATACCCTTCCCTTATCTCTATCTAGAATCCCAGCACATACATGTCATCAGTCGTTACAAAATCGCTGCTCTAGTCATCATGGTTCTCGAATCATTTGTGCAAGTCTTACGCCGGTGTGCCGTATGGCTCCAGGGATCTCGATCTTTCATGTGATCCCACACTAATCCAGTCACGATTGCTACCTTGTATAAAACTAGAGGTCTTCAAAACACAAAGTGCACTAAACTCCATAGGCCAAAATCAGCCCGTGGTGATACCTTTGTCTGAAGTTGTTGACGGAAGGTCCTGTGCTTTTGTCCAGTCCCAGTAATAAATTCTGATCGGAGACAGCAAAGGTTATAGGCGAAATAATTCCCACAGCATGCATTACTCTGAGTTCATCACACTCAATATCATGAAAGGGAAACGCATTTTTGAGTTTCAACCACCCCCACACCCAAAATAACGTAAGATTATGAGTCAGATCTCGTCATAGCAGGTGTTATTTGCTCACTTCAGGACCGAATACGGGCATCAGCCCTCAAGCTATCGGCTTGGCCCACCAGACGCGGAACTCAATAACTGCTTCTTAGGTGTTCCACGAAGGTGACTTTCACTCTAACCGGAAAACAAACCCCGCCATTAACACTAAAGTAGACATGGCATGTAGATGTACATACTTGTCAAAAGAAATTTGTCTTGATCAATTCACCTGTCATACCACCTATTTAAGATACACATGAATTCAGCCTTCCCTCATAGTATTCCGAGAAACTAAATTTTAACCCGTATGCTTGATTCCTGACTAGACACGGATCATCCTCATTTCGTGATGCCAAACTCGTCTCTTTGACATGCTTTGACAGTTGGACTCGAAGCAGTTTTGTGCCTGCTTATCCACAGTTGTATTCACTCGTGAGAGACCTCATACAGCCGGCGCAGCACCACCGGCAGGACCCTTAGGAAGCCTGGACCAGGGACAAAAGAAGCTCATAATGAATGCCACCCCGGACAGGGCGGTTGCAATTGCAAATGAAGCCTTGATTCCCTCCATATACGCAAGGAGGATGCCTTGAAGCTGGTCTGGGGGAAAGACTGATCGGAGCTCTGTGGCACCTGTTGCTACCACCAGTGCAGGATTCACACCAGGGGCATATGTGGGCAGAGTCGAGGTCAGCCTGTTGACAAATGCCGATTGTGCGGCTGAGAGACTGAATGCTCCTCCAACAACTTGGAAGACTAAAATCACACGTAAGCCTCTGCTAGTGGTGTCATATTGAGTGGAATGGTGCTTACAGAAAAGTGTGGCCGTTGCAGTTGACACATCGCTGGCTGTAATGTGTGCTTGCGCTATGTTGAGGCCATTCTGGAATGGAAAGGCGATCGACACGCCAAGAAGGATCTGATAGCCGATCCATTTTCCCGAAGCAGTGTTGACGTCCAATGTGTAAAGAAGACCACATCCGACAGTGGTTAGTGCCGCTCCACCGACCATGAACGGGGTTGCAAGCCGGGTCGAAGTGACAATCATGCCACCTGCTAACATGGCGATACAACCGGCGATGACCAGGGCCAAATTGTCCACACCAGACTGAATGGCACCGACACCCTTGATGCTCTGGAAGTAGATCGGCAGGTAATAGAGGAGCAGGAAGTAGCATCCGGAATAGAAGAATTGGAATATGCTTGGTGCCCACAATGCTCGCTGTCCCAATAATCTCCTAGGTAGCATAGCGTAGTCTCCCTGAAAGTAATCCCAGACCGCGAGAGCTACGAAGATGACGAAAGCACCAACGAGCAGACCAATGACCACTATAACAGGCCTCAGTCAGTACCGCGTATACATTGAACAGATCACTAACTGGGGATGGAGCTTAAGGCAGGGAGGTATAGAACCCGTAAAAGAAGAACAAAAAGCAAATGAACAAATAATAGAAAGAATACTTTACCGCTGCTCTTCCAAGGATAGGCCTGTCCTCCATACTGAAGCGCCAATATATAACTGATAATCGCGCCCATAGCCAAGGTAATGCCTACGAGGTCCAATTGACGGATTTTCTCTGCAAAAGTAGCTGTCACCACTTTGGCAGTGCTCGGCGTGCGAAAGAAGAGCATGATCAGGGTCAAGGAGAAACCACCCAGAGGCAGATTAATGTAGAAACACCATCTCCAGGTGACACGCTCGCTGAAAGCTCCGCCAATGATCGGCCCAAGGATGGCAGCAATTGTGTACGAGAAGCCCATCAGCCCCATAAGCATTGGTCGGTTCTTTGGTTCGGCGCAAAAGGCGAAAATTACGGTTCCGCCGGTGGTCACGCCAGCACCACCCAGCGCCGCAATAGCGCGTCCAGCAATAAGAGCGTTCGAGTTCGGTGCGACACCACAAATCAGGCTGCCGACTTCAAAAATCAATACGCTCGTCATGAACGTAAGCTTCAAGGGGAAGAATTTGTAGGCTTTGCCCCATGAGGATTGGAAACCACCATAGCACATGAAGTACGCGGAACCATACCACGATACCTGGCTAAGACCATGGAACTCGTCTGTGATCTTGGGAATGGCTGTACCAACAATAGTCTGTCTTGTGTCAGTGAAAGACTGTATCCGGACACGCAAGCACAGAAGCGACGTACTTGGTCCAGAGATGTCAAAAAGACAGTCATCATCACAGCACCGACAAGTGTGACCAACCGTAGCCCATGTGGATACTCATCAGGGGAGAGCTTTTCCTCTGCGGCCGCCCCATTCTCGCTGCCCTCGGCCTTTATCTCCTTGTTTTGGTATGTTTGAGGAGAAGTTGAATCAGAAGTATTTTCGTCGGCACCCCCAGTTTGCGTCCTGTCCTCTGCTTTTAAGGTGTCCGATTTCATGCCGTCTGTTGACATTTTGTTCAAGTTTGTTTTCTTAGGATCAGAAAGAGAGGTAGTTGTGGGCTCGTGGATGATGGGTGCGTGGGAATCGTTGGCCAGTTCAAGTAAAGCTGATGTAGCGACTACCAGCACCAAAATGAACTATCACCAGATAGTAGAAACCGATGATTGAAGGACTCGGATCAAAGTCGAAGGTTGGTTACGCTCTAGAGAAGACAGAAATAGTCTGCGAAAGGGCAAGCTACAGCAAGAAGTCTCCCAAATAAGGATACAGGTGAGATGGTAATCTTCTTGTAACAGCTGCAGTCCTGATGTGTCGTGAAAGATCTGAGCTGGCTTCGAGAATGTGCGTCCATGGTCTCTTCAAGGCGAATTGGTCAGCAGGAATTGGTCTTGACGTGAGGCGAAGCACAAACAAGGGGGAACCGCCTATCTGGTCCAACTGAACGGCCCAACAGAAGCTCCGCTGCCTTTCATTCTTGGTGCAAATCCCGCTGAGACACTGAGCCAAAAAATCGCATGCAGTTTCCCTCTTTCGTATAACCCCTGCTGTTTTGCAACAACTTAATTTGACGGCATATCAACGGTGGTATCTGCTACCCGCGACTGAACGAAACACGGTTAGTCGCTCCATGTGATTGATCCTATAGGCAGAACCCCGACTTCCATGGGTCACATCTTCCCATCCAAGTCGACCAACCAGAAATGGGCAGCCAGGGGCCCTTGCAGAAAATGCGTAAAATACGCTACAGCAGTCCGCCCATAGACAGCGTATTTTTCAGATACATAGTACTTACTAATCGCGCTCGGCCTGAAATTATGAGGGATGGATGACCGTACATTGAATACAGCCCTTTCATGTTTCAGTCCTTATTCGCAACCTCATCTTTTACAGCACGTGTTTCCATCCAGGACTGTTGTATGTTGAGACCAAGGTACAGAGTCAATACTGACGACTCGGTTGAACGGTCCCATTTCAACCTCGTGGCTAAAAGGCTGCGTCAAATACAGCTTTGGCTCGCCCACAGTCAGCAGCTGCACAATTAGATGCAATATTCAATTTTATTCTTTAGCGTTATTCTTTCTATCTTTCTAAACCTAAATTACTGTTCCATATATCAAACATTTTGACGACGAGTCGTGGGAACTCTTACAAGTCTCCTGTACAGTGCGGAGCCGATCGACCTCAGATACGTACAATGCATTAATTGAAATTGCTTACTTACGTAGGTTCGGTCTCCAGCTCTGTCGGCTACCTGTCGGCTACTTCTGAATTTGGCAGCCTGGCAGAGGCCGACCATTTGTGTAACTTGAAGGTTCGTCGTCAGAGCGGTCAGGGTATGACTACTGTGCCCGAGTCTTCCGTATGTTCTTCATTGATCGGTAAGTCAAAGGGGGGGGTTTTGGGCCGGGGTAGTTTTGGGCCACCCTGGCCACCCTCACCGCCTCTTCAACCCCCTTTAGTTTGATAGCTATTACTCAACCAATTTTGATCCAAACAACTTCATCTTTCCAGCAAACCTTTATCTGACTGTTATGAAGCCCTATTCCGAGTTTGAGCTAGCCCAGGCCGTTGAGGCTGTCAGAAAAGGCAAGTCTCAGCGGCAAGCCTCGAGGGAATGGGGTATTCCAAGGAGTACTCTTCAGGCTCGTCTAGAAGGAGGGGAATCGCATAAAACAGCCCACGAAAACCAGCAAAGGCTCTCTATTGATCAGGAAAGAAGACTGGCCGAATGGATCCTGATTCAAGAAAGCCTAGGCGTTCCACCAAGCCATTCAGAACTCAAATACTTTGCTCAGCAGATCCTCGAGGTCCAGGGAGATCCTCAGGCTCTCGGGGTGCAATGGACTCAGGCTTTTTTGAAGAGAAATCCAGAGATAAAGGTCAGGAAGACTCGCCGCATTGCCTCTGAACGAACGAATGGGGCTACAACAGAGGTAATACGGCTTTGGTTTCGTCTTTTCAATCTTCCTCATATCCAAGCTATTAAGCCAGCTAATAGATGGAATATGGATGAAGCTGGCCTGATGGAGGGCCAAGGAACAAATGGATTAGTCCTCGGAGGCTCCTCTTCGCGTTCAATTCAAAGGAAAGACCCTGGATCAAAAGCCTGGACTTCTTTCCTCGAGTGTATCTCAGCTACAGGTGCCTACCTCTTCCCTCTGGTGATTTTCAAGGGCCAAACGGTACAACAACAGTGGTTTCCTCTTGATTTGGAGCCTTTTGATGGTTGGAAGTTCACAGCTACGCAAAACGGATGGACAAACGATAAAATGGCAGTTGAATGGCTGAAAGAGATCTTCATTCCTCATAGCCAGCCAGCAGACTCCTCAGAAGCCAGGCTGTTAGTCCTGGATGGCTATGGCAGCTATAAAACGGACGAGTTTATGTGGCTTTGCTTCCAAAACAATATCCTGCTTATTTACTTGCCTCCTCATACCTCTCACGTTCTTCAACCCCTCGATCTAGGGGTCTTTTCATCTCTCAAACGGGCATACAGAAAGAAAGTCAGCAATATGGGCCAATGGGGCGATTCAACTATTGCAGGCAAGCGTTTATTCCTCAGCAACTATCGTCTGGCTCGACTGGAAGGCCTTTCAAGCCAGAATATTAGATCTGGATGGAAAGCAACTGGTCTGTGGCCTCTCAGACCCTCAAAAGCCCTCTTGAGCCCTCTTCTCCTCGAGAACAGTCAACCAAGCCGTCAGACCCAGTCCAATTCAGGCTCAGCACAATCAATAGCATCTCGTCTTTCCCCAAAAGCCTCCTCAAGCTAGCCAGTCCTCTTTTCAACTCCTCGAAAGGCTAAACAGCTGTACTATCAGCTGCTAGAGAATCGACAACAACTTCGAACGGAACCAGGCTGCCGTATGCTATTCAAGAAGATAAAAAAGGCTTATGGGGAGAGGGACCTCGAGTTTGCCAAGGCATTGGAGGAAAATAAAGCGTTGAAAAGGCAGATTGAGGCTCTGAGGCCTAGTAAAAGAAGAAAGGTTGATATGGATCCGAATTCGAAGTTTGCAGGGATTGAGGATATACAGAGAGCTCAAAACGCGGCCAATCGCCACGAGGATAGTCTGAATGAAGAGAGCGATGTCGAATTACCTACTGATGAGGAGGATTGCATCGTGGTGGGTGAATAGAATAGATAAACAGTATATATATATATGGGTGTGTGTATTTGACGAGGGTGGCCAGGGTGGCCCAAAACTACCCCGGCCCAAAACCCCCCCCTTTGACTTATGAGGATGCACACAGCCTATGTGAGATAATGTGGGTATTCCTCTGGATTTTTCAGACTCAGATTTAAACCAACTCCCCGAGTCCAGGAGTCACTGATTGCGGGCTTGACGGCACTCTTTGCCTGGTAATAGGATTTCTGCGCCATGCAATGAACTTCTGGGCGCTGCTGAGTGCATAGTACTTAGTACTAAGCATTCACGTCACGTTGACGTGCACATACACCTTCAGGCGGTAGGAGTCGGACTTAGTGCGCACATAGCGTATCAACGAGCTAACAAGACGAATCCGACCTTCGTATCATAACCAACAAACAGAAGGGAAGGAGCCCTAGTGTAACTTCCTGACTACCACGGATTGTTCACCTGTAATGAGCAACAAGGCTCCTCCCACTCTAACCTGAAGTGTTGGGCGGCGTTGCTGAAATGGATGTGATTGGAGTCTCGACCACGGTCATTTCAGTTCGGACCTCTTTACTCTCGTGTCAGCCTGATTATCCAAGGGTGTTTGGCTGACATGAGCTCGTGGTAGGTCGAATTCACTCTCACAGGATGATTAGCGCGCGGCGGTGCTGATATTCGTATATGCTGTCATTATCGACCCACGAATTCCCAGGAAATATGCAGCCAAGAGTTATACGTTGTTTTACATGCAGACTTCTAGACTCTTATCAGTGCTGAAATTATTGCAAACATTCTGGAATGGTAACCGTCTATGGAAGTGTCCCCGAGCGGGGTTGACTTCAGCTGAGTCCAATCTGTCATCATTTTGGGGCAAAGCCACATAGCATCCAAGCTTTGCCGAAATGCCATCGCGTGGAATCGCCCATGAATGCCTGGTTGGTTCTAGGCCCACGAGGCTTCTGATCCTGTCAAGTCTCAGCCTTCTGAGCGGATGAGTCGGAAGCAATAAGCAATCCTCCCGCACATCTACGACAACGGGCATTGATAAGCCGCCATAGACGTAGGTGCTACGAGTATTCCACAAAAAAAACCAAAAAAAACCAAAGTTGAAGACGGACGAGGCTGGCTGAAGGGGAACATAACAGTAAATGTTGAGACCCAGAACTCGTGGATTGTCGCAGTGTGGTTCTAAAATAATTCATTTGACCTGCATATGATATAATTATTATCTGTTATTGTGGAGAGATATAAGGTACAGCCAGTGTCGAGAGGAAGACGTTCGTCTTGTTTCCACACTTATTGATCTGCTCACATACTTCAGCATCTGGGAAACCTGCATTGTTATCCATTATACAGTTGTGTATTCTACGTTCAGTTCGAGCTCTTCCAATAACAGATGTCATACCTATACTTCACCTAGATTATTACAATTAGAACTCAACCGCATTTTGTAGGCTCAGTGGTTATATTATACTTGTTGCCCCCGGCTATTCACGCTTGTGGTCGTACTTTATCGCCGTGCTATGTAGATCAGGGATTATAAATCCATATAAATCAGGCTTTAATTACGCTAATTTAACACCGGACAATGTGAGCATACGATGTTCAATTAACACATATATTGTGTGATACAATCGATAGTCCAGACCAAAACTGCACAACACACACCCTTGAATGTAACAACCGCAGCAATCGTGAATAATTGATAGTCCTGTCTGTTCACAAAGCTCTACTTTTCCAAATGCACCATGATCCGAGCAAAACATCTTCATGTAAGTGCTGCTTGGGAATCCAATGTTTACAAGAGAATGAGGCCGCGCCATTCCATGTCACAACTCTCCGTAGTTTATTCTATCGGCCCTCATCGGGTGGTTTCATAAATCCTGTCAATAATGACAGAAACGGACTTGGTCCTGTCAGGCATGAGCGGATGATCGAACGCCTTCAGGTGCTCAGGTTCGTGCGTCATGCTCAGAAACTTGGTGGCATGCTCCTTGGACTCGAACTCCATGAGCACAACAGCGTCATAAGGGAAGTCCTCCTGCTTTCCGCTGTGCAACTCCAGCTCCCTGTTCCCCTCCTCCGAGCGCTTCAGGTATATGCGCTTGTGTGAAATGGGGAAGTGCTCGCCTCCGATGGCCTTCAAGATTGGGATCTCATTCTGCTCGAAATACTCCTGGAATGCCTTTGGGCTGGCCTCCGGCTTGCGGTAGAGGTGAACGAGACCGGTGTAAGTCATCTGCATACTTGTCAGTGTGGGTTTGAAGACACTCACTCTACCCTCACTTACCTTGTTTAAGTCCCCAAGTTCCTTCGAGATATGTAGAGAAAATCAGTGATGAAAAAACAGTTGTCCATTTCTCGGTGCCATTATTTGGGTCTTATACTCACATTCATGCCTTGTCCATCACGATTATGTGGAGCCTGTGGGACCTACACAAAAAATACAGAGAATGGTCACTCTGTAACTAGATATTGAACAGAAACTCCGAGAAAAAGCAGATATTCCGTAAACAGGTAGTTCAGTCAATCAAAAATTTGGTATAATCGAGAAAGATAGGTGTGGAGATGTGGGGCTGGTATTATTATACCATATTTGATATTCTCTCTGCTGCTATGATTATTTGGAAGCACAGCCTGCTGGGGGTTAGGGTTCAATAGAATTACACTAGACCTTTGACACCACAGTTGGAATCTCAAAGCAAGCACGACACAATCTCTCGACAGCACCTGACCGCCAGCTCCAGATTCTCTCGAAGCTCTGCGCATCGCAAGATTACACTTTCCCCCGGCTGAAGAGCAGTGGACTTAGCGGGTCTAAGAGGTTAGCTACCTACCAATTGGCGCGCAGCAGCAGGTCCGACGTGATGGTGAGTTCTGTGGAGTTTGTTTGTCCCCAGTCAATAGAAAGTCCGACAATCTCGCTACCAACAATAGCACACTAATCATTCCTAACCTTCTCAAGAAACTTCTGCTTACCGGAATACTCCAGCCCATGATGGTCTCCCGGACTAAATGAGAGGATAATGACTGATAGGAAGTCCTGTAAGAGCGGCCCAGCTTCCTTTGAGCTGCATCCAGATCCTGCCACCCACTCCGGAACTCCAGCCGCACGGGACCGGGCCCATGTCAAGTTGGGCCTTTTCTCTGCGCGCGACAGAGAATATGGCTCTATTTCGGACTTGAGTAGAAGAAATTGGTTGCCCCGGCTGATCAGTCCGACACCAGCCTCGCTCACAAGGCAGAGCGCATGTTGGATCAATGGACTTAAGCGTTGCAGACGAGACCGTGTTTTGATGGCATTGGGCACTGGGCTGGCGAGACCGATATCTCAACACCATGTAACTCATATTACTTCTCGAGATGCAGGTCAATTGGACAGCCTCGGCCATCAAAGACTCTCACTTTTGGTCTGAGACAGGCCAATGTGAAGAAGCCTGACAATCTTCCTTTCATTCATCCGTGGCTCAACGTGCACTGGATTTTGGTCTTCATTCGCCAGATAATCTTGCTCCATCTTCACCCCGTCGTCCTGGTTGTCAGACTCCACTACCGATAAACATGGACTCCAACATGCCTATTGCCGTCATTGGCATGAGTTGTCGCTTCGCTGGAGGTGTCAAGAACCCAGAGGACTTGTGGCAGCTCTGTGCAGATGGCCGGACGGCATGGAGCGAGATCCCTGCCTCGCGGTTCAACGTCGATGGCGTCTCCCATCCGAACCCTCAGAAGCTGAACACGGTATGTACTGCCAAAAAATCGAAATGCCGTCTTGTCAGTTTGGCTTGAACTGACATTCGTAGGCAAATGTGATTGGAGGACATTTTCTCCAAGACGATATAGCCGCGTTCGATGCCAGCTTTTTTAACCTCACGGCTGAGGCTGCCAAGGTCAGTGATGAATATATGAGACCACCTCCATGTCGAGTTGCCCTTCTAACAGAGCAATCAAATAGGTCCTTGACCCACAATTCAGGCTGCAGCTGGAGTCCACCTATGAGGCGTTAGAGAATGGTAGGTTCAAGTCTGTTTCCCGATGTGCATGTTTATGCCATAGTTATCTCCACATGAAAAGCTGACTCCAAGTTGCACCCTGTTGTTAGCCGGCATCACAATACAGGACGTTGCCGGATCCAACACATCTGTGTTCGCAGGATCGTTCTTTAGAGACTACAGCGATGCGCACGCACGGGATCCAGAAGCACTCCCCCGGTTCCTGTTGCTCGGCGTGGGCGCAGCCATGGCGTCGAACCGGATCTCGCATTTCTACGACCTGCGAGGCGCCAGCATGACGCTCGACACCGGATGCTCGACCACTTTGACGGCTCTCCACCAGGCGTGTCAGTCTCTGCGCACTGGCGAATCTGACATGTCCGTCGTGGGAGGTGCCAACGTGCTGCTCAACCCCGATAATTTCGAGATCATGACGAGCGTGGGCTTCTTGGGGCGCACAGGGCGCAGTTTCGCCTTTGACAGCCGCGCCGAGGGCTACGGCCGCGGAGAAGGCAGCGCCACCATCGTCATCAAACGGCTGGACGATGCGATCCGCGACGGCGACCCCGTCCGCGCCATTATCCGCGCCTCGGGTGTGAACCAGGACGGGAAGACCGAGACCATCACCACGCCTAGCCAAGCGGCGCAGGAGCAGCTGATACGCGCGTGCTACAAGAAGGCCCGTCTTGACCCGGCGCACACAGACTACTTTGAGGCTCACGGCACGGGAACGACGACAGGCGACCCGATCGAGGCCAGAGCTATCTCCTCGGCGTTCAAGGAACGGCGGCAGCATGGGCAGCCCGTGCGGCTCGGCTCAGTCAAGACGAATGTTGGCCATACGGAGACGGCGAGCGGGCTTGCGAGCATTATCAAGGCAGCCTTGATGCTTGAAAAGGGACTCATCCCACCCATCGCTGGCTTTGAGAAGCCGAACGAGAAGATTGATCTTGATGCGCTGCACCTAGATGTGCCACGCAAACTGGAAAATTGGCCGGAGGACTCTGGTTACCAGCGGGCATCCATCAACAATTTTGGCTACGGCGGGACAAATGCACATGTCATAATGGAGAGTTACGAGTCTTTTCTCAAGACAAGCATGCCAAAGGGCCATATCTCGACGTCCAACGGCGCCAATGGCCATGCAAATACCAACGGCGCCAGCAATGGACTTGGTCATGATACCACCACCAACGGACACGCCAACGGCCGCACGAATGGACTCAGCAATGAAATGAACGGGGTGGGTGTACAGTATGAGCAGTCAGCCACGGACTCTGCACGTATTGTCATGCTTTCAGCAAAGGATGAGCATGCATGTCAAACAATGATATCCAATCTTGCCGAGTACGTGTCGTCAAAGTCCACAGGGAACCAAGAGAAGGACTCTGCTCTCTTTGCTCGTCTAGCCTATACCCTCTCGCAGCGTCGCTCGCTATTTTCCTGGATCGCCACAACATCAGCACAAAGCCTTACAGACCTGTCCAAAGCCCTAACAACGCCTCGAATGAAGCCCGCACGAAGAGAAGAGACCGCACCACGGCTTGGTTTTGTGTTCACGGGTCAGGGCGCACAATGGTTCGCCATGGGACGTGAGCTCATCGAAGCTTATCCAGTATACAGAGACACGATCCTCGAGGCTGAGGGGTACCTGAAGGGGTTGGGCGCCGAGTGGTCGTTACTAGACGAGCTACTACAGGACGAGACCACCAGCCGCGTCAATGACACCGAGCTCAGCACTCCGCTCTGCGTAGCGCTACAGGTCGCGCTGATGCGTCTGCTTCTCAGCTGGGGGATCTCGCCCGTAGCCGTGACAAGCCACTCGAGTGGTGAGATCGCAGCTGCTTGCGCAGTGGGTGCCATCAGCCTACACTCTACAATGGCCATTGTCCTGTCCCGTGGCGAGCTCGCTGGTGCTCTGACAAAATTTGTGGACGGCCCGTCCAAGGGCGGCATGATGGCCGTTGGAATAGGTGCCGAAGAGTCTGAGAAATACCTCGCGCGCGTGACGGCCGGACGGGTGGTGATAGCCTGTCTGAACAGCCCCGTGAGCACCACCATCTCAGGCGACGTGACGGGTCTCATCGAGCTGGAAGAGATCCTCAAGGCCGACAACATCTTTGCACGACGACTGAAAGTCGACGCTGCCTGGCACTCTCACCACGTCCAGGTCATAGCCAAGCCTTACCGTCAGTATCTGGAAAAATACATGAAGCCTCTTGACGGAAGCTTAGACGACGTGATCTTCTCCTCTCCGACCACGGGCAAGCGCATGAGCTCGTTTGCTGATCTCGGAAGGCCACAGCACTGGGTTGACAGCCTGGTCAGCCCCGTGCAGTTTATCGAGGCCTTTCGTAATATGTGCTTCGAGGAGGATGGCACGGCCCTCGTCGACGCTGTCGTCGAAGTTGGCCCGCACGGCGCGCTGTCTGCACCCATCAACAACATTGTAGACATGTTGCCCGAATTTGCTGGCGGCGACAATAAAAAGGTGTCGTATAATACATGTCTGATCCGCAAGAACAATGCTGTTGCTACCATGCACGCCCTCGTTGTAGATCTGGTTCGTATGGGTTACCCAGTGCATATGGAGGCGGTCAATTTTCCTCGAGGCCGTCACGATGTGCCTCTCCTGACCGATCTGCCGGCCTATCCGTGGAATCACACCGTCAAGCACTGGTCAGAAGCACGTGTCAACAAGTCCTTCCGTGAGCGCCGCGATACTCCTCACGATCTCTTGGGCTCAAGTGCATTGGACTCAAATCCGCTCACCCCCTCATGGCGCAACGTCCTTCGTGTGTCTGATCTTCCGTGGGTGCGCGAGCACATCATCCAGGCAAATTTTGTCTACCCCGGTGCTGGATATCTCTGCATGGCCATCGAAGGGGCGTGTGCACAACACAACAAGGACCACGAGAAGGACCAGCAGCAGATCAAGGGCTATCAGCTCCGCAACATCGACATCCAGTCAGCTCTAGTTGTCCCTGACACGGCGGAGGGCATCGAGGTGCATCTGACGCTGCATCCCAGTGATCCCAAGAACATCTCGGCCATTGGCTGGCAAGAGTTTCGGATCTGCTCTGTCACAGCTGACAATGTCTGGTCTGAGCACTGCAGAGGGCAGATCAAAATTGATATTCAACCTCGCCAGCACGTTGGAGCCGGTGTTCTGAAGCAGGACGTGGACTATCGCATCCGCATTGATCCCAAGGACATCTACACGGGGCTCCGAGCGGCTGGGATCAACCATGGCCCCATCTTTCAGAACTTGAGAAACATTCGCGCGCGCGAGAAGGAGTCAGTCTCGGTTTTTACTATAGCCGATACGGCAGCTATCATGCCATACAAGGAGCAGCACGCCCATGTCATTCACCCGACCACGCTAGATACCATCTTTCAAGCGGCGTATACCGCACTGGATGGCGCTGGCTCTCGAGCACAGGAGACTGCACAGATTCCGCGCTCCATCAAGCATATCTGGGTGGCACACGATATTCCCAGCACTCCAGGACACGACTTCAATGCCCTCACGACGCTCAGCCACGCGAGCAAGCAGAGCTTTGAGACCAATATCACCGTTACCAACGCCGTCGACGATGATGTTGATGCTGCCCCTATACTGACCGTGGAGGGCTTCCTGTGTCAGTCCATTGGTAATGTGCAGCAGACGGATCATAACGACTCGACGAGGGAGAAGTTCATCACGCCCGTCTGGGGTCCAGATATCACCTTTCTCAAGCTGGCCGCCCTGCAGACCGAGCTGAGCCGCCCCATCGACCCAAAAGAAAGTGAGACCTTGGTGGATCTGCGACACTTGATCATATATTACATCATCAAGGCCATCGGGCAGGTCACCACGCCCATCGAGAAACTTGAGCCACACATTGCCAAATACTACGCGTGGATGAAGAAAACGTTCCTGGCAGCCGCCCATAATAAGCTTGCTCCTAACAGTATCGACTGGGTCTCTTCAAGGTTTGAAGAAGGCATTGATGCGTTGGAGGCCAAAGTCCGCTCGGCGAGTGTCAATGGTGAGCTGGTCACACAAGTGGGACCACACTTGGGAGCCATCATGCGTGGCGACAAGTCTGTGTCAGATGTACTAGACAGTGAGGACTTTCCTGAACGCTACTACCAGGATGGACTCAAAGTGAACCATTCAATGGCTCAAGTCGCGACGTTGGTCTCCCATATTGTGCACAAGAACCCGCGGGCTCGCATTCTCGAGATTGGTGCTGGCTCGGGTACTGCCACCATGGCCATCCTGGAAACACTCGGAACAGATAATCCCAAAGCCGCAGTGTACGAATACACAGATGTCTCGCCTAACTTCTTCCCCGCGGCTAAGGAGAAGTTCACGTCTTGGGAGAGCCTTGTTTCGTACAGGAAACTCGATATCGAGCAGGATCCGATCAAGCAGGACTACAAAGAGGGCACGTACGATCTGATCATCGCAAGCCGTGTCCTCTCCAGCACAAAATCCATGGAACGTACGATGGCCCACGTCAGGAAACTGTTGAAGCCGGACGGTGCCGGAAGGCTGATTCTCGTGGAGCCGACACAGGACCAAACCGATGTCCACTTTGTATTCAGCCTGCTGCCCGAGTGGTGGTCGAGTGAGGAACAAGACCGGAAACTGAACCCTTCCCTCTCTGTCGGTTTATGGAATAGTGTGCTTCAAAGCGCGGGCTTTACTGGCGTGGACCTTGAAGTGCGTGATGCCGAAGACGAAGAGCTTTACAGCCTCAGCACCATCATGTCCAGTACGGTCCCAGCTGCACCGAAAGTGACATCTAACGTCGTCATCGTCGCCCCCGCGATCAAGAGCGTGCTGTATACCCAGTGGCTACAGTCCCTCAAGGCTTCGATTCGCGGTTTTACCGGGGCTGAACCAAGTGTCGAGTCCATCGCAGACGTGCAGGGCGATGGCGCGAAGACGTTCTTGTTCCTCGCTGAGCTTGTGGCTCCCATTCTCCCAACACTCGATGAGACGCAGTTCAAGGCCATTCGTGCCATCTGCACGCAGTCCAAGGGCGTGCTCTGGGTGACCCGGGGCGGTTCCATGGACTGCTCTGATCCTCATCTCGGCCTCAGCATTGGCTTCCTGCGGTCTCTTCGGAATGAGTACGGTGGAAAACGCCTTGTGTCACTAGACTTGGATCCAAAGTCAGCCCTCTGGAGCACAGGGTCTGCCGGTACCGTCGCCGAGGTCTTTGGCAAGGCTTTTGACGACTCTGTCGCGGGTGTGGGCGCCAACAACACCATCGACTTTGAGTTTGCAGAACGTGCAGGCGTGGTGTCGATTTTGCGGTACCGCAAGGATACAGTCCTAAACAAGTCACTATTTCCAGATGCAAGCGATGTCCCAACGCCCGAGCTCAAGGCTTTCGAGCAGCATGATCGGCCACTACGGCTCTTCGTACAGACTCCCGGCTTGCTGGATACGCTGGTTTGGGACGACGACCCCACTGCCAACGTGGAACTGGACCCTGAGTCCATCGAAGTCGCTCCGCGCGCCTTTGGTCTCAACTTCCGCGACGTGATGGTCGCCATGGGTCAGCTACAGAGCGACATCATGGGCTTCGAGTGCGCAGGACACATCACACGCGTGGGGTCTGCCGTCAAGGGTTTCCAGCCCGGCGATCGCGTGGCCATGCTCCTGCGCGGCCACTACGGCAACCTGGCTCGTGTGCACTGGACAAGCGTGGTGCACATCCCCGACGATATGACCTTCGAGGTGGCCGCGAGTATGCCCGTGTCCTACTGCACGGCGTACATCGCGGTCTACTTGCAGGCTCGGCTGAAGAAGGGCGAGACGATCCTTATCCATGCTGCAACAGGTGCCTTTGGTCAGGCCGCACTCGTTTTGGCCAAGGACATCGGGGCCGACATCTATGTGACGGTCGGCACGCCTGCCAAGCGCGAGTTTATCATGAAGCACTACGGTGTCGCGCCTGAGCGCATCTTCAACAGCAGAGACATCTCGTTCAAGGCAGACGTGCTCAGGGCGACCAACGGCCGCGGCGTGGATGTCGTCCTCAACTCCCTAGCAGGCCTGCTACTGCAGGAGAGCTTCAACTGCCTGGCCCCCTTTGGCCGCTTCGTCGAGATCGGCAAGCGGGACTTTGAGCTCAACTCACAACTGGCCATGCACGCCTTCACGCGGGTCGCCACCTTCACCTCTGTCGAGCTGCCGGCTTTCAGCGAGGCCAAGAAGGCCGAGAACTACGAGCTATTCAAGGAAGTCATCCGTCTGGCCGGCGAGAAGGTCATCGTTCCTGTAGAGCCCATCACAGTGTTCCCCGTCTCCGAGCTGGATCGGACCTACCGGCTGATGCAGGCTGGCAAGCACATGGGCAAGATTGTGATATCGATGAAGCCTGACGAGCTGATCCCCATTCTTCCCCAGAAGAAACAGGTCAAGCTTCGCAGCAACGGCACGTACCTGGTTGTCGGCGGCCTGGGCGGTATCGGGCGCTCTGTGTGCCACTGGCTGGTGGCGCACGGCGCGAGAAACATTGCCATTATCTCGAGGAGGAAGGATGCGCGGAAAAGCGGCTCGGCTCTTATTTTCGAGCTGGAGAAGCTCGGTTGCAGGGTTGAAGTCGTCACCTGTGACATTGTGGTCGAGGCAGAGGTGGCGGCCGCTGTGAAAATCTGCGCAGAAGACTTGAAGATGCCATCCATCAGGGGGGTGATCCAAGCAGCCATGGTTCTTCAGGTATGTATTTCATGATACCCATGCTGCATGGATCGATACTCGCAACACAGACAACTAACACCACTTATCAGGACTCGATTATGGAGAACATGACCCTCGATGACTACGCGGCAGGGGTACGGCCAAAGGTAGCGGGAACATGGAACCTGCACACACAAACCCTCTCTCAGCCCTTGGACTTCTTCGTCATGCTCTCCTCGCTGGTTGGCCAGACTGGAAATGCCAGCCAGAGCGCCTACTCGGCAGGCGGCGCATTCCAGGATGCGCTGGCCCGCCACCGCGTATCCCAGGGCCTCCCCGCTGTGGCCATCGACCTTGGTCAGGTCAAATCCGTCGGCTACTTAGCCGAGACGGACAAGAGCATGGCCGACAGACTGCTCAAGCTGGGCTTCAGTCTCTTGGGCGAGGAGGACGTGCTTGCTGCCCTCGGCGCCGCCGTGCTGGCGCCACATGCCGGCTTGCTAATCATGGGGCTCAATGTAGGCGGCGGGTCTCACTGGGACGATGCACCGTTCCTGGCGAGGGATGCCCGGTTCGGCGGGCTGCGGTTCCGAGAGGACGCGTCTGCGTCCAACAAGGGTGCCAGCAAGGCTGGGCTGTCGGATCTGGCTGGCAAGATCGCGAGCGCGGGGGCGCTGGACGAGGCGGCGGCTGCGGTGGTGGAGGTGATTGTCAGCAAGCTTGTGGACATCTTCATGATGCCCAAGGACGAGATCACCCCTTCCAAGCCGCTGTCTGCGTACGGGGTTGACAGCCTCGTGGCGGTCGAGCTGCGGAACATGTTGGCGATTCAAGCCGCGTCGGATGTGACTATCTTTGATATCATGCAGACCGCGTCCATCTCTGCTTTAGCAACTATTGTCGCGAACAAGAGTAGTCATCTTGATGCGTCTGTGGTGGGCGCTTGAGGTTTGAAAAAGGAAAGGGGGGTTGGTTTGGTCATTGTGGGATTATAATGCTAGACTGTATCCTGTTCGCAATCGTCATGATATTTTCTCTAAATTACAAAATTTACTCCTTCTCAGTTTCTCTGCATGAGTGGGCTCTCTCATTATCCGCGATAAAGTTGGGTAGTCGCTCGAATCACTCGAGAGGATCTGGTCAACAGGCGAATAGCTGGTGGCTGTGACGCGATGGTCCAGAACTCCACGGTCGAAAAGAAAAAATTCCGAGGCCATCATACTTCCCAAGGCTGGTCATGAGCACTTCCAAGCAACGTCCAAGTCGCAGGCAGAGATGTCCCTGATGATTCGCCGAGCTACTCTGGCCTTCTTCCATGCCCAGGTGCATTGACGCTGTGGAAACTGGAAGAGACGGCTCGAAACCGTGAGCCAGAAGACTCGGCTTCAGACCATAGTTGGTGTCTAAGTATTGCGTCACCAGGCCTGGCCATTAATGACATTGTGACCATACTTGTGGTATTGTTTGGCACAGGTTCACACAGTGTGGGTGGGCACCGAAAGTGAGTTGGGGCATTGCCCAACGCTTCACACCTGCAGCCCCTACCACGTCCATTAAGTGACGCGCAGCGCGACACCTGCCCACGAACTAAATGTTGAATCGCACCTTCACCTACCAGCGAACTACGTGGAAAAGTCACAACCCAATAGAAACACCTAGAATCCTACCATTCAATCAATTCCAGAGCCACTAGAACTTATACCAACCACCCATTTTCAGACTGTAAGTACCACCCTTCTTTCTCTCTTCTCTCTTTCTCTCGCAACCAAGCCTACTAAGCACACATCCAGTCGACCTCAACACTCTACAACAGTCTTGGAGGAAACAATTCGGCCCTAGGTCAAGCAAGATCAAACCATTCTCCACCCGAGCAAGAAGATAATCGAGCACATTATCGTGAGTGTATGCCCTTCACAGAACCGGTGTCAACCACGCCTAACATGGCTTCCCAGCCAGCAACCAGTACAAACTCGTACCCACGATGGCTTCCACCATCTCCATCACGCAAAGCACGCGTGTGCCTGAGCAAGAGTCCTGGCTCAGCACCAAAGGCTCTGCTGCGCCTGACTATACGCCTGCTTCCAAGCCCGAGTTCTCGATCCCGCCCATTTCCATCCAGCTGGTGAAGCTGTCACGCCACACCAGCGTGACCATGGTCAAGGGCATCTCTCCCCCCATTCGAAAACACATCTTCACGGCCATCAAGTTTTGTATTCCGGGCTGTGTCGGCAGAAACCACGAGGTTCACGAGATAGAGCTGCTTGGCGACAAGCGCCAGAACGTCAAGATGGCCCTTATGCTGATGCAGGTTCCCGAGGAGGTCATCATCATCGGTAATTGAACAGCTGCGCAGGGATAGAAGAACAAGTATCCAAGACAACCTTCTTCTCCATATGGGACAATTTGGGGGGATTTCACGCATGGAAAGAGGGGAAGAGGAGACTGCTCTCTTGGGTCTTTCCAAACCTCATCTTCTGACAATCTGAGGGCTCAATGTATGTGTGGGACTTCATGTAGATGGGAACACGAGGGTACCACAGAATGAGCATCGTAGTAATTACATGCAATCAAATCTGAAGGATTCTTCCGTGTAAGACTTTCTCTGACCCGCTGTGCGTACGTCTATCATGACTATGGGTGCAACGAGATGTATAAGATTTCCCTCTGCGCGCCAGGAAAGCAAACGGTGCTTGGGACTCAATGCTCTACCCCATCCCCTTCCAGCCCCCTCGCAAGATGATGAATATAGCAGCCGGCAACACCTTGCTTGACCATGTCACATCGATAGCTTTTTTCCATAGAATCCTTGTTCTGCCCTTGAGCTCCCAAAATACTTGCCCCAGTACTATGTTCCATTCGTTGGGACAAGGGAGGCAATCAGCCCGGTCAGTGCAGTCACTCGAGCAAACGAACCCAGGAGTCTCAGCTCGAGACAACTTGGAACTGCTGTGTTACAGTACACCGTCATTCTTGACCCATCAACTTCACGAAGATTAAATTGTACCGCGATAAGCCCCACCCCCACACAATCAAGCATGTCGACCGAATCGCGTCTTGAAAAAACAAACAGTTTCACAAACGGCAACTACCACGTACGTACCTTCCATTCACAAATTTCCCGGATTTATATCTCTCTTGCTTCCTTTACACTTTCTCTTCTTCAGCACTACTACCCTATCTGCAGGAAAGTTTTGTGCCTCGTTGTCACTCCCTAACAACCAAAAGCCAGATCCCTTTTCCACCGTCAACTTCGAAGATACACACGCATAACCTGTCAAGATGCACTTCAAATTCACTCTTGTCAAGTGCCTGGCCACTCTTGCCTCCCTGGCCACTGCCAGCCCACTCTTTACCCACATTCACCCTGTCGACCATCCCAAGGGCCTCTTCGCCCACAAGCTCATCGACACCCAGGTTCACCCTTCCGTCCCCGTCCAAGTCATCTGGCACAACACTGCCAGCAATGGCACCGCCACCATCATCGGCGGCCTCGGTGTCGACACCAATAACAAGAACCTCACCTATCCCAACACCAACGGCAGCAGCAGCATCACCGCCTGCGGCCACAACGTCAGTTACGACGACGTCTCGCCTTCCCGCACCACCATCATCCGCGAGGACTGCCTGTCTCTTGTCCACCAACTAAACGCCGTGCCGGGCTTCTGGGAGCTGAGCCGCTGGCGCGAGGAGGACAATGACAGCAGCAGCAACTTCACAAGCCTTGCCAGCAATGGCACCTGCGAGTTTGCCGTCCAGCGCTTGGGCGGTAGAGGTGTTGGACTCCAGTTGGATAATACCACTATGTCCCACAACACTAGCGATATTGTCATGTGGGTGTTCTCCTCTCTCCCTCCCCGTCATATAGATATGATATCTCGAATCCCACCTACCCGGTTAGCAGTGGAGATATTTCTTACTGACACCATTCTTTTATTCATTACCCTAATTAGAATCGGCAACCAGGACGTCGTCAATGTCCTTAACGCGAGCGTCTACGACCTCGCCGCTGGCGCCGACGAGCCTTATATGGATCGCATGCGCGCTCAGGGTCACATGGATTGCAAGTGGTCCTTCTCGGTCAACGCCACGATGGAATTTCGAATCCAGCTTGCTACTAGCCAGTGACCAGTAGATGGGTCATACCCATAGTCTCGGCAAAGAGCGCTGTCATACTGTACTGATATTATAGGGAAAAGGGGCCTGGCCCTAGGGCACCAGATTTTAATGTTTGGGGGGGGGGGGGCCAAACCACAGATCTTGGGCAGGCAGGGTCAAAAATACTTTGTCGGATCAGTATGAGGTATCACGGATATATTAATTGGCAATATGTTCCATTTTCCTTTCAAGAAGTGTCGTGATATGTCCCTCATGCATAGTTTCAAAAGCAGAAAGCCCACTCTGCAGCAGCACCCAATGGCATGTTAAGCGCCAGTATCCACCTCAGCCTCGTCAGTCTCTCTCCACTCTTCTGCCACTTTGTATGTCCTCAATTATGTTGTCATGATGATGATACATTCCCACTCTGCAACAAGGTCTATCCCGAATCAACTAGATCATGGTCAAGACCATTTTCGAGAGGCCTCCAGTCCTGGTCATCATTCTCAATATAAAGCTTGGAGGGAAAGATACTGAAGATGGAACAGGGCAAGGTCATTGGTACATGTCATTTCCGTCTGATGCAAGTATGTCATTATGCGGAAGCTCGGTGCAAGCTAGCTCACAACTTACAGATACAAGGCGACCATCAATTTTTACCATCCCCCCTCCCCCCCGGACATACAGATTAGCCAGATGTATTACTTAACTCACCTAACTCTTGCTGTCATTGGATGCGAGTTATAGATGCAAGCTTAGTCGTCTTCGAGCGATCGGGCGGGATGCCGAGAGATGTCAGAGGAGACTCGCTGACTCCTCACTGATATTCATGTATGGATCCTGTGGTTAGCAAGATAGGCTGCGAGCTGTTAGTGGAAAATTGGAAAGTCGCATGCTCGGGTCGAGGGGTATAAAATTCAGAGTGGTCAGGCTCCTTCTACTGAGGAAAAGCCGACCAAAAAGAAACCAAGCAGGGCAGGTCATGGAACTTCTCCATGGCAAAACTGATTTTTCTGTCTGTTTGCTCCCAAGGCAGCTTTGCCCATAGAAGCTCCATTTCATCCCAACGTGCGGACCAGATAGGCTGCCATGGGTGATTTTCCAAGATTCCGTTCTCGTTCATTGCCAATCTTTGTCCCGAGCACAGCCATCCATTCCTCAAGGTGGCTGCCGTGATGCAAGCGCTTCATCAGTTAGTCCGTCCAAGTGTGAATCCTGATCCATGAAAAAAAGACATTGCCGCACCCTCCTCTTTCTATCCCCAAAAATGATGATGCCTCCAATATATCAATAAATTCATATGTATCCGTCAAAAACAACTGTAAAACAGGGGTATACCGGTTTATCCTGTCGTCAACTCAAATCAATATTCCCGTCGTGCCATCGGTCGCTAGGAATCAAATCCTGTTCATCACTGATGTGATATCAGGATGCCGCAACCTCGAGCGCCTCACTCACAGGCCATTCGTGGCGCATGTGAAGACCGAGCCTGACGAGGGGTCAAAATCGATGATGATGCTCTCAACGCTGGCGTAGGTTCCCGGTCCGACGAAGAAGATGCCGATGATGATGATGAGTACGTTCAGCGCTGCTTCGGCATAGCCCCAGAATCCTTGTGACTTGATAAAAGTCCAGCCGCCGTCGGCATTGCGCATGCGGAAGTAGGCAACACCCCAGAAGATGAAGCCAAAAAAGCTATCAAAGAGGGCAGACATGAGGGAGAGGACTAGCATTGGTGGGTCAGCCATCATGAGTAGATCGGAGTGGTAGCAGAGGCGCACTTACGGTCAGAAAAGAAAGGGATGACCTGCGAGATGATGAAGGCAACAACCCAAGTGGCGACTGTGGATGAGTGTTAGTGATACTATCAGCGCAAGATTGGATACGTATCGACATACGAAGAATGGCTGCCCAGGAGGCCCATCCAATGATGGTGTGCTCGTTCTTGTGCTTCGAGTCCTTGAAAATTCGGAAGAACACCAAACGTGCCGAGACAGATGCGTACAAGACACCGAGAAAGATGAGTGTCGGGATCATGAAGGAGAAAGCGACCTTCTTGAAGACGGGCTGTAGGGAGCCAAATGCGGGGGCGGTTATGTAGTTGGTTCCGACATAAGCATACACAATGGCCCCAACGAGGCTGAAAACGATGATCTCTCCGATAGTGCATAGCCACAGAGCCTTTGGGAAATCCCTGACATAATGATTTAGCGTGAATCAACAAAGCGGTTCTGTCCGTGCATTCATACCTTGGATCTTCCATCTCCGCAATGAAACTGGGCAGCGTAATCTGACCGATGAACGTGTAGCTAATGTTGAGGAATGCACTGAGACCGGCCACAAAGGTCGTGCCGGCGGCTGGAACAGCCAGCACCACAGGATTTCCCAGCTCAGCAGAGTAGCCGGCCGGATGATCCTGAACACCGGCGAAGATTGTGGCGAGGAGGACTGAGATGAACGTAAAGAGCGCAGATGCTGCGCCCAGCTTGGCCAGAGCGTCGAAAGTTCGAGGCAGCGAGCAGACCCAGCACACCAGGAACATGAGCACTGAAAAGCTGACGGTACGGCAGTTGATGTCGTTGTCGGAAGCTGTCATTGTGTTGAGGTACTTGGCACCGACAAGGACGTGGAGACCCTGGATGAACTGGACGGGAAGTAGTGAGGTTAGGCACTTGGACGTGAACAGGCTGACATGGCTGTAATTGACTTACGGTATTGTTCAAGAGGAACATGACGGCGCTGAACCACCATGCCCACCTCTGATTAAAGAAGATCATCTCACCGACGTCACACACATCCCGAACTTCAGGGTGGCGTAGACAGAATTCCCACGTAATGAGGGATCTGAGTGCTCTGTCAGAAAGATGTATGCCCAGAATAGAGCCAAGAACACTTACGTATACTGCACAAGCATGGCAACGACGACGGTCAAGATCAGTCTGTGAAGGTCAGTTGACGATACATGAGACGCAATACAAGGACCAGCCACTCACCCCGGTACCAGTCCTAATACGCTATAAGACCAAGGGAAACTCATGATTGCCTACAAGGACAAAATTAGCGCGAATGATCGTGGCGGAAGACTTCTGAAAGAGATGGCTAGCGCAAAGCGGTTGGGCAGGGTCGCCTCGGAAGAGTATGGCACCAAAGCGCTTCATGAAGAAGCCCATTTATTGTGCACGAGTCCACCTCGCGAATCAGAGTGATGCTGCGCCCGTTTACATGGTAATTGGTTGGCAATAGGTGTTTCTTACCAGACAAATGTACTCGGAGAAGAGCAAGGCGGCAGTCTACATCAGAGGTCAGCATGAATGCCAGGCCGAGGGGGGGGGGGGCAGCCACGATGCTTGGTGAGGGTTTCGAGGATCGAGCAGACCTTCTTCCAGCTGCATGTACGATATTGGATGGCATGATTGGCCTCAGCTTCCTTCTGCTTGTGCAGGATGGCGCTGCTGCTCTCGTCGCTATCCGAGGCATAGTTGCTCTGCAGCGACGACAGCACTGGGCTGATTCTTGGGCCGACAAAGACCCTTGGGCCTCCGAACCATCGAGCGAGTCCAGACGATTTGCCAGCCTCAAGGTCGACAGGGCTCGACTGGGCAACCTTCTTCTCGTCCGGGGACGCGGGCGGCGGCGAGTATTTGTCCGACATCGTGCGACAGTTCGCGCAAGGCAGAAACGAGGAGGTTATTGCTGGCCGGGGGATGGTGGGTGGTCTGGGCGCGTCTCCTGGTGAGGTAGTTGATGATATCGGAAGGATAGTGAATCAATCGCCGTCGTCGCGTGTCATGAGGAGAAAGTAGGAAAAGAGGAGGAAATAGGGAACGGAAATGAGGAGGAGGAGGAGGAACCAGAGGATATTCAACAGGATGCTGTGGCGCAAATTGTGAAAAAGATGAAGTTGCCCTACGCAGTTCAGGGACCACCAGATGGGAGGTTGCATTCAGAGGGGAGCCATATAAAGAGGATGCGCCATGTGCATGGATATGGACGTGGGCAGGGGAGACTTGCAGGTAGGATTTATACCAGGGATCTTGGTATGGCTGCAGAGGCGGCGAATGTGACGGTGGGATTTTAGTTGCAGAACCAACCGGGACACCATGGATGGGTGGGTTTTGAATTATACATAGTATTTGATTATGTACTATGGTACTGCTTGCGGCCAATTGGGTTTGTCCAAGAAGAAAAAACCCCCGAGGCTTGTTGAGTAAAAGACTGCTAGCACGAGCAGTAAAGGAAGAGGTGATGAAGCAGGAAGAAAGGACGGAGGAGAACGACTGAGCCAGAGCTGAATGACTTCAGTCGTCATGCTGATCCTAACTGTATTTAAGTACCTGTCTGAGCGCTTTGTGTGTGTGTGTACTTGTGCCCAGTCTTTGTCCGATAAGGTAGTACCCTCATCAGAGGTATATCTGATTCGTCCCTAACCGGAATGAGCAGACGCTCTTGAAGGACTGGTCAAGGTTAAGCGGTCATGAGGATCCCTGACTAGCTCTGCTATCGTGCATCCCCCCGGACTGATGGATTTGCGGCTGGAATCCATCATGAGACCGTCAAATGTTCAGAAGACGATATCAAATCGAGAATGTCGGCGGTCTAGCCATCCAGCCTTCCAAGCCCTAGCTGCCTTATTTAATTCGAGCCGCGGGACAAGCTTCTTGACAAGCTCTTCTTGGCCTGAGCCAGTCAGGAACAGGTCTTGGATATTCTACTATGTAGTGAGTCTTACAATCATCGTGGCGCCAATCCCAAGACAACGCCGCCACAGGATGGCTGCATCGACAAGAACCAATAGCAGTGCTGATCAAAACCTCAAAAGCGCTCGAGGTCAAGGGCTGAGGGTGTAGAGTGTGGAGTACGGGCGTGAGCAAGTGACGTCGACTTTGGGGGTTGTGATTCTGGGCGTGGGACGAGGGCTGCTCCAGGCTATCGGTCGGCACCGACTTCCCGCCTAGCAAGTCTGGACCTGCAAGGCGTCGTTCGCCCTCCGGATTGCGTGATTCAGGATTCTTTGCTTTTGAGGGTCCTTTTTTCAGCCACGCCTTGGTCAGGCGATTGAAAAAGAACAGCAGACCTTGGTGATATAAACGCCAAATGCAGTTATCCAGCGAGCGGAACGATCCGTTCACGTTCATGCATCTCAATGCGTTCTTGTTCTGAGACACCGGTTCGCCGAGACGGAGGAGATTCTGAGAGATGGGTGTAAGGGTTAGGGTACTGGTATTCGTCTTGGATTGTGATCATTTCACTTACGACCTTTGATCAACCAGTAGTGAGTGGCCTGTGGTCAGCAGCAGCAGATGGTAAAAAATCGTCAGTAACACTCGTTACCCAACCACAAAATGCTTCAGATGGAGGAGAACCTGTGTTGGGACTTCGTGACATGGGCCTATCAGGTAGTAAAGAACGACGATACCCTCCCTATTCGATCGCAGCCCAGAGAACCAGATCGCTGTACGGTGGTAGGTGGTACGAGAATATGACTAAGCGGATCAGGGATAAGCTCATCAGCCATCATCCATCATTCTCCTCTCCCTTCCCGTCTTTGCCCTCAACAGACCTTCATCTAATATTTATCGTCTTTTCCTCCCTTCGATGTCTTGTTCTCAGGTATGGCCATTTCAACTTTGTGCACTGGCCAATGTGTGGTCTTAAACACTGACCACAGTGCCCATGGAAGGGAGCCTTATCAAGTGTGGCAGTGCATGAACAGTTTTGAGGAGCAACGCCACGACCCCGCCCCTAACCCAGCCTCACTTTCACGATGCAGTGTTTATCGATAATGCAAGACAGCGGTTATAGCCTCGCCTCCCCAGCCCCCTGGCCTCCCCAGACGAGAATGGAGTCCTCCCAACCAGCCGATGCCTAGACATGGGGGCCACTCAGAATGTGCTGTTCTGTGCAGGGGACAATAAATTGGGGTTCAGGCAGCGGCACGTCCGTGAAGCGTGCCAGTTCACGGTGCACGTTCGTGAAATCCGAGTCCCCTCTCTGACGTTGAGGCCCACGTCCAAGTCCTCGTTTCGACGCTCGCTTCGCTGGCCTTGGTCGGGGCCTTTCTCTCCTTCCCTTTAATACTGCAACATCCTCGTATCTCTAATTCTTCCAATCTACTCGGCCGTTGAACTCTTTCCAATACAAACCGTTTATTCCCCCATTCCAGCCTCGAAAACAACTTCTCGCACGGAAAGGCACAAAGACCTTGTCTCTCGCTTGAACAATCTCCCAAGGCCCGTATCACGCGATGCCTTCCTTCACTACCGGCACCCCAGAGTCTATGGTCAAGAGGACCGACTCTTTAAACCCAGAGACGACATGTCGAGGCGTCACCGGTAACGGTAGACCTTGCCGGCGTCCGCTCATTGCTGGCTCCCCTAAGCCCAAGCCCAAGCCTAAATCAAAAAAGACCAGGCTCATCGTCAACGACCCGAGCGACCCTGATCAGTACTGCTGGCAGCACAAAGATCAGGCCGCTGCCTCTGCCAGTCCGAGTCCGGGTCCTCAGCTCTCCAACCAACCCATCCTCGGGGGACGTACCAGCATCGACTCCCTGACAGCCCGGCTGGGCCTGCTGCAGACCCATGGAAAGCCGTCACGCCCGCAGAAGCCCAATGGCAACTCCAGTTACAATGATGGCGGCCAACTTCAGCAGACGAACACCAACGGATCGTACTCCCGGCCTTCTAAGAAGTTGAAGGAGTGGTCATTCTGCTGCTTCCGTATCCCTCTCTACTTCGAAGACCCGACTCCGCCCCCGAGACCACATCCCACTCCGATGCAGCAGTTCCCCAACCCGTCGGCCTCCGGCCGACCTAGCCAGCCATCCTCGAACAATCTTCAACCACCAACTGGGTCCCATCGCCCGAGTATGTCCAGCCAAACGCCCTCGTCCAATTTTGAGACGTCACAGTACCTCTCCCTGATTCCGAGCGACGCCTCTCCCGATACCGCACATAAACTTATGAAAGAGCTGGCTAAGCCTGTCTCAAAGGGAGACGAGGAAGGCTACATCTACATCTTCTGGTTGACCCCTCAGTCACAAACCCACGCCCCGTCCGTGGTCAATGCTCGATCCATCCTCGAGCCCACCGAGCGCGCCCTCGAGCCGCCCAACACGAGACCACGCGGCGCCTTGGAGCGCAACCCCAGCGATGTGCTCACGCTCTTCGCCAACGCCGCCAACACCGTCGGCACCAACAGCCCGACGACAACACGTAGCATGCAGCTCAGCAGTGGTGATGACAAGAAAACAATGCTCCTCAAGATCGGCCGGGCGAACAATGTGATGCGCAGGATGACGGAGTGGAAGCGCCAGTGTGGATACGATCTATCACTGATCCGGTTCTACCCTTACATCCAGACAGGGTCTGACGTTGAGCCGCGCAAGATGCCACATAGTCACAAGGTGGAGCGTCTCATCCACCTGGAGCTGTCAGGTCTGGGCATGAGGCTGTCGGATCGGGGTACCGGTGCGTGCGAGGCATGCGGGAAGATGCACAAGGAGTGGTTCGAGGTGGATGCCACGAGAGAGGGTGTCCTGAGGGTCGACGAGGCTATTCGTAGGTGGGTTGATTGGGATGAGGGAACGGGAACTGACTAGATGGGGTCGCTCGATAATTTTCCCCGTCAAGTTGCTCATGGCAACACAGAATTGGATTCGACCGTAGATTGCATAAGAACGACGTGGCACGGGTTTGGCATTGTTTCGGCATACGGCGTTTGGCATTTTTCATAGCACGGCATAGCATCAGGCGCAGCGGACTGAATTACAGGAAGAATAATCTTACACTTCTATATTTATACCGAAACCGCTCCTGTCCTTCACTGTACATATTTGCAGAGAAGCCCTGCGCTGATAGAGCCCCGTAGGAAGGCACTGAAGTTCGCCTGTCATTCCAGCACCTTTCCCTCAAATAAATGTCATCGGAACTCATCTGTTGGTCATATGTTGTCATGAATCATTCAATAATAGATGTTCATTTCTACCTTGTCCCGCTGATGAGAGTATAAATTGCGCATGACAACGACAGCGACATTGCAAACGCATAGTAAGATTGTCATAAAACGAGGTCAGTAATTATACCCAACACCTTCACTTCACAGTAAGTCTGGTATAAAGATTCCCAGGTAGCCTACACCCGAGCACAACAGGAATAATAGGCGCTTGCCCGCAACAGAGTAGAAGCAATACATGCGAAAGCATATCGAACATGCTATTTTGAAGCCAAAGTTCCCTTCCTGACACCATGACCGTAGGCTGTCCCAGCCATAATACCGCCGCCTCAGGCAAAGAGCAAGACCAAGTCGAGTCTCCGTCACAGTCTCCAGATGCCGCCAGCTCTTGCGCCACAATGACGAACGCCACCACACAGCTTCCTGCCCACGAGCCCTCTGGGCACCAGGAGTTTGCAGCGGAGAGCTACGAATCCAGTCAATCGTACAACAACCTCACATCGTCATCAAGGAGCGCGGACCGCCAACAGGTCGACCTACCGGTCACGCCACCGCGCACCGTTCACACCTCGAGCGGCGCTCTCCACCGGCAACGTGTCGTCAGGTATTCTCCTCCGCAGGCTCCTGACTATGAAGCTAGGCAAGGATGGTTTTACTAGGGCTGCTCTGATACTTGTTGCAGAATGATACCTATTGATCCTAGCAAGTCGCACTATCTCCTAGTCACTACAGAACATATACTTTTAGGTAGGAATAAGGTGTTATAAGTTGAAATTAATTCTGGTGTGATGTTTTTCTCTCTTTTTCCGGTTCACGCCACCTCAAGAGAACGGTATGGGCTCTAAATGGGAGCCAATCAAGCTCCTTTGCGAGACTGCTATTTGACCTAAGGCGTGGGCTAATTAACTTTACTCTCAAGAAGCCATACAATGGCACTCCATGAGTTTTGCTCATTAGTGCCTTTGCTTCATTATTGAGAATAAAGCATATAACTATAAGTAAAAACTCTTTTGCCCCCATGATTCCATCAAGAAACCCCTCACACTATCTTCAAGTTTGACTTCTTCTCATTTTCTGACCTTGTTCGCAACACCCCCTTGCAGTAAGTATTGATTACTATTGACTACACCATAACTTACTATATAGTAATCACGATGATGAACACTTCTGGGCTCCTAGTTGGTCTTCTCTCTGTGGCACTGTCCGCAGGCGAGAAGCCCAACCCGCCATCCCAGAACGGCCCATTCAAGACGGCCGACTCCTGGATTATCGCAGCGGATGGATCCAAGGTCAGCTACGCCGGCGTGAACTGGCCCGGTGCTGAGATGACCATGGTCCCCGAGGGTCTCCAGTACCAGTCCATCGAGACGATCGTGACGAGGATCCAAAGCCTGGGCATGAACTCGATCCGCCTGACTTACGCCACGGAGATGATCGACCAGATCTACGAGAACGACATGGCCGACATCCCCATCGTGACGGCCTTCACGAGTGCCCTGGGCGTGGAGAATGGCACCGAGATATTCAACCAGGTTGTCGCGAATAATCCGTCGTTCAACAACGAGACCACGCGGCTACAGGTCAGAAGATGTCTTTCTAGCTAATTATACATTGACCCCAGTTCGAGCAGTTTTGACTGACGACATAGGATTAGGTCTACGATGCTATTGCAGCGGAATGTGCAAAGCACGATATCTTCGTCCACCTAGACAACCACGTATCCAGAGCATCGTGGTGTTGTGATCCATTCGATGGAAACACTTGGTGGAATGATGCGTACTTCTCGCCTTCCAACTGGACACGCGGTCTTTCATATATGGCAACCCACGTGAGTCCCTTCACAACCCTCCCCCCCCCCCCCTCCTCTTCCAAACACGTTTATTTTCATAAGACCCACCCCTTTCTGCAACCTATATCACTAAGCAACTCATAAAAAAAAAACACAGGGCAAGCAATGGCCAAACCTCATGTCTATGTCTCTCTACAACGAGCTCCGACCCCCCTTCAGCGAGTCCAACCCCGACTTGCTAGAGGCATACACCTGGGAAGTCTGGTACGAGCAAATCAAGCGCGGCGCCACCGCCATCAGCCTCGCCCACCCGGACGTGCTGATCTTCCTCTCCGGCCTGGGCGGCGACACCGACCTGCGCCCCGTCGTGAGCGGCGAGCCCCTCGAGCCAGGCACCGCCCCCTTCGACCTGGCCGACTTTGCCGGGTCCGAGGACAAGCTTGTGCTCGAGCTGCACAGCTACGACATCGTGTCGCCCGTCACGGACTGCCCTAGCTATCACGAGGGGCTCGTCGAGGCGGGCTACTCGGCCGCCCAGCGGAGCGACGACGGCAAGAAGAGCAGCAGGAATGGGAATAGTACCGCGACAAACCGTTTCCCGGTCATCATGACGGAGTGGGGGTTCACTCAGGACGCAACGACGTGGAAGGACGGCATGTATGCCAAGTGTGTGCAAAAGTTCCTCGGCGAGGAGTTCCCAGGGACCGGGTGGATGATTTGGGTGATTGGGGGAAGTTACTATACCAGGCAGGACAAGCAGGATGCGGATGAGTCTTGGGGCTTGCTAAACCATGACTGGTCGGACTGGCGGTCGCCGGAATTCATCGAGGGTGGATTGAAGCCGCTGGTCAGAAAGACCTTGGGGGAGGCAAACTCTTGATACACGAGAGAGGGCAGTATATTTCCGGTTGAAAGCTGGCCAGTTGAGTAATGATTTGACCGAGTGTTCTGCAATTCGATGCTTTAGGTTAGATAATCAAATTTCATAGTCTTCGTGGGTCGTCTGCCTCTCAAAGGGCTGAGAATCCAGTAGCAGTATAATGGCCTGCAAAGCTGGTCCTTCATGATACATCAAGTTGCTGCCGTCTGGTGATGGAGGTCCCACGCTAGCTGAGATGTCAAGTAATTCCTTTTTATGAAATGTAGTTCACCAACCCAGTGAGAGCGCACCAACCCGTCCGTTGACTTCCTCGGCTAGATCCAGTCTCCTGTGAGACTACCTCGTAGAACGAGTATCACGACACTCCTCTTAATGCTTTAGAGCAGCAAACCCTCCAGACAGCTTGTGTCTATTTGCTTCCCGTCTCTCAAGACTCAAAGAAGTCCTGAACTTTTCATCTTGACGTCGAACATGGTTGCTCTCCCCTCCAGGATTCTTAAGGCTGCAGGCAAGAGGAGCATTCCCACCGCTAGGCAGCACACTTCGTCCTTAATGTGTGTGCTCCAACCCATGTCACACCTCGCTGCCGAAGATATCGGCCTGTGAAGTGTTCTATGCATCGGGTCTCGCAAGCTGTGATGTTCTTCGGTCTTGCTGCGTTCACCACACCTTTGCCTTGGCTCATGGGTGTTCCGCAATCTCATCGATCCAAACGCCTACCTTGTTCGCAACGGTCTCGCTGTGATCTGTTTCCCACACGTCAGCATTCGATTTTATCGTCCACGCTCCTCCTCTCCCCATGACTTCTGGTTTTGTTCACTTACTGATACAAAAGTCATGCGGCAGCCCCTCCTCATCGATTACGATCCTCGTCCGCCCCCTCTTCGTCTTGGGCGCATCCTCCCTCGCCGAATGTTTCTCCCTCTCCTCTATAAACTTATCACGGTGCTGGTTCGGCACCCAATGGTCATCCTTTCCAAATAGGATGAAGAACTTGGGCACCTCGTGCGCATGAGCAACAGCCTCGTCGGCAATCTCCCACAGCTCTTCGGCCCAGGTCTCCTCGCTGATGACCTTCATCTCGTCCATGCCGAGGTACAGCGCCTGGTAGATGCCATCGCGCGACGTCAGGAACCGTGTGGTGGTGGCCGCAGCATGGGGCGCCATGGAGAGCACGGTGGCCGTGAACCAGCGGATGAAGGCGACGGGTAGCAGCCAGAGGAGGGAACGGGCGATGGTGTGGACGTGGGTCGAGAGGACCGGGGTGCGGCGTATGAGGTCGAGCTGCACACCCTTGCGGCTCTTGGCGAGGTGGGCGATGGTGGCGAAGAGCAGCACGCCGGACTTCAGGTTCAGGCCTGGGGCGATGTCTGGGTCGTGCAGGTGGCGGTGGAAGATCTCGAGGGCGAGGTAGGTGCCCAGGCTGTGGCCCATCAGCACGACCTCATCGAAGGGCTGGCCGCCGCGCTGCACCTTGCCGCCATCGGGGGAGGTGATGGTCGTTGGTATGTGGTTCGCGGCAATGATGTGACGGAATGCATGCTGGATCTGGGACTCGACGTCGTGGGGCGGGTTGCTGGTGGCGTTGAAGGGGGCGGCGTGGTCGGCGTCGTTGAAGCCAGCGAGGTCGCGGCCGTAGAGGTGGAAGGCGACCTTGTGCTTGCGACGGACCTCAATATCGTTCAGGAGGGAGCGGAGATGCGTCAGGAATGGGGCATAGTAGTCGATGAGGCCTGGGTTGCCGGTGAGGAAGTAGATGAGACAATGTCGGGTAGACGGGTTGACCCCAAGGTTGGGGGATGGAAAAGTGAGCTCTGTAGACATCTTGGGGAGCCTATGAAGGCCTCTCAAGTGACACCTGGACGAGAACCTCAATGAGGTCTTGAAAGTCAGTCCTCTTTTGGGCATTCACCACTTCACTGCAGGTGAGTTTGTATTCAAAGTTGAGGTTGCAGCAAAGAAGCGTCCCCCCACACGTCAGGGGCCCCTCCAGTCTAACGAGATCTTGCTTGGATCTGCAGCCTAAACTGTAGTGGGTTCTAGCAGCTAATCGGATCTGTCCGGGGTGCGGCACTCAAAAAGTCTTCGAGCTTCAGGGGCTGCCAAGGGTCCAGGGTCCCCCTCCGCAAACGTCCTCTTAGAAGAAAGAGAAGACGGCGCGGGAAGTTGGTCTTTCCAAAAGGGAGGAGCAGACAAACATCTCAGATATGTCAGCCATTTATCATTCATGCTGACAGTGGGAAGGCTCTAGAAAAGGAATTCCAAGAGGCTCCGATTTCAACCAACCCCGGATGCGTCGGAAGGGAGTTGTCACGCCCTCCCCCAAGAAAAGACAGAACAAAACAGACGCGCACTTGAGGACCCCTTGAGAAAAGAGTCCCATCTCAAGGGTCCCTGATTATCCCTTCTCTTCTCTCCCCCCCCCCCCCCCTCCTTTCGCTGCGTGCCATCGCTGCTCTCCCTACGGTGGTTCCGGTAACGCCGGACCACTACAACCCCAGAGCCACCATGGCACGATCTATTTATTTACTGTGTCTCGACGAGTTCTCCATAAAGATTAGCCCTACCGCTCCATTTTCTATCTCTACTCTTTTTCATTCTCCTCTTTTTTTCCCCCTCTCTGCGCTGGAAGAGGCCTTGACTCTTCCTCCCCCACAGAAAACGCCTTTTCCTCTCCTTCTCCCCACACTTTTGAGAGCTTTCCAACCCTCACGCCGTTCTTCCTCTCTGCTCCGTGCTCTCCTTTGTCATCGTTGTCACCTCCTGGCTCACGTACCCTAGAAAAGAAAGAAAAGTATGGATGCAATAGATTACGCAGAAAAGGAGTTCGGTCCCGTACCGCCTCCGGCCGACAAGGACGAAACAGCTCCGAGCACCGAGTCGTCAGTGACGGACCAGGGACAATTCAATAAGGAGGAAGACGGCACCTTGGGCACCTCATCGACGCGGCCACCAACCGAACACGAGACCGAATCCGAGAGAAGGCCGGCCACCAATGGCAGCAATCCTGTGCTCGACGTGGTGAGGACATCAGACACGGCCAACACGCGGGAGCTGTCCCGGCTCCGGCGCAAGGAGACGAGGCTGGCCATCAAGGAAGCCCACCCGTGGCAGCACCTGGGCATCACCCTCGGCCTGCCCATGATCATCCTCTTCGACATCGTCGTCCCCTGCATCATCTACTACTCGTGGTACCGCTCACACCGATCTGCATGGCACGAGGAGTGCTTCTCGCAGTACCCAGGCCAGCACCCGTGCCCCGTGCCACCACCTCGGCAGTTTGACAAAGCCATTCTCGGGTCCGCCATCGCCTCCTTCGGCATCGGCGAGCTATGGATCCTGCTCGCCCGTGTCTATCGGCTCTTCTTACACCCAGACGTCTGCGCCCCGCTGCTGTCTACGAGCCGCTGGCAGCTCGACGCAACCAGCTGGGTCTATGCCGTCGCCATGATCGTCGCCCTGGTCCCCTTTGTGGTGGGCAGCACGCTGGCCATCCCTAAGCTGTACCTGTACGGGCCCAGCTTCCTGATGGGATTTCTCGGCGTTTTGATGGTCGTCACCACGCTGCACCCTTTCAGGATACCCATCGGCATCAACTCCCAACCCATTGGGACCCCGCTGCGGCCTCTGATCTACTACGCCGCCGAGGACTTCATGGCTGTCGACGGCTTGCAGGACCGTGAGTTCAGGACAAGGTACAATGATCGCTATGCCACCAATCCCATGTTTCGCCGCTTCTTCTTCAACCTGACCCTGTGGTGGACCTTGGGGGTATGCGTGTACATTGGGAGCGTGTCGGCTGTTATTTGGACGCTGGAGTTCCACTATGCCTTTGGCTTGTCGCTGGGCGTGCTATTCAGCTATATTACGTGCTGGGCGATTGTCACGTTTGTGTGGGTGAAAATGGAGATGAAGAGGGAGCATGAGGCGTACGAGAGGGGGGACTTTGATGTGTAAAACTTTCTTGAGAAAGGAATTAGATGGCCCAAGTACAAAGTCCCTTAGTAAGTCCTCGGGGAATACTATGTCACCAACAGCCGGCAAAGCCCCTGTAAAGCGTCATCGGGAGTCGAGCAACGTTCGTGTGTGTCGAGACTATGAATATACGACCTCGGTAAATCCCATGCATGTGCTCATGAGGGGGCATTATACAAGAGTTGGACCACCCACAAGGCCAACCAATAATCTTGGGTCTTGGCAGAACAGTATTATTTCGTGGGCCAAGGCATAATACAATTACTTACACAAAAGTCATCGTGCGGCCCAAGCATTCAATGGTCATTTGGCTCTGACACGCAAATATTCTGATCTATCGATACATAGATTATTCAGTATCATGGTATTGTACAAGGTCTCGTACATTGCCATATTGATTCCCGATTATTGAATTGGTCCATAATTACCGAGTAAAGCTTAAGTTTCCACTTTCGGAGAAAATGGAAGCAGGCGTTTGCGATTATTACGGGGTCTCCAATACCCATATACGCGCGCCTGGCAATTCACAAGTGATTCAAATACGTGAGCCCCACCCCTCAAACCCGATGTTCGCCTGCATTGCTTGGGTACGAGTACGATTCATCTATATACAAAAACAAAAAGCTGGTCGTCATTCGAAGCCGGCCCCACTCACCATGAGGGAGCAAGTCATTAAGCATACAGTGGTACTTGATGTGGTTGCTTTGATAGGCAATGTTGTCATGACTAGGAATATTGAAAGGCTCAGACGCTCAATTAGGCTGGTGCTACATTGACTGCCTTAATAGGCTTTGTTATCGAAGAAAAGGATATGAGGAATGTGAGCCCAGTATTGCGCATCGAAGCAGTGTGGTTATTAAGTCATTATTAGATTGATAATCAAAAGAATGTCAGTTACGTTGTCGTAATAGGATTCGACACAAGACAAAGTAAAATGTGTATGTGTCTTCCGTAAGTACTTGTTATTCAAACAGACCGGGATATATCATATAATGCATGTCTCAAAGAAAAGGGGATGATGTCGTTGATATGTAAGTCCACCCACCCCCCCCCCCCACTACAAGTGAACCCAGATCTGCATGGCTACGATTCGCCTGCAACAGTTCGCATCAAGACGACCAGGGTGGCAGCACGAAACCGAGATACGAGTACGAAAGATCAACGCGAAGGTAACGATAACGCAAAGCAACGCAACCGCATAAGACGTTTGACCTTCCCCGTTCGGTCGGTAATGATGTTTCTCCTCGCTGGCCAGGGGGTCAATTAGGATACAATATATAATTAACTTCTCACACACAGAGAGAGAGGGAGGATTAGAGTTAGATCTCTTGCGCTTGGCATAAACCGTCATCGCGCCTCTCAACGAACTCAATTCAGACGCCAACTACAGGACCTCGTTGATTTGATAAAAGAGGCGAGATGCTTTCGGTTCAGCTGCCCTACGCGACGCTACCAACGCGTAGCGCCCTCCTAGGGTTCATCACTGTATGTCCCGAATGCTCTGGGCCTCGGTGTGGAGAGAGTTGATTGCGGAGAGGTTTCTTGGATCATTGGGAGCTGACTTTGTGATCACTTTTCGCAGCTCGGCGTGGCATACGTCTTGGCACGATGCATATATCTGCTTTACTTTCATCCCCTGGCCAAGTACCCAGGCCCTAAGCTTGCTGCCCTAAGCGAGGTAAATATACTCCATCCTCCCCCCCCCCCCCCTCCCCTTCTTCTTCAAGCAGAATTGCCCAGCTCCTTGCTACCTCCTCCTCTTCTCTTGAAGAGAACCCACCAATTCGTCGCTGACACGAGACACAAACCCCTCCAGACATGGCTGAAGCGGTCCAACGCCACCGGCATGCACACCTTCCGGATGCAAGAGCTCTTCCAGAAGCATGGTGACATCGTCCGCGTCGGCCCCAACGATCTGACCTTCGCCTCGGTGACCGCCTACCAAGACATCTACGGCCACGTCACCCAGGGCAAGAAGCGTTTTCTCAAGTCGCCCATCTACGAGCGCGAGGAGCCGCGCATTACCTCGGTGCGCGACCCGGCTGTCCACGCCGAGCAGCGCCGGGCCCTCTCGCATGCCTTCAGCGCCCGCGCTCTGCGGGATCAGGAGGAGGTTGTGCATCAGTATGTGGACCTGCTGATCAAGCAGCTCGGGATCCTGGGCGAGGGCGGTAAGAAGCCTGTCGATATTGTCGAGGCCTGGAACTGGTTGACATTTGATGTGATTGGTATGTGCTTTTTCTCTCTCTGTGTCTCCTCGGCTCACTAGAATCTTGTCTTCTCCTGTGCTAACTCTTTGGCTCCTTCTTTTTTCTTCCTCTCATTTTAAAGGCGATCTTGCCTTTGGAGAACCATTTGGCGCTATAGCCAACGCATCGAGCGAGTGGGTGCAGGGCATCCTCGACTGGTCGCTCTACCAGGCCCTCGACCACTCGATGAAGAAACAGACCTGGCTGAGGCTGACCCTCCCGATCATCTGGGGCTCCCGGCTGGCCAAGATGCGCGAGGTATCGGAGAAGTCGCGGGCCATGGCCGTCGACAAGACCGAGAGGCGCCTTGCCGCCCCCGCCGACTCCCTGGAGCGCCAGGACTTCTTCAGCCACCTGATCAAGAAGAAGGAGGTCACCGCAGACTTCATCATGGGCACCTCGCAGACGCTGATTGTCGCCGGCTCCGAGACCACCGCCACCGCGCTGTCCGCCATCATGTTCTGGCTGCTCAAGAACCCAGAGTGCCTCGCCAAGCTGACCCACGAGATCCGCTCCACGTTCAGCGCCCCGGAGGAGATCACAGGAGACGCAGCGGCCCGGTGCCAGTACCTGCACGGCGTCATCGAGGAAGGGCTCCGGATCTCCCCGCCCGTGGCCATCGGCCTGCCGCGGGACAGCCCCGGCGCCACGATCGACGGCGAGTATATACCAGAGGGCATCACCGTCTCTGGCGACATCTACACCCTCGCCAGGCACCCCAAGTACTGGAAGGATCCCGAGTCGTTCATCCCCGAGCGCTGGCTCGGCGAGGGCCTTGGCGACGACAAGAGGGCCTTCCAGCCCTTCTCGACCGGGCCCAGGGCCTGTCTGGGGATCAACCTCGCGTACCTCGAGATGCGCGTCATGCTGGCCAAGCTCATTTTTGCGTACGACCTGGAGCTGGAGTCCAAGGAGATCGAGGACTGGAATCGCTCGTGCAGGATCTTTGGCTTGTGGAAGAAGCCCCCGCTGATGCTCAAGCTTCATCCTCGTAAGGCGTGATGGGTTGGAAGGTCGTGCGAGCTTGAGGCCATTTTGTTTTTTGTGTTTTCTTCTTGTCCTCTTCGTTTCTTCTTCTCTTTTTCTCTTCCTATGGTCAGCTAGCGACAATATAGAAAGTGAAAGATATTCTGGTTGTCCAAGTGCAGAAATCATTTCGGAAACTGGTCAGCATACGATTACAAGAAGGCAAAAAGGCCACAAGAGAATAGTCTCTCGTGTTAAGTTTACAACAGGTGGTTACATAAATGCGAGACCGGTTCAAATGAGGTATGGGATCAGGCTTACCAACATCCTTTTTTGCAAGGATTTAGTTTAGCATCTAGCTCTGAAGAAGGGTACTATCAACAATGCAAGGAGAAGATGACCATCAATTTTATGAAAATCCTGACAAAATGTTTTGAAGAACAACACAGAATGAAGTATTCAACCACAGCAGTAGAGACGGATAAGGTAGAAGACAACCTATGGTCTGCATGACAAAGGGGTAAAGGTGAACTTCGCGAGTGAACATTGTGCAAGGTGAAATGTCAGCTGCTTTCAACCTCAAACAGGATCAACTCCTCTGTTCACATAGCAGAAACTTTCATCCTGAAAGAAATACCCTTTGCAAAACACAGTTCTTTAGAAATTCCTCTATTCTATCACCTATCTAGCGTACTTCCTGCTCAGATCCACGATAAGTGCCTCAGTCGGGCAAAACATACGCAACCACCTCAACAACAAATCAAGGAAACACAGACGCCTGCAAGATGCTCTCTGCTTTACCCAAGGTATAGATAGATGCATACCCCCTGCACCAATTGTATTCTATTGAGAAAAGCAGTGGCAGGTGTCAATGATGGCAACAGGAATTGCGAAACTAACAGTTTGAAAGGGTATTGATTGCTTAGCGCCAACAGCCTGATGACTGTACGCAAGAGGGAATGCGGCAGATTACTTCGGTTAGGCCTCCACTACATGTAATTACACGTAGCGCACTTCATCAAAGAGACCAGCTCTAACCTGAACGAGAGCCGCCAGCTCAAACAAGAACGACTGGAGGATGATCACATTGGTGAGAACATGTGAGACGGAGACCTTTTTCTCCTCGGGAGGCACCCTGCGCTCACTGCGCTCGGGGCTTAAAATCGTTGCCTGCGCATGCATGTCATCTCTGGCGGTACCTCCTGGTGGGCTGCTGGCTTGCCTATCGACTTGTGCTGGTGTGGGCTGGCTATCCTTGGCAGGTGGTGGCGGTGGCTTGTCTTCATTCTCCATAGAGTCGTCTCCATCATCCTGCGACGCCTCCTCGATGTTTCCGCCAAGCTGGAGTGGTGCCGTTTCCTCCTCCTTCTTCTTCTTAGTCGAAATGCCCACCTTTCTTGCCAGAATCTGCTGATCAATCGCCTGGAATGCGGCGGCCTGGCTTGCTTTGATGGGATCTTCCTCGAGCCTCTGACCGCCTGACGGAGAGAACGGCCTTGTCATGCCCGCGCCGCCCTTGGAAGGGGTATCGTACGGCAGATCCTTCGGTGGCACCGGTGGAGGCTTGTTGAGAGACGAGGGTGTGCCTATCCCATACCCTCCACTGGCGCCTGTGATGCCAAGGTTCCGGCCATGTGGACTGTTGCCACGGCTAGGCGTGCCTAGGTCATTCAGGTCCTTGAGAAGTCGCTGTGCGAAGCCCTCGAAGCCACCCGCCCTCACAGGCGAGCCACTCCTGGAAGTATGGATACTGGATGGCGCTGGTCCCGGCGTGCCCTGTCCCGAGTTGCCAAGGGGAGGTGCCTGTCTCGGTACAGGTGGGAGAGGACCAGCGTCGGCGATCTGGAAGGCTTCACGCCGTTGCTGGAGGAGGTCGCTGAACCGTGGTATTGATCCGCGGAAGGTAGTCACCTCATCAGAAAGAAGCTGGAGGATGTTGAGGAGCCGCGGAAGGTCGGCCGGGGACCAAACAGGTCTACGTCGACATTTGTTGATCTGATCGAGCTTCTTGGGGTCGTCGGAGAGGATGTCCTCAGCATTCAAGTCGAGAGGGTCGTCCTGATCACCCGTAGGGGACAGGGGAAGATACGAGTCATCGTTATCATAGATGTATTTGTCCGGTGCCCTCAGGAGCCAGCCTTCGATATTCATGAAGCCACAGACTGCTAGATCGAATAGAACCTCCGTGATGCCGAGATTTGTCTCGACCGGGTTCAGGAAGAACAGTTCAAGGTGGTCCAGTAGGGTGGTGAGCAGTGGATCGTCAGCCCGTATCGTGTGGGCGCGGACGTCTCGTGGCGCGCCTGGCAAGGAATCCGAGACTGTGGGGAATCTATGGTTGGTCGTGGAGATCTTGGGTGCGGTGAGCATCAAAGAGCAAGGGTGGCTCTCAATTCTGGCAGTTGTATCCTTGAGGATGTTCTCGTACACCTCGTCAAAGTTATCCTGGCCACCAATTCCGCCAGCAAGCGACATTAAATATTCGAGCTCCTGTTGCTGGGCACCAGCAGTGCGATGCGGGATCTCTCCATAAAGGTTTTCGGTCCGCACCAACGTCATCACTGCATACCGATGGTGCCTCTTCAGGACGGCTGACACCAGCTGAAGGGTCACATGAATAGTCTGGTGGCTAGACGATCGGAGACAAGCGAGGATCAGGTCGACGAGGGTGAAGAGAAGAGGGTCGGCAGCATCGTCGGCCTTTGAGGCCATCATTGTAGCCAGATCCATGGACTTCCGTTTTCGGGCCTTACTAACGGAGTTGGAGGTCGCTTCTGGAGTGACTGTGACCACGTCGGGTAGGCCGAGCAGGTAATGGAGGATGAGGTTGATCATGTCAGGATGATCCAGTGACTCGAGAATTTGGCGCAGATAGGTCAATACGGCCACTGAAGAACCGCCATCAATATCCGAGGATTCCAGCAGGGAAGGGTAGCTGGATTTTTCAGTGAGCATGACATTCATTACGCGTTAAAATAAAGAGGTGCTGAGTGGCAGCTTACAGTAATTGTTGCAGGAAGATGATTTGGAAATGCTCGAGCAATGTCGACTTGACCTCGACCGACTTGCAGTGATTAAGCACATCCTGCCAGAAGACCAAATGTGACAGGAACGTCTCAAGATGAGCCTGGAGTTCAGGTGATGTTGACGGCACGACCTCGAGGCTGGGAACGGGAGGCTGGTAGTCGGAAAAGGCCAAGATGGGCGGCAGGTCTTGGGGCGGATAGTCGATGACCAGCTTCCCGCTCAGCTGGCTATAGAGCGCACCAAGACCCGTAGCCATGAGCGTCGAGAGGTCGCTCTCTACGATCCACTGCTCCAGCTCCACCGAGTTGGAAGCCGCCTCGATGATGTAGAGCAGACCTGTCCTTGCAAAGTCGCCGACCTTGCCTTCATGGTGGATGTAGTCGACAAGTAGGTAGAAAAGGGGGAAGTCCTGCTTCTTCGTCCTCCCCTCAAACTTGTCACGCTCGTCCCGGCCCCGGCCGTCCCCCTGCTGTCCTGAGCCGTGCGATTTGAACCACGCTGGGAGGATGTTGGGCTCCAGGCGAATCTTGGTGGTGATGTTGAAGGCTAGCTCGACTACACGCGCCTCCGTGTCCGAACCGAGGCGTATGCTGTTGGCGCCCGTGATCTTGACAAGCAGGTTTGTCAGGCAGTAGGCGAACGCCTCGCTCTCAACAAAGGCCTCCTCTTCACTCTCCACGAGGGTTGCGAAGAACAAAACAGCCTCCTTTATGATCCATTCATTATACGACGTCGTGGCAATCTTGGCAATGGGGAGGTAGAGCTGTTTGGTGGCCGAGAACGCGATGCAAGGGTGCGGGAGGGGTCGGCGGGTTTCGTCGCTGAGGATATGTGTCAACTCCTGTAGTGATTCCTCGACTTCTTCCGCGGCCTCATCGTCTTTGGCGAGGTTGGATGAGGTGCGCCATGCATGCTTGGAGAAGACGGGAGAAGCAGTCAGTCAAAGCAGTAGTGATGGTGGGCCGGTCTACGGGAGGACGCAGTATTTACCAGCAGATGGCCATATTCCTTCTCAAAGCGGCGCAGGCGCCTCACGGGGTCTCTGGCAGCATCTCGTCGTGAGTTCTCGGCCAAGGGGGTGTTCGCTATCAGTCTCGACCACTGCGATGCATATTAGTCAGTCATGGGGGTTGCTGAAGATCTCCAGGGTTTCGGAGTCTTTTGTTTTTCTTTCAAGAGGTTAGCCTACAAAGTCCATGGCGTCTGTAGAGGCATAGCGATGCGATGCGACGGCCGGTTCAGGAAGACGACAGTGTCACGGTGGACAACGTTGTGGTTTTGGTCGTGATAATCATCTCTGGCTGGTAACAGGAAGACCAACGATACAACAGCAACAGAGGGCAGACACGCATGAATCAACGAGCTCCTATTCTGTCATGGCCTATTCTAGTTCTATGCGGTCCACGTTTCTGAAGCTCGGGCCACAGATCTGGAAGTACTGTAGTCCAATTGGCAGCAATGCTCTAGTGCTGGGACCCCTGGCCTCCCTGTAGCTTAGCGCGGTAGAGCAGTAGAGCATGAAGTGCAGGGTCCTTCAGGGCCCTCCAGGGGGGTTTCGTCTGCACGACATGGGTGCCCAGCACATCGCTTCCACCCCCGCGCAGGGCTAAGCGTCAGACGACATTCCTTCATCTTCACAACTTCAACGCTCCAGTTTTCATATCAAACAAGAGTGCACTCCTGTTAGAGCACAGCCTCGAGAGTCTTGATGCGGATCGTGCTATGCAGTAGATTGGATAACCATTATTGATACATCACAAAGAATATTTGCCCATAGTATGATCAAGTATCACATTTGTTTGTGGCGATGAAGCGCTCGATCAGTTTCCGCCCTGCTTGGTTTGACTGTGTTCGTGAAGAGGATAGTCCGCATGTCTCTTCAACAACTCAAGCCGCCGCTGCCTTTCAACTTCAAAGTGGTGCAGGTAACCTGTATCCTCCCTTCCTTCCTAAGTACCCAAGTATGCATTGCAGCTTCCCAACTAGCTGCGAATATGAGATGATGGCATGAGCCAGTCAGTATTACGAGTACTCAATCGACCTCATTTGGCAAACACTCTTCTCTCGCCAATCAAGTAATCTCATCATTCGTATCATCAACAGCAATCTCTATTATTGAATGTGCTCGAGGATCCCTTACTTCATCTCTACTCAGCTTATTACCGAGTTCTTACTCTTGAACAATATTCTACAAACCCTGTTACTTTGGCATTGCAATTGATCGTCGATCCTGCGTGTGACGAGCCCAAAATGCAGACAACTGGTATTGCTAGACAGGTGCACACTGTCGTCAAGAGGTACACATCACTCTACTTTACTCAATCTTACTCTTCCGTCTGACCAGCATTGCTGCAGAGGCGACAGATACACACACTTGGAACGCATGGTTTGTATTGGTTGTTTGGAACTGCCGGAGTCTTCTATCCGATGCCCAATTTGCAGAGAACACTGTTGGTGTAGCGTCGAGTGCTGGCGCCTGGACAGGGAATTTCACAACATTCTCTGCCGTACATACCAGGCCTTCCTCCACACGCGGACTGATATGCATCACAAGGTGGCGATACGATTTCCTGTCGATTCCATGCTGCCAGAACTCTTCTGGGTCGAGACCTCGATCACATTGGACCACGTACCGAAGGCAAATGGTGATATTGAAGTGGAATATATGAGACAAAATCCCGCCGAAAACAAGCTTATGGACACAGTACTTCAGAATGAGGAACACCCAGAGTATGATTTTCGATGGGAGTATAATCAAGACATGCAACCTACCAACGCCTGCTTGCAAAACTTGGCACGTCTGTCGGGACGCGAGGTGTCGTCTGATCTTAGAGGCCCTCTCGAGGTCGTTCGAATCTGGAGCTTCGCCCGGACGAGCGACGTGAAACTCACGTTCGGCAGTACCACGCTCAACTTGGTCGAAATAGTCGACGCCGAGGACATGGCACCCGTTGATCTGCGGCACGTCGTCAACCAAGTCATTGCCGGAAAGGGTCATGACCTGATCGACCCAGGCGCCTATATTTGAAGAACGCCGATGACTGGCAAAGGATATCTACTGCCTCTGTCAAGGGGCGTTGTCTGTCGGCTGCTGCAAGCTTACGTGCAGTCTTTCCGTTCCTTATCATTTGCGGTGTTGTACATTTTGGAGTACGGGCTGTACAAACAGTTTGCAAGACTAGGGTTCAGAGATATGGTAACACTGGACTGGATCAACCGTTCAAAGGCGCCTTTTTACACTGATGCAGCGTAGCTAGCTCATTGCTGTTGTTTTGGAAATCAATTGTCAGCTCGAAACAAAGCCGTTCTTGTTCTCATCACTGCTTGTCTCCTCATCCGATCCGGCGCGCCGGAGAGGTAGATGTTTGCAACAGCACGCCTGGTCTGCCCAGACCAGACTTGGGCACCGACGCTCCGAACGACACATGCCTGTACCCATGCGGACTCGATATCTGGGCAGTCCCTCCATTGGTCTGTGCTGGCTGGGCTGCGATGCGTTGGGAAGTGTTCAAAACTATTAGCTCGATGGCATTCTGCAGCTAAGTAAGCTGCTCGCATCATCATTGACGGGAGTGTCCGCGAGGACGGTTCAGTTCGACCAACACCCCACGAAACAACATGTGGCCGACCAGCTCCCCGCCTGCATGAAACGGCAGCGGCACGGGTGCCTGAGCTGCATGGGTGGCGTCGATAAGCTTCGCATCGCCTTGGGACAACTACTATGGTACTCCTTCGACCGACCACAAAGCTCGCCTGGGGGAAATTCCCACCAAACATGGTGAAACATGTGGTCGAGGCCACAAATGGACGGTGTGTGCTCATCCTTACTACCTACATGATGGGACTTTCTTGTCTTCCGAGACGAGTCACTAGATGCATATATGCAGATGCATGTACCAGCCTCTACACTTTATCTCACACCCGTGGTTCGTCGCCATCCCTCGTGGTGGAGGGGCACACCCGCGAGTCCGGCCCTCAGCGAGCGTGTCCGATTGGGGGGTAGCACAGGGCGGTGGAGACGAATCAAGGCCTGTCGTGGACCTCGTACAGGGGCCGTGGGCCAGTCCTGCGTGAGCCTGCCAAGCCCTTTTTGGTTACCAAGCGGTTACCTGCGTTCGTGTGTGCATTAACGCGGTAGCAGCTGGGTGGCTGGTAAGTATTGTTGTGACTCTGACTACTATGTGAGAGAGTGTGCGTGCAGTCTGCCCTGCCCTGTCCTATCCCTCGTTGGGGCTTCTTGCCCCCTGTGTCGATCAACTTTACTGACGGCTATAGTACGTTGAGTACTTACTGACAAGTGAGTATCCTAGCAGATCCACACAGCTGCTTCGAGGGTTGTATTTTTCGGGTTCTGGTCTTTCTGTCCCTCGCGGTCTCCCTCCCTCTCTCTCTCTCTCTCTCTCTCCCCCCCCCCCCTACCTCTCTCTTTCCTAGTAACTCGAGATCTTTTGTCCTAGATGAAGGCTGAAGACCAGTCAGCGCGATGCCCTCGCTGGCCACCGGATCACAATACTGCTGGCTGAGTCCAAGTACCTTGCACAATAAGTTTCCCACTCTGTGAACAATATTACACATGTCATGTGATCAAGCCTGGCCGTGTGTCTGAAACAAAGAAGAGAAAACAAACCTTGGAAAGTTCGTCCAACATGGGATTGTTCAAACGGAGGAAATCGAAGGACCTGCCTCCAACGCCGGATGGACCGCCTCCGGTTCCAATCAAGGACTCGAGGTCAGCACCAACCTCTCTGCCGCCGACCCAACAACGGCCTCGTGCATCACCGCCACCACAGTATCACGCTCCTCAAAGCTCCGGCATCACCGGTCAGGATGGGTCACGCACCACCTTTCAACCCGCTGGCTACCTGCCACCACCTCCGGGCTGGACTGCCGGGCCACCTCCTCCGGCATATCCACAGCAACCGGCGTCCCAGCAGGCGGCGCCCATAGTGGTGAATCAGCACTACTACCTGCTGCAGGGCCCTCCGTCGTCGTCGTCGACGTCGTCGTCGCTGCAGACTCCCGCCCAGGCAGGACCGGCGGGAAACGGGTGTGCCATGACGAAGCTGCTCGTCGGGTCTGCCGTCAACCTCACAAACCAGGTCATGCCTGGTGTGCTACCCTCGTTCCTGGATGAAGGCGCCGGGCAGGGCATCAGGATGCTCGGGCCCGGGTGCGCAGCGGCGGATCGCATGTGTGATCGGTTCAATAACCTCATGACGCTTATCGACCGGGATAGATACGCCGGCAACGAGAAGGACCTGTTTACCTATCAGCCGGGCTCCAGCCCAGCATCGTCATCCACTGGCGCTGGCAAGCCAAAGAGAGACCAGCAGGGCAGGAGGGAGCATGACCATCCCAAGGGCCAGACCACCGCGGTGGCGGCAAAGGTGGTCTCTGGAAGCTACTTCGCCAAGGTCGAGCTGTACGCCAATGCACGGCTGCCCATGGATCTCCCACCCCTCAAGCTGTACATCCCGACATGGCCACTGGTCTGCCTGGCCGCGCGGTACTCGGAGCGTGTCTACGAAAAGCCCCGCGGCAAGGAGAAGGACGTCCATGTCGAGTCGGATTCCCGCACCGGCACCAAGGCCATGTGTATCAAGTCGGTGCCCATGGACGATATGAACACCATCGTCTTTGCCATTCGGGGCACCGCAACGTTTGGGGACTGGACAGTGAACCTGAAGACGGAGCCTGTGTCGCCGGAAGGGTTTCTGGTTAGTCTCGAAAAATCCTCCCCTTCCCCTTTGTTGAAGAAGAAGGGGGAAAAGAAAAGAAGAAGAAGAAAAATACTCAGATCTGTCGGTTGCTAACACACACAAACTTCCCCTCTACACAGGACGACTGCGGCAACTATTGCCACGCAGGCTTTCTTTCCGTCGCCCGGCGCATGGTCGCCCCTGTTGCCGCTCGCCTCCGCCAGCTCCTCCAGGAGAACCCGACCCGGCGCTCCAGCAGCCTCCTCATCACGGGCCACTCGGCGGGCGGCGCCGTCGCGGCCCTGCTGTACGCGCACATGCATTCGACCTCCCTGGCCGCCCGGTCCGAGCTGAGTGTGCTCACGTCGGGCTTCAAGCGCGTGCACTGCGTCACTTTTGGCACGCCGCCCGTCTCGCTGCTTCCCCTGCAGAGGCCGACAGCACCCGAGTTTCGCAAGAGCCTGTTCCTGAGCTTCGTCAACGAGGGTGACCCCGTCGCCCGCGCCGACAAGGCCTATGTACGGAGCCTGCTGGAGCTCTTCGCCACACCCGTACCGGCTTTAGCTGCCAGGACGGTGGCTGCTGTGGCTGCCGAGAACAGGTCGCGGTCCGCGCCAGCTTTGCTGCTCCCTAATGGGCCCGAGCCTGACCCTAAAAAGGCCAAGTCTAGAAACTCTGTGGTGTCTACCAAGTCTGGGAGGTCTGGCAAGCAGGGTAACAAGATCGCCAAGAACAACGACCATCATAACAACAAGGCCAGCAGCAGCAGCAGCAGCAGTATCAGCAGCAGCAGCAGCAACGGGAAAGGATCACATGTGCAGGCACACAAAGGGCCGGTATGGAAAGTTCCGCCCTGTACGCTCAGCAGCGCGGGGCGGATCGTGGTCCTCCGGTCCGGAGATCCAAAGGCGAGGCTGAAGGGGAAAAAGACAGTCGAGGAGAGGCTGAACGAGGGGGTCGTGGCCCAGATGACTACGGATGAGCAGCTGCGGACGCAGATCTGGGGCGACCCGGTGTGTCATCTCATGAAGCTATATGCAGGGAGGCTGGAGATTCTGGCCGTCAATGCTGTGACGGCCAATGGCTACTGAAGTGAAACAAACCTCGGAGGACGAATGATGATGATGGCGAGAGAGAAACCAAGGGAGGGAGAGAGATACCTGGTCCAGGGGAGTTGACCACTTATGACTTTATGACTACGACTTATGACCAACCACACGCATCAGGCCGGCATGGGTGATATCTTGGCGTCTTTAACGATGTATGCAAATTGATACCAGCAAACAAGAAAACCCTTGGTTTGTGCTTGTTCATCTCTGCATAGACAAGTGAAGAAACCAAGGGTTTTCCTCCTTGTTTTTCTTATAGCATAGAATATAGTTACGAGAAGCCAATGAGAATGACCTATTGATTTCTTTGTTCGTGTCCACATGTGTGAGAATAGACATGAGCACCCTACTCGAAGGCTGATTAGATGATATGGAGAAGAAGAAGAAGAAGAAAAAACCACGAGATAATCGACTTATGTAAAGAATCCACGAGCAAGGTAAACGGTGTCACACATACCGTAACAAGTTCCCAGCTCTCACGAAGCTATTTTATTCAGCTTCTCCTCAAGCTCCAGCACCACCGGCATACGAACCCCTCCCACCCTCACCTTCTTCACATCCCTCTCATACCCCTCGGGCCCCTCCACATCGGGCCAGGGCCCCAAGGGCGTAATGGCCCTCGGGTTAATATCGTAATGACTCTTTGTATAATTCTCCTTGATGTGCGTGAAATCCGTGCTCTCCCTGAACCCAGCCACGTTCCAGTACAGGTTCTTGAGCCAGTTGTTGATCTGCGGGTAGTCGTGGCGGATCGTGCCCAGGTTGCACTTGAAGTGCTGCACGTAGACGGTGTCGAACCGCACGACGGTCACATAGGCGCGGATGTCAACCTCGGTCAGCTGCGGGCCGAGCACAAACGGCCCGCCGCGCGAGGCGATGGTCTTCTCGAGCTTGTTGAGCGCCGCGAACACGGGGGGCACGGCTCGCTCGTAGGCTTCCTGGGTCGTGGCGAAGCCGGCTTTGTACACGCCCGTGTTCAGGTCGCGCTGCATCCAGGTGGAGATCTGGTCGATCTCGGCGCGGAGGGCCGCTGGGTACAACGTGAATTCCTGCTCCTCCTCCTCCTCCTCCTCCTGGCCCAGCACCGGGTCGAAGCACGTCGGCAGGTCGCGCAGGAGCTCGGCCGACTCGTTGTTCACAATGGTGCGCGTCTTGCTGTCCCAGAGCACGGGCACCGAGTACCGCCCCTTGTACGCCGGGTCCGCCAGGAAGTACAGCTCGTGCAGGAACTTGGCGTGCAGCTCAGGGTCCGGGGTGGCACCTGGGTATTCTGCCTCGGTGGACGGGAATTGCCACCCGGGCCAGCCGTGCTCGTCACCTTTGGGGTAGGGCTTCACGACGGTGATGGGAAGGATGTCCTTGAGGCCTGGCTTTAGGTGGCGCACGAGGTTGGCGCGGTGGGCGAAGGGGCAGAAGAGGCCTTTTTGGGAAGAGTGAGTGGGAGGATGAGTGAGTGTAATTTTGAGCAAGCTGTCACTTGCATAGAATAAGAAGAGAGGAGGAGGAGGAGGAGGAGGAGAGGGAGGTTTGGGTATATGTTTACCTATATAGAGCCGGTAGCGATCCTTTTCTGGCTGGAAGGGCCCATCAGGGCTGATCTTGCCGTGCCATGACTGAGTGGTGCCGGCCAGATGCTCAGCTACCGTTGAAGGGTTTGGTTTGGGCGTGCTCGAGGTCATGATGGGTCGGCCAGTCTCTTATTGATGGGACGCGTGTAGTCGTTGTTGCATGAGCAGACATACACACACATACACAAAGTCAAAATACTAAGTACTGTAGCAAGCAGAGTCAACCGAATGGACCTTTGAAGTGAGTATAGTAGGAAGTTCGTTTCTTTTTCTCCTTGAGATTGGTGATCGGTCGTCAGGCTGTATGCATGATATAAATGATTAATAATTACTCAAGCGCTGTGATGGTTCAACGTTCGGGGTGATGCATGTTAACGGTAGTACTTGTGCGTAGTTCCGACAGGGCCGCAAATCCGTGCCGTGCCTAGCTGAAAACCAGTCGAAGCCTGCATACGCCTTTGGTTGTCCTTGAACAACATTTCTCTTGCGTAGGGGTGATTCCTTGCGAAGCTGCTTCTTTCAGACACCAGAAATTCACAGAGATGGAGGGATATTTAAGATAACACATCGAATCATAGGTCGGTATCGGCCTATGCAGACGAACAGCCGGAAAGAATTCACTATATAGGTGGAAGAAGATCAGTAGATCTCCTTGAATATAAAGAGTGACAGGTCCCAAGCCCATGATGAACTCTATTACTATCACAGGTTGAGAAAATTCATCGCTATGGAAAATACCAAGTAGCACTGCATTCCCCATCAACGCTTGAAGTGTACTTTTTTGGCAAGGCCCACTGGAATGAGTGAAAGCATGGCAAGTACAGTCGGCGGGAATGTTTCTTCTTGCTTTCTCTTTTATTTTTATGTTTCTTTGATGAGGAGGGAGGGAGGGACGCAGGGGGGTCAATTCGAAGTAGCAAGGTGAGCCGAGTATCCCTTGTGACAAGGCTACATTTCCTACAATCAAGACAACAGTGCCCGCCGTCCCGCCCTTGACTGACAGCCGCACGGGTCAAGCCATCATCATTCACACGGGGACGTACGAATACAGGTGTGACAAGTCGGTATGAAAAGTTGCGATGCAATCACCTCCAATCTCATTCTCATTCAACGCGTGCGCAGTAAATACAGAATCTTCGTGGCTGGCTCCGTCTTCCCGACGACGATGCTCACTCATATAAAAGCGAGTTTGTTTTGCCAGAGATACCCATAACAAGACGCAATCAGAGCATGCAAGACTTCCCCCTCCCTCTGTGTAACCTATGCAAAAATTGTCGTAAAAACCAAGCTCATGATATCGAACCAGCCGTCCACAGGATATGTCCATGTGCGCTTATATATATAATGCTCGAGGTAGATGGTTAACGAGAAGAAAAATAAATAGAAGATGCTCTCGACGCTATTTTCGAGAGCACGGTGTGAAGTTCGAGTGCAGTGATGCTCTTGATATATTCTTATGGTCGGGTGCAGCCAGTTCTGTATCGAATTCAGGGCTACCGCAAACCACTGAAGTCCATGTCCGGTCCAACAGGCAATCCATTGTTCATCCCAAGCGAGCCCAGTGAGGCCATGTCCGAGTTGGCCCTCTGTAGAGCCTGAAAGTCGCCAATCGTTCGTAATTGAGGATTCGGCGCCATTGCGAAACTGTTGGCCCGGGATGGCCCTTGTCTCTGAACCATACTGTTCGTGCTCATGTCCTGTCCCAGACCATGCATTGCGAAAGACATGCCCTGGTTGAAGGACTGCTGTCCAAAGTTCTGCGTCTGGTGGTTGAGGGAGAGGTTGGGCGGTTGTTCCAAAGGTGTGTGCAGGCTGTTCTGCATGTGCTGACCCATGGTTGGCATGGCAGCTATTGGTGTTTGAGGCGCATGTTGCGAGTGTGGTGTTTGTGGAGGATTTGTGGCAGGCATCTGCAGATTGTGTGACACCGGTGTGGACTGTGTCATCTGGGTCATCATCACGTCCGACATGGTGTTAAATGAGCTGTTCGGCATGCCGTGTGAAAAATCTGCCGCCGGCGACATGGGCGAGCTCACAAAAGGCGAGTTCATGTCGTTGTTTGATGAGACGCCGGCCTGCGAGCTGCTGGATTCGGGACTCGGGTACTTCTTCTCGAAGCCGTCAAGCATCGCCGGTGTTTGGGCCATGCCGGCGTTACCGAAACCGTCAAAAATGTCGACGCTGCAGGCGTTGTTGGACACGCTGTCCGGAACATTCAGGAGCATCGGGCTGACGAGCTTCGGTAGAACCTCGTGGACCTTGCTGAGCAGGAGCGGGATGAATCGATGGTCTCCGTTTCGCAGCATCGAGAGGACGTTCAACAGGGGGTTGAGCTGCTCGCGGGGTCCTGGCGAGAACGGATCACGAGATGCAGGATGCATGGCCAGAGCCTCGATCAGTGTGCATGCAACCTCGAACACCTTGGTCAACTGAGTTACGAACGTTAGCCCAGTCATGAGAATTGTGATAACGAGATCAATACACAAGGAGGGACAACATACCAATGGCGTGGCCGCCATGTCCGACCCTTGATTGGATGATGCACCCGACAGGAGGCTGTTGGTCAGGTTGGCGGCGTACTGCTGGTATACCAAAGCCTCATCACCGCCTGCGCTGACATTGCCGTTGTTCATTGTGAGTTGCCAGGTCATCGTCTTGATCCACTGCTGATTGGTCCTGATGTCGGCGAGTTGCGAGTCGCCGTAAGTCAGGAATGACGGTAGGATATCGGCGAGCTGTTTCTGCAAGCTTTGGATGTGAGCAGTAGGCCAATTGCTGCGGGTCCTGTTCCAGGTGGAGACAAAGGCATCATCAAAGGGCCGGAACAAGTTCACGAGAAGCAAAAAGCGCTCCAGCTGGCGAGCACCAGGATCCGTGGGGTCGTCATTTGCGGTGGGCATTTTGATGGTCGCCTGGAGCGTCAACGGTCTGTTGCGCTGCAAGGCATATGCTCTAGATGAGAAAAAGTCCAATTAGTGTCCATCAGAGAATACACAGTGAACAGGTCCAGCGACGGTAGCTAACCTTTCTGTGGCAAAGAAGAGCCAGTAGAGCCGTCTCCGCAAGGAAGATTCTATAGGATCCATCTGTGCGTACACCTCCTCCCTGTTCATCCCGACAATATGCATCATTGTCGCTGCCTCGCGCAGGTGGAACCAGGCCTTCTCGTGCATGTCGAGGCCATAGTAGCAGGCAAACAGGAAGTAGCTGGTGGCGAAGGTGTTGAGGGACGGCGACTCGGTGTAATCGAAACCTTTCCTCACGCGAATGGTCTCTTCCATCAACACAGTGCTGGACACGATGTTCGCGCCGGGCATGCTGTCCAGGCCATAAGGGTCACCACCGGGAATCCCCATGCCCGGTTGGATCATCATGAGGGCGCACAGCGAGGTGAGGAGACAGTAAGTGTCCAGAACTTGATCCATGTAGGGGATCTGCTGCTCCAGGCGCTGGCGGTTGAGGATAGGCATGTGCGGGTACATGTTGGCGAAGTAGAAATCCATGCACTCCCTCATCATATCGACGGTCAACAGGCCGGGCGTGGGAGCCAATGACGGGGCGACTGGCGGACCCGGAATGCCATTCAGACGGCTCTGCACCTGTGCTGACAGGCTCTGCAGTTTCTGATCCTCGCGCAGCGCGCTGATGACCTTGGCCCTGGAGCCCTTGGGGCCTTTCTTTTGAGGTACTGCATTATATGTGCAGTTGAGAGAGGCAGTGTTGCAGTTCCGACAGGGATTGATTCCGTCACACTTGACCTTGCGTCGATGGCAAGCATCGCATGCCCTCTTCACCGCGCTCGTCATCGTGTACGAATCGAGGCACGCGTTCTCCTCCTCTCGTCCAGATAATGAATGAAATGATTCTTCTTCTGTTCCTTCTTCTCTTCCAGAAAAAGACCACCGCCGAATCGTTTAAGTCGTTGCTATTGCGATATGATCAGTTCCACTGGAAAGAGGCCCTTTGAGGAAAAGATGGTTGGTCGTGTCCGCCGGGTCGTCCTGGACATGCACTGCCGCCGCAGTCTTGTCTGTGCGACCTAGGACAGTAAAAGGTTGCCTTGAGTGACCTATGTGTTCAGATGGGATGTATGATTGAGCCAAAGAGTCGACATCCACGTGCAGAAGTAATGGCTGGGGGGTTCATGCAGCCTAGAGGAGGTCGCAATTGTAATCGGGCCGTTGAAGAATAAAACCGCGGGGAAAGAAGTAACGCCCAAATCCGGGGAAATGGCTCGCTTGTCTGCACCGACACGGTCGCTCGGATAAATTCGTGAGATTATTCAAAGGAAAGGATAGGAGGCGTCGAAAGATGCCGGGGTATCAAGAGGAATTTTGGTTTTGATTTTCTGTTGTTGTTTTTCTTAAACAGCAGCTTTTTCGGAGGAGGCAAAACAAGGAGAGAATAAAAGAAAAAATGCCACTATTCTTGCAAAGGAAGAATGGCGAGACAGATGTTGAGTCGAGTTGTTGCGAGTAGGGGAGGGAAAACAGACGGCGTCGAGAAGATGTTGGGTGGGCCACCACCGGATGATGAGGAGGAGAAAAGTGGGATCTGGAGGGGGGGGAGTGTGTCTGGTGCAGATGGGGAGCCACTGAGAAGGGGGAATTCAGCCCGGGTAGGGGGTACTAAGTACAGTACGGATTAGAGGGAGTGCAGGGGGCCAGGGATAGAGAGCCAAGGGGGCAGGGCCACCTGGGGGCACTTGGCCCCAGTCCCAGCGTGTTCAGGCCTGGAGTAATGGGCCTGGAGTGCCTGGGCCGGGTAGGGTGGGCGTGCGGGCGAAGAATGCGGAGGAGACCGCCATATACCTGGATGGGGGAATAGAGCGCTAGGGCCTGGCTGGGTCTAGTCCCAGGATCCTTGGGCCCCATCCATACCCTGCTCTGTACTTTACCGCAGTACCGCCTCTCCGTACTTGGAGTCAAGTGACGGGACCACCTTCAAGGTGCGCCATCCGCATAATTTAGGCCCGGTGCTGATTGTTTTACTTTTGGCTTTGCTCGGCGCATTAATACAACTATTACTGCACCGACGACGAATTGGGTCGCACCCTAGGGTAAGGCTACGAAATTACCGCATGAAAAAAAAAGAGGGCGGAGCTTCTCACAGTCGAATGAGTGGCTCATCTACAAAATTCGCTGCGGATGACTGTGCTTGCGCTTGATCCACCGTCGATATCTCAAAAGTTGATGTTATTGTTGCTGCTGCTGCTGCTGATGAGGATGACAAAAAACTGGAGGGACCTGACAGTGTTGGCTGATTAAGAACCCCCTCAAATCGCTCACTCTCCCTCAGCCCAGCAGCCCTGAGAAGCTGGCTGTGCTTCTCAGGTATTACGAGTATTTGTATTGCCTCCATCTCGTGATCGCCCATTTGCCAGCGAGGACAGCTCGATCCATCCATGTCTTCTTCCAGGGAGGCCCCCTGCCTCGAGCGTAGAGGTAAGTAAGTCTTGTTTCTCCCAAAACACATTCCATTACCATCTTGTACGGTGGTAGAGAGAGTCCTGCTGCTAAAGATAGATGTTTCATCTTATTACTACGTATTTCATCAAGAGGGCCTCATGCTTTTTTCCCATGGGTGCTGGTTTGGTGATGATCTCCTTCTCCCCTTGGAAGGCTGGCCCTGATCTTGCAGCTGTCAATGGCCCACAGAACGATCGTAACGTTGTGTTCAGGCTTAAACCATGTACATACCGTCAGTGCCCATCATGGCAAGGTCAGGTCAGGTCAGGTCAGGCAGCACTAACAGCCCAACAGGCTGGGAACGCCTGGGCGCAGCGAACTCCGCGCGCTCTTGGTAGCGAACAGCAAGAGCTGATTTGCTAGAGGATCTACCCCGGGTACAATTGCCTGAAGAGGCATCCCCCACCCGGCCCTAATCGATTGGCGTCCAACTATGCCCCAATGGCCATTTCAGGATGGACTGTGGTGTGCGTGTTCTCCGGCTTCGATCCTCATCATCATCATCCCACACTCTTTTGTTCTTTGCCCCGTCCGCAAGTGGAATGGCATGATACAGCATGGCATTCGACATCTCTTGTTCATCTCGTGACGTGTCGTGTCCGTCTGCCTGTCAGTAGCCTTGAGGACTGGTCTCACCTATAGAACATCATGTACATTATCGTCTGTTTTTGGCCTTCTGCTTTGCGCATTACTAAGTATGTTTGATGATCAACGCGAAAAGAATTGAACCAAGCTACCCGCCTGGGCTGGATCCACTTGCGGATTATTATTTTGTCCTCCCCTTCTGCCCGTCATTCGAGTCAAGACATGGGGCCGCAAGGCACACGCCAGACCGCGACCGAGGCTGTCAGACGGCTCTCGGCTCAGTCGCCGGATTTGTACTACCAAAGTGATTTTCAGTAGTCTACCAAATACCCTGTTTCTATGGTAGAGAACAGAACTTGGGTGGCTAGCAGAAATCGCCATCCCGAGACACAAACCTTCGTCACCCATCCGTCTTGGGTCACGCGAGATTGTTCAGCGACCCCAAAAAGCCCCGCCACTTGCTATGCCTCGAAAGAATGACGATGAGTCTCGATTCCGAGCCGCGAAAGACAAAGAGCGCGATGTGCGGTCCATGTCTCGGCTACAGCGAGGAGATAATCCTCTCGGATCACGACATCATCTGAATAAAGAAAGATTTTTTTTTCCCCCTTCCCGAAATGAAAGCCTCTTTAGGGATCTTCATTTCATTTTGCCTCGAGGAACTGTGTAACACGGCACTGCCTTCCGCGCGCACCCTTCATTCACCGACAGCGGCACGGATATCCGGCGGCACTTGACTTCTTGACATGCTACCTTGTGCGAGGCCGTTCTTCATGTTGTGTCTTCGGTCAATTTGGCACGGCTTCAACACCAGCCAGCCGTTAGGAGACGATGAGCCGAATGTATGCTAAACGCTGTCGCACTCGTATCAGATCGTCCGCTATACCATTAGTAGTGCGACATGGCCGTTAGGGGGACGGGACGTAGGAAAAAAAGGCCTTCTACAGACCTTCCAAACCTTCTGTTCCGTCCCCTCGGCGCGCTAAGCAGGGCTACTACCACTTGTCCCTGGCTGGGTTTCTCCCGCTGAAGAACCATCATGTTCATCGTCAATCTAAAGTATATATGTACCCTGCCATTGCCATGTTGCAGTGCATCTGTCACGAAGTTAAAAGGCAGTGATTCCAGTTGGCAGAGTTGCTGGTACATTGCAGACTGCCGTCAATGTAACTTGGGCCAAAACAAGCCGTGATGAATGATGAAACCAAGAGCAAACATGCTTGGGCCACTGGCGTTACGGCAACCGAAGCCGATACTGTGCACATAAAAAGCAAGAGTAACCGCAAGGGCCCCACCCACTCATGCAGCGGAGGTGAGAAAGGGAAGGAACAGAAAACAAATGGCCACACAAGCACACACACAAGATTCCCACAATTTAACAATTTTCCCTCGTGGGTCAAAAACAAATCACCCTAAATCATCCTCGCACATGCAGATCATGAGACCATGAACACTGAGGGGGCGGAAGGCACAACGAATTCTCATTGCGGGAAGAACTCTCTTTGGATGGGCCAAAATACAAGCCTTGCTGCCTCCGTGGGCCGAATAGTGATAATAATAATCTTAAACGTCGGAGATGCCTCCCAAACCCGCCCAAGAGGCACTCCGGCGGCTGTACTCCAGTACCTCTCGAAACAGGCCTGAATCTGGGTCCTGGAAAGCTGTGGGGAGAAGAGAGGGAGAGGGAGAGAAGAGGTCGGTGGCCCAGAGCGGCAAAGTGCGCCCGGTGACAGTTATTTCATTCCCCATAGCAAATTCTCACGACTCATCGTTCATCTCTCTGTTCATGCACGGGCTGCGTGTCTGACATGTGCTGATCTCCTGGACTCTCTCTCGTCTCTCCCAGACCCTGCTGGACGGTTTCAAGGCATGACTTGTACTGTGCTAAAGCTTCAAACTATCGGTCTGAAACAAAATGGCTTTCTGAATCTTCAACTTCTTCCTACATAATGCGGCCAGCACTCAAGGACCCCTTCCCCACCCCAAATAGATTGGCGCTTTGAAAGGACGCGGAGCGAGCAGTAGTTCTCCTTACGTACTGAACAAATGCGCAGAGAGGGCCTAGGCACTGCCGTTGTCACCTGGGCAACTCCGACTGGTTGCACTCTCTTGTATTGTGGTAGAATAACTTAAAGAAAATAAAGACACGTAATCTCAGGACCCAAAGGGAAGACGGGCACACCGCCGCTATCGCTGTCGTTCATGTCCTCATGCTTCGCTTCCCATTCCCACGAGCAACACTCTCTTTGGGGCCGTTGCATACGCAGGATCTCATCTACCCGCCGCCCCTCTCTTCCTCCTTCCACGCGGGAGCCGGCGGCCTTAGCCGAGCAGGATTTGAAAATAGGTCCCCTCTCCCCAGGCCTTCTGGTATTTTTAGGTTCTCGAATAGAAGAGAGAGAAAAGGACGGTGTCGAACGTTCGGTCAAACGTTAGAGACCATCATGGTGCATGAACCTGAGTGAGACGGTGCTGGCCGAATGGCCTATGATACGCTTGATGGTCTCTTTTCCTGGCCCTCTCTCGCAAGGATTACAGGGGCCCATTTGCTCTCTTCCCACCTCTCCTTCTCGTCTGCCTCCTCCTTTCTCTTGAAGGAGGGTGTTTCCTAGTCAGATCCTCCGACAACACCCCCCCCCCCTTTTTTCTTCCCTTTTGCGGCTTGTCGACGAGACTTGGGGTTGTGTGAGGTTGGAGTGGTCGTTGCACACATTTGTTAACACCAGTGTAAACAACAGATCCCTCACTTAGCTCCCCTTCAGCCCATACGTCCTACAGGCTTCATCGAGCAGGACACCGCGTGCGGTCCACGGCGCGAGGTTGCCCCTACCCCCCTCCCCCTCCTTTCCAGAGTCGAACGTTGCTTATGGGCTGTCTGTCTGCCTGCCTGCCTGTCTTCCTTTGCTATTCAGAAGCGAAGGTCTCTTGCTATTGATCCAAAAAAATTGTGAAGTGATGGACTTGACACTGCGCAGGATAGGATCAATATTCTGTACCGACTGAGGGTAAAGTTTTCTCTACTAGCCAGATTAGGGCACCCATATCTCCATCCCTCCCCTCCTCACCCCCTCCCCCTTTTGCTGCTGCTGCTGACATTCTTGAACCCGAGGGGTTGATAAGACAGCCCCATCGCCAGAGGCTTGAGTGGATCATGCTCGTCACATCACCAAGTCCTCCAGGCCGAGAAGCAGCATCGGACGGAGGCCGAGGAGAGTGGGGCATCCAAGCTCCCGGGACGGCTGGACGCTGGGGGCTCTCTTGAGGTGTGGATCGCGGGGGAGCGTCAAAACAGCGGAGGACGGCCACGTGGGAGGTGGGCGATGATGGGGCGGAAATTTCCGTTCACGTTATCTTGTGGTTGTCGTCGTCGTGCCCACAAGGTTTGGAGGACTGCGTTGTGATGAGTGAAGGCTTTTGTTTCACACGCTTGGGAGAGAGAAAACTGGCGGTGATTGTATAGGAAGGTTGACCACGTAGACATCCGCTGTATTGAGGAAGCTATTGTAAAGTCGGATCGATCCCCAGGGATTATGACATGAGCGTAGGAAGCTTGTAGTCCGAAGCAAATGCTCTTTCTTTCCAAAAATCCCTCCCATCGACCACATAAAGATGTAGCGTAAAGATATAATCCCACCTTGCTGCCAACAGCCCTGAACGCCAAACACCAGCTGAAAATCATTTGGAACGCCACGACCATCCCCACTTGCCCTCTTGCCTTCACTTGTGCTTCTTCGGCAGGTATTTGACCCACGGGACGCAGTTATTCGCATCCCCATGTGCCCCATAGTCCTGCGCCGGGACGAACTGGCCCGTCTGCAGGCTACCCTGCACAAAGTAGACATACCATGCCTCATGGAGCTCATCCCGCCCGCGCCCGCGGCACCGCAGCACCACTTTCCCACCGCTAAACTGCTCGAGGATGGCCCGCACGTCCTCGAGCGGGTAGTGGCGCCTGGCGTGGGGGGTGATGCCCTTCAGCTCCAGGGCGGTGTACGTGTCCAGCATCTTGAACAGGCCTGTGGCACGTGTGAAGTAGTCGACGACCTCCTTTCCGGCTGCGTAGCCTGGCTGGTAGCAGGATGGGGCGAGGGTGTTGATGCAGGTGGCGTGCTTGTTGTACTCGTGTATCCACAGGTTGGCATTGGAGCCGCGATCGGCGACCCAGTACCGGTCCATGAAGTCGAGGAGGTCGGTCTGGTTGTAGGAAGAGAGGATGGAGGTGATGTTGGTGAATCTGGGCGACATGCCACAATAGGTGTTGTAGGTGCCGTCGCAGAGGTCGGGCCTAGACCAGAACAATTCATCAGTCTTCCATACATACTGTATCTGTCCAACCCCGAAAGGAGAATGCATGGGGGGACAAATGCACTTACCACAGCCCGTGGAGGGTCCAGTCCTCCTCGGCGCCACCGACGTGGACCTCGCGATCCCAAAACTGTGTCAAAAGTATCCTTCCACCGGGGTAGATAAAGCAGCACGACTGGTCGCCCGCGACTGGCGTGCTGTTGTGGCAACTGAGGGGTCCGTTGATAGGACACGAAGGTGCGTCGCTGAGGGGCTCGTAGGCGGTGACGTCGACGCCGCCCGCGTAGTTGCTGCTGCTGCTACTGCTAGGATGAGACAAGATTTCACCGACGCCCTGCAGACCAGAGCTGACAGATGGCTGAAACGGATTCGGTATGTCCTGCAGGATGGGAATCTGGGACAAAAAGTTGCTGGCGTAGGCCAGTGCTGCGCGTAGGGAGGTCATCTTGGGAGGGGATGGAGAGTCTGCTGCTGGTTGCTTCAAATATGAAGACGAGCTGTTTGTGTGTATGGATAGGTCGTCATTTCGTTCGCAAATCTACACGAGAGAGGTTTGTCGGGAAGGTCAAGATGTTGGGAATAGTGGTGGATGGGTGTGGCAATGCAGCCCTCGAGGAGAAGTCGTCGTCACATCAAGTAACGTGGGGGTGCTTGTGACGCAGGCCGCAACGGCGTTATTGTAGCATGGAGGGTGGTAGACAGGGGGGGTTGACTAGTGTAGAGTAAGTAGTATACGCTATGCTATTTTAGGTGTTCTTCAGTGTTCAGTGCTCAACTCAGCAGCAGATTCCAGCGTCCATTCTAATCCATGCTGTAGAATAACTGGCATAGAGTGAACCTGGACACTGAGCTTGATTTATGGCACCTCGTTCTCGTGCTGAACCAGCCGTGAACATCTGGTCATTTTCTCTCCATCCTATCTGATGGAGCAGAGGGTATCTCGCCCTCTCGTCCTTCCTCTACTAACACATTTACTCGCCCACACAGTTGATACTAGCAATGCTCAAGCACCAGCAAACCTGCACAATATCTGGGCAGGAGACTCATCGGCCCTCTTGTCGAATAATCGAGAAGAGCATTCGATTCCGTTGAACTTTGCGAAAAGTTCCATTTTTCTGAAGGAGACATCTTTGGAGGCTAACTGTCGGAAAGGGCCTTCAGAGGACAAAACGCTTTACAGAAACTTTGTGGCACAGGCCCTGCGACCCGAGGAATGTCTATTACAGGCCTTTCAAGAACAATACGACAACCTCAAAACCATATCATTTCCAGTCGAGTCGCCTAATTGAATCATCTTCAACAGCTTCAAATCACACAAAGATGGCCCTTGAAGATATATTCCCAGAGCCCCTCGTCCTGGCGCCTCTCTCGGGTACTCACAGACACACCATCATCTTACTGCACGGCCGAGGCAGCAGGGCAGATGCTTTCAGCACAGAGGTGTCAGGAACTCACCTCAACAAGCTGCCCAACTTTGCAGACGACTTGGACCACAACGCTGCGCCGTCCACCACCCCGCCGAGCCCAACAGCCAGGAAGGACCCTACGACCCTCCAAGAGGCCCTCCCAGATGCCAAGTTCATCTTCCCTTGGGCTCGCAAGCAGCGTGCGACCGTCTACAAGCGCAGCATCATCCGCCAGTGGTTCGACGACTGGCACTGCAGCCCGGAGTTATCAGGCGATATCGTGGACACGCGGTACGACAAGGGTCTGCAGACACCCGGGCTCGGGGACACAGTGAGATTCCTGCACGGACTGATCGCCGCGGAGGCGAGGATTCTGGGTAGCGCACGGAACGTCGTGCTGGGAGGCTTCAGTCAGGGGGCGGCGGCAAGCTTGGTTGCTGCGCTGCTATGGGATGACGGCGGAGAAGGGCTGGGGGCCGTGGTGAGCATGGCTGGGAGGCTGCCTTATCAGACGCAGATCATGGCGCATCTCGACACGGCTGCCTGCGCTGGTAATGGTAGTTCGGAAGTTGGTGACGACTATGACGTCGTCTTTGATCCTTTCGAGGACCCAGCGACGCTTCAGGACGGCGAGACAAGGGCTGGGCCGACCCTTTCGGCGATAGAATGGCTGCGGGAGGAGATTGAGCTGCCCAAGGAAGGGCGCTCAATCCTGCGGCACGCTCAAAGCACGACATCTGTTCTCCTTTGTCACGGACAGGACGACCAGCAAGTCTACATCGAAGGAAGCAGACGAGCATTAGAGATCCTCCCACGTCTCGGACTGCGTCCTGTTGTGTGGAGGACTTATGACGGCGTAGGCCATGCACTTTCCGATGACATGCTCTCTGATGTGGCGGGCTTCCTGCGAGGAGCACTTGGTCTGAGTTGATAGAGGGACGCACAGTCCGGAAGTCGTCTTGTGTAATGCTCGTGGCTGGGCGCCAAAAGTCTCACGAAAAATGTCCAGATTATTATGCTGATGAAAGCTATATACATATCATGATGTGACTTCAATCATCATCCATTACAGGGTCCAAACGCCGTTACTTGTATGCAGCTCATCAACGGAATCGGCCCCCCTCCTTCCTTCAATTGCTCTCTGAAGGCTTTCCACCCCTTTTCCTTCCCCTATCTACAGACCACACACGCTAGCATCGACCTGCGTAGCAGTGGCAGTGATCCGACCCAGAGCCACAGCCTGGTTATTCGTCAGGAAGTTCAACGCTGCCTCTGCAATGTTGAACCCGCCCTCGCCAACATCGATAGCAAGCACATTGATAGAGTTTCCATTGTACGCGAGCGTCCAGCAGGTTCCGCACTGGAAAAGAAGTGTGTCAGCATCCATTCCATGGGTGGATGTTGGTGCTGGGACGAAAGAAAAGAAAAAAAGGACTTACGCTCGCAGAGTTCCACCCAGTGACGGCAGGGGCACCTCCGATATAGGGGAAGTCTGGCAGCGAACCCGCCGTGGTGTAGCCCTTGGTGACCAGGCCGTTGGCGCCGTCTGAGCAGGCGACGGTGTTCAGGTCGAGGGCGGAGTTGTCGTAGGTGGTGTCGTAGGACACTGCGCAGGATGTCAGTAGGAGAAGGGTGACGAAGAGAGGAGGGGGTGTTTTCAGAACATACCGCTGACGGAGCTCTGGGCGCTGGCGGCAGCAGCCAGGGCGACGATGCTGAGGACCTTGGAAAAGAACATCTTTATGGTGGTGATGATGGCTAAGTTGAGAGGAGAGGGCTGTACTAGACGAGGTTTTGAGATGAGATAGAGGTTGTCCTGGAACGAGTGAAGAGTGTTGCTGTTGGAGGTGATGATCCGAATTCTCCAACTTCATCTGCGGCGGCCAGCAAGGTATTTATACGTGATCTTCTCTTCTCAACATGTAAAAGACCTTGCTTGTCCCCATCTACAGTAAAGTAACATCGAGCCGCCAAGCAAGATGCCAGCAAGGTGCTAGCATCTTGTTACCCCATCTGTCTTCTCACTCACTCGCTTTGTCTCTCGAGGCAACGTTGTGATGGCACCACCCACGCCCACTCCTCCGTTCTTGGCGGTCGTCACTTACTGTTCCAGAGCGGAGTCTTGGAGGGGTCTCAAGGGCCAATTCAATAAGCCCTAGCAACGGCTCATCGCCTGCAACACACTGCACCGCACTGCACTTTACTTTTTGGTCTCTTGTATGCGTCCCCCCCGCACTCCAGGACAAGGGCCAGGGCAGCCCCCGTGGCGGAAGAGATCACGAGGGCCACAAGAGGCCGTATAGTCACCAGCCCAAGCCCTGCCCCTCCTAGGGTGGCTGTAAGTAGATCAGAGACAAAGGCGCAGAAAAAAACCAAACCGCATGTACAAGGCCAAGGAGCAATGGGAAAAACAAAACCCATGTGTTTCTCGTATCGATCGGTCCGGGACATCCATCGGCCAACACGATCGACGGTTCGTATTCACGAAATCTCAATGGCTGGATGGGATGACGAAGGTGCCTCTCCAATGGAACCTCTCGCGCTGCACTCGCAAAAGCGGGAACATTTGGTCCCAGGTGACCAAATCGCCCCGGCAGTCAGGCGAAGCAGCGGGAGCGCTAATGCAAGTTTATGGCATATATGCTTACTGTTTTTGCTCGGTTGTCTACACGTAGTCGTGTTGAAAAGCCTAGAGGTGGATGATGGGTATGTGGGGAAATGGTTTTTTTCTTTTATCTTTCTTTTTTTCTTCACCAGGCCAAGTAAGTAATTTTCTTTAATTTTTTTTTCAAACCCAATTAATATACTTGTGGCACCCATTAGCTGCTGTTTTTTTCTTTTTATTTTATTTTTCAGGCTGTGGACTCTTGACCGCTGCTCTTCTCTCGTGGGGCCTCAAGAGGTCACTGCGGTGCCGCAGTTGCTTGGCTTCGGAATCCTTCCTTCTGCAAGGGTTTTGGGGAAAGGGGGGGGGGGGTTGGGGGTTTGTTCTAGATTTTCCCTTTCTTTCTTCTCTGTTCTTTCACTACTTTGCTGAGTTGTCAACCTTCAAACCTTCCTGGCATCCTACCTAATCATGCTTTGGGCGGAGTTCACAGCAAGTACTTTTGCCATGCGCGGCGATCTGCACGCATGAGCTGAGCGCTACCTCGTGAAGATGGATCCCGCAAGGCTTCCCCGGGGCTTGCTGAGTAAGTACTCACAGCTGAGCCCAGCTTTGGTCGGTGTACGACTCCTGCAGCGAGTGATAAGACGACACAGGAGAGAACTCCGTCTCCGCACCACCGATGGGGAGGACAGACAGGAATCTTGGGGAAAGTCTAAGCACACGTGACGCTCGGCTGCACCGAGATGGACAAGTCGGGAAACTAGCTGTGTCTCTGGTTGACTGACTGTTTTCTTTCTTTCTTCGTCTTCGTGGATTCATGCTTTGCTGTCCGAGGGTTCCACGCAACAAGGTCGACGGAACGAAAGTGTTGAAATCTCTTAATGGCACAGGATGTCTAGTAGGTTCTACTGCCTAGCCGGCACGCTTGGTCTGTGAGCACCGCAAACGTTGGATGCTGCAGTGAGGGCCATCATTAGGCACGTTCACACATAGTGCAGACCAATTTGCGACGAACAAGGAATGCTGTTGCGGCTTCTGGAATCATTGCAAATGCAAGTACAACCTCCAGTTGGCATCACGAGGTCGATCATCCGACGGCTCGGTCATCTTGAACACAACAGACAGACGGGTCTTTGCACAAGGCCAAGGATGTCAGCTTCAGTGCGGTCTTCAGGACTGAGTAGTAGGTCAAGAATATCCACCATTGCCATAATTCATACCAACTGTTCTGGACTGGCCAATAGGCAACGGTGCATATCTGCAACATAAATACTGAATGGCACTGGTAGCTGGTCTAAACAATATTCGCCGCATTGCTGCTTGGTATCTTGTGTACTCTTGTATCGGGTGGGTATTTCAACTTCCTGCTCCTTGTCGTCCCCCGAAGACAAGTCATGAAAATGTTGATATTGTGAAGGGCATAAACATTCGTGAGAAGTCCCTTCTTGGCCTATTCAATATTCTCACCGCCACCACCAATTCATAATCTCATCTACACCGAACCGCCGGCGGGCTGGGCTTGTTGTCCCTCCGACGAGCCGTCGTCTCGAGCCTCTTACACGCCTCCATCAGCTTGGCCGATACCGTGTCCACGTTGTTCCAAGAAAAGACACTGAAGTGATGACCAGGGATATCAATGATCCTCGTGAAGAAATCCCGCCTGTAGTCGTCCCACCCGAGCGCCAGATCATCACGAGCCGTGTCGACTAGGCTCACCTCGTCAAGCTCAACAGGCACGGCCTCCTCAGCGCGGAGCAGTATGGCAGGCGGACAGGAGTCCTCCTCCGCTGCCACCGCCGCCACCTCGTCCTCTGCGTCGTCCTCCGCCTCTTGCTCCCACCGCGGCAGCTCATATGCTTCCAGCGCCTTCACCGCCTCCGAGAAGCACCACTGCACGCGCTCGATGGTATCCCGCTTCGTACCCACCCCCGCCGCGCCCCGGAACGGTACCACCCGCCTGCCCGCCAGGTGCTGCCTACGCCGCTGCATGCGCAGTCCCGAAGGACAAATACTGTCAACCATGACAAGCCCGATGACTTGGTGGGTCGGGTCGCCAGCTAGCAGACGTGCCATCTCAACGGCCAGGATGCCACCCAGAGACCAGCCGCCGAGCAAAATGGGGCCGCGCGGGACACGCCTGCGCAGGAGTTCGACGTAATGGCGGGCCATCTCTGGGATGCCTCCGGTCCAGGGCTTCCGTGAGTAGAAGCGCGGGTTGTGGAGCGCATATGTCGGGCGGCCGAGGGGGTTGAGGCAGTAGTACGCGAACGAGGTGCCTCCGCCGTCGTGGATGAGGACGAGGGGGGTGTGGGAACGGAGGCTTTCCGGGTGGTTGCCGTCCGTCGTCTCGAAGACGAGGCCGGGGTTCTCACTCTCTAACATTCTTGAAAGTTTGTATTGTGACAAGTAGATAGACCTAGACGATGGTTGGTTTTCACTTGTAACAACAAGGCTGCGTAGAAAGCCGGGATATCTTTTTCGTGGTTTTGTTGTCTATATCCCAACACGGCGAGAGGACCCCCCTCTCGGCATTTTTCTGGCTCACTGCCGGGAATAAGTCGGGGTTTTCCTTCTCGTCTTCTTTGATGAAGTTGTTGATGAGGAGGACGACGACGTTGTTGATAATGTGGATGACAAGAGATTACACGTCAACTTGCTATGGTGAAATCACAAGAAAGACGAAAACCAACTATACAAATGAGGGGAACAATCAGTTGGACTTTCAATACCTAGCAGAACTTCGGTTCACAAGAGGCAAACATACCGTCTGAAGGATCTCCGAATCCCACTTCGGGGATTTAGATATGATAAGCTCTGTTGCCCATTGAGAAAGGAGCTGCTTACTTTCGGTGATTTCTCCTGTCTGACCAGGCGCGGTCATGACTCCTGAAGGAACTGACATCCACCTGCTGCTGCTGAGGACAGACCATGATAAATAGTTCAGGGTGCGCTGCGTGTCTATGTAGCATGTAAGCCGTATCAAGACACAATTGATAGAAAGTCCCAGAGGCGACTGACTGGTTGTAGATGATACCATCGTGCTCAAATTACCTTTAGGAGTACTCAGGTACACCATCAGTTTACGTTACACACTATACTTACCTAAGCATAGCGCCAAGTTTTATGACAGGTGAGGAGCAGCTGCAGGTACCACTTTTGTGGCTCTGTGAGCACAGAAGTGAGGAAGCCATGACGGGCTGCTCTTCCCATACCGCGAAAAACAAGTCCAGGAGAGCAAGCTTGGACGACAAGCATCCAATAGAGAGGCCAGCGCACAAAGATCATTTCTAAATACGTGCTACAGTGCTACCTCGCTCCCACCCCACTCTCCCCTCTCCCTTTCTCCCCCACATCGCTGGGCGGTTCTACAGACTCAGGGCCGAGTTCTCCGATGTAGCCCAGTGACAAAAGGAGGATTCGTCATCCGTCAAAATCACTGCCGTGGCTGCCCATAAAGAACACGAGATTTTGCATTGCTGCGTCATGCGGGCAGGGATAACTGTCTGGCTCGCCTACGTATACATACGTACCTGCACTTCGCTACCACCGAGATGCTGCGCCAGAGTGCCATAAAGCCGATCTCAACTTGCTAAAAACTCTACATCGCATCTCCTCTGCGGATGGCCGATCACCAGAGCTTACCCGCGGACGAGCGTTCAGGCGGAAGGCCGAGGTTGTCTGGACGGGCGTAAATCCCGCGCTGTGCTGATGTTTCGTTTCAACTGGGGCTCACTGTGGACCGGACTACCAATGTCTGCTGTCTGCTGCATACACCCTTCATTCACCCCCTGACATGTTGATCCGGCTGTTGATATCGCGTCTGCTGGCCCCTGTTTTCGATGGGGAGAGGTCGTACTAAGGAGTGGCAGCGGTTCTCGCAGGTTGAGCGTAGTTACGACGGAAGGACCATGGATGTATACATATACATATATACATATACATATATACATATACATATATACATATACATATATATATATATATATATCAACCAAGGGAAGATGGCCCGCCTCGGAAAGCTCGAGTCTCGAGGGTCAAGACTGGAAGCCGCAGACCTTGTGTCCCTACACTCTCGGAAACAAAGTTCTAGCTCTTGATCCTTTGTAGCAGGCAGTCACCATGCGCACCTCGTACCTGCCGCTTGCCGCTTGCCTGGCCGGAGTGGGCTGGGCAGCATCACCCCTGTATGAGACCGTCATCAACATCACCGACTTCGGTGTGGTGCAGGGCAGGGCAGCGCTGAACAGCTCGCAAGGTGGCCATGTGCCCAATTGGGAGGACATCTCCTTCTTCGGCGGCGTGCCCTACGGCGCCGACACGTCGGGCGCCAACCGCTGGCTTGAGTCGCAGCGCGCCACGGCCTGGACCGGCACAAAAAACACCACAGACTTCGGTCCCCTCTGCCCCTTTGCTGGAAACCCCCAGGATATGGTTGCGCGCTATGGCGAGAGCGAGGACTGCCTGACGCTCAACATCTGGACCCCCGCCACGTCTGCCGACGACCTCCTGCCTGTGGTCTTCTGGACTGTTGACGATGGCACCGTCCCGCCGCAGTCCGTGTACGAGGGCTCCGGCCTGGCCTCCCAGGGCGTCATCTTCGTGACGTACAACTACCGCAGCGGCGTGCTCGGCTGGCTCGCCGACCCGGCCCTCGTCGAGAGCTTCGGCAATGTCGCGGCGACAAACAACGCCACCGGCAACTGGGGCCTGGAGGACCAGCTCCACGCCTTCAAGTGGGTGTCGGCCAACATCGCCCTGTTTGGCGGCGACCCCGACCACATCACCGTCGCCGGCCAGGGCAGCGGTGCCGCCACCGTCCTGCATCTGCTCAACAACGAGGAGGTGGTTGAGTTCGACCTGAACATCCACAACGCCATCGCCCAGTCCGGGCTCCGCTATCCTAGCGACCCCGAGCTGCAGCACGAGTCCGGCGCCGGCGCCTACTTCAACCAGACGTACGCCAAGGAACTCGCAGTCGGCGTGCTGGACGGCCTCAACGTGTCCACCGTGGCCGAGGCGCGCGCCTTGTCGTACGAGCAGCTCGTTGAGGCCACCGCCAACGTGTCCTTCAGGCCCAACCTCGATTACTACCTCATCCCCGAGACGTACGCCCTCGACTTGCAGAACGGCTCTGCCACCAAGGTCCCGGTCCTGACGGGCCATGTTGCTGATGTAGAAACCAGTGCCGTCGTCACCACCACCACCACCACCACCACGACTGGCTATCAAACTTTGCTCCAGTCCCGGTATGGCAGCAGTTGGGACTCCTCCTTCCTCGCTCTCTACCCAAGTGCGAACGACACCCAGACTCTCGTCCGCGATCAAGCCCGCGTCAGCAGCTGGGCCTTCGCCGCCGACTACACCGACTCGTCCGGTGGCCTGCCCACCTACACATACTACTGGGACTACGCCTCCCCGCTGAGCAACGGCCGCGCAAGCCACGGCAGCGAGATCCCCTACGCCCTGAACAACCTGTGGGCGCAGGCAGGCGCCAACCTCACGACGCAGGATTACACAGTCGCCAGTCTCCTGAGCGCCTACTGGGTCAACTTCATCAAGACGAGCGATCCAAGCAACTCGACCTTGGCCACCAACGAGACCGCCCTGCCGGCTACCTGGAACGCCAACTCGCCCACTGACAACACGACCTTCCGTGTCGGCAGTGCGTGGGAGGAGATCCCCATCGCCGGTTCTGTTGACAAGATTGCTTTGTTTGAGGAGTTCTTCGCGGCCCAGACTCCGTCCTGAGCTTATAGAGGAGGACGGCGGCGGCGTTGTGATTCAGTGTCATATCTTCTGATCTCATTGGCGTTTAGCACCCGAAAACGATTTCTCTTTTAGAGTGTATATACTCATATATGTATGATTATTCGAGTTTTGGTTTTGAGACTATCGCAGTTCCTGCCCCAAGATGCACCGTGCTACTTGCCAGCGATGTTACAGCAAACATATGGTTTCGCAGAACTGTATATCATATTACTAATAAGAGGGCCTACATGTGCGCCGTGCAGCCTGACCTGCGAGATCGTCAGCTGGGGCTGCCAGAACAAGGCATGGGTGCGATCTGACGGGAAGGCGTAATGGTGCAGAATACAACACGTGGAGACATGCTGTGAGTGATGTGTGTATTACACTTCTGACGGCACAGTAGTGCTCCAGTTGACACTTGAATTTTGCTGACATGTTCGTGGTATGCGTGTCTTGGTACATATAGTTGGCACTATAAGCCCACCAAAGTTCTTGTACCTGTGTCTCGACCCCACCTCACCGCATCGCCCCACATGTCCTCTGGACCCTGGGATTTTTTTGACGTCAGCCCTCCTCGAGATCCTGTTTTCAAGGGCCTCATGATGATGAAATGGCTTATACGTTCAGAGAGGGCAGTATCAGATATTCCTTACATTTCTACGTGACGAATGTCCCCTCCTCCTCCTCAATACTCGAGCCTCGTCACCCTTTTATTTTATTTTTTTCCTACTCCACTCTTCAAAAGTAAACCTCCCACCTTCCATCCTAAATTTTGCAACTGTCAGTTACTTAAATCCCTAGTCGAGGACATTTGACGACTTACACGAAGCATCGACCTCGTATTCTATACCAACAAACCAAAGAAATCTCCAAACTACAAGCGTACATAAAATTCCATCTTCTATCTTTCTCCCCACCCAACAACCTCAAACAATAACAACAAACCATGTCTCTTCTCGGCCTCACAAACCAGTCCGGCCAAGGCCAAATGGAAGGTCAGATGCAAGCCCACGGCAAAGTAGGCGGCATGTTCAACGGCTCCCCCTCGGACGTGACCCACGACCGCGGCGCCAAGAAGCCGCCCAAGAAGGAGCGCAACACGATCGCCAAGCGCAACCTGGCCGACGCCATCGACTGCGAGACGCTTCTGTGGCGCGCCTACTGCGACGAGCCGGACTCGGTCCTCGAGTACATGGCCAAGGACTGCATGGTCATCGACCCCGTCACCCTGGGCACCGCCGAGCCCACCGACCGCGATGAGCTCGAGGAGAAGCTCAAGAAGGTCAAGCCGTGGACCTCGTACCGCATCCACAAGGACACGCGCGTCGTCAGCCAGATCGGCCTCATGTCCATGGCCACCATGTGCAGGGTCACCCTGTACAAGATGGGCAAGACCGCCAAGGAAAATGAGCAGGTCGAGGCGGTTACTTCCTCGGTCTGGAGGCAGACTGCCGGTGCTGAGTGGGAATGCTGCAGTCTGCTGGTTGGCTATGCCGAGTGATTTGATGTGCTATCACAAGAAGCCAGGAGGGAGGGTGTGGGGGGGGGGGGGGAGAGGATTTTACAAGTCTTCCTTTCCCCTCTCCCTCTCCTACTTTCGTTGTGTATGTGTTTTAATCTGTATTGCTGGCGTTTGAATTGCGTTTTTCTCAACCATCTTGGGACGGAGAATTTGCGAGCCATGTATTTCTGGCCGGTGTACGAGCAGCTGTGATAGTCAACGACTGATAGGCACTTAATGATTTAATGATTTATGTTTTCAAAGATTGCATTCATCCGACAGTTTTGGTTTCCTGCTAAAGAAATCAACAAAGCAGCTATCCTAGGCCCGATTGCGCATATGAAAGGAGGACCCCTCCTTTCCCAATACCAACAGCCCCTCCATCACCAAGGTTAACAACGAGTATCTGCGGAAATATCATTCCATTCCACCAATTCATTGCAATTCGCCTTCTCCACATACTTCCTCGATTGGCAGTGCAGTTCTCAGAAAATCTTCGAAAAAGTCACTCCCAAAGAACAGGACAGGGCGAGGTGGACGACGGGCCAATTCTGTCATCAGTAAGTTCCCTATGACGTTGAGTGAGAGATGTCATCTGGCGAATCCGACTGTGGAGTTGGTAGAGGTCGCGATTGTAACGGCTGGGCCTCGGCATTGACCCCAGAACGGGTAATATAGGGACTGTACAGACCGTAGCCCTGGGCTGTTGCCAGATCTCCAGGTTGATGGAGGGCCCAAGGAGGAACAGGCGGCCAGGCCTGGCTCGGGGCAGTGGAGCGGGCAGAGTCCGCGACAGGTCTGTATGAGCTCAGCTCAAGCTGCGGGGGCATCGGAGGCCGGTCCTTGCGCAACGGCGGGAGTGGGTCGGGGACGACGACGTTCTTCTCGAGCAGCAGAGATTGACCCGAGCCCCAGAAGTGCCAGGCCCATGGGAGCCCCAAATCAGGCGCCTTGTGCTTCCTGAATCCCACAACCTGCCAGAACACCTCTGCCTGTCGGGCGGCGTAGCGGTCCACCTCGCGCTCTTCGGGCCCAGCTGCAATCTTGCCATGGTCCACACGAGAAGGCCCAGCGCCGGCGAAGAGCGGGCGGTTCGCCCGGTATGCCTCCCAAGAAACCCTTTCAAGGGCCCGCCTGACCATGTTCCCGCCGATACCAAGACGGCGGTACTGTGGGTTGACGTGGATATCCCCGAGCATGAGAAACCAGGCACGGTTGATCGGTTGCTCCAGGGAACCTTTTCCAAGGCTTGCGGCGTACTCACGCTTGGGAAACAGTTGGCCTCCATCCAAAATATCAACGACATTGGTGGGGATAACGCCATCTTCGCGGAAAACTTTCGGAGCTGTGAAGAGGGTGCCCAAGCAGTCGGAGAGCGCCAACATGGCCTCCATCAACGGCTTCTTCACCCCATTCCGTGCCTCGATGCATTCCCGCTTAATCAAGAGGCCGAGACAAAACCCCACGACCTCGCCCTTGTGCCTTGCCTCTACCCAGACGGTGAAGGCCCAGGGGCCGATATCCTGGCTCGAGTTCTCTTCAACAAAGACTTCGAACACGACGGGTTCGTTGATTCCTCTACCCGCACTGCCCTTGGGACGGTCATGCTGCGTAGGGGTCCTAGAAGGCTCGTGATCCATCGTAAGTCTGTCCGCGGTGACTGTAAGCTGAGAGAGGATAAACCATGTTAGCTAGTGTAGACAAGCTTGGGAACATAGACATTGCTACTGACCACTCTGGTTATCGTTGTCTGCTATAGGGAGAATTAAATTTTGCCTAAAAGTACGAGGCAACGGTATGCTTGCTAAGAAGGGCAATCTTAAGTCGACGTAGACAAAGATTTCATGTTACGCGTTGATGCTGCATCCTTCCTGGAAACTCGAGAAAGACCTTCAGGACGTCGACCGTATAAATAGTAAGTCAAGGTGCCATCAAGCCCATAGGTCATTCTGAGTAATTAAAGTCAAAGGACGTGAAGTGACACTGGCCCATCGCCATCGTGGGAGGTGATCAAGCCCAAGGAAGGGGATTGATCCTCATGCATGTGGCTCGGCTTATTCATACACTCAGGCTATTCCAGCGCGTTTGATAGTCATCGTTCCGCAGCCTCCTTCAAGGATCGCCTCCAGTGCTCAGTTACTCATCTTCTGTCGCGCGGTATACCTTAGCCTCGTTACATCGACAGGCCTCGGCACCGAGAACGCCTGTCGATCGACCGGCGGTGGTTCATCCAGCACGTTACCCTCAGCGTCGACCAGCTCGAAGTCGAACAGCGCAAAGAAGAAGGCGGTGACGATGGCCACCTCCAGCTTGGCGAACCGCATGCCGATGCACGGATGCCGTCCCGCGCCCCAGCCAAGGTACGCATGCGTGGTCTTCTTGTCCTCCGCACGCCCTGGCAGGTAGCGGCCCGGGTCGAATTTCTCAGGAGCCGAGTACACATCTGGGTTCATATGAACGTCATCGACAGCGTAGATGGCGAAAGCGCCCCGCGGCACGACCTCGCCCGACTTCTTGCTGATGGGCAAATCACCAGCCCCGATATTGCGCCGGAACATGACGCCCACCGTGGACAAACGGATACTCTCACGGAGCGAGAGATCGATCAAGGGGAATTCCGTCTCCCAGTCCTCCAGGCTGAGAGTTGCCAATATCTCCTGAGGGGTCTGCGAGGGCGATGTCCGGTGTCTCTGTAGCGAGGCGTCGACCTCGGCCTGCACGCGCTGGTACCACTCGCGATTGGTCGCGAGGTAGATGATGATCCAGCCGGCGTTGACACCGGTGTTGACCTGCCCCGCAAATAGCGAACCAACGATGAACTATAGCAGAGTTAACATGATGGGACCAGGAAACGGGCCGTGCTCATGCTGGAGAAAAGAGTTGTCTCGCAGCCCCTAGATGGGAAAAGAAGAATAAGAAGATACTCACAGTAGTCAGTTTCACCATATCTGTATCCGCATCCAAGAAAACCTGCATAGTATCCTCCTCCCTCCTCCCCTCTGCTTTTCTAGCCTTTGCGATACTATCGAAAATCCCATACAGCCGCGCGCCAGCATACATCTGTCTCAGCCAGCCCAGCGTAGGAAGCCAAGGGAAAATGATGCGCATGGTACTGGCATTCCGCTCGACCTCCTCGAAGAGCTTCAGCGTCTTGGCGGAGAGGGCTGGGTCGTTGGCGATCTCGACAGCCCCCACTGTCCGCATGGTGAGCTGGTAGACGAGATCGTAGTTGACCACGGCAGGGTCAATGATGCTCTTCTTGCCCTTGGCGCTCTTGTCGTCATCGTCATTATCCTGCTGCTGTAGCAACAGGCGCTCGTATGCAGATGTCGCGTCCGAGACGAGGAACGGTAAACACTTCAGGAGGGTCTCCCGCGAGACGACCTTGGTCATGTTCCGGACCATCCATGCGCCATGACTCTCGGCCAACTCCTTCTGGTCCCTCACCCCGCCCACGTCAGGGCTCGCTGTGAATAGTGTGGAGTAGCTAGATATCTCCAAACACGGACACAGAGATGGTAGTCAGTAAGCGAAAGCAATCGTAATCGTCGAGGTGCGACAACCGTGGGGGGACGGCTGACTGCGGCTGCTCACCCTTCGTTCATGCTCAAGTCCTTGCTGTCGAAGAAAGACTGTCTGGCCTCGGGTCCCGACACACCAACGACCTGAAACTTGCCCATATAGGTACTGAAATTACCCGACGGCGACTTGCTGACAGCCTTGTCGAAGAAGGCCTTGCGCCGCCCGTACAGCGCCAGCGCGCCGAGGATGGGCCATTCCCTGACCAGTTTTGGGGCAGACTTGGGAAACGCCGGCTGCCATGTGATCTTGAGGAAGAGTGCGAACAGCGAGATCAGGACGACGGAGATGCTGGCTTGCCATTTCTGGACCGCCAAATCCAAGGGAAATCCTGTCTGGCTGGACAAGCCCGTCAGGTTCGCCATGGTAGGTCTCTGATGTAGGAGCACTAGGCTGGGAAATAGACGTCTACCAGCCTTGGACCTGAGATGTCAATGGTCTGGCTATTCTAAATCAGAAATTGACGAACGAAAAGGCACTGACTGCGCAGGGAGCTCGCTTCAGGAAGCCATCGAGGAGAGAAAGAGAGAGACGTCAGAGCATCTTTATACATGTTGTGAGCAGGAGCAGCTAAAATGTATAATCATACTACCACCTAAGCCACCCTGGTCCTGGCCCGCGCCCTGGCCCCCCGGTGTCCCGCGATTAAACTAAATGATCTGAACGACGCCACTTGCACCGGCTCGCAACTCATCCGGTAAACCCTTGTACTGCCTAGGACCTCCATGGTTACAGGCCAGCGGCAGGCGAGGGGGAGCCCCTTATCAAACCTTATCCAATCAATAAATAGTGGTTGCAAGCACGTACTTGTGCGGCGAGTGAGCGGCCTTCCTACAGTTCCGCTCGGCCGTTGTTATCAGATGCCAATAGTCATGGGTGGATTGTAATGCCACTACTGCGGCGATAAAATATGGAGGAGAATCGTGGGACCTCTCTGCTGCATATCCGTAGTGTAGGCTTCTACCTTGGCCTCATTCCCCTCCTCTCTCCCTCCCGCAGCGTCCAATTCTTTTTTTTTTTTTTTCGGAGGAGGAGGAGGAGGAGGAGGAGGAGGCAGACTTTTCTGTCGTAATCTCGTATACATGATTTCTAGGTGAGTCTATCTCATCTCAAGTGTAATTATGCTGCCGTTGTCGGCTTTAGGGGTATCGCTTGCACTGAAAGTCAGTCTTTCCTACCAAGCCCAGGTCTTTGCGAATGCCGCACCCACGTAGAGAATATCCAGAAACCCCAGTAACGCCCGGGAAGAAAGCACAAAAAACACAATTCGATCCGTCATCACCTGCCGTCTTGCGTGCGAACCGTCTATACCGCTTCCCAGTCCATGGCATCTGTCATGAACTCCCACTCTTCTGTCTGCCCGCTGGCAGGATCTGCGCTGCCGTTCACTCCGCGCTGAGCAGTCAATGACCGCACCTCGGCGACATATCGGTCCGCAATGCGAAAGCCATGGTCGAAACCAGCAAAGATCAGGTCCAGGATCGACCCCAGATCATACTCTTTGAGCGGCCGAGCGGCGTGGCCCCCAGCAGTTAGCCTTACGGCCAGCGCGGTATCTGGATCGTCTGCATTCTTCCAACGGTTCCGCACTGCGTGTCATTTCTGTAATTAGCTACAGCACATCAGCCGTTTTACTACATTGTGCAGGAAGTTACCCACGCTCCTTGGCCCGCGTAAGCGCAGAGCGGACGTCACTCTTGCCGAGAGCCTCGTGCAAGGGATTTCTTGGATCGTCGAGGGCCCCAAGGACATTGGCGTGGAAGTGATGGTCAGCCTGCCGCTGGCGGCCAGTTGCATCTGCCGGCCTGTCGCCAAAACCCCCCGTGACCTGTATGCCGAAGACGCCCAGGAGGTGCACCAGGGCGCGCTCCAGTAGCATGTAGTATTCGAAGAAGTCCAGCTTGAACATCAGCTCTGCTTCCTCCCGCTGCTCGCCCGTGTACGTCTGGTCGGTGGCAGCGTTGTAGCCGTGGGCCAAGAAAGGCAACTTCCATTTCAGGCGTCGTACGATCTTGGTGTAACGAGCCAATTCGGCCCAAGGCGTTGGGACTCGTCTGAGGGCGGACTCCAAATCAGGATGCGGGTGACTTTCGTTCGGGGGCCCAGGCAGTTGAGAGCTCGACAGCGGTCCATCATGGGCAGGCGTAGATCCGTTCGACGTTGTCCCCGTCGACGGCGTTGCGGAAGGAGAGGTAAAGGTCTGGGTGTGAGACACTTGGACAGTAGTCGTAGTTGATCTTCTGAAGTAATACGGCGATCGACCTGTGTTCAACGGGGCCCGGGCCCAGATGGAGCTGGCCAGACCTTTATCCTGTCCATCAGGCATGGAGGGCATCCCACAGAGTAAATATCACGTGGTGTGGTGATAATGATGGAGGAGGAGAAATGGGGGAGGCGGGGGGGAGACAAGAGATGTTGTTGGCTTCTGCTCCGTAAGAGGACTATTCAGCAGTAAAGAGAGAGCATGGTTATGAGAGGAGGAGCCCAGTCCCGACCAAGATCAGGGCAGAGTGTAGCGTCTGAAGCCGGGAGATGGTCGAGAAGGGCAGTGACAATTATCAATGGGCAAGAGCCCTTAAGGCTTCACAGTATTTTCTTGAGGTGACGCGACGTGTAAGGTACAGCAACACAGGGATCCTGGCTATTTCCAGCATAGCAACCCCCGGGGCTGAGATCCCTATCCTTGTACTGTACATGGAAGCCGCACACAGGGGTCTATCTAGAATCTAACGTCCACTCTCAATTCAAACAACTTGCTATGTAATCACTCCACCTGTCATAAAGTTGCACCTATTCCTGGCCACAATGATTGCAGCGCTCGTAATGCATCATGACCAGACACTAGAGCATCGCGACCAAGAAACTGACACAACGAAATAGTGACGCATCGGATGTCCCCGAGTCCTAAATAGATAGACGTCCCTGAACGTCCAGCTCCTCCTTCGTAATCACGGCCAGTAGAGAGCGCTCGACATTAGCAACAAACATATTCTCTGACTCAGAGAGGAGGAAGTATGCGAATGACGAATCGATAAATCATATTCATGTTGATTAAGGATTGGAAAACAGTATATTCGCACGGGAAGTCGCTCTCTGTCGGACCACCAGCGCTGGCTTACGACTGCCTTGCTGCTTGCCCTGACCACTGCTTGGTCGTCCCAGGCTTGATAGACCACGACCCAGGTCACTTGAACTCGAGAGCGACAGATCGGCCGTCGTCCGCACAGCTCTCGCTAGGGTTTCCAATTCAAGCCTTGGTGATCGATATACCTCCTATTTGTCATAAGTCATGCTTCGCGAACAGTCCAAACGACGGTGTACAGCATAGTACCCATCATCATCAAAAGCCCCCAACTCCAACATCAACAAATTCCACCACGTAATAATGTGGCTGGTGTTGTACGCAAGACAAGATGCTCGCAGTGCAACATGAGAAAGCCAAGACCAGGTATTAGAAAGAAAAAAAGACATGACCTCTTTGGTATCATCGCCAACGCCCGTCACCCTTCTTTGAACCCCCTTTATACATTTCAGCCGCTCATCTATTCTTGTGATATTTGCAACCCTCCTCTGAGAAATCACGACTCGCTCTTGGATTTTCTCGTGGACTTGGCCGTGCCGATGTGCGTGTTATGGACCTATATACAATCAGTCATACTCATTAGGAATAAAGGGAAGAACACGCGTTTGCATAGAAGACGCACCTTGGTCGCAAACCTCAAACTCGACAGTGTCTCGTTCAGGTGGGCCTCTAGTGGCGACACCATGACAAACATGAGTGTTTTGGAATTGCCTCCCAGCGAGTTCCTCAATAGGTACGTCAGCTTCGAGTTGCGGTAGGGGATGTGCTTTTGGCCAGTGCCAAGAGCCTCGATCACGTCGCCCAGAGACTTCAAGCTCGTGTTGATGTTCTGCGTCTCCTTCATGCGGTCCCCTTCGGCACCAGACGACTTGAGACGCTCGGAACCAGCCAGATCAACCAGATTCAGAGTTCCCTCGCAGCGCTCATGGGTAGCCGCGTTCTCGCCAATCAGCTTAAGCGTGAAGACCGAGTGTGATCGGGAAGAGCGCTCGTTGGATTTGGTCGCGGCCACTGATCGGTTTTTCTGCGCCTCATTGAGCATAATCTCCACAGTGTCCTCGGAGTCAAGTGTGACACTCTTGCAGTTGAGCACGGTCGTAGTCTTGCGGGCCTCGTCATGCCGGATCTCGAGCTTCTTCTGGTCCTTGTTGGGCGTCAAAAGGTCATGAAGCTCCTCGTTGTAAACCTCAATGAAGTTGCCCTCCATCGTGTACGTCCAAGACTTCTCCTTCAACTTGTGTACCGTCTCGTAGATCATCTTGGTCGCGCGGGGGATCATGCCGTCGCCCGAGGACATTGTGTACGTTTTGCCCGATCCGGTCTGGCCGTAGCAAAAGATACATACGTTGTACCCGTCCAGCGCGCTCTGTACCAGCTGGGAGATCTCCCCGAAGATCTCCTCGTTCTGGATCTGAGGGGTGAAGACACGGTCGAACTCGAAGGGGAAGGTCTTGGTGGTGATCCTGCCAAGACTATTCTTCTCCTCAGGCCCCTTGACAGAGATCTGGGCTGAGGTCTTGTCATCTGGAAAGTCGAGATCCGCGGCAGAGCCTTCAGAGCCCTCGAGGAGAGGCCGGACCCGGCACATAACTCGGATGTTGCCCTTCAACTCCTGGTACTTGTTGAAGAGCACTCGCCGTTCAGTCTCCTCCTTGATCAGCTTCTGTCGTGCCTCCTCCGCAGTCTTCAAGGCTTCCTGCATCCTGGCTTCCATCTCGGCAAACGAGTCCGATTGCTGCTTGCTGTCGGATTCCAAGAAATGGACTTGCGCCTGCAGCGTCCGCACGGTACCCTCGAGCGACGTATTGGTGCCTATCAGATCGTCAATCTGCCTCTGGAGGTGTCCTTTCTGAGTGCGCTCGCGGTCCAGATCTGACTGCAAGGCTTCAGTTTCGCCGCGCATGTCCGATATTTCCCGGTCCTTGTCCTTGAGAGCTTGTTCCAGGTCCTGCTGCTCAGAGCCCAGCTTCAGCTTCAGCGTCTCGAGCTCTCTGGATGTCTGGTGTCTTTCGTCTTCCAGCTCGACTCGGTAGTGTCTCTTCAAGGCTTCAACTTCTTCCTGATGTCGCCTGCCGAGGGACTCCCTCTCATCAGTCAATGATCTCCGGAGCTCATCAAGTGCGTTACGATGGTCTCGAGTCTGGTCTTGTAGCTTGTATTCGTGGGTCCTGCGCTCTTGGTCCAGCTCCAGACTCAATTTCGCCGTCTGCTGTCTCAGGTCGTCAAGCTCACTCTGCAGGGCCGTATTCTTCTCGTCCAGTCGATTTCGATCACGTTCGAGGTCATTAGCTGTAGGGCGTCAGTCCGCGCCTGGGCAGAAACATCCTGGCCACCTGCGATATGACGGCTTACCTCTCGTCTTCGCCATGTCGATGACTTCCTCCATGGCTTTCTTGTCGCTTAGCGAGACGTTCATTACCTCTTTCATAGCCTTGAATTGCGCTTCGACCTCGATTAGGCGTTCGTCCATGTCCCACGCTGTGAAGGTACGCAGGTTAGAATCCTTAGTCAAGAACGGACGTACTTTGGAAGGAGATTTCGTAGGAGACTCCGTGTACTTCCGAGTGGAAGCCAGGAGGGACTCCCCGAAGTCATCTAGCATCTGCTGGGCAACTTCTGTAGGGTGGACAGTCTTGGGCGTCGCAACGTTGCTGGCCCTAGAGTCCTCTTGTCGCGCAGCTGATCTCACTACGGCATCTCTCCTGCGCGAACCCCTGAAAGTGATGTTGTTGCCCATCTGACTGCTTGAAGGACGCAAAGAAATTGGTGTGGGACTAGGAAGACGGTTCTCTTTGGTTGAAACCACTTGATTTCTCTGGTACGCACGTTCGTCGTCGAGACTTAGGTTTCCCATCATAGTGCTGATCGAGATATCCCTCTTGGGCACTGAGTTGGCATGCCACCCCATTGAATGTATGGATGCAGCCTTTCTGAGTTTGGGGTTTTGCAAAGAACCGAAGGGTGGGGGCGGCATCATACAGTTCTGCTTGCTTGCTGCCGGATCCTCCTCTGTATTGCGACTGTTCATGGACGTCTGAGGCCGAACACGAGCTGTATTGGCTCGCTTTCGTGAATTCGGAGATTGGGGCTGATGGAAGGACATCGACGTCTGAGCCCGCGCAATCGTTGAACTGGAACGGGCGATGCCAGGTCCGACGCTCTGAGCGAAGCTCCCAGTGTTGCGGGAGGACACGGAGGACATCGAGGCGGAGGAGTGATGTCTGGAAAGGGATGTCGTGGTGGACGGCTGCTTGATCTAGGTAGACAATGTCGTTAGCAATGGCGGCCTCGACTTTCATTCGATGCACCTGAAAAGAGTAGCCCGTCCCATCGGCACAGACTTCTTCGCCTTCATGGTCAAGCTCGATAGTATCGCTGAATCCGTCCAGATCATGAGCGTCGACAATGTCGAACTCGTCAAGCTTGAGTGAGCCGGCGGCAGGGAGCGCAAGAGTTGATGTCGAGCAAGCAGCAAGCACTAGAGGCTCTTCTGCAAGATGTGCGTGGCGCATGTTCTCTGGATGGAGGCCTATCCCGTCAGGTGCTCAAAGACGGCGGATATCCCTCGCGAGAATATACGTTCCTAAGTACTTCGAGGCGACAGGGAAGGATGTAGCTTTGCTCGGATCCTTGAATTGGAACCAGCGGGGTCTACCGCTTTTGAGAGCGCGCGCCAAGCGCAGAAATTCTGTCCGGTTGGGACACGAAGGTGCCATAAAGCAACATACTGAAAGAGAACACCATCTCGTAGCTTAGACAACTTACCCCAGACTGCGACGCAAGTGAGACGCCTTTGTTGATGGTCCGCGTTGCGGGCACAGGACCCGCGGTGTGCCTTTCCGGGTACTCGGCTGCCCTCTCCATGAGCGTCTTTCTTTGTTTGGGGTCAGGCTGCACTGCTGTTGGGGGACCAGGCATCAGCAAGTCTTCTTTTTGGGAGCGTCGCGTCTGCGCGCAGCAAATGTAGATATAGATAAGCCTTTATTGACGCACCGTTCCCCGACTGGGGCCGCTTAAGCCCAGGCTGTGGCAGCATTGAAGGCTGAGGTCTGGCGTTGCTCTGGGACTCGGTAAACTCGGTCAGAGTGCCGGGCCTCGCGTTGGGAGCGGGCAGTCGACTTCCTGGGGGACGCATCTGGGACGCGCGAAAGGGCTAGAACACACAAGGAAATAGCAGACGGTCAGCAGCAGCTGCGACGGGAAGGCGATAAGGCCATCGTTGTTGAACCTTAGTAGGGGGGAAACCCAATTTGTGCTACATACCGCATTCTCGGAGTGGTTGTCCATTGTATACCGGTGGTTAAGAATACGTTGATGGGGTAGGACGGTATGGAACAGGAAGACTGAAGCGAGGAGCGAAGCTCCAGGAAGCGATGCTATGAAGGCAGACAGGATGAATATGAAGAAAGTGGAACAGAGAAAGGATCAGGGTGCAGCATTGAAGTCAGTCAGTCAGTCAGTCAGTTCGTCTGTCTGATGACCGGGGTGGAGTCGTTTTCACCTGCGGTCGCAATTGTAGGACGGCGGTTCGTGCAGTGGGTGGTGGCTGGTGCAGATGCAGGTGGTGACCAGGATTGTTGAAAGTGCGGCGTTGATCTTCTGCCATTCCCGTTATTTACTGAGACGTTGCGCGGGCAACCATGCGGGCCGTCTACCAATCACGCTGCGTCTTGCATAGGATTGGTGCCCTGTGTATGCGTATGCTACTGGGCAACGGATGTACTCTAGCAGCACCCGCACTATACAGTGGTACTACGTATATGCTAAGGTCTCCAGGGGGTTCGACCCCGCTAACAAGTAGGACCTACGAAGTACTATTGTGGTAAATGGCTCTTTGGACCTGCAGCACTTAGTTCGAGCTTCCCCACTCACATTAACCACCCACGCTCGAAACCCCCAAGAAACCCCAGCCTCACAATTCTCGAGATGGTATCATCCAAGTTGATCGCCGATGTTTTAACAGACCAATCTACTCGCTGGAGTCACACGTACCGAAACCCCTCATAGTCTACCCACTCACACAACGGTCTTGCTATTTTCCCCTTCTCCGTGCGGCGAGGAGGCGGTGACATAGCCAATAGCATATGCCTCTTGTGCCGTGATAAAGAGACACATGTCAGAAGGAACATCATTGAAAAGAGGCTAGTCCTGCTAGACGTTATCCCAGCTCAGCAAGCCATTGTCAGTGTATTTTCTTTCACCCCGCCCCCCCCCCCCTTTCTCCCCCACCTATTACATAGTATCGTAACCTGCCTTCTTTGTATGCAGCAACTTCATACCAGTCCTCACCAGCAGATGGCTAGGTGCTATACTGAGTCTATTCGAAATATTGAACGATCGACTCTCACAAAAGATTGGGCACACTGTAGTACCGCAATACTTACCTCGGTCTGAGTACTGTGTCAAGTTTGATGTGTCCTCTTCTATCTGTCTGGGCATCCTCTTTGACATCGATACAAGATCTGAGAGAGGGTGCCATGCATTCCTTACAGCATCTCTGTGTCACGATTAATTTTGATAGTAGACGGTCAGCGTAAGAGAGTAAGAATTGACAAAGTCATTACAATGAGGCAAGTACCATGCTAGAACCCCATGGAAACTTTTCTTTCATATCTAGCTCCCTCTAATGCACCGAAATCACCTGTCAACTGCATAGTATACCACTGTATAAATCTTATCTAGTGGCCACGATAGGCTCAAGCGCAGGCCAAGGCGTCACCGACAGGGGTTCACGAGCAGCTGTACCGGCCCTTGCAACCCTGCATGTGCCCCCAATTTTTCACATGCTAGACAGTGCTGCATAGTACAGTCCAGTATCTTAGCTCATAGCCAGGGCCCAAGGGTTCCTGGGCCTGGGAGCCTTAACGCTTTCTCTTCTCAACCACGGAGAAATTATGATGATGACACTTCAATCCTCCTTCGCAGTCCACTCCAACTTATCCCAGCAGGCGCCTCAACATCTATTGGCATCCTCTCTGGAAACTCTGCGCTGGTAGGCGCCTCGTCTTCCTCGGATGACACGTATTCTTTATTCTGCCTGAAATCAACACTCGGTGCAAAAGAGAAATAAATCCCCCGACCGAACGACCATGGAGAAGTTCTCCCAGTTCCGCGACAGAGGCACGCACAACCCTCCAGCCCTTCACAGGACTCATCCAAGCTTCTCTTGCTGACGCTCTTTGCCAACACATACAGGCTCCGGCATCTCCCCCTTCATCCCGCACACTTCGTCCTCCTCGACGGCCGCCAAGCTCCTCCACGTCGGGCTCTTCGCCTTCCGGCTCCCGTTGCTGCTCCTCTACACTGCCTTCTATTTCATCCTCGCCGCCAACATCCCCTTCCTGCCCCAGGCCCTGCAGAAGCTTCTCACCTGGGGCTTCCTCGGGATCCCCTGGATCATCTGGGGTGACCTACAGCTCGACGGCGTCAAGCGCGGCTCTCTCTCCCAGCAACCCCCCGAGCGCATGCCCGGCGCACCGCCCGCCTCCGTCATCGCCGCCAGCTTCACTTCCCCTGTTGACGCCGTCTACCTCGCCGCCGTCTTCGACCCCATCTTCACCATCAGCTACCCAGGAACCCGCTGTGTCTCCCGTGTCGGCCTCTTCCGCACCATCTGGCATGCCCTCAGCCCCGCCCAGCTCCGTCCCGCCCCTGCCGACGACGGCCTGACCACCCTCGCCGAGATCATCGCCGCGAACCCCGGCCGCGTCGTTGCCGTCTTCCCCGAGTGCGCCACCACTAACGGCCTTGGCATCTTGCCCTTCAGCCCCTCCCTGCTCACCGTTCCCGCCGACGTCAAGATCTTCCCCGTCAGCATCCGCTATACATCCCCTGACATCACCACCCCGGTGCCCGGCGCCTGGTGGAGCTTCTTGTGGAGGCTGCTGAGCCGCCCGACACACGTCATGAGGATCCGCATCGCCGATGCCATCTACAACACCGCAGGCATGGTCGACGGGTTGGCCGTGGCAAGCGGGCGCGAGACGAGGACCTCGGCGAGAGCGAGGGCCGACGACGGGGCGGGTGTGAACGTCGAGGGGCAGCGCGTGCTGGACCGAGTGGCTGAGACTCTGGCTCGGCTGGGTAGGAATAAGAGGGTTGGTCTGACGGTCGAGGACAAGGCCAAGTTTGTGGAGGCCTGGAAGAAGAAGTGAAGTGGTCGTATGCCACAAAATGAAAATTGGTGTTTTTTTTTTGTTTGTGCTGATCTGCTTCGCATTGCTTGGGTGTCTGGTGTCTCTGCGCTCATCTGATCTGGTTGGGGGAATAGTCTGTATCACAGAGTTGATCTGGGCCCACGCCTTCATTGCTAACATCTCAGGATGTTCCGAAAAGAGGAGAGGAGGAAACGTGGGAGACTTGTAATCCTGTTCTTAACAAGAGACACCCATATCTTTTTTTTTCTTTCTTTTTTTGGGAAAGACAGGTTCAATCTTTGAATCAAATCACTTTTGCATTACGCCGTTGTCTAGCCCCAAAAGTTACCTGGTATCTATTTACATACACATCTGTCTCTCGTCACTCCCACCAAGCTCACGACATGGTCAGGAGCTTATCATCCGTAACACAACCCTTGCTCGCGTCGCTCACCAGCGTGGCGTACTTGGCCAGCGTCCCCCTCAGCACTCTCGGCTGCGGCCTCACCCACTTGCTCTTCCTTGCCTGCAGCTCCTCGTCCGGGATCTGAAGGTCGATGACCCTCTTCTCGGCATCGATCAGGATGGGATCGCCGTCCTGCACCAGGGCGATCGGGCCACCCTCCATGGCCTCGGGCACGACGTGGCCAATGATGAAGCCGTGGCTGCCGCCCGAGAACCTGCCGTCGGTCAACAGGGCAACGTCCTGGCCCAGGCCGGCGCCCATGATGGCGGAGCTGGGCTTGAGCATCTCAGGCATACCAGGGCCGCCCTTGGGGCCCTCGTACCGGATGATGACGACCGTCTTCTCGCCCTTCTTGATCTCGCCGCGCTCCAGCGCCGAGATGAAGAGGTCCTCGGCGTCGTACACCTTGGCCTTGCCCTCAAACACTAATCCCTCCTTGCCGGTGATCTTGGCGACTGAGCCGCCGGGAGCCAGGGATCCGCGCAGGATCTGGATGTGGCCCGTGGGTTTGATAGGATTGCTGAGCGGGCGGATGATAGGCTGGTCCGAGGGGAATTCCTTGAAGTCCTCGAGGTTCTCCTTCATGGTCTTGCCGGTGACAGTCATGCCGGAGCCGTCGATGAGACCTTCCTTGAGCAGGAACTTTAGAAGGGCGGGAATGCCGCCCACGTTGAACAGGTCCTCGAAGACATACTTGCCCGAGGGCTTGAGATCGGCCAGCAGCGGCGTCCGGTCCGAGACGGCCTGGAAGTCATCGATGGTGAGCTTGACGCCCACGGCCTCAGCGATAGGGATCAAGTGCAGCACGGCGTTGGTGCTGCCGCCCAGGATGCTGATGAGGACCATGGCGTTCTCAAAGGCCTGGCGGGTCATGATATCGCTCGGGCGAATGTCCTCCTTCAGCAGGTTCCTCATGGCGGCGCCCACGGCTTCGCACTCGGCCCTCTTCTCAGGGCTCACGGCGGGGAAGCTGCTGCTGCCGGGAAGGGTCATGCCGAGGATCTCAGCCGAGCTGCCCATCGTGTTGGCCGTGTACATGCCACCACATGCGCCAGCGCCGGGGCAGGCGTTGCGGATGATGTCGAAGCGCTCCTCCTCGGTGATCTGGCCTGTGATGTACTGCCCGTACGCCTGGAAGGCTGAGACAATATCCAGGGCCTTGTCGCCGAACTTGGAGCAGCCGGGCTTGATGCTCCCGCCGTACACCATAATGCTAGGTCTGTTGACGCGGCCCATGGCCATCAACACACCCGGCATATTCTTGTCACAGCCCGGAAGCGACACGTTGCCGTCGTACCACTGGCCCTGCATCACCGTCTCGATACTGTCCGCGATGATCTCTCGGCTCTGCAGCGAGTAGCGCATGCCGGTGGTGCCCATGCTGATGCCGTCCGATACGCCGACGGTGTTGAAGCGGTAAGGCACGAGATTGGCCTTGGCGACGGACTCCTTGACCAGCGCGGACAGGTCCATCAAGTGCATGTTGCAAGGGTTGCCCTCGTACCAGACGGACGAGATTCCGACCTGGGCCTTGTTCATGTCCTCCTCGGTCAGGCCGGTGGCGTAGAGCATGGCTTGCGAAGCGCCCTGTGACTTGGGCTGTGTGATGGAGGCGGAGACCTTGTTGAGCTTGTCGTCGGCGGCATGGCGGGTAGCGGTGATCGACAGCAGGCGACTGTAGGAAGAGATGAAAGTTTGTGAGTCAGGATGTGAATTGGCCTTGACCATGACGAGGCGGTATCAATTGGGCATGGAAACACCTACGCATGACGACTTGAGGCCAGTGACCGACCTGCTGCCAAGGCGCGGGGAGCCCTAGCTCGCAGGATCGAGGGCATAGCCATTGTGTGAATGATCCAGGGCAAATTGGGAGGCAGAGACGGTTGGACACGGGCGATATGCAGAGGAAGTGGTGTTTTTGAAGCAGCTTCTTCTTCTTCCTCAACACAACATCGCCGTAAGGTACCCTCCTGTATAAGTTGCGTACAGGATGAACTGGTGTGAGTCAATCAACAGACTTTGGCAAACTGTCTCTGGCGTCAAGGTCACAGGGAAGATCACAAGGACACAGCAAAAAAGTGTCGAAGCTCACTAGCATTTTACTTACTACTACGAGCGTTGGAACTTTCTCTGCGAGATCGGCCCCGAATTACCCACCCCTGCAACCCTTGCTCCCCCACATTCTCCACTGGAGCTGGTCAGCAACACGACAAGCTCGCTCATTTGCTCTTTGGTCATTGGCCCACTGCAAGCAACCAATTCACCCAGTTTCCGCGACGAGTGGACAGGGTACTTTTGACATGTACCTGTGTTCAGTACTATGTATCTTAGGATGTTGAACACGATGGTCAATATCTGGAGATTATACATACTTGCTGCTTCAATTGTATCATCTTTGGGTTTGCTTGGTACGAGCCACGTAGAACCTTCTCTCGCATGAAGACTGATGATGTTACTGGAAGTAGCTATGGGTTTCTAATTTGTCAACAGAGCTTGGATGAGAACACTATCTATCTGCAACTTGTGTTCTTGATGGGATTTGTATGCTGGCTATTACTGTAAGTCTTGCTTTGGCCTACAGTACATCGTCCTGGTCTTGGCGCCATATCATTGAATAAGGCTGTTGGATCTACTTGGTTACGCATATCCACATGCTGGAAAGCTCGGCAGTGGGCCTTCCATTTCGACGTCGTCAGGCAGCTTTGCTCGTCTGTATCTCGTCCGCGCGTGTTCTCGTCCACAACACACAGAGATCGATATGTATATAGTGCGGTGCTACTGGTCTTCGGTATCAGGTACGAGGCTGGAATTATAAGATCACGATCTGGGAGGTAGACCTGGACCACCGGCCATCTATACATCTGCAGCGATCCCTTGGTGGAACTCACTCAGTCCTGGCTGCCCTCACTCTCATCCTTGCCCACCTTCTCCGCAGAGGAAGGCCTCTTGTGCAGGATCTTATCCACAATCCCAGCCTCCTTCGCCTCGTCCGCCGTCAAGTATTTGTCCCTCTCCATCATGTCGTTGATGGTCTGTATGTCGTACTTCTCAAATCCAAACGCCCCGTTCAGGTGCCTCCTCACGATCTCGTTAACCTGCCCGCGTATCCGCTGGATTTGGTTCGCGTAGATGAGAATATCAGAAGCCTGGCCCTTGGTCCCGCCCAGCGGCTGGTGCACCATGACGGAGCTGTGCTGCAGCGCGTATCTCTTGCCGGCCTCGCCGCCCAGTAGCAGGATGGCAGCCATGCTCGCGGCCGCCCCGACGCAGACGGTCGATACTGGCGACTGTATGTAGCTCATGGTGTCGTAGATTGCCAGCCCGGAGCTAATCTCGCCTCCCGGGGAGTTGATGTACATGGTGATGGGTTTCTCGGGGGCGTCGGACTCGAGCCAGAGGAGCTGGGCGACGATGGCGGCAGAGACGGTGTCATCTATGGCGCCGTTGAGGCAGATAATTCGTTCCTGAACACAACACCCCAAGTACGAGGGTCAGCACGAGAGCCTCTCTCGGACCTTCACGCGTTTCTGCCCCAGGGTTGGGGGGGGGGGGGGGCGCACCTGTAGTAGCTTGGAAAAGATGTCGGCTGCTCTTAAATGTCAGCAAGCCTGCAATCCGCAGCGCGTGTGATCGGTAACATGGGCAACGCACATGTCCTCCAACCTCCAGACTAGATTCATCAGCGAGTTGTCAGAGGACGCGCCGGGCTGACTGGGTCATACTGTGACTTCTGTGATGTATGGCATCGGGAGCGAGGCCGTTGGGGGCGCTGGAGAACCGCTACGCCCAGAGAATTGGGAGAATTTACGCCCGCGCGTAGTAGCGACACCTCTCAGCAGACGCCATGCCGCCCGTTGGGTATTCATGGTCGCCGTACGATGGAATAACAGGCGCCGTCGTGAAGAGAGGTTGGTGGGGTAAACACTCCAAAGAAAGTTGGGGGGAGCTTTAGAGGTGACGTCTGCATGTACTACTAAGTACAACTTTATCCCTGGAAGGGAAGCGTTGTGGATCCTCTTGTAAGACCCCTAACCGCGCGCCGACATGATGGTACAAATCTGCCACCAGACCCCTTCAAGCCCTTCATCAGATTCGATTTTCCATTTCTTGATCTCAGCTCTGTCTCTCACTCCTCAATCAGGACATTGAAAGCTGCGATATGGCGTGCCTTGCAACATCGAGAGGCCGTCTCTCGGTTCTCAGGACATGTCGGCCTTCTGTGTCGCGACTCTATTCAACCAAAGATGAAAAGCCTGCAAGCGACGAGACAGTTTCTGCGACTGAGCAATCAAACAATGATTTCGGTTTTGATGATTGGGCTGAGATCCATCCAGACACAAAGACGATAGACACTGCCGTGGGGCCGTTGCCCATCTCACCCTTTCTGGACCCAACCTGGCGCAAGGCAAGGGACCGCACTAAGAAGAAGACGCCACCCAATATGAAGAACTTTGGTCGCTTCCAGAAGTTCATGAGCATGAACGCATGGGGTAGGCCATTGTAGTGCTCACTTGGACTTTATCAAAGTGCTAACTCGATCCAACAGCACAGCTTCTGGCGCAACCTGTGAGAACATGTCACATTACGCGCACACGTCTGCCAAAACCTTTCCTGCAGGACTTTGGGCTCGTGAAGAGCCAGGAAGCCGATGAGTTGTGGTGGATTCCCGCAGAGTTCAACCAGGAGGCCGAGGAAGATGCTCCGATCGGGTCTGAAGAGGCCATGAAGCAGGCAGAGAATGACGATAGTGGCGCTATCAGCGATGCTCCAGCTCAGACAAAGGGCAGGTTCTTCGCGCCAGCTCACACCCTCGCCAGACGGGACCTCCTGCTGGAGTTTCTCAATAAAAAGAGCAAGTACAGCTCTGCTTACATGAGGTTCTCAATCAACCCAAGCATTGCCGGACTGGTCCGAGCGGCAGCCTGGCGCGAGGACATGGACGAAGTCATCAGCAATCAGCTGCGCCGCCAGATTGTCGACCAACTCATTTATCTGTCTCAATTATGTGAGACTGGCGGTAGACGTTACCTCAATGCGTTGGATATCGACCAAGCCCGAGCAGACTTAAGTCTCAGGAGATCCTGTTTCCTGTCATTAGGCAATGAAGGAGACCCATTTGACGTGATAGAAACGGAGGGTGTGCCGCAAGGCGTTTGCCCAGTCTATAACATGCCAAAATTACTCGGATCCGAAAACGTGGACCGCCTGAGAACCGAGTCTGCCATATTCAAAGGTGCGGACTTGGTTCTCATGAGAGGACGGCGGACATACGATTTGAACAAGCAGCTGTGGAGGCTTCAGGGCTTCCTGGCCGATTACGACAAGCTGAGGTGACCGTGGCAGGCCATTCAAAGAATCGCAGCTCAGCACGTCATGAGCCTTAAGACCTGCAAGCGAGTCATCCTGGTCTATATACACTATCACCACCGCACCATTACACGCGTCCTCTTCATGAAAGTGCTGTTGTCGTAGGCGCTGCAGTTGGAGACACGCAGCCCAGGCGACGAGGACTTCGACTTATGCTGTAGAGCAGAATCATGTCTTCACATATTGCTGTCTTCTTCCTCGTTCCGTTTGAGCCCCCTTCGCAGTGTTTGACATCTCAATCACTTCTGAACTGTCTCGGGATGGGATAGGAAGTCTTGATCAAGCTACGAGATTGGGGTATTTGGAGTGGGTGGTATAAAAAGCGCTCTGTTGGGTCACCTACCACTTGACGATCGATCTCTAGCAATTGTCATTACTAAGCTAATGTAGTCCTGGCCATAGGGTCAAAAATTAGCATCACATTTGCTCCTGCTTGAGTTTTCACAGCGCAGGATAGTCTGCTTCTTCTCCCGTTTGGCAGTGTTACCCTGGTCGTGAAGGCTCGCGACAGTGACTCGAGGACCGAGTATGAAGATACCAGTAATACTGGCTACAAGACAAAGCCGGTCCGAGAAATATGGACCAGGGCATCGTCATGGCTTCTTCGGCCATCCAGGTGTTCTCAAGTAAGGTAGTCACAGTAATCTTTCTCCATAAGTTCTTCGCACGATGGAGCTTAAGAGTGAATGGATGGCTACAGGCGAGATCTCGATGTCTGACCAACTTTGCTTGAAATAGGTACTGATGCGTCCGAGGGACTCGTAGAAAGTACGCAACTTTACATACCGCCGCAGAGTAAGTATATGAGCACCTATAAATCAAGACTGGCCTGCCAAAATCTGTCGCGATTTCAATCGAGACTCTTCCAGGTGTTGGAGACTGATCAGCCTGGTTTCGACGAGCAGGCAGGCTGTCTGCCAGGTACATGAAGAACTAATTCGAGCTCTACGTACTCCAACCTCCATGATTTCGTTCTTGCTCCTCGTTTCTTTTGGCCGCTTACTACGGGGTCAAGCTCCCCGAGCCTCACGATGACGATTTATAGTCTGTGTTGGTGGTGTGGTGCCCGATCATAAACCCGATCATATTCCTAATCTGTTCCCCTATTATTGGCATACACGCCGTCTATCACCCCTCGACCCGCTGAAGGACTCGTACTTTCCGACACCACCGCCCAAGCTTTGGCTCAACTTTGCAGCCAGCCTCGAGGAAGCTCGCCTTAGCCCCCCACTGCAAAAGGCTTGCGGTCATAGACGAAGAACAAGTTCAGCACTTATTACTCTGTTCTTGTTTCTGTGCACCTGCCCTGCTTCGTCTTGCTGTACGGAAGAAATTATCCGCGCCCGTTTGGGAGGGGGGGGGAGGGGGAGAGTCCCAGTCCTGGCTTCGATCGAAAGCATGAGATTCCACCAACTCGCTGTCGAGGTTTGTGGGACTCCACGAGAGGCTTGACGAATCATCTCGAACGCACTTTCATGCCTTTGAAGGTGCGAGCGAAAATATCATGATCATGAAATGATATACAGTCGCGATTCGCCGTGGCCGCCGCGTTCTTGTGCACCACAAAGGAGTGCCTCGGAAGTGTGAGAACCCAGGCCTCATTTACAAGTGTTCACCGCCGGAGGTGTACGGAGATTCCAACCTGATAAAGCACAATCAGGCCCAAGGGTCGTCCATATCGCCTTCTGAGGAATCATTTTTTGGGCCCTCCGACGTCCATGCTCCTGGGCCGCCCGCAGCGCCAGATCGTCTCGCCCTCTGCGCCGATTCCCACGCGGCCCTCTCGGCAACAGCACGCTCGGCACGGGTGTAGAACCAGTGGTCCCAGTAGACAATAGGGGCCGATGACACCAAGATACAGCCTAGAATTTGTCTCTTGGTTAGGGTTCTGGGTAAGAGGGGCCTGATAAACCTGGGTAGACGCGCCCGGATCGCGGGGCTGGTCATTGTGAAGTAGGCCAGAGCCCCGACAAAAGGAGTCTGCATGTGCCAGACTAATCGCCCTCCCCTGACTGCAGATTGCTGCAATTGCGAGGGCGGATCTGGAGGTGTCATGCTTGCCAGGAACGTCGGGTCTCTCGAGTCCATTTTGAGATTGGATAGCTGAATGGGGGGTGGACTTGGGGGCCTTATGTAGATGCACGATTGAATGTGTGGATAAGAGTGCGGACAATCTCCCCTCCTAAAGCTCGTTAAATCGACTAGCGAGCGTCTTGGCTGCACAAATATTGCGCGTCATGAGGTCAAGGTCTCGTGAGGTGTTACTGCCTGCTTCGTTTTCGAAATTTGAGGTTGCGATGTTAGAGGTCGAATTATTCAATGTGCTGAATTAGTACTCGAGCTTTGACCCTTGCCCCCCTGGCTCCCGAGGTAGGAGGTGACGTAAAGCTTGTACTAAGTAAGTACTCAGTTAGTATTTACCGTAGTACGTAGTAAACAAGTGGTGGCATTGGGTGCGCATAGCTCAAGCATTTCAGGGACTCAGGAGAACAATGTTTCATCAACAAATCTCGCTGTAGGTCTTACGGAGATGTCCTACTCCTCGCATCTTTTTTAAGAACAAATTTCATGTTTCTATCTCATTTGTGCCTTTCGAGGCTGGAGTTTTCCTGGGAATAAAATCTACTTGTCTGATCTTACTTGTCTCCTTGGCGGTCCTTACAATACACAGTATCCTCACTTGACGGCAACTCCTGAATCGCCTCTGCTCCACCAAACTTCCTTCTTCTTGCATGTCGACCGCGAGACTCGAACCAACCTTCCTGTGCTCTCTTTTCCATAACCTTCCCAGCTTCTTGGAAGGGAAAGGAAGTGGTCTTGGATTCCTAGAATCTACAAGTAAATTAGGGAATACTGGCTAGGAGAGGCTTCTTGCGCCAGCGCCTACCATGACTTCTTCTGCCGAGCTTCATGACACCAATGACGGCATCTTGCGCCCACGACCGCGCAAGCCTGTCCATTCACAACTATCACATCTGACAACCCTCGCTGGAGGGAGCAATGGCTATCTGGACTCTCCTGATGCGGGCACCTTGACAGGCCAGACGAGGTATCTGCGCACAGCCGTCCCTTCCCCTCTCCCCCCTTGTTCTTCATCCTCGTTGCTAGGCGACATAAATGCTGATACCTGGTGCCTCTCTGTCTTTTTAACAGTGGCCGCTCGACTCCTATACCGGCCGATGCCCTCCCCTCTGTCAAATCACTCTCGTCTGCTCGCAAGCAGGTTCGCGCCGAGCAGCGACGTCGGATCTTCCCGACCATCGAGTTCGCGACCCGGGTGTCGCACTTGGATCCAAACTCCGACTACCGTGACTTCCATGGCTTCTTCAACCTCTTCTGGATCGGCCTGGCCATCATGGCCATTACTTCCATGCTGCGAAACATCAAAGACACGGGATACCCAATGCGTGTGCAGATATGGACACTCTTCACTGTGAAGCTGTGGCACTTAGGCCTGGTCGACTTCGCCATGGTCGCAAGCGCCTCGGGGTCCCTGCCTCTTCAGAGACATGTCAGGAAGGCCAAGGCTCGAAGCGGCGGAACGTGGGCCAAGGGTGGGATGGCGGTTCAGAGTGTCTACCAGGTAGTGTGGCTGTCCATTTGGATCGCCGTGCCGTTCTTGCTCCAGTGGCCTTGGACGTCACAGGTGTTCCTGCTGCTGCACACCATGGTGATACTGATGAAGATGCACTCGTACGCCTTCTACAACGGACACCTGAGCGAGACGGAGAAGCGTCTCCAGGAGCTCGACAACCCTTCCACTGCGTCACGTGCCCCGGCATACCTCTACCCGACCGCCGAGAACCCAGGCGGCACGCTTGTCAGCCCGACGCGGACGAAACAGGGGGACGAGGACGAGGACGAAAAGACCGGCAACGGGGACGATCAGGAGGTCTTGCAGCTGCGTGAGGACCTGGCGCGGGAGCTGACAAGCCCCATGGGCAACATCGCATACCCAAAGAACCTGACCTGGTCCAACTGGGTGGACTTCCTCTTCTGCCCGACCCTGTGCTACGAGATCGAGTACCCGCGCATCGAGCGCATCAACTGGCAGAACCTCATCTCCAAGATCATCGCTGTGTTTGGGTGTATCTTCCTCCTAACTATCATCTCCGAGGATTTCATCCTCCCCATCCTCCAGAGCTCCTCTGTGCGGCTGCATGAGGCCATCAGCGCCTCCGAGATCCTCCTAGTGCTCTTCGAGACCGTCTCGTGGCTGCTGTTCCCCTTCATGCTGACTTTTTTGCTCGTGTTTCTGGTCATCTTCGAGTACGTCCTCGGCTCCTTCGCCGAGATCACGCGCTTCGCCGACCGCCACTTCTACAGCGACTGGTGGAACAGCACCGACTGGATGGAGTTCAGTCGCGAGTGGAACGTGCCCGTCTACAGCTTCCTGCGGCGCCACGTCTACAGTGCCTCGCGTCCGCACATCGGCCGGAGCTACGCCACCGTTATCACCTTCCTAGTCTCCGCCATCGGCCATGAGATCGTCATGGCCTGCATCACCAAGAAGCTCCGCGGCTACGGCTTTGTCTGCCAGATGCTGCAGCTTCCTATCGTGATGCTGCAGCGCACCAAGTGGGTTCGCGGCAAGGAGACGCTGAATAATGTCTGCTTTTGGTGTTCGATGATCTTGGGCTTGAGCATGGTACGTCCCTGGGATCCTGTTGGCTCCTTTCTTTCTTTTTCTGTTCATCACCCCTCTGGTTGATCAGTCCCACTAATCAACCGATCAGATCTGTTCACTCTACGTGCTTGTATAAGAATCCTCAATAAAACAAAGGACCAAGAATCCACTCATCATCATCATTTTTCTAACGATATTTTTCGACTTACATGCGTCTCTGAAGTAGGATAGGAGGAGACTTTTTTTTTATTTTTTCACCCAAATAGATAGATAGATACCCATTCCCATGTACGTTGCATTGCCGGCGTAGCAAAGCATTTTAAGAAAGAACATGGGTCAAGCATAGTAGAGAGGAGAGGAGGTTGGGTGATCTTTTTTTTTTTTTTTTTTTTCATAATCTTTTGGTGCCTTATAGGATAGTACAGGCTATAGTTGTGTAGAGGTCAAGAGTAGGTTGCATGTATAGTTTCCATACTCAGGCTATCGAAATAGTCAAACACGCGCGAGCGTTGTATCTCATGCATGGTTCATCTCTCTATATATGTATACCTCGTTTATTTTCATATCTTGCGACCGATAAATTGTCATTAGTAAAACTCTCAAGTCAATTCTACAGTCAGTCACAACTGTAAGCAGCGGAGAATGTCATGATTTCGTGTCAGTTGGAGAGCTGTTTCATCATTATTTCATTATCATCATCTAGATAGATAGATAGATTTGCCTACTTATCAACCTGAAAGCAATGAGGTGTTCGCGCCGAAAGAGAGAACGGACAAAGTATTCATCCCTCTGAAGCTATGAGAATCAAAAAATGCCTATGTGATAGTAGTAGCAGTAAAAGTGGCCGGATCCGTCGTCAATGTCGTCCCTGGAGTCGTAAGGTGTTCGTTCGTTCCTCTTGAAGCTCCGTTTCTCCTCTGTCTGCTGAAAATGCCCCATTCACCCCTTTCCAAGTCCCTGTTGGTCGATGTCTGGTTCATCATTGGATTTATATATGGTGTTATATGTGTGGGATTGTGCAAGTATCTCCCTCTGAGCGTAAGTATTGGTGTTGAATTGGTCGGGTGTTTGACTGAGCTGGAGCTCTCCAAGGTGGTTGCCCCCATCAATGGTTAGGAATTGGCTGGTGATCTTGCCAAGAAGAATTGCTGATACGAGGGTTGGTCCTCCTCGTGCGTGTCACCTTTCTTCACAGTCTTGTCGAGTATATTGTGACGATAGTAGAATTTCGCTTGTGCATTGATGATATTGTTGTCGGCTCAGTCAAGTCCTCGCTCTCTCGCTTGGGTAAAAGAAGAAGAAAAAATGGCCTTGTCGTTAATACATGGTAGTCGTTACTGCTGCATTTGGGAGGTCATGGAATGGAATATCTCGTTCATGTCCAGTGAAGGTGAGTGAGGTAGCAAGGCAGCCCGAAAGAAAAGAGATGAGACCCCGTGAACGCCGGATAAGAAAATACAAACAAAGCAGGCCCGTATAACAGAGAGGACAGTGCACACCGCACTGCTCTGGGCAGCCATATGATCCCGTACCAACGCCAAGGAATGGGAAGACGAAATCAAGCAATATATAAAAAAAAATAAAAAAAAATGAACCCCCATGTATAAAAGAAAAAGTATCGGCCACAGCCACGCTCTCACCAAAAGAATGAAATAAAAAAGATATACAACGCAACACGTGGGTGCAGGTTTAGTCGAGGTTCCCAGCGAAGCTATCTTTTCATCCGTTCGTGGACACGAACGGCTGGCCATAGGCAGTGGCGGTGTTGTAGTCGGAGTAAGATGGCGGACTATAACTTGAGGTTGCATAGTCGCCATGGTCGTATCGCTTCGTAGTGGATAGATTGTTCGGTCCGTACGGCTCCGACATCTTGACCTTGGGGAACCCGGCGCTCGGGCTTGGTGAGTATGGGTCTTTCTGCGTCTCGTAGACCCGCGGCGTGCCACCGTCACGGCTGATGCTGTACTTCTTCTCTGACTTAGTGGTGGTGAGAGGCGGACGCGACGCGAAGTAGGCGTCGTCCTCGTCCATGGAATACGTCCGTGTCCGCGAGGATCGGTGCCTCTGGGAATCGCGAGACGACCGGCCGAGGAACCCGGGCTCCATGGTCTGCGAACGCGAGAAGGCAATACGAGAAGGCATTGGCTCGGGCTCGGGGACGTGGCTGGTGGTGTAGGCTTTCTGCAGACGCGGCGGGCTCTGCGTGGCGGGCGAGACGTTGGCCGCGTCAGGGCGGTCCCGCGAGGACACACCGGTGTCGACGTACATACCATCCATCTTGCTGCTGCTGTGCTTGCCATCGCCCGATACACGGCGATTTGAGGGAGCCCAGTCGCCTGGGTCGGCGTATTCGGGGGAGGAGAAGGTCCCTTCCGCCGCGTGCTTAGACGAGGACTTGGAGCTCTTGGGCTGCTGTTGGTTCTTGATGTAGGAGGCGGCAAACGCCAGCTTGGAGTGGAAAACGTCCGTCGAGCACAGCTCAGGGGCTTTCTCGTCAAGAGGGCTCGAGCGCTTGGAGGACGACTTATCTCTGACGGGAGTGTCCTTCTTTGATGCCTTCTTAGCTCGGCTCCTGCGAATTTCTTCCTCTTCATCGCTGTAGGGTTCGTGATAAGCCGGCCTAGCCTTCGCCCTGGGCTTCTCGTCGGCCTCCTGCTTTCGTTTCTGCTCCCGCTCCCGCTCCCGCTCGCGATCAGCACGTTCCCTCTCGGCAGCGCGTTCTCTTGCCTTCCTCTCCTGTCTTGCAATGATTCTTTCGCGCTCTTCACGTTCTTCGCGTTCCTTGCGCTCTTCACGCTCTTTGCGCTCCTTGCGCTCCTTTTCAAGCCTACGTGCTCGTTCCCGTTCCCGCTCCCGATCCCGCAGCTCCCTCTCTCTTTCCTGCTCTCGCCGCATCGCTTTCTTGCTGCGCTCGTACTCCTCTTCCTCGTCTCTTGCCTTGCGTCGCTCACGGTCCACATCTCTCCTCTCGTGTTGGTCGCGCCTCAGCTTCTCCTCGCTCACGGTCCGCCGATTCCTTCGTTCATCCTCTGACGCTCTTGACCGAGTCGGGATGCTGTGTTCCCAGGACCTCGAAAAGTCAGGCGAGTACTGTTTGAAACTTGAAGTACCCTTAGAGGGGGAGCGTTTCGAGGAGGATGAAGTACGGAATTCTGGTGGCGGGCGGGCGGTGTAGATGTTGACGTTGACGTGCCGGGCCTGTGTGGGGGAATTTCTGGGTGATATCCGGTCTCTCTCTTCCCTCAGCTTCTTCAGCTTGATCTCGTTGTCGTACTGCTCTCTCTTGTCTGGCTCGCCAATGGTTTCATAGGCTTGCTGTATCCGGTGGAACTCCTCTTGTTTCTCTTCCCTGAGCGACTCGTCGGTGACTTTGTCGGGATGACAGGTTAACACCAGCTTCCGGTAGGCCTTCTTGATGGCGGCGGCGTCTGCACCCGCCTCCACGCCGAGGGTCTTGTACGGGTCTAATGTTGATGGAGTAGCCATGATGTGCGGGATGGCGCAGGCTGAAGACTAGCCGCGATACGAAAGAAAAAGGAAGGGTGAGTGGCGGTAAAAGGCAGACAGCGAGGAAGTGGAAAGAAAAGGGGCGGGTATAATCTTGGCGGCGCGATGCAATGTCACGCCAGATGCCGTGGGTGTCAAGAGTGAACTGAGAGAGCCGTGGTGCCACGGAGTGTTTGGCAGTATTCGTCCCGAGGCCCTGTTCCAAATGGATGGAGAAAGAAGAGCTGCCGCGTGTTTTGGGTGCAAGGGAAGAAGCGGGTCAGCGGAGGAATCGTGTGACGATGACGTCTCGCAGGGGGGAGGTTATTGGTTGTCAGTCCAGGAACCAGCGGCTGGTGTTTGTCAAGCGTGCTCATGTACGCTGTTGGGGCTGCAACAGGTAACGTTGGCGAGGGTGAGCAAGGCTGAAAACCAGAGGTTGGGGGATGGATCGAGAGGTGCTCGGGGGAGCAGATATGATATAAGAGGTATCAAAGGGGGGGGCAAAAAGAAGGCTGGGGACGAGAAGGCTAGGAGGCTGAGAAAGAGAGGGATCGACCCTGGGAAGGCTCCTCCTCTCTGGACTTGCGGCCTAGCCTTGACCCTGCGAAAGACCGTTGTTGTACCTCGTGATACAAGGTACTTGGTAAATAGTGGGAGAGGGTAGCGATGGTTGTCCTCTCAAAAAGCAGAGTGGGAAGCAGGCCTTTTCCCCGGATCTCAGAGGCGAGGTACGGTCCACGGAAGGTCGGCGGTCGCGAAGTAGGCCTGGGAATGCTTCGTAATGACAACAAAGCACGAGACGACGAGGAGTCGGACCGCAGATGAACGAAAAGGGGGAGGGGGGGACGAAGTAAATGGCGAGAAAAAGACGATAGGTTGTAATGATGATTGGAGGATTCGCCGTCTTCTCTTTCTCTCGCTCTCTGTCTCTCAACACAGCGAGGAGAATGAAGAGAAGAAGCGAACGTCTCAAGGTTACAGGATGCAGGATGAGGATGAATGACGACCACCGCCTGTCAGATCCCTGGAATTTGATCAACCTCTGCCCTGAGCAGGGGTGGAGCCCTAATGGTACTGGCCCAAGAAAGCTAAAGTCCCGAGGTCTAGCGGCAGGGACGAGACCAAATCCAATCGGTGCTGTGCTGAGAAGGTGAGATGACCGGGGGGAGGGGGGTGGCGCCTTCCACAAGCCAGAACCGGAACCAAGCTCAGCTGGGTCCAGAAGTCGAAAAGGCCTGCTCTTCTAGTTTGAGAAAGAGAAAAGAGAACAGGGCTAGGAAAAGCTGCAAAATTGTGTGCGTGCAGGCTGGCAAGATCGGTCGCCTGAACTGGCCTTTGGAATTCCCAAGTCGGTTTCAAGATGGCAAAGCCCCGTGGGTTGAAGGCAGAAGCGAGGCGAGGCGAGGCGAGGCAATTGTCGGCAAAAAGGTGTCGCCCCCCTTGTCCTCTGCTTCTATCGGCTTCTTCGAGAGCTGGTGTGTCGTCCTGCAGGATAGCCAGGGGCCCTATCCGATTATGTCTAGAGCGGGCGAAAAAATAGTGGTGGTGGTGTCAAGCCGGGGCGTACTCCAAGCTGCAGGTCCTCTAGACAACCCAACCACCTTGGTATTGTTGCTTGTGAGTGAGGGGGTGGTAAGACGTGGCGTCAGGAGATGTCGAATCTCTGAGATGCAAAGAGGAAAACCTTGTGCATCAGAAAAAGGCCGCCCTACCAAAGATTGGCACGTCTGCAGAATCACAGTTGTGTGCTTCCAAAGACCAGGCAGACAGAGATGTGTGGCAAGACGGTCGTTGATGTCAAGGATGGGTCTCAGGCTAACCCTCGGACGGCCCAGGGGATGGTGTTGAAGAAGAACGGTTCTTTCCTTCCACTGGTCCTCTTTTCTCTCTCTCTCTCTCTCTCTCTCTCTCTCTCTCTCTCTCTCTCTTTCTCTTCTCCTTTCTTTTTCCGCGAGTATATGCTCGACTCGTGGCATCCAAGGTCCGTTCTTCACGGAGGTCTCCAATATTGGCAGTGCCCACGAATAAGGTGTTAGTAATAGTAGTAGCAGTAGTAGCGGTGGCGAAAGTGCGACTAATGTGGTCTTCAGGTGAGGCGAAAGGGCCAAATTCAAAACAAGAGACACGTTTGACACGGTTTGACCGAAAGAAACAGAGGAGGAATGTGTCAATATTGGTGAGAAATTTAAAATCTGAATCTGCACGGGAAGATCGAGGAGGGAGGAAGGGAGAGGGAGAGTCAGGTGAGCAGCCAAAACGGGCGACGAGGGGACCCCCAAGACGACGGTATCGACAAGAAAACAACAACTTGGTCGAGGGGTGTGGGTAAATGGGACTGATGGCCCAGCAACTGAGAGGGCCTGCGTGGGTCCCAAAGATGGTATCCTGCAGATCGTGGTACCTGGTAAAACCCTGGCTGGGTCGGGGGGGGAGGGGGTGGGCAGGAATAGCGAGCGTACCGGCGCTTGGGGACTCGCGGATGAGGTAATCTGCAGCAAACAGATGGCGGTGTGTAAGAGGAAGGTAGCAGGCGACAAAACGTTACTGCTGTCGTGTCGGCTTGCCGGTGGATGATGCTGCGGTGCTGTTACGTAGTAGAAGTAGCGGTCATGTAAAAGTAATACAGGATGAAAATGGTCGCTCTCGCTCTTCGCGGCGGTCTACTTTCAATCCTCTAATAAATACGACTTGCTAAAAGAGGAGAGCAATGATTTCTTACCTCAGTCAGCATCTGCAAGAGGAGGACGAGGACATGACGCCAGCTGACAAGAGACACACACTTGGAGAGAGAGACAGAGAACCGGGGGGGGGGGGCAGATCCCAACTCAGCGTGCTCGGCAAGCAGAGTTGTCATTGAATGATATCCCCTCCTCCATGAGTTAGCACCATATTGAGAAAACAAATAACATTCGTTCGGTTGTGCATTGATGGTCGCAATTATCGGCCGTTTCCCCTCCTCTGATCCCGTCTCATCCAGAGAGAGCAGCCCACGTCAGTCAAACGTCTTGTGCATAAGTCAAATCAGGGAGAGCGGTTTCGATAAGTGCGGACGCGGGGATGTGTCCCTCCAACTGCAGGTCGACGGTTTCGTGTACCTCTCTCCTGATGGACAGTCGATGATTTTCTGAGCGAAGGTGTCCCCGCAGACAAGACTAAACCACTCTGGTATGTATGTCACTATGTCTAATCGTGTGTGTGGTCCAAATGTCTCGTGTCTTTCACGAGAGCATGATGCAAGCCCGACAGACCATGAACACCCCCAACAGTCATTTTAAGTTGCAAGAGGACCACCTCCTCAGTACTATACACCTCAAGGACGGAGACACGTGTGTCTGGCGTGGGCCAGACAATTGTGTATTGATCACTTTAAACCGGCTCATATACCCTCCCTCTTCGAACAGAGATGCCGCGGGCTACTGCAGCGCCATGTCAGGCGCATCGACGACGAAACAGATGCTAGTAAATGCACTCATCCTTGATATAGTACCATATGATGGGCTACTTGGAGCCTCACCGTCGTGCATTGAGTAGTGTACAACGCAACCACCCTGTATCACAGCCCAACAAGAGGGGCGACAGTCCTCATTATGCGAAGCCTGACGTGGACGTCAGCAGCCCGAAAGAAGAAGAAAATTAAGAGGAAGTGGATTGGTTTGTGTATGTGTGTGATAGCTTTCTGAAAGCCTCAAAAGAAAAAGAGCGTTCTGCCTTGTTGGGTGACTACGCCTCCAGGAGCCGCAGCATAAAAAGAAGAAAAAGGTATATCATAGTATGTGAGGCGTGGCTTTGAGTTGCTGACATGCTGTAGACCCCCCCCCCCCCGTTCTCTCTGGGGCTCTGGCCGACAGAAGCCAGGTACGGTTTTGGCAATCGTGATGGGAGCCCATGAAGGGTGCGCCAGTCGGGTGTGAGCGAACCAGGGTTCGGCACGCAATCCAGAGCTCGACTGAACAACGAGACATGGCTGTACCATAGTAGGCAGCGTCCCCTCTTCGAGGCACTCCCTGACTGGCTGGTGGTATGACCGCGGTCGCGACCACATTGGCCCAAGTCCCAACCACTCACAAGAGGTCGCACGAGAAGTCCCACACCAATCCACGTTCCCCACCCCCCACCCTCCTTGGGGGCATTTCATGACACAACCACCAGGGAGGGGGTGTGGGCTGGTCCTCCCACGGCGTGCAATATGTACATAAGTGGCAGCAAGCAGCCTTCTTTGAATCATGAGTACCATAGTAGTGTCGGTTGTATATGAAAGGCTGGTACAGATTGGGATCACACCCCCCCCCCCGGGGAGGCTTTTCGATCATCTGCGGCCCCTCGTGACGGCCAGCAGAACGCAGGTACTGGTCCCGTCTTACGATAGATCAAGTACATTCCTAGTCGGCCATCCACACCGTGCCATTGTAGCGCTTTTCTCCACGACGGTGAGTAGAGAGCCCCGCGTGCGTAACGCAGGTTGACGGCTTGGATGTGATGAGGCTTATAAGCGGCTCAACACAGACACACACACACACACACACACACGCATCTCCCCCCCCCCCCCACCTCCCAACTACCTGCAGCCGCTTTGCCTGGTCTAGCGAGAGGACAAGAGAGAGTCCCGCCCAGCAGGGACCAACATGTGCACATCTTCTGAGGGCCTGTTTGGAGGGGGGGGGCGCATAAACCGGCCGTCGTTCCATAGCACATGTAGCTTCAGCCATCGGCAGTCCACAGGGGTCTGCCTGAAGCAAAGAGTGCAGAATAGGATTAGACCGGTCTGCGTCTTGAGCGGCTACGAAGCTCTAGATCGAGAGATTTGCGTAGCCGACCCACGTTGCGCAACCACCAAATCCCATCCCCCCAGGCTTAGAGTTCTATCGTCGTCAGCGTCCATCCCGGCTGGTCCGCGGTCGAATCGAGGTGTCGTGCTGGGGTATCTTGGGTCCTAACGTGCGTGGGCTTGCGGGAGGATCAACCGACTGAGGGGGGCCCTGAAGGACCTCTCTTTTGTAGAGGCTGATTCGTTGTCCAGTGGACATGGGCCTCCTGGAAAGAGGAAGATCTTGGCTCTAGTGGGCTGCCAAGTGGGCATGCTCAAAGCCAGTAGGGATGGTCGAGCGCGCATGTGCCAACTGCCAAGTGAAGGGGTTGATAGGTTCTTCGAGAAGGAAGAGAGACCTGCTGATCGCGATCTACAGGTTGTTCTGTCCACTCCTCTCCACCACCCGGGTCGATCTTGGCGGGGCCATTCACGATCGCGGTTTGCGGTGTGTGTCCTGTCTCGTCTCTCGCGAAAAATGAAATGCGATTGCTCCGACCTGCCAGTTCTGCATTGCGTCGAAGTGGAGCGAACGAATGCAAAACAACAACTTGGGTTGCTGCTGGCACGGATCAGTGAACCGCATTTGCTTTGGGTTGTTTTGGGGGGGGGGGGGGCAGGAGAGATAATGCAGTGTACAGGAGGTAAGAGGGTAAGTGCAGGGCACAGGTGGTCCGCGTTCCCCATTACAGTTACCGTCCGTGCTACTTGCAGTATGGAGCGTTAATTACCCCGCCAAGTGAGGTGAGATCCCGTCCAGTTACCCCTCGATCTTGAACAGCACCAGGTGGGGGCCTGATAAGGCACGGACAAAAGCTCCCACAACTAACCCCTTCTCGCGCAACATTCTATCAGCCAAAAGATCGTGACAAGATGTTGCGAGATCACTCCCAGATCCGATCCTCCTCACTCCGAGAGGGTTGCCCTGGCATCAACGTCTCATCTTCTCCATCTGGTGACCCGTCCTCCAGGCCCAGGGACCATCAATCTCCAACGCCTAGCGCGCGTTCGAGACGACATGTGATGGATGTCTACATCCTACGTTCAAGGTGGTAAATGCAACTGTGACGACTACCGAGTAGTCAGCCAGTCAGTCAGTCAGTCATTCAGGTCAAACAAGCCAGGCAGTCAATCAGGCACACAGGCAGGCTCACTGCAACCTTGCGAAGGGGGCTTTCATCACAGCCCTATTCTCTCTGACCTTGCCAAAGAGAGACGTCACCATCCTTCCATGTTTTAGTTCGTCCTAAATGTTCTCTGCAGTATTATGTTGTGCCACTTAGTACACAGTGAAAAATGTGCGCAATGTACGATGAGTGTTGCGAGATGAGGAAGTAGAAGACGAGGTATATTCTTCCTCACCGGTGTTCCGCCGAGGTGAGACATCCAGGTCCTCTCCATGGCGGTGAGCACTCGATCATTAAGAGACCTGTGGCACCTCAGCCCGGCATATTCTGCCCTGTCTCTTCTTACTTTCTCTCTCTCTCTCTCTCTCTTTCATTTGACCACCATCTGAATGGCACAGCATCTCTTCTCGGTAAAGCGGTGAGGTAATCAGAGACAAAAGCCTGCGCATAATCCATCCGTGTCCGCCCCCCACGTATTATGTCGTCTGATGTAAGCAGTGCAGAGGGAAGGTAGGTGGGTACTATAGCCCACCTTGCTCGTCCAACAGCCGCCCGAGGCGAAGGCATTGATTACACACTATGCTGCCTACCAAGGACCTTTTGTATCCCATTCCACCAAAGGCCCCCGTCCATGCCTTTCGCCACAGCCCAGCCCCGTCACGAACAGGCACGAAGGGGGCGGAAGGGGGAAGCCTTGTCAACCACCGTTGGGGGGTTGCTTAGAAGGTAGCATTCACTTGCTTCATGAGCCACAGTAAAAATGGCGCACCTAGCCGAGCTTTGTGTGCCTGTGTGTGTCTACATAGGTACAGTAGTATGTGCGCGCAGCCGAGGTACATCCATGCATGCCATGCCTGGAAATGGACAGACCTGCATAAGTTTCGTACAACGCTCAAGTGGAATGCGTCCTTCATTGGCCGCGCCCCTACGTTTTCAACTAAGCGCTCTCTTGCTCTCTGTCTTAAAGAGTCTCGTGGCTGGTCGTACCCGCACAGTCGTGTGTAGCAGCGGACCAGATCTCAGCACATCGCGGCTCTACTCGTCAGAGGGAGAGAGGAAACGCTGTCGGAATCACCGTCACAACCCAAAGGGCAGGTGACGACGTGGCAAGACACACGCACACACACACACACGGGATGATAATTTGGCGATGGAACCCAGTAGCCGGCTTTCCTTCTGCTGTAACCGTCCGGTTTTTCCTTCCCCATGTCTGGCAACTTGACCCGGCAGTCGGGTCACTCGTGCTCTACTCACGCACAACAGCAGCCCAGGCTGACGTCAGGTGATGCATCAAAAAATCAAGTACATGGTCATATTTTCGTCCCGTCTTTTTCCACGCGGGCTAGTAGAAGGGCAGCGGCATAACCCGCGCTGACGATCTCTTCTAACAGTACTATAGTATAGACGATCGACCAGTTCCCTGCGGCCCCGCAAACACAAAATTTCCCTTGTCAGAATGACTTGGAGTAAACTCTGTAGTAACCTCGCATCTCGTTGCGCAAGATTTTGTGCTAGCGTCTAGTGATAGTAGTCATCACGATGACTCCTCTCCATGCGTGTGTGGTGGACTCACGAACGCGGTCCCCTATATCCTACAGACTCGGTGTTTCAAGGCTCCACCCAGGCAACTAGAGTTACAGGTACAGTTGGGTGCATAGGGTACATGACAGAATGAGACCATCCATGTACCTCAACCCAGATTCAGTAGCAAGTCTATGGTTGGCGATGGCTGGCTGGGCGCCGGGAGGTGACATGAATCTGGGAAAGCCTCATCGTGGGCTGGGTCCGTAGAGCCTAGACCTGACGCCACACGCCCTTATCAAACTGAGAAGAAACACGTTCAATAAACCTGATAATTACATCCATCCTAGACATTATTCTTTTTTCAATTTGTTTGACACGGGGAAAGCCAGAGGCTGCCCAGATGCCCAGTGCCCAAGGCCGGAAAGCTAATCGGTCTGTGAAGGCACAGGCATATTGGCCTCCTCTAGGTGCCATCCTCTTGCCTTTTTATTCGTTATCTAGCTCATATTCTCTGCTCGAGTTCATTTCAACCGACTTGAGGAGAGTACTTCCGAGGCAGACGTCCAGCATATTAGTGAGGTCAAGGGTCCGTAGGCAAAGTTGCGCTTTCATCACAGACCTCCAGCCTCTAGTTCAGGCAGGACTGAATCGATCCTCTCAACGGCCTTCTTAATTGATATACTAGCCTGAGCATCGTATCTGTGTAAGTATCTCATACTGGAAGCCGACGCCAATGGCATGTATGACCATGTCATCAATCATCGAGGCGCCCAGGTTACTTTCATGTCGTCACTCTTTGGTCACAATGGTGTCGCCGTGGCAGTCGAATACATTCTGCCATATAGACCATATGAGCATAATTTATCGACTATTCTGAATGTTAAGAGCATAATGTGGGACAGCAAAACACTTGGTAACATTCCGCAAGGCATTTCACAGGCCGTCATTCCCCGTCACCTCACTGACAAGCTACGGTATATGACGCTTGGCAGCCATTCCAAGTCTTACCATATGCCCAGGTAATTCTCGACACATATTCTAATGCAAGCAACGGTGTTAGATAGAATAACAAATTCCCTAGACATCGAGAATAATGGCTTTGTTAAGATTGTTTGAGTGAATGTATCAACAAGAGGAGCAACAAATACTAAATACGGATCTAGTCAGCTTAAAGTCTGTGCTTAATCCAGCTCTTGATCCCAGACTGTTGAATGCTCACGACCCTGGCAGAGATGAGGTGTGCAGACTCCTTTTTGACAGCTTCTGAGGACGAGACTCTTGGAAGCTAATCTCGACATCACGTAAGTTGGTGGGTGGGTTTGGCTAGCTTAAAGACAGCAGCTTTTCTGCATCCCATGACCCATGGCTCAAGATCCGATGCATGCAATATGGTACATGTATGTTGAAAACCTCAATAGAGAGCTACCTCAATAGATAGAGAGCTAATCTGTCGTATAATGGCATGAGGACTCGCAAGGGGAAGAAGTCTTTGGTCCCTAATTAAATAATGTAATGAGTATGTCTTCTGATCAAAATGCTAACATCATACAATAATGTCTAGTTTAGGTGTCCAGGGGTTATGTATTACATTTCTTGCAATAAATGTTATCCAGTGCTAAATCATCATCAATTGGAATATGCCAAAGTATTCATCTCATCTCAATCTCATCTCGTTTCATTGCGGTGATCACTTTGCTGTCAAGAAATATGATATACAATTATGGGATGCAATTTTCTGGACGTAGAACTCCTAGTATATGAATATAATTGACTTCTTAGGCCATCTGAGATACCTTTCAACATGCATGAATGTGTTGAATCGAGAGGAAAAGGAAGATTAAATACACAACCGCAAAGGTAGAGACCCAAATTGCTCATCAGCAACTGATCAGGGACCTTTAATGTAGACAATCACATAACGCAAGCCTTTGGCCAGTTTTCTCGTTAGTTCACATGAGACTGGAGGATTTTGATGTAAGCCTTGGAGATTATTATGCATTATATAGCAGCCCATATTTAACAAGGACAGAGCGTATGGAGACCGAAGTCCCACTCAATAGCTTGCGATGAATACTCTTAGAGCTGAGAAAGCCGGGATAGACTTGTTGAAGGCCTTGAACAAGAGCTTGTTTTCAATATTGACAATGCATTCGATATCCTTCCTAGACCACTCGTACCAGCTCCAAGCCAGGCAACAGCGTTCCTTCATTCAGCCATGAGGTCCAAACACTGATTTTACAAAAATCACGAAAGGTGTGCCCGAGCTTGGCGCACAAAGCAGTGGAGGGTTCGTCCAATGTGAAAAGCATTCACGTCACTGGGATCGACCCTGGTTGCTGCAAGGGGCACCGTCATGACCATCACCATCACCACCACGTGGCCAAGAGGACCGTGCTACGTTGATCTTGCCGAGTTATGAGGAGAGGAAGGGAAATATTGTTAGAAGAAACCACCCTTCGTGACATTTATCGTGGAGCCAAGGAAAAGCTCGTGCGAACATACGTTTCATGCCTCACCTCCTGCACACCTCCATGTGGGTCTCCCGCACTCGCGTGGCGAAGGACTGAAACCATAACGGGTGGGTTGGCATCTGGACCCCACTGCTCGCACGGATGTTTTGTACATATGCCGTGCATACTATGGTTCATTATATGGGGATAGGTAACGTCTAGAGCCTTGCCTTTGCAGCCCGGCTGAAACCTGCGGACCAGGACGTTTGGTGATGGCGGGTGTGTACCATAGTAGCATGCTTCCCTGAGCCTTGCTTTCCGCGCCCCGCGAGAGGCGAGAGAGCTCTGGCACAACGTGTGAACCGTAGAACGCTACAGATCCTCCGTGTGTCTAGCTTCAGTAGATGATATAAAAGTATGTATCACGGCCCCCCGGTTTATGAATGTTGCCTTCTGTTTCTCTTTTTGATGGGAGATGGAACTGGATTCCCCTGGACAATCGACCTGGTGTCTCGATTATCGCTTGCTGCTTCCTCTGTCACGATGACCTCTAGCCAAGGATATGTGTGGTTTAATCTCTTCGATCCGATCGTCGACCCGCTCGTTCTTCTCGGCAGCTCTCTTTCTCTTGTCTCGACTTTCTGTGTCCTGCTCACCTTTGCTATCTACCGTCAGGAACAGGGCACTTTCCGACATGGCCTTGTCTTCAACCTCGCGCTGGCCGAGTTCATCAATTCGCTGAACGGCACGGCTTCTGGTGTCTATTTTGTTATCACCAAGAAATTGACCCCGGGTGCTCTGTGCTCCATCAATGGCTGGGTGGCCCAGGTCTCTGTTCAGGCTGCTGACTTTTCTATGTTTGCCATAGCAGTAGTAAGTTCTTCTGTGTCTTCTTCTTCCTCCTCCGCCCTCCAGTTCTGAAAAATCGTGATAGCTATAGCCCATTGTCCTGATCACTAACATTCAATAGATTACTCTCTTGACTGTCACCGAAAAAGTCTATATGCCGGCGGTGTCTCGCACCAAGAAGATCCTAATCTGTCTATCGATATGGATCGTTCCTTTAGCCACGGGGTGCATCGCCGTGGCAAAGGGAGTCATGATGCCTTCCGGTGCAAATTGGTGCTGGATCTCAGCATCACGTACCGACCTGCGCTACGGCCTCAACCACGGCTGGCGGTTTGCCATCATCTTGTTCATCATTGGCATCTATTCCTACGTCTACTACCACACCTCTCGGCGATTCAAGCACCTGGCCACCACCACCTCGCAGCCAACCGACTACTACACCAGGGCCAGCGTTGCGAGTAGAGCCTCTGTTCAGAAGCCGGCCGAGAAGATGATTGTCGAGCTACCAAGTCAAGAAGCTGCACAAGAAGGGTATGATGATGATGATCGAGAAATGCGTGGTCGATCGTGGCTCAGACTGTCAAGCTCCTCCATGGACTTTCCTGTCCACCCTCCCGACCTGGCTGTCTTGAAGGAAGATGTCACCATGAGTCGGACGACAACAGCCTCCACGCTGAGCACCTTGGACGAGTATCCCCTCGAGAGGGAACCCCTAGAGCAGGCTCCTCTGGAACGACCAGGCACGTCTGCCACACACACACTGCCACACACCAAGCAGACCGAGCGAGAGGTCAAGCGCATGTTGCTGCTGAACGCATACCCCTTTCTTTATGTTATTTTGTGGATACCAGGACTGGTGAACCGACTTCTTCAGGCGGCGGGCGACACGCCTTCCAGCAGGGTGCTGGATGCCCTGCAAGCTGCCAGTGCTTTCATCGGTTTTGCCAATGCGGTGACATATGGGTTCAACCGTAATCTGAGGCAGAGGATATCGACCGATATCTGGTGTTGGTGGGCTGGGATAAGAAGAAGAGGTTGAGCAGGTCAACCTTGGGGGGCTTGGACGTGGTCGAGGTCCTCAGTGTATACTTAAAGTACCTAGAGTATTGCTAATACAAATTATGCAACCACGATCTCATCCTTTCCCTTCTTCTTTCTTTCTCTTGTGAGTAAAATGGTTGGCCAAGCTCGCTATAATGACCGAATGAACTACTCTGTGCAATGCGTACCATGGTTACGTCCTGTCGATGATGGTTCTCACAAGACACCCTCTAAATACTTGCCCATAATTTCCTAAGTAAGATAAGGTGATCAAAAGTAGGTAGATAACCAGAATATAGACTTAGGCTATGAGAACCACAAATGTGCAACTGATAAGGTACCGCAACTCAAGCCCACGAACAAGACTGCTCTCCTCAGAGGGCACATGAAGCACCATCTTGAGGACCATCTTGAGCGTCAGCTCGGAGATTCTGATCCCACAAGCCGTGTAAAGACAGACCATTTTTAGCCTTGACCTCTTCATACTTTATTCTCATTCGTGCTACATACGTACCCTTCCTTAGATGAATCTCAGTACTAACGAAAGCATGCAAAGCAAGCCTTGCCACACCAATGTCAGGACCAGGAAAACGATCTCAGGCATCAAAGGGCCGGATGACGACCTTCTCGCCCGAAATACCTTTCTTGTTCTTGGCGAGCGCTGTCTCCAGCTCAGCCAAGCCCCCGCTCACCACCAGAGGGCGATTGGGGACAAACTTGCCCTTCGCGATGTACCCATCCTCCCCACCGAGGTGCCTCATCAAAGGCTCGCTTAGGTACCTCAGGCCAGGCGAGCTGCCGAGCCCCATGACCTGCTTGATGTCCACCTTGGGCTCCTTGCTACTGCCCAGCTCCTTGGCGGCGGCATTGACACCCTGCACCGTGATGACATGACTGCCACCGGTTCCGGTCGCCGCCAGGATCTCCACGCCCAGCGCCTGCGTAGCCGCCTCCGAGATGGCATCAAACACAAACGCCAGTGGTGTATCCCCAACCGCCGCCCGAAAATCCTCAGCGCCGTTCTGCCGCGCGCGGTCGAGCACGACGTCAGCGCCCAGCGACTTGAGAAACTCGGCGTGCTTGGCGCTGGCGTTGGTCACGACCTTCTCAAACCCGCTCAGCTTGGCAAGCTGGATGGCGTACTGCCCGACCGACGAGCTCCCGCCGAGCACAACGATCGCCTTACCCCGGCCCGCGTCGGCGCCGCCCTCCTCCCAGGGTGCCGCCAGCCCAGAGCCTGTCGCCCTGTCGTAAAACCCCGTGACGACGGCTATGGTGGCGAGCGAGACTCCGGCGGCCTGGTCGTCTGAGATACTTGTGGGCGTGTGGCCAACGAGCGCCGCGGGCATCTTGCAATACTGCTGGAAGGTGGAGGCGTCGTAGCGGGCGATGATGCCCTGGAAGAAGACGCGGTCGCCGACGTTGAATCCTGTCACGTCAGGGCCGACAGCGGCGATGGTGCCGGCTGCATCGGAGCCCAGGACGGCTGGGTAGTCCTTGATGAGGACTTTGTAGTCGCGGATTTTCCAGTCTACTGGGTTGATGGCGGTCGCTGCGATTTTAATGGCAACTTCGCCTGCCGAGAGAGATGGCAGGGAGCGGTCGGTTACGATGTGCTTCGCGCCGGGCTCAGGCACAACGGCGGCTTTGAATGTATCTGGGACGGTCATTGTGTGTGGCTGTCGATGAGATTCTGTAAGGAGATCACACGTCGACGTCTGTGTAAAGTTCGTTTTGCGAGATTATTCTCTCCGTAATTGCCGAGGGTTTTTGTGCGGGACCTCGTGTGACGTTTTCGTTGTCGTCATTTCGCAATCGTTGAGGCTGCTCAGAGGTTGCCTGACTCTGGGCAAAACGTTAATATTGTTGGTGGAACTGTCTCCACCCTAAGTTGCTCCCTTGCATTCTGTGATGAGCTCGATTCCGAATGCGTCTGGTTTCTTACTGTCGAAGCCAGTATCGTCGTCGTCGCGATCGGAGTTGTATGCTCTTCCAGGAACGCCCTCGATGAGTTTACATGTACTTACAACTCTCGGGGCATAATTTCAACACTTCTCAACCTGGGCAGTACGCACTCATTAAATGAACCCTATTATCACCATTAATTACAATACTCAGTATAGACAAATCGTGCTTGAATCCCAGTATTTTTCTGCTACATTAGCATTTATTTATTAGAACAGGGCTGACTTTGGTCTGAGTTCGGTATTGCATGGTATGCACTGCTTAGGTGGAGAGGTGTTGAAATAATACCCTGAGAGTTGTACTGTAGGAGGCTGGGAAGAATGAGAGGCTGCGAACATCTGAGAATAGTCACCACTGTTACGGAACTCGGTCATCTCTGCTGTTCATCGACTTCTTGTCAGTTCTTTTTCTGCCATTTTCTTCCTTTCTCGCTCTTCTCAATCTTGCATCACGGGCAGGTCCAAATCCACGACAATCGGCTTGTTGAACCTCTTTCCCCCCTCATGAGGCCAATTGGTCGCAGCGATCGCACAGTTGATCACACATGTTTCTTTCCTACCCAAACGGCAGCACAGGGCATTCCTGTCGCATCTCACAGACACCTCGGGATTCCCACCGATGCCGCGCGTGCCAAATCCAGGCAGCGTAGTCACAGAGCCATCCACAAGATGCTTGCAGAAGCCGTCCTGTGGGTGCCTCTCTGCTGGCGCCCCACGCCTCAGCGGGGAGCCGTCGTTGTCGAGTGGTCGCTTCCAGCCGCCCCGAGCGGTCAGGTCGACCAGCGACAGCTTCTTGCTGCCATGTAGCAGTGCAGCTCCTGGATCCTCCCATCTGTCGGACCCTAGCTCAGCGTACGGGGCTGCGGAGGTACCGAGGACATCCCAGCGGACACGCTGGACGCCACGTCCCTCGTGCACGTGTCCACAGACGGCGAGCTTGGGCCGAACCCGCCACAGGGCACGCCGGAGGTCCTCGCAGCCCATCGCTCGCCGTCTGGAAGTGGACTCGTCGCAATGGCCCCACGGTGGAGTGTGCGTAATGACGAGGTCGGTGTCGAGTGGGATGGCGGACCAGAGATCATCTCCTGCTGCAGGGCCAGCAGGCCCTGGAGCTGCCGTCTCCGCACCTGGGCTCCCACCTGCAGCCTGCTCTGCACATGTCGTCTTGTCGTAGCCAAATGCCCACATGCCGCTGCGAGGGCTGTAAGGGGACCCGAAGACGCTGAAGGAGACCGGCAGGGCGGGTGACCTGGTGAGCTGAACCGTGGCCGAGCTGTGGTTCAGGTATGTGATGGATGGGGATGATCTCAACAAATCCAGACACTCATCTGGAGACTGTGGGGTCTGTTTGTGAAAATAGGAGCCATGTTCATTGTAGAACTGCTTGTCGAGCGTAACATCGTGATTTCCCGCGACCACGATTTTGGCCTCGAAGTCCGCCCGCTCCAGCCATTTGACGGTCTTGGAGAGCTGTTGCCCTGTCAGCCACTGTCGGGAACGTTGAGGTCTGCAGAGAGGACATCATCCCTTCCGCACCTCTGACAAGCTGCCCTGATTCGTCAGGTCGCCAGCGTGAATTAGGACGTCGCCCCTCGGCAGCTTGGGCGTCTGATTATGCGTGTCTGAGACGCAGACGAATCTGGTCCTCCTGTATCGCTGCGTCCTTGAAGGCCCGTCATACATCTTAGTTGTCATGCTTCTTATGTTCACCGCCTCAAGCCGCAGGTGTCCAGGGAACACTGCATGAAAATGAAGATCTAGGAGGTGATCAAGGTTCCTGCGAAAACTGACTAGGACCGCTATGTGTTATAGGGTCGACAGAGGTCCGTTTAGGGGTCTGTAGTAAAAAGAGATACTGTGATAGTGTCGACTTGTTGCTGTGATGCTCATGAAATCAGACCATAGTTCATAATTACTAGCATCTGGGCTGTTCCTTCTCGACAATATTTTATTCAGATTCTAGTGGATATGACTCAACTTAGGCAGCGCTTCAGGCACTGCATCCAGCACGGTAGTCTGTAGAATTGAGATGCATTAGCTCCTATGTGGAAGATCAATGCAATAATCACTACATTGCTGAGTTTCCCGACACTTTTTTTTCTTCTCTAGAATACTGCGTTGTGAGTTCCATCGCATCCGATGCACGTTCTCTGGCTGTCTGTTGTGTTGACTGCAGTGGATTTGGTGGGGCGAGTTTCAGGGAATGCGTCCCTGGCAAAGATGTGCAACAGCCCTGGGAAAATACACCAGCACTAGCACAGGCGCCCCTAGCTGGTACGGTTCAGGTGCTTGCCAGAGCGGCCAAATGAACAAGGCTGCATGCTCGCCAGTCTAACCCACTTCGCATCCGTGATGTTGGGTTGCATAGGCACTCATGACACTCTTCTGGTACGATTATAAAGAATTCATATCAAACATACAAGTCCTCTCATCGTATTTGTCATATGACATCGGTGATAAGAACATAACGCATAACCATGTCCTTGACTGTTCTGAGTCTGTTATGGAGCGGACATAAATCGTCATGGGTCGAAGATATTGTTTCGCCTCGACAGGCGCTCTGTAACAAATCGAGACGAACAACTATTCATACAAATCAGAGCATATCATGCCTCGCGTCTTCCTAGTAACGGGCACTTCGAGCGGCTTCGGCTACGAGCTGGTCCAAAGGATCATCGCTGAGGGCGACATCGCCGTGGCCACAGCACGAGACTCCTCGAGGCTCACGTTCGACAACACCTCCCCTAAGAACTTTCTGGCTGTCGACCTTGACGTCACCAAACCCGCCTCCATAGACTACGCCTTCAACAGGGCGCTGTCCAGTTCGGCCGCATCGACGTGGTCGTCAATAACGCAGGCTACGGCCTGAGCGGGCCCTTTGAAACCCTCACGGACAGGCAGATCCGCACGCAGATGGATGTGAATTTCTTTGGCCTCCTCGACGTGACGCGCAAGGCCCTCGAAGTGATGCGCGACAAGAACAGCCCTCCCGGCGGGCTGATCCGGCAGGTTGCCTCCATCGGCGGCCACAAGGGCACGCCGACCATTTCCATCTACTGCGCATCCAAGTGGGCCGTCGAGGGCTTCACGGAGTCGCTATCCCGCGAGGTATGTACCTTGCAATGATACCACACATCCTAGAAACAAGCGTGACCCTGAAGGCGGGCAGACCGTCGTACTTACACATAGGGACTACCTTTCACAGCTCAAACCGGAGTGGAACATCCACGTGCAACTTGTCGAGCCAGGCGCTTTCCGCACCGACGCCACCGGTCGCAGCATGGTCTTCGGCGAGGTCGAGAACAAAGCCTATGACCACTTGGACGCCAGGAAGACCGCTGCGGGACGGCACGGCGCGGAGCCAGGGGACACCGCCAAGGGCGCGACCGCCATGTACGAGCTGGCGACTATGAACGAGCCACCGTTGCGTTGTGTCATTGGTAGAGACGCGTATAAGGCGATGGAGATGAAGCTGGAGATGTACGCAGAGAATATCAAGAGGTTCGAGGAGCTGAGTACCAGCACGGACGTGGATGAATAGCCATATAAAGTGAGGCGATTGCAGCAGTTTGCTACCTTTTGGCGGAGAAACATGCACCTCGGATTCCTCCCATGGTCGCCCCTGTAGATAGTGGAGGCTATAGGCAGTATGAATACAACTTTCTCCACACACAGTCTCAATTCACACACGGTTCACACACGGTAACGATTTAGTAAAATCAACCCGCCCCCCACCGGCGCTATACCTGTTGAGCTACAGCAGGCTACAGGGGAAGTTGGCGCTATAAGCCACTGTGGAAAAGCTGGTAGCAAAAGCAAGCACTGGAAGGACTGATCAGTGCCACTGGTAGTGGGTGTGAAAAGATGAAATAGTTCCTTAGGGACTAACTAAAGCTACTGTAAAGACAGGGGAGTAAGGGCCTGTATATAAGTTGCAGTGCAACTTATAGAAGATCTTGGCACTGGCTAGCTGGCAACAGCTAGAAGATTCGATGGCGAATCGCCGAGTGCTCGGAGGCTAACCCACAGGGCCAATCATTGGCCAGAACGATTACAGTGGGTTGTGCCACTGTAATATATCCAGTACAAAGAACCACAGTGGGTTGTACCACTGTAAATAGCCAGGGGCATATGCCCAGGGCACCACAAAGTTCAACAATACCTAAAGTAAACAGCCATCTAAGTGCACAGCCATTTTTCATACTGTACTAGATATCAAATTACCTGTACTCATCAGCTGCCTAAATCAGCTCTTGAGGAGCTATTTGCTGCTAGCAATTGCACCAGAGCCAGCTCTGGTGTAATGAGCACTGCAGTAATCCGAGGATTCCAAAGTACACAAAGGGTTTATGCTAACAAGAGCGATGTCGAATACCAATCCTTGAATACGGAAATGTAACTGGGGAGTCCGTGCAAGTGTTCACTGCCTTTGGGGCTATCAGAGTAAGAGGTAATCTGATACTTAGATTGACGACTGAAGAGCTATGTACAATGATCTATCCAGTGGTAACGAACGTGTCCTTATATATCCAGCTCTTCATCGTGGCTCACCTGGATCGATATCGAGCCCATCGATCCAGGGGGTGTGGCTTCAACTGGATCGATGTCGAGCCCATCGAGCTACCCTCCATCGTAACCCTAACCCTTGCTTACGTAATCCTGGTTGGTTGTCCGACGTTGGGTCATGACACCTGGTTCCTTGTTGGCGGGGCCTGTTTCGTGACTTGCATGTTGAATGGGTCATAACATAGCAGTATATTATAAATACAGATTATATACTTATATAATTTATGTAAACACATGCAGTATGCTTGTATTGAAGCTGCATATATATATGTATGCAGAGATATTATAAGTATACTGTATATTCTTATCAAATATATGTGCGTACATACAGTGCGCTTGTATCAAGGCTGCATGTACAATTTACAAGATCTCTGTTATAGCTTATAGTGTGGGCACTGTGCGGTATGTTCTGCCAAATACGGCTAGAGCGGTGGGGGGCGGGTTGATTCCTCCAAGAGGCGGAGTCGCCATTGCTACATGAACACAACGCACACAAGCCCCTCAACATCACGAACGACCTCGCTGCCCTACAACCGCTCTTAATTACCTGACAGCAGCCGTCAGCTGTCAATATGATTCAGTAGATCGAATCACTTGTTTCTCTTCCTTTTTATTCCTCTTAAATCATACAATCGGACCAACCGGGGGCGGACAACGCGATCAGTAGTAGCCATGTCTACAGCCGTTACCGAGGCGGAGGAGGCGATGGAGGACGTTCTTCAAGTGATGGGCTGGGAATGCCTGCCCTTCGAGCTGCACCGCAAGATCCTACAGATCCTAATCCATGACGAGCTCGAGTCAAAACTTGTGGCCGAGTACGCCGTTGTTTGCAGGTCATGGCAGGCACAAGTCGAGGAGATCAACTTTCAGAAGCTGGCAGTCAACCAGGATGACCTCACCTTGCTGGAGCAGATCGTCACCGGGCCCCGACAGACATATCTCAGGCATATACGGCTCAATGTTGAGCTGCCCAAGTACACCAACTCGCTACGCTACGTTCCAGAGAACGAGCATGAGCAGGAGACCAATAATTTCAGGTTCACCGTGGCGCTGTTCGAGACGTTTGAGCTGCTGGCACTCTGGGACACGCCCGACTTCTGGGCCGCCAGGAATGGTCGTGGCCTGGATCTCGAGCTATGTGCCTATTCACCTTCTGACAAAAAACACCGCCTGGGTGAGCGGAGTGTGGATGCGGACGGCAACTCGAGATTCCTTGACTCCCTGTTGGATTTTCATCTCTTGGCTCTTGAAGAACCGGACGGACCTCACGGCCTGCCGCTGGTCAACGTTGTAACGGGTCTCTTCGTCCTCCGCCGTAGTTACCGTAACATTTCAGCAGCGGCACTCACGCCTGTCATACGGTCTCTTCCCAACCTCCAGGAACTCCGCCTTGAATCCTGGATGCAAATTGAAAGCCGGATGCAAGAAGACGTTGACAGTGGTTTGTACCCTCGCCCCCCTCTCCCCCGGGCGGCGCACGCGCTCCTCAAGAGGACGTTACTGTGATCAGACACCAGGCTTACGTGATGTCTCCTCTCAAACACAGAGCTCGCCACCCAGGTACCGTTCTGGGAATTAAACCGTCTGAAGCGCTTCAGTCTCTTTGAGCATTTTGGCGCCTGGGCCGCCATGATCACTCCTGGCGTCAACAGGACACGCCATTCATATCCGTACGTCTCTCAACAAATACGGCAGTTCAGCACCGAAGTCGAAGAGATGAGCTGCTCCTTTATAGTGGACGCAGTGGTGTTCTTCGAGCAATTTTCTCGAGCCGGTCGAAACTTGCAGCTGCCCAGCCTGCGTCTGAAACCTCCTTACTGGCCGAACCTCCGCTGGCTCACCCTGACCTGTTACGGTTTTTGCCATGCGACCGATCCCGACAGGATCAATGACGTCCTCTTCTCTGCGGCGAAGGGCGCAAAAAACATGCCCAAGCTGTTGCACATGGAGATTTACAACGTGAACCAGCACTGCGCCGCCGTGTTTCGGTATCTGGTCATCAAGAACACGGCCCTCATCAGCTGGACCAGCACCTTCGACTTCAAATTGGACGGGACGGTCAAGACCCTGTGGAAGCAAGTGGGTCACCAATCCACGCGCAAGGAACCGATCGTGTTCGGCGAGGTGAGGATGGCCAATTACGGGACCATCAGGCAGGAGGGCTTCATACACTCGGAGCTGGCAACGAGGGAATTGGTGCTGCATCGAGAATCAAGCACAGATTTGATGGAGGGTCGGCCTTTTCCCGATTCGGTGCTGCCATTGCAGAATCTGCCGCCGATCGTGCTTCCCTCAACGGAGACTTGAATGTCTTGTTGCTATTGTTGTGGTGCAAGAACAGGTGGACAGCGAGCTGAGACAGTAACACTCAATGCAGGGACAAGACTACACAATAGGTGATGAGTAGTCAGTCTTAACAGTCCTGCAGGCTGATAAAGTTGATGCTATTGTGTGCATGCACCGATTCTGTGGCGCATTGGGCTCTTATTAATATATTTATGCTTATCATGAACACGCTATATATCCTTTGCGCTGCCAAGTTTGTATGTGCTCTCTCACTCTGTCACACATACTCGTTGTCTCTCACCAAGAATATTTCGTAGGTGGCAGGATGTGCACAGGCCCTCAATGCTGTTGCCCCCCCTGAATTTCTGGGGAGTTTCCAGGATGTAACGCTGAGGTTTTTGCGCTCAGGGTCACGAGCCAAGATGGTTCTGTCGGTGCAAATTAAGAGGAGATCCAAGCTTGATGCAGTAGGGTAAGTGTGGCCTGAAAAGGTTTGGCAAGGGTTTTTGTTGGTGGTCTTTTTTTATGTTCCATTTTCCTTCCTTCCTACCCTCGCCCTCTGCCTACTTTGGGTGTCCCGGTTTTCCTGAAGCTGTCATCGAGGCGATCATGGGTAAGGTAATGATCAAGACATCCAAGTTTCTCGATAATAGTACTACTGTATGAGTAGGGATAAAAGACAGTCAGTGAGCAGTGCAGCAAGGCCTAGGTGGGCGGGCCATTGGCGGGGGCCATTTGTTGGCGGTACACCTGGACCTTAAGCGAGAAATAAGCCCCACTGAAGTCTCCCGCCAGAGTTGGGGTCTCCAGCAGCCAACAGCCCCCTATGCCCGACCCCTATTGGACAAGTTGGGAAACTGTAACGCCCGCACTTAAGTGCTACCCCATGTGCCCCAGTATCTTAGTGGCTCCAGGCTTGAACGATAATAACCCATGCTCGCGCGCTGTCTGCCTGCTGTTGGGTGCTGGAGATCTAACCGAACAGGCTGTCATGGGAAGGGCCCCTCGCATTCTCCTTTTCAAAATTGCTTCTAGAAAGAAATTATACCACACACCTGCACCGAACTTGTTCTAGAGCGGGAGTATAGCCCTGAGCCCTCCCCCTCTTCTCCCCCCTCTCTCTGTTTCTCTTCAGCTCTGCGCTGTGCGACGCTGGATCTGAGACAATCACCAAGGCCATTGAACCGAACTGGTCCATACACTCACTCTCTTCTTTGATTTTCTTTCAGCCATCTCTCGTCTCCGTCTCTCTCGTCGTCGTAGGAGGTTGAAGCAGTGAGGAGCCCTCCCACCGGCTCCCCCCACTCCCCCTTCTCTCAGGGCGGACCCCGTAAACCCTGGTCCAGCAAAAGCACAGCAGCCCTCTCTGGGTACGTTTTATTAGCACGGTTATACCTGGTTCCCCTGTGATTCACCATATCAAATTTATGCAAGCTTGCGCTCTTCCGTCACTTCTCATCTCCCGTTTGTATTGGGCTTCCGGCGCCCAATTTTTCTCTTTTTGATTCTTTATCTCTCTTTCTCCCCTTCTCCTCCTATCCTCACAGACAAAATCAGTCAAACCTAGGCTCGGGCCCTTGATGCCGCCTCCGGTTCAACGACGGGAAGATCCAGCTGCCTCACAATCTCCTCACCTCCTCGTCCTCCTCGTAGTAGCTGGTTCTGAACGGATGGGCTCTGAGGGCCACCGGTGGGGACTTGCATGGGATTAATTGGATCATACAGGGCCAGCAATAATATCGGCACTACCGACAGGACACCCGCCTTACCGCTCTCAGCCAACGGCCGCCGTTGCGCTGTGAACACGCCCATCTTTGTCGAGGAGAAGCGAGGCCGAGGCGACACACAATACGAGACAGAGAGAAGAGAAACGAGACATCATATTGCCCTTTACCACGCTGGCCCCATCCGACGCTCGTGTGAGTGAGTGAGGGCCCCCACCACCAGAGACTTCTCCCGGCTGCTCTGGGCTGCACAGCACAGCAATCAATTGCATTCTATATGCAGAGCAGAGCAAGCCACCTGGCGGGATAGCACCGGGGAAACGAGAGATTACCAGCTGCTACCACCATTCACAATTGTCTCAGCAAGCCACGAGGAAAACGGGAACCGACGATCACCGCATCCGAGTCTGCGTGCAGCCAACCTGTCGGCGCACAGCACGAGGGGGCAAACGACAGCAGCCAAGATCATGGCTGCCATGTCCACCGCCCAGACGGCCACCACCCTCACTCCGCCCAGCAGTTCCCACGGCGATGCGAATGGATTTCGATGGGATTTCGCCACAGATCCAGCTGGTAGACCTGATGTGAGTTTTCCTCTTGGTCTAGGCCAACTGCATGAGCATGACGACGGCTCGACAAGCTTGAAAAGGGGAAAGGCTAACGTGTGCGTCCGTGTCCAATTTCTGCAGGAACGACACTACGAAGAGAAGGCATCGCTCAAGGGCACCGGGCCAAATGGAAATACCAGGCCAACTCTTGCCGCGCAGAATGGCAACTCGGCCTCCTTCGGCTCGGCCATGTCAGTTAAGACAGCAAATGGCGAGGAGGCGGTGAACAGGCAGTTCTCACACGCGCACAGCAACGAGGACACCCCCGACACCATGGCCGACGGCCCGATGGACTATGACGATGACGACGACGACCGCTACGTGAGGACCGCCGATGGATATGTATACTCGAGCAAGCGGCCCAACAACGGTATGGAGTGGTCCGACGAGGACTCGAAGTGGATCCACCGGGACAAGCTCGTCAAGATCGAGAACGAGGAGCTCCAGGCTGCCGGCATCATCCTTCCCCCACCGCGGTCCAGAAGTAAAGGGCCAAGGAGGGACAGGAGCCAGAGTAGCCACAGGAAGATGGGCAACGATGGCACCACGAGAAGTAGGAAGAATTCGTCGCACGTGTTTGAGTCGGGCATGAACGAGGAGAGCGGCGATGGCGATGCACCATCCAGGCCGATGACTGGCTCGAGGATACCCGTGCCGAAGAAGAGCCCAGCGTTTGCACACTCGAGGGAGAATAGCGTTGAGGAACATGACAAGGACAAGCGGCCCGATGGCACCACTAGCACGCGGTCGAGGTCGAACAGTACCACCCTCAAGGGCTTGGAGCCCTCGCCGACGTTCAAGTCTACCCCGCCCAAAAAAGCAGCCACTGAGCCGCCAACCAAGAAGACGACACCAGCCGGTGGGGCTCGGAAGCCGTCCGGTCCATCGAAGAGCATCCCGCCCGAGGCACGCGGCAGGCCGAAGCCGAAAGGCAAGAATGGAGCCAACGGTAGCAACGGGCGGCCAAACACCAGGTCCGGCGAGCGTGAATTATCCGTCAGCTCGTCAGGCCCCAAGCAGATGGAAGGCGAGCCGCCATGGATGGTCTCGGCGTACAAGCCCGATCCCCGGCTGCCACCAGATCAGCAATTGCTACCCACCGTGGCAAAGAGACTGGCGCAGGAGAAGTGGGAGCAGGAAGGCAAGTTTGGGAACGTCTACGACAAGGACTTCAGACCTCTCACAGATGAGGGCTTCCTCGCACCCCCGCTTGCATCCTCATCGCCTGCGATACAGCCGACTTCGTCCACCGATAACATCGTCGAGCAACAAGTTGAAAAGCCGGACGAGTGGCCGCTGCGATCAGCCGATGCCCCCAAGAGCCCTGCGTCTATCGGAAGGTCAAGCACGTACTCGACCATGCCCAGGATTCAGGACAAGCCGCCATCACATAGCCCGCTGGCGAGTCCAAGGGAACCGCAGCAGCCTCTGCCTTCACAGCCGACACAACAGCCTGCGCCGTCGAAGCCAACGCAGATCACTAGGGTGCCGGACGTGGAGAAGGCCGAGGAAGGGACCGAGGCAGAGAAGAAGGGAGGCTGTGGATGCTGCATCGTGATGTGATTAAAAAAAACACATGGCATCATGATGCTTTCGCAATGGATACTTCTCAGGCTCTCTTCTCCATGCTTACCGACCCCGCGCATTCAAACTTCATCGAGCAGCTGGTCGACTCTGCTTTACTGGCTCCGCGCGTCCTCAACCCGACGCCATTGCAACTTAATACACCCGACAACAACAGACACCCACACCGTGACAAAAGAAATTATCCGATTTCATTAGTTTGAGAAGAACAAGGCTGCTTAGCTGATGACGATATCACGACTCATTCCTTATTTGTCCGACTACAAACCCCCAACTACAAACCGCCAACAAGACGTACTTTCATTTGTCGCCGCCTCTAATTCATCAAAAGGAGACTACCTTATCGAGCCAAGCCAAAGCGTGTCTTAAGTCGGAATGCTCTGCTGCTTCCGCATTTTTTTCCCTTTGTTTATTCGTCTTCTGCGTCGGAGTTACAGGTGCTTTGAGAGCGGGATAGCATGCTTGTTTGGTTTGCTCTACATTTTACACCACATTTTTTCCCCGCCTTCCATCGACAATCGTCACACTACAATATATTTCACTGGCCCTCTTACCTGAAGGCCCAACCCCCGTCATACCCCTCCTGAAGAAGGATGAACAAAACCTGTGTGGCTCGGCCCGTCGAAGCAACCGAAGCCGCCGTTCGAATCAGGAGGGTCATCCACACTGCAGACACAGAGGTAGCAATACGAGAACCACATGGCACGCCAGGTCGAGCAAACGGGGGGAAGAGGGGAGGAAGGGGGCGTGTGTGGACAGAGAGAGGATCGGAATTGAGTTCTGATACCCGTTGAGTATTTATCATCGTTGGTGGAAAAAGACGCGTCGAAGAGACAGAATGGAATTACCACATATTTCGACAATCGTTAAATTGGAGGTTTAGAGGTTGGGTCAAGTCGGGAATCGGGAGCTTGACTGGGAGAGATTGTTGATTTATAGCCTTAAGCACAAGGTCAGAGAAGAAACACCCTTTTTTTACCCGATACGTTTCACATGTTATTCCGTCCCTCGTGACTATTGCGTGTTCGATGTGAGCTGGGGCTGCTGCCGGGTTGATCGAGCAGCGGCGTGAACTGATCTTGGCTGGCGAAAGTCCCACCTAGCTATTCATATTGCTGTCTGCTTTTCAAGAGTTCATTGCCTATCTTTACTTTCAAGACACGATTTCTTTCTGAAGTGTCTGCGTACACCATGATTTCAAGATCTGCTTTGGGGGACGACACACTGTGGCAGCTCGAAAAAATGTCGATATGGCGGCTGGCTGGAGCACCAGCTCCTAGGCGTGGTCGATCTCGTAGTGACTTTTTGAGGATGCAAGTGTGCGCGTGGTTTTCCATTGAGGAGATAGTGTGGTGTATATAGGCTTCGAAGTGCAAAATCAGACGCCTGCCTGGCCCCTGCCACGGACACAACAGAAAGCATTGACGCAATGGGCCAACATCACCTACGTATTGTGGTTATGGACTGTATAGCATCGGCTAAGGTCTCTGGAAGGTGGGCATTGTGACACCATTAGAAATACCGTGAAGGCCGAACTGCTTGGCATGTTAGGCAGTGAGCAATTATGTATGAGTAGCGGGTCAGACTTGGGACATAGACGCCCGTCGCCGCGGTGCCTCTTATACGTCTATCACAACTTTTGGGCGTGTAAATCATGTTTTTGAACTTCAGCTAGCAGATGTTCTTCTGGACATGCTGATATTCGCAAGTAAGCCGTCATACGTTGGATATTTGGTGGTGTTGCGGTGCTTGTGCTGGTGTTTCTGGTAGAGCAGGCCAGGCCCGTGGTGACAACTTGGTCTACTAGTGAGCGGTCGGTCCATCTTCAGTGGTTTCCAAGGAGATTTATTTAGCTGAAGATAGGCACTCCACGTCGTTGCACCTACGTTCCCACATGGAGAACTCATCCAATGTTCATCTATTCTTAGTCCTACCTCAACAACCAGAGCAACAGTCTGCAGAGATGAGCTGGGAAGGTTGGCAGATAAATGGTTGATATAAAGATTAGCGCAGGTGACGTCCTATCTGCAGTGTTGCTGCTGACGTTATCGGATAGCATCCCCACTTTACGTGAATGGCTTATATCTGATTGGTTGATCAAACTAAATGGGCGACCAGACGCGTCCTGTCGCGTCTCCCAACTCCGGAAACGAGACTTCTGTTCCTCTCTCTTTTCTTGTGTACCACACACGACGCAACATCACAAGAAACCAATGCCAGAGTGACAGGATGTTCAGACAAGACTACAACCGCATCGACGCAAAACGGCGCCATGTCGACCACCGCAAGAAACAGTTTGCCGAGGCAGTGTACAAAGAAACGCAATACTCCCACAGGCTCAATTTCTACGCGACGCCTCCGACCGCAGACATCACCCTCGAGCAATTTGAGCAATGGGCCATAGACCGGTTGAGGGGTATATGAACACCCAGACAGTTCTCTGGGTGCCTGAAATTTACTGACTCCTTAAACACTTTGCATAGTTCTCGCCGAGCTCGAAGCATGTTCCTTCCGCAACAAATCTCTTGACGAGACCGCTACCCATATGAAGCCGTTGCTGGAGAAATACCTCCGCCTAGATCACAACAGCTCGAAACTGCCGCAGCTGCCTGCGCAAAGGCAGAAAGATCACTACAGCCACTTCATCTTACGCCTTGCTTTCGCATCCACGGAGGACCTGCGACGACGATTCACGCGCGTCGAGACGATGTTGTTTCGGCTGCGTCTTGCCGCAGAAGACGCGAAAGAACGCAACAAGTTCGTCGAGAGCCTAAACCTGGACTGGGAGATGGTCTCAGAGGACGAGAAGAGGGAGCTAGCGAGTCAATTGGCAGCCGCCAGCAACTATGGACGCAAGGGCCCGCCCGAGGACGAGACGTGGTGCAAGGTCGACTGGGAGCGAGTGCCAGATCTGGTCGAGGGCAGAAGGGTGTTCCTCAAGGCTGGGCAGGCCTATGTGCCTTCCAAGGAGCAGTCCAGCATGGTCCTGGCCGAGTTCACTTCCAGGCTAGAGAGAGCCCTCGAGGTCAGCATGCATGACGGGTACACATTGGCTGGCTATGCCGCTAACATAGAGATTTTCCCACAGCTCACTGCACGCGCGCTCCCACGACTCGACGAAGACGACCGCCTAACTCCAATCCTCGATCACTTGTCCAAGAACTTCATCACCCCCGATGCCTCCTACCAGAGCGGCTCCGGCGACTTACCCTCCGGCGCCGAGATAACGGCACGCAATATCGACAACCTGTCACAGCATTTCCCCGCGTGTATGTCGCATCTGCACCGCTCGCTGCGGCGCGATGCCCATCTCAAACACTACGGCCGTTTGCAATATACGCTCTTCTTGAAAGGCATCGGCCTCAATCTGGAGGAGTGTCTCATATTCTGGCGGCAGTCGTTCCACAAGATCACGGATGATCAGTTCAACAAGGATTACCGGTACAACGTGCGGCACGCATACGGCGATGTCGGTGGTGACTCTAATAGGCGTGGCGGTGGCTACAGTCCATTCAGCTGTCAAAAAATTCTGACGGAGCACCCTCCAGGCCCAGGCGAGGCCCACGGATGTCCCTACCGGCATTTCAACCTGGAGAACTTGACGGCGCTGATGCAATCTATGGGCGTCAACGACAGAGGGGTGCTACAGGGCGTGAAGGAGGACAAGGACAAGCAGAAATTCCACATGGCTTGTAATCGGTAAGCCCAGCAGGACTGAGTGCTACAGTGAAGTGGGACCGTATGAGACTGACATTTCAACCCAGTGTATTCGAGTATCTACATAAGGCTGAGATCAAGAAAGCCAAGGATGAGAGCATCATGAGCGCGACGCAGCTTGAAACAATTGTCCACCCGAACGAGTACTTTAAACGAAGCTACCTGCTGAAGAATATGGGCAAGGATAGCAGCGGCGAGAATGTTAAGATGGAAGGCTGATATTTCCATTGGGAGGAAATGTTTTTTTGTTTTGTTTTTTTTATTTATTTCCTGTCGTGAGCAGCATGGTGTGCGTGCATACTTTGATCTGCGGAGTTCTAGGCCTGTAGTCCCCTTTATTGTTCTTCTTGATATGACGGTAATGAGAGCTCCAGCGGTTGAGCAATTGCACTCAACCCATGTTTCTGGCCTGAAGCTGTGCCCTTTGGACAGGTGTTTGAGAAGTTAATGCATGGTCTGTGTCCTGAACAGAGGCGAACGGTGTCGAGACGGACAACGAAACGGTGGTGTTAGCGGTGAGACGGAAGGGTCAAGACCCTGGTGGCCCCCGTCGACGACTTCGATCTGGTCTGGCTGCATACCATCTCGAGTGAATGTCTGGCATAGCAAGGAGCGGGTTGTTGTCCCATATGGAGACCCACATATAAGTATGGAACTATCGGACTATCGAGGCTTGACCAGTACTTGTCAGGCCAGGGCTGGGGGGCCTGGGCCTAGATGTCGTGGAGAAAGACGAGTATACGGGTTACTGGTATTGCGACACAAGGCTCGGAACCTGGATGCCGTACATCAGTTTCCTCTCCACCCCTCACGGGATCGTCGGTCTCGCTACAATGCAGAGTGTCATGATTTCCCCCCAAAATTAAAAACAGTCAGCTGCAGGACCAGAGTGGCTGTGGGAACAACTGTCCATACGTCCAGTCGAGCCGCCCGGAAGAAGCGGCCTTTCCATACACAACATCAGCAGATCGGCTGTGCATGTGCCGCGCCAGAAGTAGGAGGAGACAAAAAAAGAAAAGGAGACCCTGCGATCTCTTGCTTTTTTGGGGTTGTCTCGACACTATCATCACGCGCCCAGCCACGTAGGCCGCCACGAAAGCGAGAGCAACTATAGTCTACATGCTGTACATGACACCATATATGCAACAAACAGGGCATACACAGTAAGAGAACTTTCCAAGTCGCAGCCGGGGGGGGGGGGTTGGCGGCGGGGTAGATTTTGGCTTTACCATAATACCAGGCGCATAATAACGGTGAGTCCACCAGGGGTCCATGGACTGTTCCAGCCTCGAGAGCAAAATTCGGTTGACTATCTCTGGAGAGGGGAAATGATGGAATGGCCCAGATTCCGGGCCAAGGCAGAGAGAGAAGGACAGAGAGAGATTGAAATGAAAGCTGGGAATGCCCTCACATTTGCGGAGAGCCTTGTTCACAGACCATTGTCCCCCATGTCATGGTCGGTCCAGCTGGTCGGGACCAAGCCGATTTCGGGTTGAATTCGAGACGATCAAAGGGTCTAGGCCCTCGGCGACAGTTTTCCGAATCGTGGCGATCACCGTATAAGTTTCCGATCTCGACGACGCTCTGATCTCATTTGGGGAACAAGGCCTTTTCTGGGCATGTATGAAGTTATTCCCAACTCTGTTCCTTCCCTGGGCCTGTCCAGATTTCTCATGCACCCCCCCTCACTCCTCCTCCTCCGCTACTATGACGAGCCCTTCTCCACCATCACGAAATTTGACGGTACCGCGTAGACCGCCTCCTCTTTGCCTTCCTCCAGACTCGTCCATCCAACCCCCATTCCTCGTCCTCCTTCTTCCTTCTCAAGCCTCACCTTGCTCACCGTGCTTTCCCCCCCCCCCCCCCCCCCAAATCCAAGAAAGGATGCTGAAAACAAAAATATGTTACAGGGCCCGTGCTGCTAGCCGCCTACGATATACGCGTCCAGGGACGTCATAGTAAGACCCTGCGTCACTAGTTGCACCAGCTCGGCCGTCATGAAAAAAAAAAATCCTGCAGGACCCTGATGGGTGGTCCCTTAAGATGGCGGTGGGGGGCCCTGACCAGTAAATCATCCGTGACGAGCTTCCCAGAGGAATAGGTTGAATGACCGGCACAAGGCTCGGAGAACCTCGGCGCAAGGAAGGCTTCTTGTCTTGGGCATGTTTTCTTCACCCACTTTGCAGCCAGCTATTGTGTGGCTGCGTCACCGTGATGGTGTGTGTGTGTGTGTGTGTGTGTAGTGAGATAAGTGAGAAGAGGGACGCAGCAGCTTGCTACCCAAGGGGTTGCAACTGCAGCACACAGACATCAATATTACTATCTATATCCAGAAGCTGCTGATTAGGTGCATTGATCAGACATGATAACCACCTAAGATGAATCTGATCGTCATTCCCGCCCTCATAAAATCACAGCATTTCGCGCAGCATGCACACACACATACATGACAAAATGAGCTCCCATCTCTCGTCTTCCGCCCTCTGACCCGTCCAAAAAGAGAGGTCAGTGTGGAAATGGGGGTGTGGGGGTGGGTTGAAACGATGATGCCAGGGAGCTCGTATGCCACGACACACTACCCTGCTGCACGATGAGGTCAGATCTAGGGCTGGGGTCGTCCAGGCGCGGCAGGCTACTACAGTCTGGAGAAAAAGAGAAGAGAGAGGGGAAGGGGGCCGAATTGACTGGCTACCGTTTGCCCTATGATGTGCCGGAGCTATGCAGGCCAGTAGCACCCCCTTTGGAGGCGGGGGGGGGGAGGGGGTTGGGTGGAAGCGTCATCAAAGAAAGAAAAAGAGAAATCCTATGGACGACGTGATGGACACATCACAGAACGAGGCCGAAGATCTTCGCGAAAAGAGAAGTGATGATACTCAGGTCGACGTGGTTCAAGTGCCCTCGTGATGCGTGCTTCTGAAGCCAAGGTCTTATGGATCGGTTGCTGATCTTGCCTGTTTTCTTGGACCCTGGGGGGGGGGGTTTATTTTATTTTGTTATTATTATTATTTTCCTCTCCTTCTCTTTATTTCTATGGCTGAGCGAGGACTTGGTTTGGGTTGGGTGGGCCTTTACGGGTGTCAGGCCGGGGGGTTAGTGGTGGTCAGCAAGAGACCGTCGCCTGGGAATAGCATCTCGGTCTTTGTACTACTACGTGACTAGTGTGCGCGTGGTTGGTGGTATTGCGTTCTGCAGGCCGTCTGTCACCACAAAAGCGGCCGTGCCTTTTTCTTTTCCTTTTATCTCTTCTCTGTGCTCGGAGAGGGTTTGAGTAAAAAGTGGCATATGAGTGCCAAGGTTACAATACCATTCTTGTGACTCGTAATTGAGACCTGTTTGGCCCTCAATGCTGCTGGCGCTTTTGTGTGTGTGCTAGTCTTTTGTGTCTCTTGACGTAGAGACGAGACAATAAGGTCCTCCTTTCCGTTTCCTTCTAACCCCAAGAGAGTCCAAGATGATGGTTCACGATGATGTCGTTGTGCATTAGCAAAGTAAGTACCATAGTACGGATTCCGTCCGAACGGTACACAAGTACTCTGGTACATGAAGCAACCCTCTCGAGTCAGAGTCAAGAGTACAAGTTATGATCCATGGAGCCAGATGCAATATGCAAATATGCCGCTGAACTGTACAGGCAGTGCATATTCCTCTGATATTCGATCCAATCCATTCTTCGCTGCGCCCCCCAGTTTCCAAGTCTCCAGTCTCGCATGCGCAACAGAAGCAAAGGACGCTCGGCGCGTGCCCGCTGTCAAAACGGGGGAGGGGGGGGGTGGAATAATGGGGCCCCTGTACCCTATTCTTGCTGTCCCCCCTGTCAGCATGGTACCCTGATTCGTCCGGCTCCAACTGCCAGCAGAGCAAGACAAAAAGGACAAAAGAGAAGAAAGAAGAAGAAAAAGAGGCAAGTGGAGAAGAGAAAAGAGAGGCTGGAACTGTCCAGCCAGAGAAATCGAACGAGTTTCGCATATGCAACTTGTTCCGCCTAACCCATCGTAGGAAAAAAAGACGCACCCGCACCGTGGTGCTGGCATGCCATCTTGAGGTGGGACCCTTGCTACTGTTCCCTCTCTCCATCATGCCCCCTTCTCGCTTGTTTTGCCGGATGCTCAGGTCGCCGAGCGAGTCTTGCTGTGCGACTTCTTGCAGTTCTGCAAAGCTCCCCAGCTCGCCCAGGCTGAGTAGCAGAGCTGCTGCACTGTACCGCTGCTAATACTACTAGGTGCCTGGTAAGGGGGGTCGTAGCAAGGGGTGAGAGAGGAAAGAGAGAGCGCGCGGGCGGCGGGCGCGACATGAGTGGTTGTGGTCGTGCTTTTCCCCCCCTCCCCCAGCAGGTGCGATTCGCTTCTGCAAGCCTGGTAAGCTGAGAGAGAGGCGCCCCTCTCCTCCTCCTCTTTGATGCACCATGCCCGGCCGCCCGACGCATCTCTCTCTTCCCATCCTTACAGCCAACCGTTTCAATAGGGCGAAAGAAAGAAGAGCTATTCAATAAATAGCTGGGGGACCCGGCGGCGGCTGCTGCTGCTGCTGCTGCTGCTGGGGGAAGGGGAGGGGGGTGATTAGTTGTTCAGGTGATGCAAGTGTTCAAAAGAGGGAAAAGAAAGGCGACGCGCCAGCCCTTGAATGGGGAGATTGGCGCCTTGCTGCCACGTCTTCGTTTTCGCCTTCAACAAGTGTTGAGCTTGTACTCGTCCTCCTCTTTCTCCTCCCCCTCCTGCTGCAGAATCGCCCAGGGGCCAAGGTCTATCTGGCCCCCCCCCCCTTCTCGCGACTGCCTGACTGACTGGGAGCTGCGCGACCTTCTGATCTCTGGCGGTGGAGTGCCCTTCTCCGTTTTCTCATCGCATTGTACTATCCAAGTAAGGGCTCTCGTGCTGAGGCGGGCCAGCGCGTCCAGGGTTCCACATGGGGCATCGACCATGGATGAGGGTATGTATCATGGTACAAAGCAGGTTACCCGAAAGTCTTGGAGTATATGCAACGGTCCTCCAGCCTGTCCGTCCCAAGACGTCCAAGAGGTCTAGACCACCAAAGACCCCGTTCCCCCAGAAAGAAACCAAGGAGAAATTGTTGGCGGCGGCGACTTACAGACCTTGGTCGTAGTTCACTACGTAGTCCTATAATGCAGCCCTGCTAAGGGGGGAGGAGGGAGGACTATGACGCCCCCTCAGGGTCGTTCGTCTCGGGAGGGCCAAGGTTTGAGGTGTCCTCAAGTCATCTATCTAGCTTTAGTTGACTGACTAGTCGGAGATTTAATTGTTTTAATGCAGATATACTATAGTAGTCACTATGTTATGTCTCTTATATTCATGTCCCTTTTACTTTTTAACTTTTCCCCCTTCCCCTGGCCAGAAATCCCCACATCACGACCCTTATGGGCGCTAAAAGTTTTGAAGGGGGTTCGTTCATCAGAGCCCACATTGGAAGGCAGGGGGGGGGGGGGAATGATAGAAGAGAAGCCCGAGAACAAGTGCAAAGAGCCAGCACCCCAGAGAGGGGACCCCCCACAGCCTGCCCCAGAGGAAGGGAGGGCTGCTCAGCTCAGCCCAACCCAACCAAGTAAAAAAAAGATTGAGGTTTGCTGATCGCTACCTGACCCAGCCACGGATCTTCACCGTTCGATCCGCATTCGTTTTCGTTCCGCCCAACGTGGTAAAGAAGAAAGAGAAGAAAAAAAATAGAAGAACAAATGGAACCACGGCGGCAACAGTAGTAGCACAGCCCAGCTTCAGGCACAGGCTGGCAGGGTAGGGGTTGGCGGGAGCTTGATATTTCGCGGAAAAGGGCGCGTCGCGAATCCCCGTATTTTTCTTTCTTTTTTTTCTTCTGTCTATGGATGCATCAATGGGCATTGTGGGGGGGGGGGGGGAGAAGGAATCGGGCTACCTCCCGATCTCCTCAAACCCTTCACACCGTTTCCATGTCAATCCTCGCTTAAGTTCATTAGGTATCATTGCAGAGCTGCCTGATCGACAAAGCTCCTGTCAGGAGCCTTGCCCTGTTCTGGTGAATCGATTGATGGCTTGATTGGGTGCGCGAGTAGATAGGGCTTTGGGTGTAAATCATGGGGGAGAGGAAGGATAGTTAGTGGGTGGGAGACAACAATGGTCAAATGGGCTTCGGAAGATCGACGAGTGGCGACACCAAACACCGTCGAACACAGCCTTTTGAGCGTCCCCAAAAGTCACACGCCAAGCGTCAGCTCTCTTTCGGGAAGTTTTTGCTGTGGGGGAAATACCAGCTAGTGGTGGCTTTTTTGCCCAGCGTCGCACGGATCTTCCCTACCCACTACACCACATGCCGAAACAATACCATATAAAAAAAGATTATGAACGACGTGGCTGTGCGACGGGAGGACCGGACACAGCGGGAACAGAAAAAAAAAAAGTATGTGTTGCGTGGTTTTCTTTGAAACAATCACCACCGGTCAGGCAATTTTGGAAAATCCCCCTCCCCCCCTGAACAACCAAAGTCTCTTTTCTCGATACCGAATCGTGCCAACAACCGGTCTGGCCGAGACCGAGCACTATAGTATGAACTCCTCGTACGTTGGGTGCACCTTTTGTGGGTGACTGTCACCGTTGCGAGGGTGCGGGGGGGGGGGGGAAGGGTGGCATGTAACATGGCATAAACCTAATACAAACAAAAGCAGAACCACGGGATGCCCCATGTCCCATGTCCCACGCCCAATAGAACCCAGCCCAACCTTGGAAGAAAAAAATTAGCGAGAAGAGAAAAAAGAAGAAAAGCCACACTAGTCGGGCGAGGCTGGGGTGTCAATTCCGTGATGCCCAACGCATCACTGCAGCGAAGAAGATGAAGAAATGACGGCGCACACCGAGGGAGCGAGCTTCGCGCCGCGAACAAACTGTGAGTAGGGACTAACGCGGGAAAATAGAGAGATTGAGTTCCCGAGTCACCCGCAGGCCCTATAGCTGCTGCGGTCATGTAACAATCACCTAGCCTCGACCGCCGGAGTGGTCGGGATGTCTCTTCTCTCAAATCATAATCGTATCATGCAGGGTAGTGTGTATGCATTTTTTACAACATGCAACGGGTGGGGAAGAAGAAAAACAAGAAGATCAGAAGGACCAACTGTTGTAGATTTGTTCACGTGTGGGGGATGTAGTGTAATCAATGCATCAATTTTGGTAGCCTGATCTGAGAAGACTTCTTGATTTTGTTGAAATGCTAGTTTTTCTGTATCCGTATATGCTATGTAGAAAAAGTAGATTTCGTGAACACAAGTTCCAACCTCCTCCTCCCTGCCAAAGTCCATGCGCAAAGAATGCTCGCTGTCATACATGTAAATACGCAAGAATTGAAATCTGAGCCACCTCATCAAGAGTATGTACAACTCGGGGGGGGGGGGGTATTCGCTGCGATAGAAAACAACATCATGATCTCGTAGGAAAAACGAAGCGCTATGATAATTTCCCAGTCCATGCAAAGAAAAAAAAGTAGATATCCTGCCCCGCAAGATGTGCGCCCAGAATATACAACAAAGAGAACGTGAAGCCAAACCTGGCTGGATTGGGGTGTATGTGTACAGGAGAGCGGACGCGGAAAGGACGTCAGTGGCTGTACGCCACGCCAAAGAGGCCATGATAAATAGGTTGATGCGGGAGCCAAGCCCCATCAGGTACTTTTGTAGGGTTCCCCTCATTTCTCATCATCAAGATGGTCGTTGACGAGATGGGCTGTCGGCAAGCAGATGATAGGCGTGAATGGTCATTTGGTCCATCGTCAATGAAAGTGTCGACGTAGGGCTGCTCGCGTGTTTCATCATCGTAGATCGTGGGGTATCCGACTCAGTCTGTATAGTGACTGACAAGTTGTGGAGAAATGGGAGATTAGGATGCCGGGAGTTTGTGGTTGCTGAATTTTGTTGTCTCCTTCGTCTTCAGTTCTTTTTTCTTTCTTGTTTCCCAAGTCAAGCGATGCCGACTTGCCCGTGAACAGGTCCTCTGACGCAATTGGCTGAAGTCTGTTGCAAGATAGCCATTGGGCAAGAGACCGAACTGGCTGCGGCACCCGCTAGGTCCGCTTTTCTTCTTCCCCCTCCCACAAAACGCTGATTGCGCGGCCTCTCCGAACTCCACTAGCCTGGATGTACTGCACAAGCGCCGACAAACACAAAATTATGTGTCTCGAGGCCGCCTCACCCGGATGGTTGTTGATAGACAAGATTGGAGAGTTGTGTATCTGCCAAGCCTTGCGTTTCTCGAGTGGTCCGCGGTCCTGTATGGGGTAGTACCCCCTTGGTCGAGTCCGCGATCGTCGTTTCTCCTCATAAGTATGTCCCCACTTTATCTACCCCCAAGCAGCGTCTTCTCCATTCCCGAGAGATCTTGCAGCTATATCGTGGATGATCCTGCCGATCAACCCAGAGTCTGGAACAGAGACGAAGGTACTGCCATCTCGTCTTATTTGTTCAATCCTCTCATCACCCTATCCGAAGTGAAGGGCGAGCTCCTTCGCGGCTGTTGTTGAGTCGGCGACAGAGCAATCAGCCCACAAGACTGGGAGTGTGCAACTGGTAGAGCTGATGGGTTGCCATGGGTATGTGCGTATGTGTGTGTCTGTCTCTGTGAGAGAGAGGGTGCGAGTTAATTGAGGTCCCGTGGTGGCTTTGCTTCGTGGTCGAGGAGCAATTGGGACAGCTGGTGCATGCATTGTCGTTGCCGTGTTGCCCAGATCCCCTTCCTCCATGTCTTCATTCATCGGTAGCCGGTCGCTCTCGCACACTTGTCACAGTAGAAGATGCCAGTGCCGACGGGGATCATGCCATACATGCTAGGGGAGTCGGTCGAGGTCATCTCCACCTCACGGGCACACCTCATACACCGGATGATCTCGATGCTGACAACAGGGCGGTCCATACTGACGCGTACAGAGCTGGAAGAGAAGTCTGAGTCTGAGGAAGAGCAGGAGGAGGAGCTGCTGAAGGACTTCTTTGGTGGTCTTGTGGAGCCCATTATAACGGTTGTGTGGTGTTTGTATCGTAGTGCAGGTCCCGAGGCCTGGTGGTCTCTTGACTTGTGGTGTCTGGTGGAGGAGACGCAGCCCGATCCGAGGTGTTTGGTTGGAGGTTGGACACAAAGGTTTGTGGATGTTTCGTTGGTGGTGTGTGCTGGTAAGAGGAGACTTTATTTTGAAACTCTGGTCTTGAGAGGATTCAAGTAGTTGCTCGGTAGGTTGAGTGTTTTGTGCTTTATAGGTCAGGCGAGAGGGAGAGCAGGTGGAAGAACCAGCGTGTAGGAAGGGGGGCCTTGGAGGGGTCTTATGGATCGAGAGTTTTGGTGTACATCCCAGATATCAGAATGAGGACATGAGGGATCGGCATTTGAGTGACCAGAACGGGGGGGCGGGCCCAGGAAGACCCAGCTGCGAAACGGTACGTACCTGCCACAGTACGTACCGCAGTACTGCAGTACCTTCGCTCTTCTGATCCCTCCCCCCCTGTCCACATCCAGAACGGCCCCTCTTGGCAAACCCTGGGCGGATCGAAGGTACGTACCCGAGTACGTACTGTGGAACCAGCCAGCAAAAGGGGGCTATGAAGGTGGGGATGCCAAGGGTCTGCATGTGCTGCGTGACTGTAGGAGAGATCGCTGTATAACATACTCTGGCCCCCTTTCTATGCGTTATACCATACTATGCATGTAAACGACAGGAAACGGAGAAGAGTCGCCGTTCGTGACGCCGGAATACAATCCAACGAAGTCGCAGTAGCGAGGGCAGGGGCATTTACATCAGACGACTCCAACGTTGCTGCTATTTCCGATTCACGCTCTCCCAACGTGGCTGCGCTTTTTCCTGCTGCGGGGCTGCGACTGCTGTTTGTTGTGCTTATGGCTGCTGCTGCTATTCTCGCCTGCTGCCTAAGTAGCTACGTGAGAATCATGCACTGTTACAACTCCGCCATAGCAAGTGCCCGTCTGCATGCATGCGTGCGTGCGTGCGTGGGTCACCTTCCCACCACAGTACAGCAGATGAACCCCCGGGTCAATGGGAGCTCTGTGGTCGGTCCAGACGCGAAAAGCCAACTGGGTCTATATCCCGTGGACATCCACAGAACCCTTTATTCTTCCTTTTGTTTCTTTTTTTCTGGGTCCCACGGGAGAAGTATCCTATGGTAGAGGGGGGAGTATTGGGTGCCCGATTGTTAAGGATGATGCTTGCTCGCCGGCTCACTGCAATCATCCGGGGAGCATCAGGAGCGTGGCATCGATATTGAAACAAAGATGGGCCGCCGGAGATGGGCATTGTTGCAGAGAAAATGTCATGCGTCCGCGTTACCATGACAGAGGAACCACAAGTTTCACCATTCCCCGACTTTTCCGCGTGGACGAGTTCGTGCGTGAGTTGTTTTCTTCTATGGTTGTCATCCCGGCACGAAATTCCACCACACTCAGCGCGACCCCAGAAGGTTTGCGTAAGATGAAGCCACGCCGGATGTGTCGGGGGACAGACCATCTATTGTCTCGCCAAGAAAAATTCAGACATGCACAGCAGCTTCCTCCCCGCGTTGCTGGGTGAGAAATGCCCTTGGCTGTGTGGCTGGTATGGGCGGCAGGTAAGGTGTCTGCGCTTGTTTTGTTTGGGTCGAAGCGGGCGTTGCGTGTCTTGTCTACTACTGCACTGCAATCCCCGTGCGGACCGGGAGTACAATATGCAGTAATGCAGCACTCACCCAGACAGCTAGGCCAGACTGACCCCACCCTCCCTGTTGCTGAAGATTGGGAGGCAAAACGTCGTCTTTTTGTTCTCGACCTCCCCCCCCCCCGCCTCTTTCCCCTCGAGATTACGGGCCCCTCCAGCCGGGCAGCGACCGTTTTGCGCGCCGAGAGGCCCGTTCACGAGCCGCGCGGGCGGTAACGGGACGTCCGGCGCAAGAAACAGAACTCTAAACCCCCTTCCCAAGGCAGGAGAAAGGAGAATTTCACGCTCCGAGGCCAGCGGCTGGTCATTGCGCAGAGGTTCTAGATGACCTGACAGTCGCGTGCAAACCTCTCCACCTCCTACTCCCTCCCTGTTGTGAAGTTGGAGGGCAGCATGCACTGGAGCTATGAAACGGTGGGGAAACTGGAGAAAACAGGGACGGGGGGAGGGTGGGCAGGCGAGTCCAGACTTTCTGATCCGCACCCAAATCTCAGATCCTCGGGTCCCCTGTTGTAGGCCGAGCGGGAGCACTTGAAGCGCCTACGGAATGACAAACCCTGCCGGCCAAAACCCGCCAACAGAGCCGGCTTGCCTGAAAGGTGGCACGGTTGGAAACCTGCAAACGGTTTGGCACTACTGCTGCTACTTGTGCATAGCGTTATGGGCCACCGTCGCGGCCTTGTTGCCCAGCAAAATCCTGCTCAGCTGCACAAATTGCGTATGCATGTACGTGGGCTAGACAGGTCCTATCTTGTGCCGCAGTGTGACAGTAGTGTCAGTAGCATCAGCAGCAGGGCGCAGATGTATCTGCAGCAGACTGATTGGCGGGCGATAGCTCATAATTTGCACTATGGTAAGCGTGTGTGTGCTGGGGGTGACAATGATTATGTTTTTAGGTGAGGTCTATCACGCACGAGGGACTAGACCTCGCTATGAGAATGTACTCCATCAGCACAGGTTTTCGCGGTGGAATGCTGCTGCTGCCTATGAGGGAGGAAGGGAGAATGTGTGGTGGTATAGTGACTTACGGTCAATTCACATTTCCAGTTAGATAGAGTTTCGAAGACGCATCATCGAAGATTTAGAGCTCCCTTTTCTCATCGTTTGATGACTCTGGGGAAAATAAACCAATGAATGCCACGTACGATTGCGTCGCTCGATTGTTGATGCTAGATCGGCAGGTTCATGGTCATCTCGGCATGATTGGCATGTCTGCACTGCGATCTCGATGTAAGGGAGGGGTGGGATGGACCCGATATCTTGCTATTTCGCATTTCCCTTGGGATCTCAAATGATCTGACAGTCTGCACTCGCCACATTGTTCTGCCGCGATCGAGCGTCGGCCACACTATCCAATGAGATCGGCGTTGCGGCGCGTCGGTTGTGTCGGCATGGGAATCAACAAGGTAAGGCTTCTGGGGCAGAGAGATTTAGGGGGATCGGGGGTTACATAAGTCCAGTCGTGCCGTGCAGATCCTACAGTACATACCACGTCGATCATCAGAGACCGAAGCATGCATATGCTGCTGCTTGTGTGCCCCTCGGTGAATGAGCTGGCAGCAGACAGGTTGTAATATGATCATGTCTGTAGCGCAGAGGTATACCTGTGTTGTTGGCCGCGTAGAATGCAAGCAACTGCTGGCCTAGTACGGCCGTTTCTTTGAGATTATAGGTAATATCTGGGTGGACCACACCTACATGGCAATGCTCGCCTCCTCCAAAGCGAGGCATGGCATGCATGATATCTCCCAACCGGACTTGACTCTCCGACAGGCTTGCCATCAGGAATTAAGGTTGCCACGGGGCGCCATGCATGGTCAACGATTCGGTATAAGAATATGGCTCGGCTGTCGTTCGTCAAACGCGTGCAGATGTGATGGTCCGCGAAAGGCTAGTTGAAAGTCCACAGACTTTTAGTAGCGGGCTACGCACTGCATCGTAACCCAGCACGCAAGTCAACCTTTCCGAGCGGCAGGAGCATATAGCCCACGCGGTAGCAGCAGCATGGTTGATTGAGTGGAGCTGATTGCTGAAACCAGGAGATAGGAGAGCAAAGGAAAAAAGACAAAGGGGCTCATGGGATTGAAGATTTTTGTTTGGTTATATCACTATCAATTGTGTGGAAGCGTGATCCTTGTTCCTTTGTGAAAGGGGAAGTACGATGTGCACCGGGCTTGTGATCAGTTGAAAGTATCTCCAGTGGCAGAGTGAAGCTACTGTGGTATGCGTTATGACCAATTGAAGCTCTGTGGGTGGGGTCACTAGGGCAACAGGCTCTCTAGGTCCTGCTGCATAGCAGTTTCTGGCGAAGAAGGGGGCCCAAGCCCAGGAGGAGTCTTGGATGTCTTGGTTTATCGCTACCACTGAGTTTCTAAACTCCAATTTGCCATAACCCGCCAAGTCAGTCACTTACCAAGCCCCATCTATAACGTGCTACCACCAGTGCTACCTTACTCCGTCTCACCACACAAACAGACTTTGGTCAGTTGCTGGAACAGTTGCACCTCTTGCCCCACCTGGTGCACTACCAGGCCTGCTTTTCTCTCTTTATCCGAGGCACGAGGCCACGAGATACATCAAAGGTCATGGCACCACGTTGCACCGCAACGTTAATTGGCCGGCGGGGACTTCGCCGACATTTGAGGCCTAGCTACCACCATACACGTGCCATAGTAAACTGCAGGCCAGCCGAGCAGAGGGGGCAGAGGGTGGGAAACGCCATGGTAGCCCGTCACAACTTGCCGATGGGTGGGCGATTTCCAGATTCAAAGTTCGAGTCTCCATCTTCCAAAATGCACGCTTGGCTGCTTTGGCCAGTTATTTTCACGCTTGTCAAATGCTATGTAGCAACGCGGCATCGGCAGGGGTTCCAAGGACGCCATATGGGCTCCCTCATCTTATCGAGAGATCGAAGACAGCATTCTGGTATTTTTTTTCTCTCAAGAAGCCAAATTTTCAAATTTTAACGGTCTCCAGATGGTGTTCTAGCAAATCTCGATCCCGGCGCCCTGGGACGACGAACCCATGTGGGTCAGCGCCTGACTCCACTACTGCACATCAACTACGATCACCCGGTAGTGCACCTGTTTCCGATTGTTTCGCTGCCCACTTTAAGTCCTATCTCCTAGGGCTTCATCAATCTTTTCTTTTTGTTCCTTCGATCGATGTGAGCAGGCAGATGATTCCCCTTATCATGATCTTGGCGTAGCCACTATAATGAGTCAACACGGCACCTGGATGTGATGACAAAGCTCAGAGCAGGTAGAGATGATCTCAGGTTCGCCAGAAAAGGTCTACTCGTGGGTTCCAGGATTTCGGCGCAGCGTCAATAAGTCCTGCCACAGAACCTATCAGCGCCTACTCCTAATATGATGTACGATACACGTACCCGTTTCACTGCATGGTTTTCCCTAGCCGCCACTGGGATGACGGGCGGGATCAAATGCCAGTCTCACCTCTCTTCATGCCATCAAGACATGTCTTCGTCATCGCTTGGGGGCAGCCAGGATTGGATGACGGATTATTGTACTGCACTTGAAGATCTCCATGTCATCGTTTCATGATCTCGATGAACTTAAGGCGGAGGAAAGGTCCGGCGGCCCTAGTCAGGGCCAAAGAACCATGCGGATAGTTCCTACCGGCTCCGGATTTCCGAAATCGGATCCGAAGACAAGAGCCTCCATCCCAGTACACGCTTCTACTTCTTGATGCTACTAGTAGTAGTGGGTTCCTACTACCACCGCTCAATTCTTGAATGCTTCAGTGAGTCGGAACCCAAGAACACTTTGATGACTCCGACGTACCAGGAAACTTCCCGTCCCCAGTCAAGATTGCATCAGTGATTTGTACATACCGGGAAAACAGAAAGACGAAGCAAGTCCTTGGATGCAATTCCACCAACGCAGCACGAGCGCCCACGCTAATACGCGACTTGCATGGCACAACGAATAGTTACGTCGATGCCAATTTACAAGTTGCCCAATTGGATACAACCATGAGACTCGGACGACGACCAGCCACCAATTATCTCTCCCCTCTCTACAGCCTGCCCATAGAGTTCACTCGAAATCAAGGCTGTCATCGCTGCACGGCAGGGAGTGGCTCAGTGTCCAGCTGAACATCGCCAAACTAGGCTGTCTGGCTACTCAAGTACCTTGCAAGTTATCACGAAAACCTGTTCACCATGCTGGCTGGAAGAAGTATTGCTTCTTGCATAGGCCCCCCTTCTTGCAAACCAATACTCCATGAAACTCACTTGTTACCCCTTTGATTCAGCTCGCTCAATTCAATTACCACCAGCATCACTAACCTTAACCTTCCATCATTGGACAAATTAAATATTAAGTCCTACTCATGTCTAATGATGAGGATCGATGAGATGCGATTATTGATCCAATTTAAGTCGCCGATTATACTAGAACAGGAACATATAGAGCTATTAGTAAGACGTAGGTGGCTGGTACGGCTGACTACCTCCCGGTGTCTCTACACATTCATTTGCAGCATCTGCAAAGCAGGGACAGCAATTCACATTTTAAACCTCCATCACCAAGCAGATGTATCACAGCACCAAAAAAGATGTCTTGTGGTGGAATGGACCTCTCATGTATGAGCTGCCCCCTGCTTTCAATCTACTCTTGTACATAAAGTAGCCATCCAGGAAGACAACTGAAAGAAGATAGATTCTATGATTATCAAGTAGCGTAGATGTCCATATGGTTTACATTTTGTAAATTGCTGCAATAAAGCCCAAGGCGTCTAGACACATGACTGAATGTGCTTGTCCTCTCACTCTACAGTCTCATGAAAACCCTGTTGAGACCTCACCCCAGCTCATCTCTCCCTCTCTCCCTCTCTCTTCAAGCCAAGGTACCACAAGGAATGTCTTTACCAGCGATGACCCTGCACCCAAATATAACATCATCATCATGGCATTAGATCACTTGCCACTTCTTCCGTTCCCTTCCTGAGGAAGTTGCAAGTCCACGTTGGCGGACCCTGACATGATTCCTGGTGAGAAGGTCTGGCTTCCCGGCAGGTCATTCGACAGCGTCTTCATATTATGAATCCAGGCGGATGAGTGGCATACTGGGCCACCCATGGAGCCTGTCCCAGAGGAGCTCTACATCAGGACTAACCTCAAGTACGACACAATCACATCCACGAACCGTGTCCCGTGATTGAACATCCTGGGGGATCTGAAAGGGCTACATGGCATTGATGGCATGTTTCCTGCCTGGTCGCCCGACATGGAGCACTGGTTCCATCGCACCCAGGACCTCGAGTTCCTTGCCTCGGAGGAACCAACCCGCCTGAGGCCCCTTCGAACACTGGGTCTTGGCTCCACATCCGTGTCTGAAGCGTATCACGCTCGTTTGCCATGTCAGTCATTACCGTCTTCCCATCGCACAACTTCTTCTGCTCGGCGTGCCCCTGCCACAAGACCAAATCTCATGCGAACCCGGCATCTCGACGAGTTCCCCTGGCCGAATTCGAGCCGCTAATACCACAGTTGCTAGATTCTGAGTCAACAAATCTTTTACTCCAATCTATCAAGGACACACGGGTGGTGGTGCGAGACGTGGTTGACTTGTACAAGGAGACGCCGGTGGATAGAGGTGACCCGCATACCCCAACGGTTAGAGTCGAGCTGGAAGTATTCCGGCCCAATCCTAGTGATTGTGGCAGCTACAAAACAATCAGATTAGACCAGAATGAGATTCACAAGTGACCCTCTGATGATGGTGACGAGGGCAATTTCTTAGTCACGGTGTCGAACTCTTAAGTTGGAGCGTGTGCCGTAAGTTTTACGATTGGCTAGAGAGCCCAGTTATTCAATTACCAAATTCGTTTGACCTCAGATGTCGTGACTGAGCCCCCGAGATGAAGGGAGCCTCCACAATTTATCTATATTGTTACTGTTGTTATAACGCGTCTCACTGTAGGTCTCTCAGTATATCCTCATGCCCAGACGATAATGTCATGCATTTGTCTGTAAGCACGAAAGCAATGTGATATATAACCCTATTTTCGCTTCCCTTATGATGACAGCTGTCGTTGAAGCAACGTATGACCGGCTTACTACATAGAAAGAAAAAAAATTGAAATATGCGATAAATTCGCAGTCTTTGACCAAGACTGGCGAGTCAGACTCCTCAATAGATGCCCAAAGTAAATTGTGGCCTCAAGTTGCACTCAGTTCGAGGTCCACCAAACTCTATGCAAGTCTCGGGCCCATACATTTTGTTTACGTACCTCTCCACCTTGGCAGAGACAGAACATTGAAAAAGAAGCTTTCCCACTAAAACACTATGCAATGCCCAACAGTCTCGGTGGTCCCCGAAACAGTGCTGTTTATGCATCCATCAATCCGGGTCCAGGAGAAAGGGAGACCAACAGCCACCCCACCAGGTTTAAAATGTGGACCCTCGAAGGACCCCTTTTCCTTCTTTCCTTCTTTTTATTTTTATAAAGCTTCCCGGCCCACAAGGGCCCTGATAAGGTGCCTGAGACTAGCCAAGCAACTGAGCCTCCCTACGCCTGGCCTATAGGATTTCGCTCTTGCTGGATCGTAGTTGTACTGTACTCCTAGCCTCACACGAGGGCGCCGGTGCCCCGTTTCAAGTACACAGCCCGGCCGCCCGCTACACAGCCCTGAAAATGTATCCATCCATCAACCCATTCGCCGCTGAGGGCAGGGCAAGATGGACTAGAACGGTATTTGCCTGTTGTTGCTAGGTCCAGGACGGAAGGCGGATTTTTTTGACTTTGGGCTGTTGACCTAGAGTGGCCGGGGTCTTGTCTGTGCTGGGATCTCAATATTCCTGAGTATAGCATTGACAGTGGGCGAGACTCTGCCTGGTGGCTTCGGGCAATGTGGGCACGACAAGACGTGTCTGATGTTGAGCATGTGAGATTTTGCAACCCAGTGAAATATGGCTCCGTTTTAGGATTGGGTTGATATCCTGGAATACATGTCTGACACGCTACCATGAGGCTTGAGAAGGGGATAAAGAAGGGACGGGGCCTTATGTTCAAGTGTCTTGTGCTTCGAAAGACGTTCCTGCTGGAGGATGCTCAAATGTTCTGCAGCTCTTGTGAGAATGACATTTTTATCCCGTCGTGTTTCGTGTTTCGTCACACGAGCCGGTGTGGAAACGAATGCCCAAGGTGGTCCTGTTCTACTCCCATCATTGTGTAATGTCTCAGCTTCAGCTGCCTGCTGTCAGAAGCTCGGTGGTCAATTCCTGACGAGTTGTGTATTTGGGGGCTCATTTGAACCTATAGTTTTGTGGCCGAGGATGGTGATATCAAGATGGGTACTCAGGGCATCCCAATTTCAAGGATGATCTCTGGCCGACTTGATAACCGGTCAATAGAAACAACATTTCAACATTTCGAGAAATGAGAGGGATGTATGCACTGGACACGGTGATGAGACACGTCGAGACGTGACGACGTATCCAGATTTCCAGCCTAGGCTCCTATAAAATCTGAATGTCGTCGGCTTTCGGGGTTATTCCTCCGTTCCAGCCCAAATTCAGACAGTCCTTCGTTGTCCAGGGAGCGATGTGAGCAGCGCAGCAAGCGGACACCCTCTCCTTCGTCGTGGGCCGCTACAAGATGCCTGTCTCCGTAAGGAACGTCGCCTGTGTAGCTGAAAACGTGTCCATGCTTTCTGACTTTTGGTAATCATAAGTCTCTCGTTGAAAGATACTGGTTTTATGCTTGAAGTACCATTTCTCTATATCGAACGCATGGCCAGTCACCTAAGGCCCCATAAAAAGGGTGGTTGGTAGTCCAAGTTGCGAAGTTGCTGAGTTTTACTCTGATCGACCGGCTAGTGTTCTCAAGACGTCCTCGGATAGCAACACTGTTCTATGAACTGGCTTGGATGGGCTATGAGACTCGGGTGAGGACTGGTGTCAGCATCGACTGGCAGCATCGTGAGTCACTTGACAACACAATCGATATGGTGGTAAGTATACAACAATTGCTCCGAGCATGGTGCAAATCCACCTCGGACCATACGTTCGAACGAAGCGATGAGGCAGACAACACGAGTAAGAATAGCGCCTGGGATAGCAGCATCACAAATTGTGGCCGTGGGGCACCGCTGGTGATGCAGCACAGTGAGAGTAGGACGAAGATATCATCTCTTCTTCTTAAAGTCATGAACGTTCACGAATCTTATCTGATGTTCTCGGTGAAGATGGCCCTCTTCTTCCTCATCTACATCTTGAAGGTCTTGACCTGTACGGGTATGTAGGTGCCAGCCTCCAAATCAAGTAGTGAGATCCATCTCAGGTGTCTAAACCCTGGCTCCCGATGACCTGTTTGGGTACTCATATTCTACAGCCTCAAACATAAAACAGCAAGATTGTTCCTAAGATCGCAGATCTTGTCTTGATCGGTTCCACAGCTTCTGCTCCTTCACGCCGGCCATTGGCACAATCGAGAACCTCCGGTAAGCCACCGCATTCACTCAAGCCCTGTGTGGCATTATCATCATTCAGCATGTCCTTGCAGCTGACAGTAGAGTTTCCACGGGGTCATACGTTCTCATACATTCAAGTCATTCAAATAGAGCTGTGTTTCGAGGATGAGATCTCGCAGTGTAGCCTGTCGACGCTTCGAGAGCGCGGACTCTTTCGGCTCGCGGATGTCGTCAAGAGTGCCCCATTTTAGCCTCGTCCCTTGAGACTCCCCGAGTCGTTGGCAACGTAGCCAGAGCTGGGGATAAAGGCTGAGCCTCAGGAGAAGAAGGACTGCCCTGTCTAAGGCAAACACATGACATGAACGGTTGGGACGGAAGAAGTTATCGAGTCGGATGACGGCATGACTTCGGGTCATAGAAGACACGGACTGTAGTCCAAGACTATGCACCGGCAATGTGTCCTCCCGTCCTGCTGCCCATTCCTTTGGATCTGTCGTTCACGGACATTTGCTGCTGAGCGGGCCGCGCCAGACCCCCCTCTTCTGTGCCGCCCTGAGACAACGAGGTAGCTAGGCAGAAACTGCAATAGTTATACCCCACTGATTTCTTCCTCAGAAGAAGACAAGTCTAGACGAGTCATATCAAACACTCGAAGTCATCTGCAGCCTCCGCAAACGAAAACAACACGCGCCAACGCAAAGCCAGTGGAATCGGACGTAGTTTGGCAAATGCAGTCCAGAGGAGCGTTCCCTCCTTCATGCCCGCATCATCGTGCCCTTCCCCCACCGAGACAAGCTCTCTGCCGCAGACGGCCGATGGGAGTATGTTCGACTGCCGATCAATTGTTGTCGTCCTCGATGACCACCTCCGGGACACACTCATTGCTGTAGTGTCCCAAGACTCTTCTCGAGTCGCGGTAAATGAGGAGGCAAAGAGAAGCCGCCTGAATCATCGTTGACAGAGGAGCTCACATAATACCCACGCCAGAGCCGAGTTTGTGGAGATGCTCTCAATCACGTCGCGACTCCCTGAAGCACTAATCGGTGCACACTAGCAACAGAAACATAGTGCCGTGATTTTGCGCCAGCCAGAAGTTGTGGCGATCCAGCCAATCAGCGTACAAAGAAGACATGCAAAGTAAGAGAGACAGCGACCAGGCAAACATGAGCGCGCATGAGGTGCGTAGGATCTGTGCAAATACTAGACAGAGAGAAGGATGTGCTATCAGGGATGAATCACCTGCTTGCTCTCTTATGTGCGTGTTTGAGAGTTGACCAAATCGTACAATCGACTCTCGCCTCTCATTTCATGAGTCTGATTTTGTTCAAGGAAGTGCGTGAGAATGGCCTGCTGTGCTTTAGTCAAAATTATGGCTTGAAGACAAGCGATGAGACAACCCCGACATGGATGGCCACCTTGAAATGTGACTGGTTACCTACAGGACACGTCAGATCTGTAATTTTTTTTTCTCTCTTCATGATTCATGCCTGAGGAAATCGGTTGTATTCCTTGAAGGAAGCAGTTCTGACGTTGATCTCAGTCCATTCAGGATGTTGGAGAGGGGGAAGGAGCCCTTGACTTCCAGCAGGATGTTGCGCAGTGGTGAGCGAGCCAATCAAGTAGCGTGGCGGCAGAACATGCGCCTTTGACAGGTTTGGACCAACTGCATGGTTCTGCAATGAAACTGATGACTCGCAGATTTTTGATCCTAGTCTCTGACAAGTGAATGTCCAACCGCAATGGTCATCCGTTTGACTTTGAGAAGGTAGGGGACAAAATTAAGAGAGAGAGAAAAGTCACGAGTTGGGTCTTCGTGGCTGAAAGCATATAGTATCTGAAGGACGGTGCTGGCGCCAGTTTTGTTGAGCGGCCTGGTTGATGGCGACCTCTATTTGCCTGTATGTTTTTTGTCTAATTCTCGATCTTAATCTCAAGCATTAAACCATGGCTGGACCTGGACAGTGGAAATATTGCCTTGAAATTGGCAATCAACGGGCATCAACGCCGCCAAGTCCTAAAAGGCCCACCTAGAGCGGCAGTCATTCACCCTACTAACTTAAACTTACCCATGATTGCCATGTGTTATCTCGCATGGATCGTGAAAAGGATTCAGGGCTAGGTTTTGGCCCCATGAGGGCGATCAGGCGGAGGAGGAGGAGACAGCACAGTTGGCGCACTCGCGAAGGCGACGACGACGACGACTAGGACTGAAGCTCTTTTTTTGGATTGGGGGGGGGGGGGGCGGCGGGAAGGCCTCGTCAGCTGTTGGGTGGGCAGGTTGACCACGTCTGGTTACAAATGTGGGGGTACGAGACAGAGAAAAAAGACCCTTGAGGGGGGCACAAACACCTGACGATTGATTCTGACAGGTGATGGTGGGTGTAATGGGGCCGACCTGTCAACTAGGAAACAAAGCTTAAGGCGTCCGGTCCAGACCGGTGCCTCCGGACGCGTGGTTCCCAGACTGAATGTGACATTACCGTAATTTCAGCGCAGGCAGGCTAGCCAGCAGTGTGAGATCCTGGTACCGGTGTAGATATGCTAATCATGTCGAATAAGATATGAGAAGTCTCCAGACGGAAACTGGGTGAACAGAGAGGGTAGCATTTTGCTCATATTGTTGTTCGGGTATGAGGTATTAGCCTCCAAGGGAAGTGAGATAGCGGGGGCCGATCTTGGCAACTAAAGTCCTTGAAGCCATGGCGGCGTGTAGATAAAGAAGTAACAGCCATAAATCATTGTTTCAAGTAGAAAGTACTAGATATAGAGAAGGAGGAGGGAAAGGGAAGAAGAAAAGAAGAAAAGATAGCAACAAGCGTCTTTCAGTGGTTCCTTTTATTTCTTGCCTTTCTTTTAATCCACTCGAAGCCCTCGCCATGCGCGCGGCAGGAGGTGGCAGAACCCACCAAAGCTTCGGTGATGCAGAGGGGGCACAGAGATCCAGGGGGGGACATGGGCAGCCACTGCATGTCATTCTAGTTAGTGGTTGTCAGGGGCCCTTCTCCATCCCCACCCTAAACCGGCGCGGGCACCGGCGCAGGACACGCGTGCACAGGGAGAGGGGAGGGACCCATCAGCACCTATTTAGCAGTAGGATGGTGGCACATATTCTAGGACCATTAGAGTAGAGTACCAGACGCACTCGGCCCCCCTGCTGCGGCCTACTGCCTCCCTAAAATATGTAGTAGCATGGAGAGTAGGAACGTTACCTTGCTGCACTGCACCTCGCCCGTCTCTTCCTTCTAAAAGACCCACCAAAACCTTCAAACGCAAACCACTGAGCCTTCGTCATCGCCTTGCGTTTCCATTCTCTCCCTTCACTACCCTCTCGTCCTCTCGTCCTACTGCTGCAGCTTCAACCAGAAACACCCGCTCTCCTCCATACGATCATGCAGTGACCATAAGGCTGAGTGAGCTCCACACGCGGCTCGACAACATCTGCCTGCTCCTTTTTTCCCTCTTCCTTTATTCCCAATAATATTTAATACCTCTCTGGAGACGACCCTCTCAGTCTGCTCTCCTCACTTTCCTCGGTTTCCACAATTCCACGCTCGCCAGTATCACGCCCACACTCGCTTATAATTCTAGGGCTGCTGCGCGGGGCTTTGTGGTAGGCTTGGATTCTCCAGAGAAGACCATCCAGCTCAGTGTTTTTGCTTCCCAACTGCTTGTTGCACACACAAACTACGGTAAGTTTCCCTCGGGACCCAGAACCACCCGCAACAACAACACAACAACACAACAACACCCACAACATCCACCATGATGCATGGACGCACATGAGAATGCGCTCAATAGGCATACCATGCGCCCAATTCCCGCCAATGAACCATGGCACATGGAGACGGGCCCTTGTTTGCCTTTATTTTGCGACTCGGGCTTGCCGCCAGAGTTGATTGCAGCCAATCTTGTTCCGCGACTCACTGCATAATGTTGGGCAACACACCTTGCTATCGGTCTCTGCATTCTGACGACCATACAGACAGATAGATACCTTCTGTGTGCGAGGATCCCCCCTCCACCTACTCGACTCGTCTTTTTGTTTCTCTCCCTCCCCTCTACGGTGACCTGACGGAGCCGCGGCGCCGTCGGTATCCAGATCATGTCTGCTCGACCTTCAGAGGCCAAATCCCTGCAACACCCAGACACCAGAGCCGCAGGTTCTATGCAGAGTCGCATTCATGCCGGCAGAACTTCCGAGTCCCTGAGCGCGGGTCCTGCGACAGACGCCCTACACGATTTCAACCTTCGAAACAGCCGCACCGTCGCCATGAACGCCACCCTCGAACCTCCACGATCCCCCTCGGGCCCCGATGCGCTGCCCTCGTCCCTGACGGCAGCTTTTCTTTCTTACTCTCCTCAGCGTTATGACAGCAGCCACGACCAATCCATGAGCGTCTCCCCCCCAACACCCATCGTGAACCTGCCGCCGGGAGACTCGACCCCACAGCGCGTCGACTCGGGCTACGAAGAACACCACGACCACTACAAGTCGCCTTCTTTCCGCCCCAGCAACCCTCTTCAAATTCCTACCGACTCTTTATATATCCAGCACTCGGCCCTGTCGCCTATCGCAGACGGATCCCACACCACCTTGAACGCAGACGGTCTCCAAGACTCGCATAGGTCCTCCAACCTACCCCTGTCTCGCAAGTCCTCTGCTCCCAGCCTGAAGCCCCTCTCTCGGACGCCCAGCATCAAGTCCGCCGCATTTGGCCTCGGCTTTGGCTCTGCGGCCAGCTCACGAGTCCCGAGCCCCATCATCACCGCCATGGGGGATGTGACCCCTCTGCCGTCACCACTGCTCTCCGGCGACTCCCCAGGTCCATGGAAGCGGCTCCACGGTCGCCCACCCTCGAGGGATGCATCATCCCAGCAGCTGCCTACCATTATGTCGGAATCGGTTCTGGTTACGAGCAATGGCGAGTCAATTGCCTCGGCTGTGGCAAACCAGTCAAAAAGAAAGAGCTTAGCAAAGCCAAGCGATGCACCTGGAGAGGACAGCGGTAGCAGCAGCAGCAGCAGCAGCAGCAGCAGCAGCAGCAACAACAACAACAACAACAAAAATGGCCATGCCGACAAGCAAGCACCCAAGACCAAAATACACACACGAAACAGGAGCATCAGCGAATATCGCCCGGACCATGTTAACGTTCCCAAGCGTATGGTCACGGTATCAGGGACCCGTCCCGGCACCCACAATCATGCTTCCCTCCGACGAGAGCCACACCTGTCAGAATCCCGAGGACTGACCCCGATAGAGAAACCACCCAGCCCGCCACCGAGCGAATCATCGGTGACGGCGAGTGACTCGAGCAGCTTAGCCAACAAGCTGAACCCCAAATACGAATACTTTGAGGCCCGAGATCGGAAGGACGGCAAGCTCCGTAGATGGAGGGCGCTCAAATCTTTGGGACAGGGTACCTTCAGCCGCGTAGTACTGGCTACCAGCCATGTATCCGCGTCAGAGGACGAGATCGAGGCAGAGCACAGTATGGTCGACAACGGCCTCCTCACACCAGAGCCTGCATCGAGTCTCGACCGAAAAGCGCTGGTTGCGGTCAAGATCTGTGAACATGGCCCCAAGGGTGGCGCCTCGGAAGAGCGGGTGGAAATGAGCCTGAAACGAGAGTTGGAGATCATGCAGAGTGTACATCACCCGTCTCTGGTAGATCTGATGGCCTGGAACATCGAGCCGACGCGCGCCATCCTGGTCCTCACATTCTGCCCAGGCGGTGATCTCTTCGACGTGGCTACCGCACACTCCAACTTGCTTGTGCCCTCACTACTCCGCAGGGTCTTTGCGGAGCTTGTTGGTGCAGTGCAGTACCTTCACGAACGCCACATCGTGCATCGAGATATCAAGCTGGAGAATGTTCTCGTCAACCTCACCCCCCAGGAGCTTGCAGACCGCAGCATCGATTGGCAGACATATCCTTACAGCGTGACGACCTTGACGGACCTTGGTCTGTCCCGCCGCGTCGCCGACGACGAGAAGTTGACAACCCGTTGCGGCAGCGAGGACTACGCGGCGCCTGAGCTGATCATGGGTCTGGAGTACAATGGCCATGCCACGGACGCCTGGTCTGTCGGCGTGTTACTCTACGCCCTGCTTGAGAGCAGGTTACCCTTTGACCCACCCCCAGGGATGAGCGATGCGCTCCGCATGCGAAGCCGAACGAGTCACCGGATCGCACGTGTGGAGTGGCAATGGGTCAAGTTCGCCGGAGATGACGGAGATCACGAGGGCGATGCCAAGAAGTTTGAGGCTGCAGGCATGCTTGGTGCGATGGAGGTCACAGAAGGTCTGCTCAAACGGGCCAGAAGCCGATGGCCCCTCGAGAAAGTCGCAGGAACTGAGTGGGTCAAGGGTGGCATCGCCGTCGAGGGAGGTTTGAAGTTCCGTGAGGCGGACGAGGGACAGGAGGTTATATGACAGGACGCAGAGGAAGAGCAACCATGTTTTCGATTAGAGAGAAGCTCTGTGTTCTGGACAGGCTTGGGTTCCAAGGTTGGAATGCCCATCGCCAAGGGCTGACGGCGTAATGCTTAGACGGGAGGCCTGGGGTTTTTTTTTTCTGATTCAGACACAATCCACGCGAAATCGAAATCCAACGACAGCATGAAGAATCGGGTCGGACAGACAAGGAGCAAGGTTTAAAAGGGACGGCCGGCGTCTGGCAGCGAGGATGATTGGGGCACTGCCTTCACCACTTTCGTTCCCACAAAGACACATTTGTTTAGATTGATGTTTTTATCTCTCTTTGAACTAGAGGACCGAAGACAATATTCGGAATAAGGCCAGCTCTACACTCAGACGAGATTTTCAATAAATGGCCCGACTCTACGTTCTTTTTGCATTCACAGCCTCTGTTTTTGTGGAGTGTGCTGAGGCTGGAGATAGGTGTTCTGTTTGAAGGGAGACAAGAATCTTGTCATTTGGGTGTGTGGGTGCAGCGGTGGCGTTCAAAATTGACGTAATCGAGTCCCACGTTCTTGTGTTTATTGGAGATATCATCAAACAAGTGAAGCCTCGAGTGAGTTGTCAATAATGTTTGTGTTAACAGAAGCCCGTGTACATACCTGTCTTGCGGTGGAGCGGACAGGGTTTTTCCAGACGATGCACTTTTGCGTCTCTTTCACATTCAAACACACAATCACCCATTATTCCACCATTCCACTGCATCAGGCAGATGTATGATGAACCTCTCCAGCGCCCCCCTGTACTAGCCAGCCTGTTCCTCCTCATCCTCTCGGCTGCGGCCACCCCGGCGTTGTTGGCTTCTCACCCTCATTCGGTCTGCCCAGTCCGCCCAGTACACGCGATAGAGGAAGAGGCCGAGGGCGAGGAGCATTATGAGGCAGAGGGCGAGTACCGCCACTAGGGTTGTCGTTGAGGAGGAACCCATGTTGTTGTTGGTTCTGGTGGCAGGAACGAGATATTGGCGCCTGTGTGTGTGTATGAGCGAGAGAGAGTATGATTTGCTGCCAAGCTCGTGTCGTGTCCTTAAAACAGCCCAAGATGTCCTGGCTTTGCGGTTTTGGTTACGCTTTGTAGTGACGAATGAGGAAATTAAGTCTTATGTATGTTTAATCCGTATATAGAATTAGGAAAAACATTCCGAGGGAAAGAAAAGGTCTAAGAAGGGATCAAATGTAGAAGCCGGAGAGGTTGATGTTTGATCCGGTGTGCTTCGTGCTTGCAGATGATATACTATCAAACATATGATCCTCGTTGCGGTCAGAGCTCGCAAACAATGCCACCACTCGGCTAGGAGGTTCCAAATTGGTTTGCTTGTCTCATTTGCTCTACACGTGGGCTTCCCATAATTACGCAGCATATTTGTCTGCGAATTAGATACATCTTCACAAGATCCGCAATAGTCATCTTGACCTCGTCAAGTTCCTGATGAACAGTATGCTGATTGTGATTGTTTGCTGGAAGCACGTTGGCCCTCAACTTTGTAGCAGGAAACACACTGGACGTTCTAAGTGATCACCTCGACCTTGCCTTTCCTATGAGACACAACCACTGCACTTTGGCCATCAGCATCATTACACGACATGACACTCATCTTGACTATCGTGTTCACATCGTGAGCATCAGGCGGTTCTTTGAGATCTGCTAGGGCTCTTTGCAGCCGGAAGTCGATGCTATCTCTCGGTCGGATCTCGTGCTGAAAAATCTGGGCCTTCCTCCGCAGATGGCGCCTGCCGCCCTGCAGGGTGACAATTGAGCCATACAAAGCACAAGCTGCGACGATATCTGATCCTTCTGGAGGTTCTGTGGCGGGTTGTGGCGTCCAGCCTGGCCCAGGGGAATGTTTCCCCAGTAAATGCTTTCGGCGGTCCTCATCGACGCATCCTAGGAACAGCTTTCGTCCGGCAGAAATGATGCACTCGTGTTGGTTTTGGGAGGGAAGGGCTATGACCCGAACCCTTTGTCCAGAAAAGTGATTCTGCTTTTGTGTTAATAGCAAAGTAATGGACCATATTGTGTGTGAGAGAGACCAGATGACGAACCTTGAATTGCCTCTGGCAGAGCTGGACTGCCCTATGCGGATCTTTTGAGATCTCATATACAATGAGCAAACCGTTTATATCTTTATTGGCCCAGGCGTATAACCTTGAGCCAGCGTCATCGAAGTCAATGTCAACAAACTTGGTGATCAAGCCTGTCTTCGGCAGTGGAATCGACACTTTGGGTAAAGGGTCGCTGTTCCTACAGACTAGTGAATAAATCTGTTTCAGGTTGCTTCAGATCATAATGATACGGACCTTGTATCGAAAATGCTGATGACATTGCCTTTGAACAAAGCCACGTAGCCTTCTCTCGAGACTGCAAGCCGCTTGGCGTAGTCGAAATATATTGAGACATCAACGAGATCTAATAGCAAACGCCCAGTCAAAGATGATGGGCTTTCTGTGGATACGTTATAGACCCTCAGCTTCATTTTGTCAGCCCCCGTTGTTCAATTGAGTTCCAAGTAGATGTTGGTGTAGATCATGGTCTTGGTCGCACTTACTACTGGCGTGTTCTTGACAAGACCCCATATTGCGGCGTATGGAGTAGCAACCCGGATGCCCATCCACTTGCAATTCTCCACATGCAGAGGAATTTTCACACGTGCTTGCTGCTCGCTTGGTGAATTTCTAGAGACAGTAAGATCGACAACCTCTATGTTCTGCCCCGTCAGATAGATCAGCTTGTTTCCTTCAACATCGTGAGCAACTGGCGGAGCGCTGAAAGACAATGTCAGCACGTTGGTGGACCCGGAGAGGCTCAGTATGCTAGTCGAATACGGCTGGTTACTTGATATGGAGGACAAATCCTTCGTATCTTGATTTGTCCCCGAGGAGTCGCTGGTGACAGCGGCGGTCATGGGCTCTCCTAGTGCATATGATGTCGAGATCCGGACTGGCTCCTCGTAAAAGTCCTCATGAACCGGAACTGACATAGCTGAAACATCGCTGGCTCTTCTAGGAGCGGGGTTACTGAAATGCAGGTGCGCTTGCCCATGTGCCGTTGAGTGTTCGATCAGCTTAGGAAGCCAGTACTTGGCAAGGGTCCTGGCTTCAGGCCTCTTATAAGGGTCGACTTCGAGAATATGCCTCACACACTCTGCCCAGCATTTGAAACATGGATGATCTGAGGTCGACGAAGCTGCGTAGCTGTTGAACTCGTTTAACCATTCGTGTACCTCATGCCGGAGACTACAAGGGACTGGGACCGAGGGATTCGGAGGATATCTAGGCCGTAAGGTATAAAAGAGGTCATTCTCGTAATAATCCTGCGAGCCACCACGTGTGCGAAGAAATCGACGCTGACGCAGCTCGTCGACGCCTCTGGACCCCCTGAAAGCATAGGCTAATACTTCTGCAAAAATTGTGCCGTAGGACCATATGTCGATCGATCGCCCACCGCGGTCAGTTGGAATAGCGACGGGGCACTCGATCTCTGGCGGCTGGTATGTGGATGGCTGCTGTTTTGAGATAGTCACAATTGTCTTTCCCATAGCCTTCAAGCGCAAGTCTCCGACGGCAGAAATCTTTGTGTCTTGATGTTGAAAGGGCTGTGTGGGCTTGGCTTGCAAGACTGAAATCCCAAAGTCGCAAATTTTCCATTTGCCGACCATCCCCCCTGGCTCATCGAATATGAGGATATTTGGGGGCTTGAGGTCCAGATGCGCGCAGAAAACCTTGAACTCGTTGTCCTTTGTGGTGAACCCTTTGTGGAGGAATCTCAAGGCTTTGGCCAATTGATTGCACTGTTCGAGCAGTGCCGAGGCGAGTCCTTGAGGATCTTCCGCCATCCGGGGAAATTTCTCCTTGATGTTGTAGACTGGATGCTTTTCGTTGTTGTAAACAAAGTCCCCATCACGGAGAAAGAGAGAGAGGTCCCCCAAGGTTGCATAGGGTAGGATGATGCTGTAACAAGCGCCGGCCTCTGACTTCTGCTCTATGATAGCATCATGGATAGCAATGCTCGGACTTCGTGTTAGGCTCTGCTTCAGGAATACCATGTTGTTCACTTCGTCTACTACACGCTGACTGGCAGAGAACGACTTCACAACGACCAATGGTGGTGATTGCTGCAGAGCTTCAGCATGACAGGCACACGCATTTTCTGCTATAGGAATTTTGCGACGAACCGGTTTCCACTCTGTGCCAGCTTTTCCGAAACTGGCATATTCCTGAGGAATCTGGTATAACTTTTGTCTGGCATTAGAAAAATATGGATAATCGAGACATGCGAACAATATCTGGTCCTGGACACTCACTCGCACTGTCCCCGATCCCAAGTCATTCGTAGAAGGAGAGTCTCCGTGTGCAGGCAGAGTCGGGTGCGTGGTGTTGGGGTTCTCAAAAGGCAAGGGTCGATGCCAGTCGACCTTCTGAATCTCCCACCCGTCGGGATCAAGTGTTACAGTCGCCGGTCTGAACATGTACTGCTCCCTCCACTGAAGTGCTCGCGCGATGGGAAAGGCTAATGTGTCGAGAAGCTCCTCCTTCGATCGGGGCCCGTCGTCGTCGGTGAACCTCAGTTTGGCCCTGTCATGCTGGCTGAACAATCGATCCTCGCACGAGGAGAACCAAGACGATCCGATACCGACGAGGGCGAGAAACGAGATGAATAGAAGAAGTTGGTCCTTGATGACTCTTTGTTGTGTATCACTCAATCTGTAAAAGACGGTCTTGACGGCCTCCGTATCCCATATTTCTTCCAGTTCTGAACGGCAAAAGAAGGCTACCTCTTTTGAGGAGTCTCGGCGTCCTGCATAGTGCTTGGCGTTCTCCAAGCGGGGAGAGATCACCTCACTCAGATAAGCGTCTCTGCTCATCTCATCTTTGCTGTCGATGTTGGGCCGAGAGCCCCTTACTGGTATGGTTTCTGTCATGCTGCTTTTGCGGTGTTCAGCAAGTGTGGAGAGGGAGGTACAAAGTTTCGGTCATGTAGGATGCATGTGAAGCCGCAGGTGGCGGCGTATCGAGTGTATGTAAGATCGCAAAAGGTGTGCGCGTACGTCGCAGCTGAAATGTCTGCGTGCTACCGCTCAGCAGCCTTCTCTTTCGTGGATGCATGCTTTCTATGCGCATTCTAACCTAAAAGGGATTTCGACACTTGCGGAATTTTCTGCATAAGTTCGGGGTTTTTGTTATTGTGAGTGACTACGGCCAATATTTGTCACATTTGAACGCCGCGTTAATAGCACAGATCAAGTAGAAGTAGTCTTTGCATTTCGAAGCTGGTATGATTCAAATGAAGAATGACAAATAAATGTATACTTGAGTATAATCATTATCTAAACGAGTCTGTATAATGTCTCTGGAATTTTTTTTCGCTTTGCATACAGAAACGTTGTCTAATATTGAGCTTGGTCTAGATGAACGCTGACTGCATCGCGAGGCTTCCCTTCAAACTTTCCCATGCCTTTACTACTGGTTATTTCTAGTTCCTCCGTGAGACAGAAACTGAGAAATGACTTGTGCTAGAGTTAATTTCGCCCGGCGTTTCAAAAATCGGCAGAGAAGGAAGCGATCGGTCTCTTTCCTGCTCGTTTACGGTACTGGCATTCTCGAGAGATGCCATGTGGTGGTCTCCTTCTCGCCTCACGCCCTCCAGCGCCACACGAACAAGGTCATCCAAACGCTCTTGGAGCACCGAAGGGTTGTTGTCAAGATGAACATAGAGTCTTGTCCAACCTGATACTGTTTTCATCACGATCCAGAAAAATAGCATAGCCGCCTCCTGCGCAGTATGAGGACTCTTAATAATAAAGACGGGACTTGGAATTAAGTGAGATCACTTACCATGAAATAAACACCCACTTGCCAGGCCAATGAGACTGGAGCCCTGATGTTCCACCAGATTGAGCTCGACGCAATGATCAGGAGAATACATCCCACCAAGCCGACCACTGCAGCTAGAGGCTGTGGAACAATGTAATGCACATGCTCTCGGTAATGGTAACGGAATTTTGCTTCACAAAACCGCCGATGGTCATGATCGAGGCCATCCGCGCACTTTCTGGCCCTGCTAAACGGTAAATAATTTGCCCAGCTGTGCCTCCATGTTTGCGAAACTTACCAATACCAGAATCGAATGAACGCGAGGCACAGAGCTGTCCAGACCACAATGTAGGCCATGCTCGACGAGACGAAAAGGAATGCAAGAACCTAGATTCACGGTCAGTACATATGTATGCCCTGTTTTCAAGCTGAAACTTAATACTGCGAAACTCACATCCTCCATGCCTACCCACTCCTCGTTGTCTTTGAAACCGAGCCACGGAATCCAGCAGAAAATTAAATAAGACAGGCCAACAGCATACACGGGAACCCCGGACCTTGGATCAACTGAGCCAATTGTCTGCATGATGCCACGGACGAACTCGTTGCCCCCAGCTTCGCCTTCCTTGCTGCTGGCTAGGCCGTACAAGGTACGGCTGGCCATATAAAGAGCTGTGTTTCCGCATGACACAACGCTATACAGCAAGCATGCATTAATAAAGTCTGCAAAGCCTGGCAAGTAGAAATTTGGCGAGTATTGTGTATCGTCAATAGGGCTAGCTGTGTGATTACAAAATGGCACGAATACGGCCATTGAGGTGTCTCCACAAGTGCTATTTCCAAAGTGGATGATAGGACCTTCTAGTGAAAAGATCCAGGGGGCCGAGAGGTAGTCCCAAGGAACGGTGAGGGCAATCGCGAGGCTGTAGAGTAAGTAGAGCAAGACAGCAATCCAATGAACTGAATTGGATGCCCACGCTATATCTTTTAGACTCTTCAGATCCCGATCACCGCGGTGCTGATTGAAACCGGTATTTCGATTCCAAGCCCGGTGAAGAGGATTGGCCGGCGATGATAGATGCCCCCAGCTTCTTGATGGAGACTGAGCATTATAATTTGGCTGCTGATGCTCACCCACTAGGCCTTGCCGGCGTAGAGGCCGTGTCTCAAAAGCTGCCATGGTTGTACTTTCGATGCCACCGAAACTCCACGCGACGAGGGGCAATGCCACACTACATCTCTATCAGCGGCTTTTGAAAATCGTAATTTGCATTTTTTTAAAAAAGGAAAAAAAAAAAGAGAGCTCACCAGATGGCAACGCCGACGTGGTCTGTGTACTGTTGATTCGGGGCGATCCCGACATTGATTGCTAAGACCTGGTTAACTGTCTGCTTGAGAAGTAAACTTGATCAAAATCACGTACGTCCTTGGTTGCCTCCATCATTATCTTGATAAGTGTCAGCAATGCGACGATGTGTTGTGAGAAGGAGGGGAGGGGGGAGAGCCAACTAGAGTCAGCCGCATGATAAATGGCAATAGTCAGGGTGGTCATGAGGAAAACCTTGAGAACTCCTCCAATAGCCTCAATCCACCCAAAGACCTAGAGCTAAATAAGTAATCTATGCTAGGAGAGTCGAGGAGGAAGGGTTGAGTAATGATACCTGAACATGCCGAGTATTGATGAAGACCAATATGATAGGGATCACAACGTAGGAAATTATAGATGTTAAAAAGGGAGATGCTTTCCAATATCGGATAATGGTCGCTGCTGTCAGCATTTCAGTAGCAAAGACAGAAGTCCATGCATACCTATGAGGCATAAAGTGAGTTTTCCCACCCTCGTATTAATTACATGAGTAGATAGAACAGACCAGTATGCAAGCCCAACCACCCAGGCCAGTTCACGGTCCACGAAGGTTGACACGTATTCAAAGATCGCATTGGGCGCAGGGAAGAGCTGCACCAGATGGCTCACTGTCTCGCTAACACCTATTGTGATGATACTGAGCAGACAGAGGCAAAGCAACAGGCCACCGGGACCGGCCAGTTGTAGAGCGTCAGCATTCGTGACGAAGACGCCTGTGCCTATAAGACCACTCAGGACGATGCACTATTGGCCGAAGTCTTATCAGCTCGTGACTCATTGAGTTCGATCATCGTTGCAGATGCCGCACGTACCAGGATTTGAAAGCTAGTAAATTGCTGCCTGTTGGGACGAGAGAAGAGTTACAACTCAGTCCTTCCACGATACCAGCGCATGCGCTGAGGATTTCTTACCGGAGTTGAGGTCTTGCCACGTCACCCTCGACACCTGCCATCTTTGAAAAATGAGGCTTTTACTTGGGTCAATGAAGATGAAGATAGAATAATTTTTTTTTCCCGGCAACAAACCGATCATGGTGGGGATCAGGCTGAAATGGCGGAAGCAGGCTGTCTGACTTTTTGGTAAGCAAGAGGAGTCACGAGGAGTTCCGCCGATCACGGACCGCTCAGTAGCGTTATAAAAGTATCAGTGAGACTTTCGTGATCGCCTCTATGTGTATTAATTACCCCTGTATAGTACTCATTGCGGTTAATTCATTACATTTTCCCTATCTCGCAGCAGTACTATGAGAAGCATTTCGAAGCAGGCTGTACAGGTCCCAGGTGTGCTGCCACACTGGAAAGGGTCATTGGACAGCAAGGCATTAGAATGGGCTAGTGAAACTTTCCGAAGAGGTGCGATAGACACGTCAGCACTTGCTCGCTCCCTGCTGTGGGCAACCAAGACGGCGTCTCGGCAGCACCTGCAGATTGGGCGTGGGAGAGCTGTGTGCATGCAGTAGGGTGGCTTGCGCAGCTGGCATACACGCGCGGGGGCCGGATGGGGCGTGAGTGTCACCTGTGTCCGTGTGTCCCTGTTTTTCTTTCTTTTGACATTTTGGTGTCCTGCAGGGGACCGTCCTTGCCGTGTCCTACAGGTCGATGGATGCAAACCAGGCTCCAAGGTGGATGCCCAACATATTTGCACTCAGGGTTCGATGATAAAATAACCGCATATGACTGGAACCATATTTCTCTCGCAAGCTGCAAAACATCGTCTTTCCCAACTCCATCTTTGCTGTCGCTTCGAGTGTCTCTAACCTGCTGCTTTTTCTCCGCACACAAAACAACATGGGGAAGGTCATTATGCCCCCGAAATATAGCCGATATGTTATCACATTGTCGGAGCTGGCGAGTTACTTACGAGAGAGGTACCCCGCCGTCTATGATTTCAATATTCAGGTACCTGTTGCCCCCCCTCTCTGGAGCCTGCGCCACGGACTTGACTCAAAGCTGATATCTCTACTGCAGCATATCTGCAACCAATGGAGTTTCTATTGTCCTGAAAATCTGTCTAGGGTTAGTGTTACACTGGAAAGCATGTAGGGCTTAGGCTATGAATGTTTTACAGGCAGCGGAGAACTGATTCTTGCTCATGCTTAGGTCCAGCTAAGGCAAAGCTTTCCCGACTCTTAAGGCTTTTCCGTTAAGTTTTGCTAACTTCAGACTTGCCAGGGAGATGGCAGCATGCATCAAGGCTCGCAGAAGCCAGCTGCGTCCCCGTGACGAGTTCTACCATGATTTGGTCCAGTAGCTACAAAGACTGGGCGCTTCGAAATGGCACCATGGCGTTGATGATGACGTTGTGACACACTTATGCTTTGCCAGGATGAAGAGTGAGAAATAAGTCTTGCCCAGTACAGGGCTTGGGGAGCTCGTCTCAACTGTGGTAAGGCTTATCTCGACCCTCTTCCACATTCTAAGAGCGGGGTAGCACTGGGACGGTCTCCAAGGCATTTTATCCGCAGGACCATGGGGATTCAATTTGTTGTTAGGTAAGTGTTTTGCAATGGTCCCCGCCGCCCACCACTGCCTCTGTTCTCGAATCTCACATGGTTACATGATAGTGTCAATGTGGAATCATTCCACCTTGATGCCCAAGGCTTTTTCCGCAGCAAAACTTGATAGTCCAAGTCAAATGACATTTCAATATTAAATACTTACTCAGTCTGCTCTAATAATTGTTCTCCGAGTTCTGTCGACAGTGAACGTCCGCTGGCACAAGACAAAGGGGATAGTTCCAGAGCCCTTGAGATTTGGTCTACCTGCACTTGCAGAAACCCACGGGCACAACTTGGTATGCCCTCTTAACCATGATAACACGCCGTCGCATACTTGAGTTTCTGGAGGAGCAGCAAATACAGCCTGATGAAGTGTTCTTGATGGATGGTGGTGATTTCGTGGTGTCCGACCTGACAGATAGTAAGTTGATAAAGTCGTCGTATGATCGCGTCAAATAACTTATGCCCCTCTATACACCATTCGTTCGACCAGGATTCAGAAAGAAGAACAATTCTCGCAATTCCTCTGCAGCACAGAATGGCTGGGCACGCGCATCATGTACGCTACGAACTGCCTGCAACCGCATGCAATGCCTCGAAGACGTCTGTACGCGAAGACTAATGCTACCCATCCTACTTGCAAGATCTATCTCCGCCAACAGCACAATAGAGCCGCTGAACATAAGCCCCTTCTGGATGGCGATCCTTCTGGAATCATACCACGTGCGGTTTGAGTTTCTTCAAGTATTGCTGGCATTTGGAGACGAGCCACAGCATACTGAGGCTTGCAATGGGAATGATGCTTTCTACGAAACCGAGAACCAGGGCTGTAAGGATTGTTTTCACGATCTGATAATTACACATGATAAGCTGATGCTATACTAGTTGAGTTGCTCTATAAACTGAACTATATGGAGCCAAATCACCGCAATGGCCAAAACCCCTGGTCGACACGACATCTTGGTGTTTACCATCGACACGAAGCTGATCGCGATCTGTACATACTGATCCATTGCAGCAAAGAGAGTATGTTGTACAGGAAACTAACATCAACTGATGCGGGAACACGGAACCCATCAGATCTCGTGAACGGTGTTTATGAGAGTCCGACTAGTCTACATAGCGTGATTCTGCAGTGCTACGCTCAGTACTGGAGACCATACCTGAGATGGATGGGGGAAGACTATGACAAGATTGTGAGTGTCGTGTGCTGGTGTCACCCCCCTCCCCCCCCATCAACCATGTCATACAAAGTCTCGAGATTAACCTCCAACTACCCTCCATTCGTGAACAGAACATTCTCGCTGCGGTCGCAGACACTTCGGATGTTGGGAAAGAATCTTTCGAACAACTGCGAAGACTACGCATGCTCAAAGACTACACAGACTTGGCAACTGGGTACTGTATGAGCAATCTCCAAGTGCTCTCCTCGCTTCGCCTGAGCATGGAAACATCTTCTAGCAGTACGGACTCCATCCTGTCGGTGGAAAACAGTGTTCGGAGCCATGTGAAAAGCCTCGAGTTGCTAAAGGACCGTATAGACAATACTATTCATCTAGTGAGTCCTATCTTCCCGAAACCAACACACTTTGCTAGCACGACGGCCAGTGCAGTGAGGATATTTTATCTGACTCGAATACAGATCAGTCTCACGGTAGACCTCCACAATCAAGAACAGGCGGCGACGCTGAATCTGAAGATGAAGAAGCTCGCGGAGGAGACTAGTGCCGTGACCAAGAAGTTGGCGGTGATATCAGAGCATTCGGCGAACGAAACCGAGGTGGTCCGAATGATCACGATCGTCTCCGCGATCTATCTGCCTGGTAGCTTCGTAACTGTGAGTCTTCCACCTAACAAAAGCATCCCAGAAACTTGTTGACCCCTCTTGTGGGAACAGTCCATCTTTGGTATGAACTTCTTCCAGTTTGATAAGCAAGGCGGTATCGCCATGTCTAGAGGAATTTGGATCTTCATTTCTGCCTGGTTAGGCTTGACAGTGGTCACTGGTGCTATTCTGGCTCTTGTATACAGGCGTAGCCGTCGCGGACAAGGATCTCTTCGTCGCCAGAAGTCCAGTCGGGATGATATACCAATTAGCCGTTGGGGCTTTCTTAACATGGAGTGAAGATAAAGACACCGTTTACTGCGAGTGTTGTTGGGACCTTAGAAGCCCTTTTATGTGACTAGGTCAGGCCTGGTTGTTTCCTCTCATCTGGTCACTCACTGGTCCTATGGCAAGAGGCGAGTCATTGGCTTCACTAGTGTGTAATGCTAATTTCGTAATTACAAAAGAACAGCAACTACAGAATCAAGGGAGCCTTTCATGATAGGCCGCAACGCAGTTCAAGGGCACCCCCGGAATTTGACCACGCTCAAGGATGCGGGCCTGCAGCGCTGGTCTTTTGAGCGACTACAGGCTCAGAGGCCTCAAATCATCGTAGGCGCAGGCAAATACATTTCGCACAAGCATGCATGAAGGGACATGAGTTGATCTAGCGTTGCATCATCATTGTCTACCTAGGATTGTGCTATTCTGCTCACCCTTTCTGAGAGGTACTAAAACACTCCAGGCAGAAAAACATGATATTATCGCGCAGTTTGTACTGGCAAAATGCCAGTCGGGGCGCCATTAAAAAGAAAACCGAAGAACCCGTACCAAACTCCTGAACCAGTTTTTATGCGATCGCCGTACCCTGTGAACCCGAGCTCCGTATTAAGCATTTAGTCGACCTCCTCCATGGCGCTGTCGCCAGTTTCAGCGGCAGGCGTGGCTTCAGAGGCGGCAGGAGCGTCAGCAGCAGCCTCAGGCTCCTCATCCAGGTTCAGGCCCAGAGAGACGAGCTTGTGGATGCGGCCAGCGAAGTCGGCAGGCTCATCAATGGTGAAGCCAGAGACCAGCAGGGAGGTCTCAAACAGGAGCTGAACGATGGACTTGACAGTGCGGTCGTTCTCGCCGTCGGTCTCGACCTTCTTCTTGAGCTCCTTGATGATGGGGCTCTTGGGAGAGATCTCGAAAGTCTTCTTGGAAGACATGTAGCTCGACATGGAGGTGTCACGGAGAGCCTGAGCCTTCATGATACGCTCCATGTTGGCAGACCAACCAAACTGGCCGGTACGGATGGCGCAAGGAGCTCCGACCAGCTTGTGGGAGACAACGACCTTCTCGACCTTGTCACCGAGGACGTTCTTGAGAGCCTTGGCGAGGCTCTCGTACTCCTTCTCCTCCTCCTCACGCTGCTTCTTCTCGTCCTCGGTCTCCTCAAGCTCGAAGTCCTTGGTGATGTCCACGAGCTTCTTGCCCTCGAACTCCTTGAGCTGAGTCATGGCGTACTCATCAATGGGGTCAACGAGGAAGAGGACCTCGAAGCCCTTCTCCTTGAGAGCGTCAAGGAAGGGAGACTTGGAGACGGCAGGCAGGGACTCGCCGGTGATGTAGTACAGGTTCTTCTGGTGCTCAGGCATGCGGGTGACATAGTCGGCCAGAGAGGTCAGCTCATCGCCAGACTTGGTAGAGTTGTAACGCAGCAGTTTGGCGAGCACCTGGCGGTTCTGAGAATCCTCGTGGATGCCCAGCTTCAGGTTCTTGGAGAAGGCAGAGTAGAACTTGTCAAACTGCTCCTTGTCCTCGGCAATCTCGGTGAACAGCTCAAGAGACTTCTTGACGATGTTCTTCTTGATGACCTTCATGATCTTGTTCTGCTGGAGGGTCTCACGAGACAGGTTGAGGGGCAGATCCTCAGAGTCGACAACACCCTTGACGAAGCTGAGCCACTCGGGGATGAGCTCAGTGGCATCATCAGTGATGAAGACACGGCGGACGTAGAGCTTGATGTTGTTCTTGGTCTTCTTGGTCTCGAAGAGGTCGAAGGGAGCACGCTTGGGAACGAAGAGGATGGCACGGAACTCGAGCTGACCCTCAACAGAGAAGTGCTTGACGGCGAGGTGATCCTCCCAGTCATTGGAGAGCGACTTGTAGAAGGCAGCATACTCCTCCTGGGTGATGTCGGAGGGGTTGCGGGTCCAGATGGGCTTCTGCTTGTTCAGCTCCTCCTCCTCGATCTTGGTCTCCTTGATCTTCTTGGTCTTGGGCTTCTTCTCCTTGCCCTCTTCCTCGTCGTCGACCTCCTCAATCTTGGGCTTCTTGTCGTCACCCTCCTCGGTGACCTCCTCGACATCGGCGTCCTCATCAGGAACCTCCTTCTCCTCCTCCTTCTCGACGTGGAGGTAGATGGAATACGAGATGAATTCGGAGTGCTTCTTGATAACCTCCTTGACCTTCGCCTCGTTCAGGTACTCAGTCTGCTCGTCCTTGAGGTGGAGGATGATCTTGGTACCACGGCCAATCTGCTCGCCCTCGGTGTCGGCAGCGATGGTGAAGGTACCGCCAGCACTGGACTCCCAGATGTATTGCTCGTCATCATTGTGCTTTGAGATGACCTTGACCTGGTCTGCCACGAGGTAGGCAGAGTAGAAACCAACACCAAACTGACCGATCATGGAGATATCAGCGCCAGCAGTGAGGGCCTCCATGAACTGCTTGGTGCCAGAGCGGGCAATGGTACCCAGGTTGTTGACGAGGTCCTGACAATGGTTGTTAGTGTGTGTGATTGGACGAATTGTAAAGTATCCGAAATATTTTCAACAGGGAGATGATACTTACAGCCTTGGTCATGCCAATACCAGTATCACGGATGGTCAAAGTCTTGTTCGCCTTGTCGGGGATGATGTCGATGCGCAAGTCCTTGCCCGAGTCCAACTTGCTTGGGTCGGACAGGGCCTCATAGCGGATCTTGTCGAGGGCATCTGAAGCGTTGGAGACAAGCTCTCGCAGAAAGATCTCCTTGTTAGAGTAGACGGTGTTGATGATGAGGGAGAGAAGCTGAGAAATCTCAGCCTGGAACTCGAAGGTTTCGCCAGTCATGTTGGGCAGAGGATCGTAAACTCGTGAAAGACTGCGGGCGAAGAGTTAGCAATATTGTCTGAAAAGAGCAATGTGCAAGGTGGTTGTGGCAATGGTGCTGTAGTTTTATGGTAGGGTTGGTCTGCCAAAATGTGTGGCGGGTCGCTGTGGAAGGCAAAGAGCAAGCGGCAGCCTTGTCTCCAGTCCGTGCGAACAGCTTGCATTGCAAGCCGAACGTTGTGCTTTAGAAGACCAAACAAAAGAGCCCGATTCAATAGAATCATAAAAACAAGGATTTACGATCGTTATTTGGCCCAGAAACTCTCTGTTGGGATAGTGAAGAGGGGTGGGCTGGGTGGGGGAGGGGGAGCTGTTGACGATGTGTGGGTTCTGCTGCTGCTTACCTTGTGGGTATCACTGGAAAATGGAGAGAGAAATAGGGAACTCAGAAACGCGACGGCTGCGATGTCTGAGAGAAGAATGCGATCTTGCGTACAAGAGTGCAAAGATGGAAGAGTGTTTGTGTGTTGGGGGTGTTTGAATTGTGGAAGGAAAGGAATTGCGAGCTGGTTGATAGAAGAAGTGAGAGCTGCGGCAGCTAAAAAATAATGCTCTGGGCTCACCCCCCTGGCGCAGACTAGTGCGGATGGAAATTCCAGCAGGTTCTATCGACCTTTGGGTTCTATCGTCTTCTGGCAGGCGCGGCTGGGCTGTCATGATTGGCCAGGACAGGGGCTAGCTGCCTGGAGAAGACCCACTTTCAGACCCCAAGGCGACCAATATTCAAGAACGAAGAATTCTTCCACTTCAAGATTCGTAACTTCTGCAGTGGCTGAGCCTTATCTTTGTGTGGGATAGGGAAACACAGATGCAGATGTGTGTGCATGGACAGAGATGCTCGTAATAGATTCAGCATAGAAGATTCGCTGTTCTGCTCGAACCGTCTGGCAATGTCTTCAAATGCTCCACGCCAGCCTCACGGGTGAGGGGCCTGCTGAAGGCCTGTGCTGCCAGTGGGGCCGTGAGGCTGAGAGGGGCTCACCAGCCTCCACAAATGCCCGCCTTCACAAATGCCCGCCTTCTGTAGCCAGCAGCCGCACACAATACTGCAGTAGTACCTGGGCAACTTTTCATGACGGGCTCACCTGAAGCAATAATTCTACCCATCAGCTCAGAACATGAACGTCCCAAATCCAAAAGAGCATGCCATGGCCTCGCACTCTTCATCTTGCGCCATGGTGAGTGACTGTTTGCAGACTGTCCTTGAAACATATCATCATCCCGCATGGACGTTCATCTTCCATCCTAGATGGAATCTTGATGCGCACTGGAATTTTGAGTTATTTTGCGCTGCAATGCCTTCGATTAATGTGATAGTATATCGGTTATGAGTCTGCGGCTGCGCGATATTGTCACTCGGTGATTTCTGCATGCAAATTGCTCGCTGATCCGGCTGTAGAATGTTTCTGGGCTGTCCCCTCGTGGTGCTTTGAAACCAATCTCGATGTTACTCTCCCCAGAGCCTGCAGACCTCATCCTTTCACAAAAGTTCCCTCTAGTCAGATGACGCAGTAAATTGTGCCTGTATCTCATCATGGCACTGGCACCCTAATTATGGTATATATGGTTACCTGGACGACAAATGCTGCCCTCAAACCCTTTCCCCGGATGCTCAAACACCGTAGCGAAGGTGAATTTTAAGAATTTCTTGATAGTGTCCTCAGTCCCCGCTAATCTTGGCATGCCTGAAGTATTTCATGCCCACCCAAGCACTCACAACCCATACCCAAGCCATGACACAAGTCAATATTAACAGAGAGGGATAATAACCGGTAATGGGCAGGGTAGGGTCGTCCTCCAGCTCAGGCGGTGCATACGGCGTCGTTCCAACATCCCAGGCCCAGCCCCAGACACCAAATACTGAGCCCATGCCCACCACAAAGACGACCCAGGTCACGACCAAGATGACCCATCCCCACCACTCCGTCTCCGAGTAGTCCCAGTCATCCTCAGTCGTCAGCAGAGACGTGGCTGCGATCAATGGCGACCTGGCCCGGCTGATGGTGGTCCTCCGCCTGGGCATGGCCTCGATATGGCCAAAGTAGCTGTCCGACCCAGAACTTAACGATGCAAGCTCCGGGGCGCCGCGGCTCGAGGGGTTGGGCCGCATGTGCAGCGCGTCCTCATCGTCCGTCGTCGTGTAACTTATCGTGGGGCTTGTCGGTGTGGGTTCGTCGATTTCCACCTTGGGCTTTGATTTTCCTCCCGTTGTCGAAGCAAGCAGAGTGGTGGCTGCTGCCACGGCAGGTGCAGTGTTATTTGTGGTCGTCCTCCTCGCGTACCCGTCCATGGAGGGACGGGGTGTGGCATCTGATATCCCCAGGCCCAGACCGCTGCTCTCTTCATCTTGCCCATTGTTGTTCATCATGTCCGTGCCCCACGCCTCGGCCTGTTTGACGTCGATGATGAGATTGGCTCGACTGGCCTCGCGCCGCTCTCTCTGCGCCCCGCGCCCTAGCAGCGCGACCTTCCTCAAAGAGCCCCGACGGCGACGTGTCTTCTGCTGCTGCAACGCGCTGGCGATCGATAGCGGAACGATTGGCGGTGCTGGTGATGTGGCCAGCGGGGCATGGCCCTTCTCGTCTGCCTCACGTGGGCTCGACTGGGGTGGTTGATGATGGTGGTTGGTCTTCTGCGGTTGTTCCGATGGATTTCGTGAGAAGGAAAATTTGGAAAAGAGACCTCCGCTCGAGTGGTTCCGCTTGTGGGCAGTCTGCGCTTGGCTCTGCGCTTGCGACTGATCTGTGACACCAATGCCATCTGGTTGGACATTCTGCACTGGGGTTGATGGCTCCATGGTGGTGGGCGCGCGGCGCTGTTTTTGGGGGGTACGCTGAGGTCAGCGTCTTGGGTTTTGCAGCGTAAGGCGGAATGAGGCTCGCCTATACAGGCGGGACCTCACATTTCAAATACTTGGCTTAAGAAGCGGCGGTTTGATGGAAGACGGAATGCCCTTGGCATCCGCTTCTGGGTCACAGGATGAACATTGAGCGAAGGAGGTTGTCGCGTTCATTTCAATGTAACTACGACGCGCAACCTCCAAGTGCCAGGTTGGAAGGGTTGCTAACTGGCAAGAAATGCCTGCCGAACCAAGTTACCACAGAAGCCATTATGCTACCGACCTACTACAGTTATAGAAGTATAGTGCTATGCTAGTGCTATGCACAAGCACTGCGGAGGCACTCTGCGCTAGAGCCCCTGACTTTTGGGAGGGGCCGTCCCTGAATCCACCCCCTGCACCAGGCACTGAGTGCGGCGAGGCTGATGAACAAGCATCAATGCTCAGAATTGTATATAGAGTCCTATTTAAATAATTAAGCTCTCTCGCGCACGCTTTGCTTCCAAGGGAGACATACGTAATAAGGTTTGGCGGGCCAATTCGTGCTCAGCGTTTTCTCTTGATACATAGCGGAGTCGTCTCTCCCCTCGTCTTCTTTGTCAATACAATCAGTTCTCCTTCAACTCCAGAAGACCGCGCCCTGATCTACAGAACTATTGTGAAATTGTCGTGCACTAGACTCAATCCAGCCACTGGCTTCCTTCTGCTGGGAGCTGTACAGTACTATCGCGAACAGGCCCACCCCTCTTCCTTCCGACCGCATCTAGGTTGACAAGGGTTCAGATTACTCCAGACTTTCTGAATCATCCATCCATCCTCTCGCCCTCCTCTCCTCTCTCTCTCTCTCTCTCTCCTGGCCACCTCGTCGACCCTGGAGCACATGGCTTCTGGTCTGACCAATGATCCTCCTCCACTAAACCTCCCCCTCCTAATCCAGCCCCCTCCTGAAGACGGCGACTACGACGACTACGACGGAGAGATCATCGACCTCGATAGGCCCCTGTCGCGCTCCAGCAACGGCAGCTCCAGCAACTGGAATGATATAGACGACCTCTTCCTTCCCTCCCGAGACCGCGCATTCCTCAGTCCCCTCGAGGCCGCCTCGCCAAGGCGGCCAGTGAGCAGGATGTCCGACCCTCCTTCAGCCCCGGATGTCTCCGTCTCGGCCGCGACGCCGACTTCTACCACCACCAGTCCCTTCAACTTCCAGACTCAGTTCATCTCCACGTCGCCTGTGAAGTCGGTACGTTCTCCCTCGAGGCGCCTGTCATGGCACACTATCTTGTAGTTCTCCTGTCCACGATTAGATGGGGGCTAACGTTGTATCACACAATTCAAGAACATAGGGCAGCGTCGTGGTCACAAGTACAAGCACTCCTCGATAAGTTCGCAGCACCAGATCATCAAGGAACCGCCCCGTCGACCACCTCCAGTTCTCCCCGCCTCCCTCCCCGTGCCGACCCTCAAGGAGGCATGGGCCTCGATGCATAAAGAACAGCGTGCCCGTTTTTACTGGTGTATCTGTCATGGCCTAGTCGCGGCATACGTCTTCTTCACAGCAGGCGGCTCGCTGGCCATGACAGCGCTGTCGCACCTCGTCTTCTTCGACGTCGGCTCGGCCGCGATTTGCATGGGCGTCGACGTGTTGGGGAACTTTGAGGTCTGGCGGAGGAGCAGCATACGGCATCCCTTCGGGCTGCAGAGAGTCGAGGTCCTCGCAGGCTTCGCGCTGAGCGTCTTCCTCGTCTTTGGCGGCTTCGACCTCCTCTCGCACAACTTCAAGCACGTCCTCGAGGGGGTCGGCTCGCACGCGCCCCACCACCCGCACGCCCACAGCCATGGTCACGGTGCAGACCGCGCAGTCAGCGCCGGTGAGGTCGACACCGCCTCCCTCGCCGCCGCGCTGAGCACCATGGTCTCAGCGTACGGCCTCAAGAACCACGCCCGTATCAGCCGCGTCATGCGGCCCTCCTACCTCGCCAGCTTCCTGCCCGACATCCTCGCCAACCCCTTCCACTCCCTCACCCTCTTCTTCAGCTTCCTCATGCTCCTCCTCCCCCTGCTCTCCATCACCTCCTTCGTCTGGCTCGACCGCCTGATCTGCATCGCTATCGCCTTGTCCATGTTCGTCCTCGGCTCGCGCCTCGCCATCGCCCAGGGCCTGATGCTCCTCATGTCCTACAAGGGCCGATCCGACGGTGGCACCGACACCTCCGGCCCTGCGGACAAGAGCGCTAGCGCCGATACCGACGGCGTGGTCCGCGAGATCGAGAGCGAGCCCACCGTGTCGCGCGTCGACGAGGCGCAGTTCTGGCAGGTCCACTACGGCCTCTGCATGGCCGCTGTCAAGCTGTGCGTTATCCGCGGCTGCGACGACACCGCCCTGAGCCAGCTGAGGCAGCGGATAGGGCGCATCGTGCAGAACCGCCTCGGCAAGGGCTACGGCAAGGGCGGGGCGTTGAAGTGGGAGGTCACGTTACAGATGAGCACGGATCCGGCGTAGCATGTTGGCCATCCTGTGTTGTATGACAGTTGTGATCATCATGGTGCTTGGGGGGCACGATCGGCGTTTTAAGCGATGTACACAGACGATATTTACATTTAGTACATAGTATTGCGAACCGCGATTTGCGGAATGTAAAGCGTACACTGTCTACGGCATGTGCCAGTCCATTGATCTGGAGTAAAGAAATGGGAGCGAATACCCAGAAGGCAATCAAAACGTCGGACCATGATCTGAGATGTGTAATTCGATGCTATATACGGCTCGCTGTGAGTAGAGAGAAAGCAGCTTGTTGATAACTCAGTCTTTCAGTGAATGACCGAAACATGTTGACTCCTCCGCCCCTTTCTCGTGGATGACTAGACATGAACTTGGTGAAACGACGGGTATCGCATAGAGATCAAACAACCGCACTGCAGATGATTCATCTCAGAACAGACCCCATCGTCCACCCCGTTCCCGCTTCGCCTCGGCCTCGTGCCGCGGCCTCTCCCGTCCCTCGAGCTGCCTCAGACTCTCCATCTTCTCCAGCACGAGCTCGAGCAGTTCCTTGCGCCTGATGACCTCGAGGTGCCTCTTGATCTTGGGGTCCTCTTTGGCGAAACGCTCAATCTGGTCTTCCGACAGGTGCCGGCCCAGCCGCACGTCGAGCTCCCGCGGGAAGTTGTAGTAGAACTCGGACAGCAGCTCGACGTTGAGGAAGAGCACGGCGGTCTGGGCGATCTTGGAGGCCGCCGCGTTCAGGAACACCTCTGGACAGTAATACTTGTTCTTGAGGTCTTTGCACTGGCGGGATTTGACGGCGAGGAGGCGCATATTAATTATGTCGGCTCGGTCACGGAGGAAGACTGCTTCTCGGCCTAGGGTGTGTCAGTTAAGATGGTGAGCCAGGATAAACAGGTTTTCGAGTTGGTAATTCGTACCTTTCTCCAATAACGCAGCACTAAATCCACCAGCACCCATCCTCCCTTCTCCCTCGACGATGATATCACCCTTGCGACACTTGTCCACAAAGTTCATCACCTCCTTCAGCTTTCGGCGCCCGCCGACCACCTTCTCCAGGTTCGACAGCGCCCCCTGGCACGCTTCCAGCTCGCCCTTCAGCACGCTGCCGACGCGCTCTCGACCGACTGCCCACTCTCGGTCTTCGACGTCGATCTCAAACTTGTAAGGCTTGACGCAATTTTCGACCTGGTCGCTCGTGCTGTAGAATCTCTCGTTAAGGATACTCGATGCGGCGTTCGTGATGGCCTCGCGTGCGAACGGGTGGTTCGCGAACGTCGACCGGGAGATCAGCTGCTCAATGTGCGACTGAATCGCGCTTGCCACCGCGCTCGTCGCCAGGCGGCCCACACCGAGCTTCGTAAGTGCGGAGGTTGAGGCATCGAGCTGCCGGTGCCAGTAGGGTGAGTCGCGGTCAGCCTTGGGCAGGTCGGCGAGCGTGTCGGCCTCCGGCGGCGGCCGTGATAGGTCGGTGATGGGCTTATTCCAGTAGCGCAGGGCGAGAAGGTCGAGCACACGCTGATCGAGCTCCTTTTTCAAAATCTCCTGCATTTGTGGTCGGCCAAACTCCTCGGTGAATTGTTTGAAGGAGTGCTTGAATGCGTCCAGGCTCTCGGCGAGATATGATTCTGCTGACAGAGGTCGGTCGTTATATTGCACCTTGAACTCATATGTGGCCTCCTCAAGCTCTTGCTTGATGGCGTCGTGCGTGCTCTGAAGGCTGGCGGACATAGTCTGCTCCAGGACGTGCATAAGTTTCTTGCGCAGGGTGAGTGTGCCAACGTTGGTCCCGGCCTCAGCTCCGAACTCGACTGGATGCGCCGAGAAATATGCATTCTCGTTCTTCGCAATGACCGATGTCAAATTGCCACCCGTGCCTTTCTTGAACAGCCCTGCGACACCAGGTGCGCGAGTGACAACTCCCACATAGCCGAGGCGCAAGGGGTACTGCTTGTCGGACAGGATGGCCGCGCCTCGCACAGGATCAACCAGATCCATCTTGGTGACGACACCAATTGTCCTCTCACCCCGTGGGTCTACTCTCCTGCTCGCCCGCAATGCTGTCGAGTTTGCCAGATCGACGTCTGCCGCAGATATCGCAAGAATGACGTTGGGAGATTGTATGTACTTATCGCACAGCTCTGTGATCTTCTGCTTCAGCTCAAGGGGCTGATTCTGGCCGACGACCTGGATATAACCTGGCAGGTCGGTAAGCGACAGGTCTGGAACGCTCCGGGAGTAGATGCTGAGCCGGATCGGATCGTCGGACACACATTCGGTGTCCGGCACAGCCAGGTTGAGGTCTGTGAGGGTCCTTTGTATGGACGAGAAATCTGTCGTTTTGAAGCCCAGATCAGGGAACTCGCCATATTCGGCGTTGGTCTCGGGCGTGTTGATCAGTGTGAGCTCGATTGGCCTTCTTGTCACCATGTTGGAACCCTTGGGCAGGAACTCGTGGCCCACGATGGCCTCTAGCACAGAACTCTTCCCGGAGGACTGTGATCCGATGACAACAATGGACGGTAGGGTGAGCGCGCTCGACTGGCCGACCTTGGAGAGGATGTTCCGGATCTCGATCATCTTCTTGGTCAAGACCATCATCTGGTCGTCCTTTGCAATCTCCTCGCCGTCCCTGTCATCTTCCACAACAGTGAAAGCGCCTGCCGATGCGCCTGCCAGTGCTGCCGAGGTCTTGCCACGTTTCGGTGGCTCATTTCCTGGGTCCGGTCCCCCTCGTTCACCGCCTCCTGTTCCCATTTCCTCCTGTAGCCGCAGTATCTTCTGCATCCATTCCGGCATCTCGACGGAGTCTTTTGTGTTTTCCCATCCCCTCCCTATCTGGCCGGCGATGTCTTTTGCGCCACCAAATACAGTCGACGCCGTGTCGGAGGCTATGCCCTTCGCATTTTTGTACATCTCCGTCGCCGAGTTGCTGACCTCTGTGACATGTTAGCCTCGGCCTCCTGGGCCTTGTCTCTTCTCCTCTCTCCCCCCCCCCCTTCCTTCTTGGCTCCCAAGACCTCCTCTCCATGGGACCGAGCACACTCACGTATAGCCTGATACTGTATCCATGCGACGCCGCCAATCATTATACCGCCAAACATAGCCGGCAGCCTGATAAACTTGGCCGCTAACTTTGGCAAGAACCTCGCGAACGAGGCGTTGCGTGCCGTCACTGCATTGTGGAAGGCGTTCCCCGGAAACCACATGCGCTGCCGCGTCGCTCGTATCGCAGCATCGGCGCGCTGTAGACCGCCGGTCGGGAAGCGGAAGCGGTGATACTGGCGGACGGCGGCTTCTGGGAGAGCGGCGGCGCGTCGCGTGCTAAGGGGCACGATCCCCGCTGCCAGAAGCCGTCCACTCATGGTGGTGGCTGTCGGAGAGGGCGGTCGTGGTGGTGGGAGGGCATAAACGGAAGCGTGAGGGTCTTATGATAAACTGGTGGGCACACTCTCGCCGTGCTCGTTGGGGGAGAAATGAATCGAGTCGTTGTTTCCTGTCTTTTGTTGAGTCGTGTGGTGCAATCAATCTTACGACCAGCTCTATCGATTATGCGTGCTGCACTTGGCTGAAGTGGCGTGGAGCCGACGTCAGAGGTCGAGGTGGGTCTTACCAGGGTTAGGGTCTAACAGGTCTCAGTCCCTTCCAGATTCAACATCATCCGTTCCACACAACCAACCACCAACAACGACACCCTCTATTACCGCCATGTTCTAGTAGGAATATCCCTGCTTTGCGAGGTGTAACCCTCATCATGAGTTAGCACTGTCTTGTGCCTTGGCTGGAGTCTTTTCCTCTAGCAGCATGCCTCCTTGGTTAACATTCACTCAAGTGGCTATGGCGTTGACCACTGATTAAGCATGTACAAGATCAAGTGTATAACGGGCTTCTTTCACTCAAGAGGAGATGGGGCTCCCGCTTTCTTTCTCAGTAGTTTTCAAAGTCACACAATGGAACTGTTCAATCAAATGGCCTTGATTGATTGTACCGTGACACTGAAGCGGCGTTCGTGGCTACTGGACCTTGATTTTTAATACGACCTCAGGAGAACTCGGCATTCACTGTTTAGTAACGGAAGAATGAGCATTGAAGTACAAAATCGAATTGAACGACAGCATTTGAGTAGAACAGATTGATTATCTGGCATGATCCTGGGTTTCATATCGTCAGATTGCTGCTCGTGTTGGATGAAACGTTCCCATACGTGGACAAAACACACTCGTCCTACCGACGCTGTCTCCGTAAAAAGATGTCATGACTCCCGAGGTTCTGGTCAAGTTGTATTTATCTTGCTATCTTGAGCTTGTAAGTTGTAACCTCTTTTGAATTTTTATTCCTTAAAATGAGAAGATCATAGCCACCATACCACCATGGGTAGAGAAATATCTGAGAGGTCCGTATGAAAATGAGGCGGGTCAGGTATGGGGCAGCCATGCGAGTTTCGACAAGGTCGACAAGTCCTTTCTATTCACGGTCTTTCTATGAGCACATGGGGATTCTGGAGCAATGGTGGATTACAGAGATTTTTGACATACGAGGCGAATATGGGGTAGAGCTTGCACGTGGACAGCTGGCAAGGGATTCGCGTTTCAATGCCACTAGGTACAAGAAATTACTTCCAGGCCCGGGCAATGGTGGTTCTTTATTACTAAACTTGCGATTACGGATGTATCATCTCCTTAAACCGCTTCGGCCTGGACACTGACATTGTTTTCCTCCCTTTCAATCATGTTGTGCAGAGACTGTTGGATGGCCTGCTGCACAGTCGTTTGCTGCAGAGCAATTAGTCTCAAATAGGAGGAGGAAATCCCCATGTTTACTGAAAGTGCCTCACCTGAAACTTCTTTTTTCCACGTCTCTTGGTACCACTTTTCTTCTTGCAGACTTTCTGGCAGTTGCTAGTTTGGGGTGGATATTCAATCTGTGGTGCAATCTCTTCAGCACTGATTCGAAAATTATATCTGCTTGAAGCATATTCATTTTTCTTGGCCTGCTCGTCGTTGTTGAAACCCTTCCCTTGGTCTCAACCCAATCGTAGTGATGCGTACCGTTGATGGAGTGTGGATGGAAGGGCGGGAAGCGCCTTGTGGAATGAAAGTTTCTTGCGGACGCAGGAAGTTGCGTATCAAGCGATCAAGTTGCTGATCTGATGATGGGTAAACCTCAAGCCTCTCACCAGTGGGTCTGGTGAAGACAACAGCTGTTATGATGTGGGTATAAGCCTGTTGCAACGGTGTGGAAGAAGAGTGCGTAAGTACTCACGGGAGACCATTGTCAGTGCCTGCTTGGTACCAGTTTGGGCGTCGGCGCGGTTTCGTCGGTTTGGTCGCTGGATATCAGAAAAGGAAGACTGTGCAGGCTGTGCTGCAGGCAGCTGCTCAGGTGTTGCCTTCTCTTCGGGCATTGTTGTCGGCATGGTATGGGTGTTGTTGTCGAGGAAGGTGTGTTGATAATCAAGCGGACGCGTGTCATGAACGCGTAACACCAGGAAAAGGAGGTCCAGGTTGGTGCTGATAGCACGTTTCTCTGAAATACGGTGCACCTGCAGTTTGTGAAAGTAGTTGGCCTGCTCGAAGTGGGCAGGCACAAAATCGAGCTGCAGAAGGAGCCGAAAGATCCTTACAGCGCTCTTGTCATCACATCTCCTAGCCCTTACCACAGCTTTTGTGAATATGCTCACAATTATCCACAATGCCTTGGTACTCTGGTTCATGTGCGATTTGCTAATAGATTTGAGTGCACCCACCACTCCCTTACCAGGCAAGAAAGGCAAAAAGTAGATGGGGGTGCAAATAATGAAGCAACTTTGTCATTATATTGCTGGAGCGGATTATGAGTCTTTCTTTGGGGTTCTTACCAGGCTTTCAAGGGTCAACTGTCTGGCAGCAATATCTTGAGTTTGTCTAATGTTGTATATTCATGAGTACTCTGTAATATCCAAAAAGCATGCTTCCTCCACAATCTCCCGTATGTATAACCCTAGTGGAGGTGCCAAAAGCTTGCCACACAAGGCTCTATATACGCGTTAATCAGTATAAATCAATAAACAATAATGCCTTCTTGCAATCAGATTAGTCCCTCAAGTCCCCCTTTCCCGTTCAAGACATAGTTCTCTCGAATACTTCTTCCCAGTGATTTGGCTCCTGCGAGTTCTCTCCAGCCAGGGCACTCAAACTCATCCCACACCTCAGATCCATCGATTCCTTAATAGTAGCTCAAGCCAGTGCTGGAGCAGTAGATACTGCCAATCACGACTTCATTGGTCGAGAGGAAAGCTGCGGGAGAGGCTGCATAGAAAGGCAGGCCGCCGATCACGCTGGCTTCAGCATCTTTGTACGGGGTGCAGACGATAGTATCGATCGAGAGCTCAGCGTTGGAGAGACCCGTGAGGTACAGGGTCGAAACCTGGTTCAGCGCTGTAGAGTCGGTGAAGACCTCTCCGAGGAAGAGAGTCAGAGTAGTGTTCACATCGGTCTCGTAGCTGAACGCATTGATGTAGACATTGGGGATGGCGGCGGACGCGAGGCCACTCAGAGCGGCGGCGAGCAGGGAGAAGGTGGTTGTGGTCTGCATATTGGTAAATGGTTGAGATGGGAATCTTGAGATTCAAAAAAGTGCGTATAAATGGTTGCTTGGTGTGATGCGTAAGTAATCAATTGGGCTTGTTGGTCGCGTCTGGTGTTGATGTTTAGATAGAATGCTTTTACGTCGAAGGTGTCTCCCTCATTTTATATGTGTTTTCATTTCCCCTCTTGACATTGAGATACATGGTTCAAAATATACCTATGTGAGCGAATGTTGAAGTGTAATGCACTATAGCAACACAGCCTCACAAGGCTGAGCAGGTGAACGTTACAACTTGGATGACGCCAGGAGAGAGGCCAAAAAAATACGAAGAGGATTCGATTATACCAGTAATCCTTTCCAGCATCATTGCGCGAGTACGAACTGACGCCTGGCCTTTGGTCTCCCTTCCCCATAGTAGTGCACAGCAAAGATCCACAAGGTCGCTAGGTAATAACCACACCGCTGAGCGTTCCACCTTGAACAAGCCTTCAGCTCCTTGCCACGCGACGCATCGTCCCGATAGGCCACCGACAGCCCGGCAAGAGTCTACGACTCGCCCGATATTTGCGAATGTCAGCGCTTAGACCGCTAGGGCCACAAGTCCACCTTAGAAATTCAGGGTTGGCTATTTCCGCGTATCTTTAGACTGCAGATTGAGGAAAGCTACGAGTTCAGAGATCTCACGATATCAGGAGTGCCAAAACAAGTGGTCTCATTGGAGTGAACACAGTTTTGGAGTTCAAGAAATCAAAGCAATGGTATAATAGCAAATTAGAAAGCTATAAGGATACGAATAGAAAGTCCAGGATTTTGCTGACAGTGACTATTCTATGTACTAGTGAGTGATGTTATCATTGCACAGCCTCTGTAGATCTGCAGGCACCTGGACACTTACCAAGGCCGAAACAAGGACAAAATTCATAAGTAGTAACGTTAACATTGGGGTTGCTGAAGAGCTTTTAGTCTGTGAAACTTCACCAAGGGGAAACGCAGGGCGCTGTGAAGCAGGCCCTTTTGTCAGCTGTGTGAGCTTCCTGGGTGGCGTGCGTTGGTTCCTTTGATCCAGGTCAGCCACGACCGGACCACCCCTGTGGCTTTTGTTCAGTGAGATCGTCATCGCCCTACATCAGCTTCTTGAGGATGACTTTTCGGTAGGCTGCGGAAGAGTCCAGCTTGGGAAAAACTGCCATTTTGACTGTGGATATATATGTGTCTAAGGCAACAAAGGTTTCGGATAGAAACTGAAGAGCACACAAATACGTGGGTATTAATTTATTAAATTAAAAATGTACGCAAATGAATATTTTGGTGTAATCATTTCGTAGCATATAGTACTGCCCGGGCACACTCCATTCTCAATGCCTCTTTATGGCCATAAATCCCACAAAATCCTTTGATGTATCTTTGGGCTGAGAATTCTCTGTTTAGATGAACTCATCAGCATGATTGATTCCTGTCCACGGCACAGCTAGTCTCATGTGAAGCTTTTGAGTCCCCTCCTGAAGTAGCTTGGGACTGCCGAGATATATTCAATCACTCATCCCCCACGAAGAGTTCATGTTACAATGCCTCTGCTTATTTCTTCCTTTCTCTTTGATCATGAGTGGATTTTATTGAATCCCAGCTCTTTTTTAACTCTCCCTGGCTTGGCAGACTATGTTGATGTTCACCCTGCAGAAGAATGCGCAGGGGTCTCTTGTTGCCTGTTTGAGGCATTACCACAGCCCCGGCAAATGGAGTAAGACCTTATCTTTATGAAATCCATTCTTGCAGCTTTTGATGGGTCCGACAGATATATGATGACAACTTATGCTTGGTCTTCATACTGGTATTGTACAATCGAACCAATACTGCATGTACATCTGCAGGCCCAATCATTCCTCGGTATAGACCCACAATGCAAGGGGTTATAATGTAAATTTTCCATGCTTAGTTCAAGTTGGAAAGGGGATTATAGCTAAGCGGTTATAGCGTGGGATTGCAGATCCCAAGGTCCTTGGTTCGAGTCCGAGTAGTCCCTCTTTTTGCTAATTTCTTGCATTCTCATCTACTTTCAAGCAAGGCAATTTGTTTTGTCTCGTCATGCAGATGCAAAGGTTGAGGGGTTACGTACGTTGGGTTGTGGATGGGTTCATGGGTATCGATGTGCTCGTCGTGGAGGCCGCCGCTTTACGTAAGCATGTGCTAAAACTTGACCTCCTAAGTTCTGTTTGTCTTGCTTGCGATTGCAGCCCCCATTGGGCACTGAAGTGAGAATTGATCATAATTAATGGCTAGCATGGATCACAGATTTCAAAGGGCCGCCATCAGCCTGCATCTTTTTGAAATACTGGTTTGTTGCAATTCTTGGCTTTTGGCGCGTTTGTCAGCGTTCACTCACGATCGCGGGCTCACCAATGGCACCTGGGGGTTTGTAGTTCGACATCGTGAGTGCTGGGGCAGCAAGCAGTCCTAACCCATCCTATTACCATTCCACACATTTATAACAAGCCCAAGGCCCACTATGTGTACCGGTATTAGGTGTCTGTGGTCCCATTCAGGGCTGTTGTGCGGGTGACCGGCGATCCAGTCTCTTTCCAAAGTGAGATATTGCAGCAGCCCTGGAGAGTACAGACTGGCTCATCGAGCCGATAATCAATGAGATATGAATTCTTCCGACGAGGATGGAAGCTGACGGTTCCTCTTGTGGGCATTAAGGCATTAGCCAAAGGTAGACAGCACCATCCATTCAATGTGAGCTTAGGAATCGACGTGGGGGTTGGTTTGCAGTATTTGCCATCATAGAAATAAGACTAATTAGGTCGTCTCCTCTGGGCCTTCCAAGATTCTTGATGCACCCATCACCGTGTCTTGATGGATCCTGAGGTCCCGCTACAGAATGGGCCTGGCCGTTCAAAGCTCCAGAGGCCCGAGCACCTCTTGCAATTTCTCCATCTCGGCATCTCCGTCAGAGGGGATGGAGATCTTTCCGAGCGGCCACGTTTGGTCAAAGCCTGGCTGCCAGTCATACCCTGTCCAGATCTGCATCCTGAGCTCCTTATCATCGTCAATGCCGAAGATATACAAAAAGTCTTAGGCTCCCTGTTAGTAATGAATGGACAAGAGGGCACCGTGCATAAAGGCTGGATTTTGGACTCACTCGCTTCCTGCTTGGCGAGCAGACCTGGCTCGGATTCGAAGGGACCGGCCAGTTCATACCAATCCTTCCCATCTGGGTTCCACTTCGTGCCATCAAAGCTCTTGAGCTGGAACTTGGAAGTGCTGAGATCCTTGCCGACAATGTCAATCCTCGACGCGTTCCAGTGCACAACCTTAGGCGTGCCAGTGAACTCGCCGCCCAGCTGCTCCCAATCTGACCACTGGCTTCCGTCCCAGTATAGGTGGTTCAGCTCCCCTTTCGAATCAATCGCCCAAAAGTCCAGGCGTTCTGGACCCCATGATGTAGCCAAGGGGTTTCCAACAAACGGGCCACCGCCTAGGATGTCCCACTGCGACCAGCCGTTGTTGTAGTACTTGTGTTGGAGTTGGCCGGTGTACCCAAAGAGCCCGATAATGTCCAGCCTACCTGGTCCCCAGGAGACAACAGCGGGATCACTGGAGAAGTATCCCCCCAAATCTTCCCAACCCTCACTTGGAAACCATGCATCGCCGGTCCAGGCTTTGTGTACATAAGACCCTTCGCCGGTCCTCCCAAAGATATCGAATGTGTCTGCAGCCGATGATAAGGAGGCAATACCGACGGCGCCCTGGCTCTCAAGGTCTTGAAATTGCCATTTGCCATCAGCAAAATCTGTTCACGGAATGCGAGGTCAGAGGGGACTGTTCTTGTTTCGTCCTAACGACGGAATGAGAGAACGAATGACTATGCTTACACGTGTGAGATACACCGCCCGTCTCCTCATCCACGTAAAATACGTCGAGACGTCCTACACCCCAGCTTGTAGCGGTCAGGCAGTTGTCGGGGCTGGCTGTTGATGAGATGTACTCGAAGGCCCCAGACGGCTGCCAGTCCCAGCCGGTGTAGAACTTGTGCCAGATGGTTGACCCTGTTGTAACGCCAAAGAGGTCAACGCGCGGGTCACCCCACGAGATGGCCGAGATGCAGTCCCTCCCCGCCGCCGCTGCGCTTGCCTTCAGATAGTCAGTGCCTTTCATGCGAAACACGTTCTGGAAGTAGAATAGGGTCATACCATGAGGGCTAGTGCCAGAGAAATATGTGTCATGAGGCTCATTGCGAATCAATTATTTTCTGTCTTTGCGACCAGAGGTAGAGAATCAGACCGAGTAATGATAACGAGGAGAGGGGCATGAAATGCTTATCATTGGATTCTCCAACATGGGCGCTGTATGCTGTTGACGATGCAAGTGAACCGAGACATTCGGTGATCGCGGAGTAAGCCATCCGCAAGCCACATCATCTCCTCGTGTCCGTGAATCACAGCCGCTAGAGGAGGCTGCAGAATGTTCGTGGATTCTCCGACGCGCAGGGCCGAATCTGACGTCATGTTGATGATTTACCAATTACAAGCATTTGCGCGGAACTTATAGTCGAGGATCATCGTGGAATCCACCTAGTCCTGAGCGCTCAATTGCCCTGCTTCACCGCCCAGCTGAGCCACGTGGTGCGGTCGAACACAATTGGAATGGCAGCAACATTCTTAGATGAGAATATGTGGCAGGACACACGGATGTTGCCAGCTTTCAGCCCCGTGTTTCGCTATTGTCTAGCGTGCTCGTTGTGCTACTCGATGTCTGCTCGTACTCCTCAGCCCAAGTTACGAATGACGAGGTGGCGGTGACTATCTCGTCTTATATTCAACATCATTGCTGGCAGATATGATATAATACAGCGAACTATTACTTTATCAAAAGAGACTGTGGTGCTCTGGCTGGTTACGAGCGCGTGTTATATTCGCCGTGGCGCATCATTTCGGGTCAGCTCTGTCAACCCAGCTTTTGCACAAGGAAGCTCCTTCCGCTGAAGATTCGTATCCTCACCTGGGCATTTTCGAAGTCGAGAAGTTGCGTCGTTGTGGCACTCAGAAAACTAGACAATTTGACGCCTCTTCAAGGCTTGTGAACATCAGGATACCTGGTATGTAGCAGCGTCTGGGCTCTTTCATTTTGGTATTGTTACACAGGTCACTCACCTCAAGTGGCACTGTGGGCTGATTATCTGTAAGTGGTCTACGAGACTTGGGGGACGGCACACATGTTCAAAAGAAGAGGAGGTGAAGGGGGAAACATTGAACAATCTATTCGCTCCGGTTCTGAGAAAGCTCTATACAGAGGGCCAACCCAGATTTCTCGCAGCTCAAAGCATTTACATGCTCTTGAAATTTGACTTGAGCAGCAATTTAGGATGCACAGTACTATTCATGGATGTTCACATCATGAGCGAGCTAAAGACTGTAGCTACGACAGTTGAGTCGTGGTAAAAAGTCGATATTCATGTTTGTCCTGTGAGAAACATGAATTGGAAGTGCCACCAATTACAAAGGGCGATGTTTCATTCAAAGCTGAAGATGAGATTGTCTAGCAGTGAGGATCTTCATCATATTTTCAGCTGCCAATACACGCCTTCTGTAGAAACGGTTCAAGTCACCGTGACAGAGAGATTTCATGAAAGGTCATTCCTGTACTACTATAAGAAGAGAAAGGAAAAAAGGCCAATTGATTATTGCGCATCAGTTCTTCTTACTGAGACAGTGGACCTCACCTGCTGGTTCTGTTCTGAGAACCTTGGAATGGGCATGGGTCAGGATCGCTGAGTTACCGTGCCAAAAATGGTGACTGTAAGGGGAAGGTGGCGATGCCATTTGTATATGGGTAAAGATTGAGTGAACGCTACTCTATTTACTACCTCAGGGTGGATGGGTCGCATACACGTACGAGGCCCAGACCGCGTTTGGCTATATAGGTGTGGTCAAAATATGTGCTTGTGCCTGAGGGCGTTTGGCCGAGTGGTACAGATTGCTTTCATACTTCTGTTTAGTATTTCGGAACCACGGAGCCAAACAAACTCAAGAGGCTCAGTGTTCGATTCTCATGGCACGAGAATCGTTGGTTACGTTCTGGGGGATCACTTTTTTTTTTTCTGGTCTTGTTTTCTCTTTTGGTCTACATCTGAGAGCTCTCTGATTTCCCTGACACGCATATCGTACTTCCAAAGGAATTGAGAGGGTGCAAAATCATGTTTCATTCTCTTCTTTTCTCTTTGTCCCTCTTTGCTCTTCTCTCTTGTCAGATCTCTTATGCCTGATGAATTTGGCCGCGCCGCCAGGGAGGGAAAACACACAGGCTGCAGCGTAATTATCTTTTGGGAGGCGCGTGTCATAGCAGTTCGGCACGTGCCAACATTTGCTAGTTATCACGAGGACATTGAGATAGTTTATATGAAAATCTTTGACAGTCCTCAGACTTTGGTGTTTCGAATTCGTTGGCTGCAGGTGATGACTGGCTACCTTCGATATACACACGTCAACGATACACACCCCACACAGCCACATTTCACAATCCTCCGTGTTCAACAACTTCTCAATGACTGTCCTACTTAGACGTCTTCCGATCCGACCCCTACTCTCTGCCCACCATTCAGCCGTGCACCCATATAAGCTGGCTCATCAATTCTGATCGCGGCTCGACTGTTCGGCGCTAGGAACGGTCAAACTCTCGGGACTACCTCCTCAACAAAAGGAAAGCGTTCTTGCGGCTGGTGCCATATTGGCATGCAAAGAGTGATCGAAACGTGAAGATGACTGCCGTATGGAATGCAGTCGAGTGACGATGGCTGGCCTAAGCCCTTTTCCTCTTCTTCGGCCGCTCCGGTAGATCGCCCTCTTCTCCTTTTTGCAGAGGCCCGTGATAGCGGGTACGCTTCCTATTGTGGCGGTCGTGGTCTGAGAGATCATCGGGGGATTCGTCGGCATCAGCCTTGCGCTTCTTGGACGACCGCGGCATAAACTCGGTCCCATCAATAGCATCCCGTTGTGCCGCGACAGAAGCAGCTCCACCATTCTAAGATGCGTCTCTGAGCTTCTTGTTCATCATCTTTCGACTGTTTCTGCTCATTTCACTAGGCACATCTTGGTCGGTGGGGCGATGACTGGGGTCTTCCTCGTCCTCGAACTCCTCGATCATGCCAGGGTCCGTCTCGTCTAGCCATTGGACTATCCTTCTGGTACTCTCGTAGACGCCGGAGTTTCCCTTGGGCTCTCGGGTATAATTGCGGAGAGCAGAGGCCAGCATCAGGACGAGGTGACGGGCAACGTACATGCCAAGGTCCTGACCCAGACCCGTCTTCGCAACGGCGTTCCAGAAGCGAAAGCGGCGGGCAGCCAGAGGGATCTGGCGCTTCTCGGGGACTTCGGTCCCTTCGGTCAGCTTGGACCGAACTGTAAAAAGAGTTAGATTGTATACGGAATAGAAGCGCCGTCATGAGCAGAGGAGACAAACCGTCTTTATGGAAGACACTGTCCAAGAAGACACACAGAGTCCTCGCGCACTTCGCCTTGCCCAGAAGGACCACGGCAGTATTGTGACGCTTGCCGATGGCGTGCAGAAACGTCTCGGCATCCTCGTCATTGTCGAAACACTGAGCCGGCAGGCTCAGGTTCAAGGTGGGAATGACTCCTCTGGCCACCACCTGAGGGTTCGCAATGTGGTATCTAGTGAACTCCGTGCGTCCACTCTGGCGGTCTTCGTCCTCGTTTGTGGGAAGTGGGTCGTCAAACCACTTCCACTCTTCGCCGTGGATGTCGTGCTCGTACAGGTCCATGTCGAGCGGTAGGTCTTGTACAAGGGCATAGTAGCCTCTACGACCACCCCTGTACGTGTGCTGCTTGTCTGTTAGTCAACACGACCAGCTTGTTGTTTCATTTGGGTGACCAATGCCCAGATGCAACGTTATGTCAAGACTCCACGAAACACGGTTAAGGGCTCCAAATGTTTCGAGAGTAAGGGATTGGCCAGTATGGTGCATTAATGTTTACGCACCTCGGTCTTCTTTAGAATCTTTCGCTCGGTTTCGGCAGGACCGCTCATCATCGTCTTTGCCGCCTCCATTTTGGTCGGATTGCGGTTCGATGTCTGTTCAAGGTTGATGGTCCGTTAGCTGTTGCTACTCTGTGGATGTGGCAGCTCTAAGGGGCCCGTCGACGAGAGGATCGAAGCTGGGAAAATGATGAAAATGATGACGGGAATAGGGAAGACTGTGATCACGCATTCTATGTCAGTGATGCGTAGACAAACACAGACACCAATCTCGCGTGCACGCTGACGCGTTGCCACACTTCCTGGTGCGAGGGTAGGCGGAACGAGGTGCAGGCCTTACATTCGAGGTGCGTGGTCATGGGAAGGCAACACGAGAAGGAAGCTCGAAGGAGATGGGAACTGGCAGGAGATAGAGTGCTTGAGCGTTTGCAGGACAAGTTATGAGAAAAGTCAATACTGCGTACCTGCTACTGGAGGTTCACTTGATATGTTGTTGACAAAACCTTTCTGCCCAGTGTCAAATTTGTCATTGAGAGATCACGATCTAGGTTATCTATGATACGTGGATCGAGCGCGTTCTCGAGATCAGATGATGTTGAAAAGTGAGGTCTCTGGCTTTGGTATTTTGATCGTCTGTCATTCTTCCGAACCTTTCGGCTGCAGGAAGATCATTTGCTGCATCTCTTGAACTATGACATAGTATCGACCAGCCTGAGGTTTAGGCAAGCTGGTAAGTTATAGTCCATGTTCTTGTCTGCGTTTATACTTCTATTATTTTGAGTACCATTTGTGAATACCTTCACTTACGCTTTATGATATCTTTGGCATGCTGACGCACTGAAGTGAAAATATCATAGACGCCAGATCAAGGGCAGCACACCATCCTCCTAGGCACCATGCACTTCAATTACTTGTATCATCTTGTAATTTACTATGATCATGGTGCCTTTGATATCAGCTTTCCAGATGAACAATCTTGGATGTCAGTTATATTGTAATTACTCATTGGATCACAGCCATGAAAAAAATATCAAACATGAACGTTGTTAAGATCTGAATGCGTGAAGACCCGAAGGTTCTGACCATTTCAATGTCACCTGTCTATGAACAAAGTTGCTGTTTGAAGGCATCATCTCGAGTTGGCATTATAACTGGGATGTCGTGAGTCCAACTCATGTGACAAGATGATAAATTGATGAAATGAAGAGAGTTAAGATATTATGTGCTTGGTGTGTGGATAACACTCTGAGTGAGTGTAATATGATAAGAGCCACAGAACCCGGGCTTGAACGATCTATCCCGCCAAGGACACGAGAAACTTATCGTTCTGCGGTGTTGTAAATGTTTTTGCTGTTCAAATGCAAGCTCGAGAATGTTTCCATAACATCACCACCCCCAACTTCGAGCCTCAAAATTGCATGGGCTCTGGCAACCCAATTATGCTGATCGATTGATATCCTATCCGACCTGTCTAGGGAACAGCGAGACAGATGGAAAGAGGCTTCAGGGCACCCTCTAGGAATGAGAACATAGAGAATGAGTGGCAGCAGCGACAGAACAGAACCTCCTTCAGAAGCGGTGAACGAATGAATAACAGAATCATTGTGAGAGCGAGGACCATAATTATCACATGGACTAACGACTGTTCACTCCTCCTCACTGTTGTGCTGGTGAAGAGGCTCTTCACCGTTTGCCTGGTAAAGACAGGGTTTGTGAATGAGGCTATTCGCAATCTAACATTGTTGCCACAAGCAGCAGCAGCAGCAGAAACAACAGCTAATGACTGAATGAGAACAATCCTGTCCGAGAGACAGACCCACTACACTGGTCGCAACAGACGGGGTGGATTGAGAAATCCTAGAATACCTAAAGCCTTCGCCTTGCGCAAGTCTACCAGTCAGTCTTCGCGGTTTAAGACACGAGGCAGGGACCAGGGGACATGTCTGTACAACTCTTGGAAAACTCTCGAGTCTATTGGAAACGTGACCCATGCAATACCCAGGGATCAAAAGGTGAGACTTTGCCTGCAGATACGAAAGTGCTTCTGGTGAATTCCTCCCCACATAATCATGACTACAGGCACGAATGTTGTCTGTCTCGCGCTTGCGCCAATAATGAGATGTCCTGGACAGTGAGCACGGCATGCCATAGTAGCTCTATCCGCGACACCGGCGCGGGACGCCACCGTTCCGAACTCGCCCACTCGCCCGGGGGTTTTGCTCGGCGGTAGTTAAGCCTTTGGAAGCTTTTCCGAGGGCTAATTGGTGCCGCGGCCCTGCCCAGACCCTGAATATGTGTGGCAAGATGAACGATTGCTAGAGCTGAGGTTCGAAGATCGAGAGAGGCCATGCAGTAGCGGTCGATCGACCATACACACACACACGCGTGTCCCAGTGCATGGCATCAACTTCCTCGTGGTATCACTTTTTGCACGTGGCCCGACCAGCTACGGCGCCTGCTCGCGGCCGGCAGAGGTCGTGCGATCGAGTCATCGAGAAGGTGCAGCCGGCGCATAGAGTTCTGAATGATTCGTCGTCATCGGCTTGTGTAAATAGAGATTATCTCGGTGCAATCTACATGTACCCACTTGTCATCCCCAGATGGCCCCGCCGATGGCACTGTTGAGACGACTGCCGCTCCTGAGAACAGTCAAAGCGCCCGCCACGAATTCCAGCATGCGTTCGGCTTGCTGCTGGCGGACTTGGGCGCGGTGATTGCCTGGCAGACAATAATGCATGGCAGGGCAGGAGAATGAGGACGCTGCGGGGACCAGCAGATGAGGAGCGGCAGGGACAAGGCGGCTGCCTGTGTCATGCTATTGCGGCCAGCCCCTTTAATTGGCAGAGCTGGTCCTTATTGCGGATATCCGGCTGCTTCTGCCCACATGGGAAAGACGAACTGAATGTCTACAGCCGAAATGGCATTTGGCGCAGTGCGCATGCATGGCACGGTAGCTGGCCGTGGGTAGTCACCCCGCCCGCTGCCTGACAGACGACGGACGACAAAAGAGGAGAGGAAATTCGACGACCCCATCGCCAGGCGACGTCCGTTAAGCGCCCAGCGCCGGTGAGCCAGGAGAAATAATGCCCGAGGTGAGGTGGGGGCTGCTTGTCAAGGGCCGCCATCGCGAATCGATATCGATAAATGTGACAAGCAGGCCAAGGGGAGGCAGGGGCCACAGGGAGGCAGGGGTGCTGGGCGTCTGATTGGTGAAGAGGGATCGGGTGAAACATCTGGATAGATCCTCCAGCAAAGCTTGGCGCTCTCGTCACTCGCAATGGCGCCTTCCCCCCTTCCTCATAACCCCTGATCCAAGCTAGGACAGGTCGGGTAAGGCGTGGTACGGAGCATATGTCGTCCCTGCCCTGTACGTTGGCCCCTTGCAATTTAAACATCCCTTGGAGGCCACGCAAGACATCGCCGTCCCTGTGCTGGAGCTTGCCGCTGCCGTTGCTGCCGTGCTGCCGTTCCTTTTTTTTTTTTTTTTTTTTGCCGCTGGGGCCACTCGTTCGCTTATTGTGCAGAGGTGCCATCTGGATAGCCTGCGCCGCGCCGCACTCGAGGGGGATCCTCGCTGGCCTCGCTGGTCGCCACCGCCAGTTCGTGGCAGGATGCACCAACAGGTCAATTGAATCCATGACATGGGTGCTTTCTGCTCCGGGGCGCGGCAGTTTGAAAGAGTCAGATAGATTCCTGCGAGATGCTACAGGTGAGCTAAGCACCGTCACACCACCCGTTCGCTTCTTTTCCAAGACAAGCCACGTGTGTGACCTTTTGTCATTGGTGCCACAAACTTGGGAGGGGCAGGGCAGGGCCAGAGCAAACCAGCAGGTGAGGTTGGAGACTACAAGGCCATCGTCGCATCATACTATGGTACGTCTCGCCCAAAGAGGTCGTGCAAAGGCCTGGGACAACCCCCCGCCCCCTCGCCCTCCCCATTCTATTCTCTGTTCGCTGCTGGATGTTAAGAGGCCCGGCCCGAGGAGAAAGAATTGAATCATCCACTGCTGATCATGACTATATGCGCAGTAACCTTGATGATGAAGGATAATCCAAATTTCTCGTGTCGTCGACTCCGCATTATATTGGATATCTATCTATGCCTTGGGCCGTGGTGCCGGACCCGATCAATGCCCCGCTCTCAGTGTCCATCCCTTTGCCCACCTGCCGTGGGTCGCAAGTCCTCGATCACCACAGGAGATGCCGTTTAGTGTGGCGACATGAGGCAGCAGGCAAACAAGCAAGCAAGCAGGCGAGCAGAACAGGATGGCCAGGTGAGCCTTTTGGGCCGGTTCCTCCCTGGTGTGCTCTGTCAGGTCCCGAAGAAGTAATGTAAAAACGCGCCAGGAACATATATACTACATATACTATATCTGCTGCCGCAACAGGTAAGCACAGCTGCAGAGGGGGGGCCTTGCAGGAGAGACGATGTCTGTCGCTCCGTCGTTCTCGAATTCTTTTTTTTTCTGACCTTTGTCTCTAGTTTGTCCCTGTGTGTATACCCCGTGCTGGGGGAATACAATGCAGGTACAGCATCGGCTGCAAGGCCCCTGGGCCTCAGACCCACTACATGGTGTGGCCTGGCTTGCTTTACCTGCAGATCATCCGATGAGGATCCCGCCGCACTCTGGCAGTTGGGAGTTAAGAATTAAAGAGGCGGGAGGGAGGCTCAGTCTTTTTTCTAGGCTCATACAACCAATCAGGGTGTGACAACCCCTGCTGCCATTATGTTTCCTGTCTCACCAGGGAACCCTGTCATGACTCCCCTCTTCTTTTCTCTTTTCTCCCTCCTTCTTACTTCTTTCTTTGCCTCCCCTCCCACCCTCCCACACGAAAACACCCTTGGCCCCCCTCTCACCCCGGAGTACGATTGATAAACGTTCCCCGGAGACGTCTCGGGGGGCCGCACGGAAGACCTTCTATGCCTTTAATTTATCTCATGTACAACCAACTTACTGGGCACAGATAATCTGAGTGACGGACGTATTGGACAAAGTAGGGGGGTTGTGGGTACATTGTGTAGGGAGTGATCTCCCTCATCTGCTGGCGATTCTCACCTTGGCCGGTGGTACAGTGTTATGAGTGGGTGTACTGGGTGTAATGAGTGTGCTATGTGGTACTCGTCTTGGGCCCCCGCAAGAGGGCTCCATCGTGAGTGGTGATTGGGAAATGGGTAGGTGAAGATCCTCTCAGATCCGACGTTCGTCCAGTCTCCTTTTTTTGTGTGTTCTCTTTTATGCGTTTTCCACCTGTATGTAGTATCCCCACTTCCAGAAATGGAATACCCCTCCTCCCCCTGGGCCCCTGTCTCTCTCACACCCGCTCTTCTCTCTGAAGTCCTCTTCGTCTCTGCCTCCCTGGATCCGCCCTTGTATTCTTATTGGTATGTGGTGTCTGAATGTAAGTGCTAGGGAGCGTTCCGCAGGCCCACGACAGGGCCCCCTTACTCCTTCGTCCTCCTCTCTCACGTCTTTCCTTCCCTCTTGGGTTATTCTTATCGTCAGGCCTTGTCTAGGCAATTCCATACTTACACTTTACTCTCTCGCTCGTTTTCTTCTCTCTTCTCTTCTATCCCTTCTCTCCCTTTCTACCTCACCTCCTCCGTACATTCGTTGACCAGTCACCACCACCACCTGAACCGACCCCCTTACCTTCATTTCTGACTTGTGTGTGCGTGTGTGTGTGTATCTGTGTGTCTGTGTGTGGCCTTGTGCGAGATATTGTTCTCTTCTCTTCAGACCAACCAAACGGCTGTGAACCCGTGCAACGTTCGGCTTCTCTTCAGCCCACCCGAGCAGCAACGGTCCAGAACAGAACCACCACCGAATTATCCCACGTTCCTTCTCTTGATTTTTCTTCTTCCTTCTTTCTCTCCATTCCCTTCTCCGCGGGACGATACAAATTTTTGCCCTCCGTTGGCCATCCTGAACCGTTCTTTCTCTACCGTGTTGATCGCACCACTCCTTTTTGTGTTTTATCTTAAGGACGAGAGGAATATATTTCAGATCAACAAGTGAATACTACTCCTTGGATCGATTGTCCATTCAAGTCACAACTAGTCAAGTTAGTCAGGCAGCCACTCAACCAGTCATCAGCATTGCGCCAGCGATACCGACCACCTTCGACCCAAGGGATCACCAACCGCTCTCTCGCACCTTTGGATTGAGGCAGGACAGAACCATAAAAGCACGGTGATAAAAGGATACTGGAGGACACTCAAGTCTGGGACTATTTTGCGTGTGTCAAGAGAAATCCGAAGATATCAGAACAGCACGGTGTGGTCATTTTTGGGAAGTCACGAAAAAGTCAGCCTCAACCCAACTTTCCCGCGAGCCAGGAAGGAACCAGCCTCACCCGCATCACTTGACCCGCAAAACCATCCCCACGCATTCCTGACTGAGGCCACACAGCAAGACTGTTGCCTCGTCATCTTTCAACACCATTCTCATCTCCTGGAAAGAATTGGTCTGACAAGTTGGACATTAAACAGCCTCCATCTCGAAGGGGACCGTTTAGAACGCCCAACCACTTTTGACGCCCTCCTTCACAGCGGACTGTCACCGCCGTCATCGAGGTCAGTACCTGACTTGCTCCTGCCACCCCCCTCTTTGGCTTTTCTTTTTCTTTGCTTTTCCTTCCACCAGGATTGATTTATATGTGTATGTGGGATTCTTTGAGGGTTGTAAAATTTGGCAATTGGAGGCTCAGGTATGGATGGCGTGCTACAATGAAGAAGGGGAAGGAGGGGCTTACAGCATTGTTGGTGAGGATGACTGGTCGGAAGCACTGGAGTCAAAAGAGAGTATGGGAGACGAGAGCATGACCTGGAAAGTTCCAGCTTGCTCCCACCAGCAGCTTGACCTACACTGCACTGGCATCACTTTTGTTCAGAGACATTCTTGACTGTTGTGTTGTCAATGCCAGGGGGGCTCCACCTTCTCTCTGATTCTGGCCATAACCATCATCACCACCTTTCCCCTTCGAATCACGCTTCACATTCACAGCACCAACGACGCCACCTTGCAAGATCACAGCTGTCGTTATTCCTCCCCACCTCTCTCCTCTCATCACCTCCTCTGCTTCACGTTTATTGCCACTGCCTTCAACCCCACGTCGAATCCAACCCTGTTCTGACAACGCCTGCAGGCATCTTTCCAAGATAAACCCGAGTAGCAGCTTCTCCCTCGCATCGAAACTGCCTTTCAGGTTTGTTGACTCTTTCTCTGCTACCCTTCTTTTTTTTTCCCCCCTTCCTCATCCCCACCATTATTATCCACAACATCATTATTCCAGCATAGTGATTTGGGAGCCTGGTGCTGCACTGTTATTATTACCTGACGCGCTCTGGTCAGCGCGAAACTGGCTTCGTGTCCAGCGACTCCCCCCACCATCACCTTCCCTCTTCCCCCAGAAACCACAAATCTGACGCGAGACAGTCACGATGCGCTTCGCCAAGCCCGTCGCCGCTTCCCTGGCCCTGCTGGCCGCCCCTGCCTCCGCCTTCTGGCGCATGGAGTGTCGTGGTGTGCTCGGTCAGGCCCGCCTTGACCCTCTGATGGACTATGGCACCGTTGGTCAGCACGTCCACGAGATCTTCGGCGGCCAAGGTAAGTTTCCCCCCTCCCTCCTTGACCTCCCCCATACCGGGCACCGACTGAGCCTTTCCCCCCCCTTACAGCTTTCAGCGAGGTCGCCGACTACGACTCTCTGGTTGCTTCCAACTGCACCTCGTGTGCCGTCACTGCCGACAAGTCTGGCTACTGGACCCCCAACCCCTACTTCCAGGACAACACCACTGGAGAGTTCGAGGCCGTCGCTAATGTCGGCGGCATGCTCCCGTAAGTCGAATCCTTCCCAGAGTTTCTTGTCTCGCTGTCCCTCCTTGCGTCGGCTGTGCGGAAAGCCTGTCGTGAATGGACGCCATCACCCATGATTCCGCCTGCCGTTGTGCAGAAACGCTCAGAGCCGTCCTTCATCCTACCCCTTCACGCGTGACATGAGCATGGACTGTTGCTGACAACCTGCTGTAGCTACTACTTCCTGAACGCGGCCCCCTCTGGCAACCAGACCATTTCAGCTTTCCCTCCCGGTTTCCGCATGATTGCTGGCGACAACACCCGCCGCAACTACACTGTCGGAAACTCCAGCTACGAGGAGCCTGACCCTCCCAAGTCCGACTGGGCTCTTTTGGGCCAGACCACCCAGACAGACCTCGCCCAGCGCGCCATTGGTTTCAATTGCCTCGATTACAGCAAGACCGCCGAGGGCTCCCTTTACCGTCATTTCATGCCCTCCAAGGACTATATCGACGCCTATTGCCCCGATGGCCTTCGTTTCGAGCTCATGTTCCCCTCGTGCTGGGATGGCGTCAACCTGGACTCCAGCGACCATAAGAGCCATGTCGCCTACCCCGACCTGGTCATCACTGGTGACTGCCCCGACACCCACCCCGTCCGTCTGCCGGGTCTCTTCTACGAGACCATCTGGGATATGGCGGCCTATGGAGACCGCGATGGCATCTTTGTCATCTCGAACGGCGACCCTACCGGTGAGTACTTCCCAACTGCGTCATTGTGGGGGGTCAACCTGATCCGATACTAATCAGACACCAGGCTTTGGATACCACGGTGACTTCATCATGGGCTGGGACCAGACCAACTTCACCCTGCAGGACGCCGTCGACACCTGCACCAACCTGGATGGCGAGATCGAGTCCTGTCCTTTGTTCAGCATCATTTCTGAGGCGGAGCAGGGGGAGTGCACCTTGGACCTGCCCTCTGTGCTCGTCGAGGAAGATGTGAGCGGACCAGTGACCAGCCTTCCCGGCGACGTCGCCATCTACTGGGGTCCAGCTCCCGCCGGCGAGGCCACTTCCGACTCTGGAACCACCACGTCTGTCTCCATGCCGACCCTGTCCTACTCGGCTGGCTCGACCGCTTCAGTCAACGGCAGCGTCGTGCCTGGCAATATCTTCAAGATCACGCCTACCGCCACGGCCACGGAGGCGGCCATCACCCCCGCTGCTACGGTCACCGCGACCGCCGATGACAGCATGGTGACCATGGGCACTACCACCTACACCTACACTGGTGACTCGGGTGATGTGACCATCTCCGTGGTCGTCTTCGAGGAGGCGATCACCTGGACCACGGAGATGACGACGACGACCGTCACGGTCGAGCCTACGGCTGCGGCTCGACTCCGTCGTGACGCCCACGTCCACCAGCACCGTCACCTGCACGGCCACAAGCACTGAGTGCTTTCATCTCCCGGTCAAACTTTCGACCACACTGCGATCTTACTGCATCCTGCATAAGTAGAGCTGCTGGTTTGGAATTACCGTGTACAAATCTGCCGTTGAGATGGGCCCCAATTTTTCACTTCTTTTTTTCTTTCTGTTTGGGTTTTTCTTTTCGACATTCGACTCTTTCTCTTGTGCCATTGATGCAGCTCTTGGCCAGTTAGGCTAGGTGGGCTCGGGGGCATACTGCTAGGAATCGATAGCAAATTTTTGTTGTGTAGGGCAGGACATACCAAAGCAAAGAAAAAAAGCTTCTTTACACCAAATAAGGGCCGGGTGCAGTCAGTCCTGTCGGGGAGTAGTATTGATTGCGAAACCATTCTGGCAGGATGAACGATGACTGCAAATCAAGAGGACAAAAGGAGTCTGGATCTTCTTCCCACGGCGTTCTGCGAGGAAGAGCATCAGCATGGAGATGGTCCTTCCCACATGGTCGGGTAGTATTCGCACGGGCTCACGAGATACCTCTTGATACCTTTGATTCATCTGAATCAAATACATCTGCATTTCAAAAACTTTTGAGTTGTTCTTCTCTTCCCTTTCTGTGACCAGTGCATTTATTGGGCGGTTTTCGAATGACAGCCAGGATACGGCAGGTTTATAAGTGGCGGGCCACCCTGAGGTCCTCCCCTACTGGTCTACTTCAGAGCAACGAGGAAGAGAAACACGCTCGAGGAGTAACAAACAAACGCGGCCTGGCCACCTGGCCAACAACAAGCCAAGTGGCGACTGCGAGTGTGGGCTCTGGAAAATTGATGTGTGGAGGCGGGTGTCTCGGAGCCAGGAACGTAGTCACCACCAGCAACAGCATTCCAGTCCCCGGGGAGAGTAGCAGAACATGGATTAGGACAAATACCACAGGGAAATTGCACGCGTGCGCATGCTCTCACACATACACGACCTCTCACTCTCTTCTCCCTTCTTTGGACAATCCGTGTTTTTCTTGTCCTAATCCAAGACTTTCGTGTCTCGAGGGGCATCCGACAAATGGCGACTTGATACTCCAAGTATACAGACAGTATTTGCACTTTTGACATATATCTTGACAGAATTCTTGTTGAGCTTCCAACAGGGCCCAGACATCTTGACTGCATCGATGGACTTCTTCTCTTGACCCGGCCTGCCTCCCTACAAAGACGCGTTTCGAGGAGGGCCATAAAGAGGAGAGAGGGAGAGGAAAGGAAAGAACAAAGAGACAGACGCGACACGTAACGCGACGAGAACGATGCCTCTCACCAGCACCAGCACCAGCAGCAGCAGCAGGACAACCTTGGGATCCCTCTCCCTCGCGTCTATCACGCGCAGGATGCAGGTGACAGCATCCAACGTGCCTCTGTGGGCTCTCATCTGCGTGGTCATCGGCGGGACGGTGATTGTGGTGACCAGCATCGCCTTCACACTCCTCTTCCTGTCGAGATCGCGGCGCCGGAGGAGGAGGGGATTAAAAAAAAGGACGATTGTGATTGACGGGCGGGAGGTGAGCGTGTACCGCGGCAGCGACGGGAGCTGTGGGGAAGAAGATGACCATGGCCACCGCCATCACGACGGCGGCGGCGGCGACGACCCCTGGGGCGAGGAGGATGGGGTCGAAGGTGGGAGAGGATCAAACGGGCCGAGGAAGCTGAGAAAGCGCAACAGGGGACCAGAGATGTCCCTAGCTAGCAGCGAGTTTGTGTCGGACGGGGGGACGGGGCTGGGGAGCCTGTCACCTGTGAGCACGATGACGTGGGGGATGAGGAGGAAGAGGAGGAGGGACAAGAAGAAGGCTGGGTCGAGGACGAGCCTCCCGCCTGTTTTGCCACTGCTATTTGGCGGGCAGAGGCTCAGCTCGGGCCTGTTCTCGGTGGGCAGCGGGCGGAGCGCAAGCCAGAGGAGCAAGGAGACGATGAGCGGGGCTGGACAGGGCGCAGTGGCGTCGTCGTCGTCGTCGCGGCCTGGACAACATCGTCGCCACACGTCCAATGCCTGGGTCGATGAGGACAGCATCCACGGCCCGCCGATGAACGTCTCGCCTGGTAAGCGCAAGAGTAAAGCCAGCCTTCGTCGCGGAGCCAGCGGTGATGGTGGAGGGCGCGGCAAGGGGCGGCGGTCGTGGCGGCGTAGCTTTCGCGAGAGCTGGCCGCTGAAGACCATCTCTCCCACGCTGCCCAAGCTTGCCTACTTCAGCAGCAGTCCCAAGATGATGGAACAGGGCGGCCAAGCTCAGCACTACCACTTCGACACTGTCCAGACAACGACCATGGATCCTCACCAACAACAACAGCAGCAGCCACCTCGCCCCATGGTGCACGACAACGTGGCCATGTCCCGCTTCCAGAACCACCTGGCCTCTCTCCACATCCCCAAGCTGACGATCCCCGAGAGCGTGGCCGAGCAGGACACAGAGGCACAGCCTTCGCCGCCGCGCCAGCTGCCCAAGCCGCCCAGACAGGCGCTGCTAGCCGCCAGCGCAGAAGTAGCAGGCAGCGTGCTGCACCACGAAAGGTCCAACAGCAGCAACAACTGGACCGGGTGGCCCAAGACGACGAGCTTTGCGCCCAGGGACAGAGGGCTGAGCTACTACGTGTATGAAGACTCGGAGCGGCCCGTGACGAGCGGATCCACGCGCGTGCCGTCATCAGTCGCAGGGACGACGACAGCGAAGAGGAGCAGGGACCCTTCGTCGGACTCGACACTGACGGAGATTTTGAGAGGCACGGAGAGAAGGCTGCAGAGAGGGGGGCTGTCGAAGCACGGTCAGAGCAGTGCCAGCAGCAGCCCTTCAAAAAGGTCACTGGCTCCCAGCGCCATGGAAAGACATTGCCCGCCTTCGCTGCGCGTCGACACGGGCGCTGGGTCCTGCACGACCCTTCTGGGCGGCGGCACCACCACCACCGCCAGCGACTCCTCGTGGACGCCGAGCCCGCCACGGATAGGCAGGCACCGCCGTGACGACTCCCAGAACTCAGCAGCGTCGGACGCCGACAGCCTGCTCCAGCCTGGCGACGGGCCGAGCCCTGGGCTGGGCCACTACCACGCCCTCACCAGCCCGGAGAGGGGAGGAGGAGGAGGAGGAGGAGGAGGAGGAGGAGGAGGAGGAGGAGGAGGAGGAGGAGGAGGAGGAGGAGGGGCCAGGCCGAGCCCGCTGCAGAAGCAGCTGGTGGCGAGGCGTGGACAAGACTCGGAGGACGCAGACTCGATGACGAGCAGCATCGCGTCGGACGAGCCTGGAGACAGATCGCTCTCGACCATCGACAGCGTGGACGAGACGGCCGACGAGACGAGGATCACGGCGCCTGGGAGCAGCATCCCTGCCGACATGAACAAGATTGCTGGGTTCGCGTCTGGGCCCCTGATGACGGCGCCTACTGGAGATGACCCGTTTGTTGTCGTGTCGCTGCGGGACGACAATAGCAGCCCTTATGTGGCGCCCCTCCGCCCCATGAGCAATAGGAGTAGTCGTGTGGAGGGGACGACGACGACGACGACGGCGACAACAACGTCAACGCCACACGCGTTCAACGATGCGCCTCGCCTGTTGCATGGTGGTGGGTTGCCCCCTTACCACAACAACAGGAGTGAGGTGACGATGCGGTCGGAGAGCCCGCTGTCTATCATCTCGGGCAACTCGAGGGCGTCGCCTGAGCCGCGACCTACTGCTGCTGCTGCTGCTGCGCGTAGGGCTTCGCCTGACCGTCGGGGTGCGCAGGGTTCTCAGCAGCAGACGACGCCTCAGTCCCAGCGTGGTGGCAACGGGCTTGCGATGGTGTATCCTGCGGCACCGACATCAGCGGTCAGCTCCACTGCGAATCTTCACAGGCGGAACCTGTCGACGGTGCATGATGAGGAGGAGGAGGAGGAGGAGGAGGAGGAGGAGGAGGAGGATGATGATGGGCGGGGCGTGGAAGAAGAGGAGGGAGATGAGGGGATGGAGGGGATGGAGGAGAACGAAAGAGGAGAGGAAGAAGAAATCCAGACACCTGCCTTTGGCATAAGAGACAAGAAGACCAGCTCCCAGCCCAAACGGCTCAGCCAGCTCAGAGCCCAGGCCAGCTCGCCCACCCTCGGCCGCGCCAGAGACCACACGCCCGACTTCCCGCCTCCGAGCCCAGCCATCTCGCGAGGGACCGTCATCGCACGCCTCGCCAAGGCCTTTGACGCCCGTGCCGCTGCTGCCAGCCCTCCTGTAGATAGTAGCAGCCGAAGTAGGGGCAACGGTGCTGACGGCCTTCTTGACTCTCGCGCGTCTGGCAGGAACACTGGCACTACCGCCTCTACATCGACGACAAAGGCTACACGAAGCTATCGCCGTGCGGCTGGCGAGGTGCGCAAGATCTCGGACTCATCTGGGTCGCACTACTCGGCTGACTGGGAGAGGAGGGACAAGGACCATGCCCTGAGCGAGTTGAACCTGTTGATGGGTGGTGGCGGTGAAGTCTTCCAGCAGCAGCAGCAACAACAACAAGAACAAGAGCAAAAGAAGCAGAAGCACCAGAAGAAAGCAGCGCGGCCCAACAACAGCACGGTGCGCCTCGTGCCGCCCGAGGACTACCGCATCCAGGCCCAGCAGCCCGTGTCGTCGACCGTGGCCCAGCTGCGCAGGATGAACAGCCAGATCAGCGCCTACAGCAACGCCGCCAGCGGGTACTCGGACGCGTCGTCCGGCGTGAGCCCCGTGCTGCCGACGCTGCGGGAGGAGGAGACGGGCCGGTTCGTGAGCCCGCCTGGGAAGAGGGAGGCGAGGAGGAATTACCTTGGGCTGGGGCAAAACACGTCGGAGGGTACAGTTGCTGGTGGTGGTGGTGGTGGTGGCGGGAGTGGGAGTAGTAGTGAGAGGAGACGTCATGGTGTTCACAATGACAAGGAGAATGAGAGGGTTGGATGGGTCGAGCCTGAGGAAGAGGAGAAGGGGGGCGCCGAGGAGAGGATGGCTGTCACCCCGAGGGCGACAAGACGCCTCAAGGTTGGAGAGAACAGTCCTGAGCGGAGGAGCGAGGAGAGTCTGGGGCTTTATGATGCTGAAGGGTTCTGGATCTCCCCTGAGAGGAGGTCGAAGCGAAGGGCTTGAACGGCGTTTGGGGGAACACTTGCTTGTCCATGTCCCCTTAGCAACTAACTTGCCTTGATATAATTGTCTTGCTCTCTTATATGCTTACTCAAGTATGTATCATTAGCTGTATATCCACGTTACTATGTATATTCAAGAAACCCCAAAAAGAACAGAATGGAGAGCCACGCTATAGCATTCCGAACGCCGACTCGCGAACCTCATAATCAACAAACATATAAATCAGCACTCCACCGGTTAGCTTGAAGGGTGTCGATGGCTGCCTGTGTTATGAGGAAAAGGTTATAGGATGCACCAGACTAGTCAGAGTATCAGCCAGCCCGCAGTCTTCGGTAAGAGGATTCCGATAGACTTAATACACATTCATTAACCTAAGCAAGAGAAGAGAGTCTCCACCACTGGTTCCCCGAATGTTGTAAGACTATCATATAATGGCAACCCTCCTCATTTTCGCAGCCTCTCGAGCACGCACATACTCGTTACCACCTATCCCCAAGGGAGGGCTTGTGAGTTCGAAATACCCAACCCGGGTATAGACATCGCCATGCGCATCCGGGCCTTTGACGAGCACCAAGCCCGCTGCATGATCGGGTACCCAGTCTCCTATTTCAGCAGGTACTTCCGCAGCCTCAGGTTGAGAAATTTGGACAAGACTACTGGTAGTCGACCTCCACTCCATGATGGTTAGACACAAAACATCTATTTTCCATCCCACGGGAGCCAGTCGTAGATCAACAAGGTCTGGCAAGAACCATACGTGGGGTCCAGCGCTGTCACCCCTCTCATATAGAGGGTGGCTCCAATAAGAGCAATGCAACATGCTGGACAGATTCTGCGCGGTACACTCCGTCGTGAAGGCGAGGGTGGGCCCTTCTATGATCACCTGTGAGGGTGCGTTGTGCGTCCAGAAGGACGGTCTCAGCTCCATGAGTCGCGAGGTGTAACGGTACTCGTCCGCTCGATGGCCCCAAATGATCCGGCTATTCATCGGACCTGGTGTGGCATATTCCGAAACTGTCTTGGGTACTGTGATATCGATGTTTTGTTCTCTCTCGTACATAACGAGGGCATCGGGTGCAGTACTTTTGGGATGTATAGTGTGTGCGAGGCCTGGTGCCTCACTAGGTCTGTGCGAGCCTGGCAGGCCCTTGCCCCACAGCCTTTGTGTTGACAGCCTCAGCCATCTGGATGTCTGACTTTTCTTTCTTTCCTCCTTTTCTGTCTGTAGCGCATCCTCCATACAAGCAGCAGCCTCCCATATGATGACGTTTGAGGCGTCCCGCGAATAAAAACAAGAGTGATAGGAATATTCAAGGACGGCCTCGACAGAAGCCCAAGAGAGCGTGTTGACCATGGAGGATGTACAGAGACGCTGCTCAGATGGCTTCATCGAGTAAGATAAGCGACGCCCCGAGCCAGCTCTGGCCACCCAGAGAAGCGACGGAAGGAAGCAGTCGACAGGCAGTCCGTCGAAGAAAGCGGTTCCAGTCTTGTTTCTGAAATCGGACAGTACTCCGTAGAAGGCCGCCACCCTGTCTCTGGGTCTGGTGAGGTCCATGCAGGTATATTTCTGTATCATAGCCTTCCACCACAACCAAAAGGCCGATTGCGAGTCTCTGTCTCTGGCGATGTTTCGAGCTCTGCAGATTTGCTTGAAATCTATTCGCGACGGAGAATCGTAGTAAGGGGGCTTTGTCTGCTTGGCTTCGTAGAGCAAGGACTCCGAACATTCCCAGGATACGGCTTCTAGTCCGAATTTGAGAATTCTTGGGCTCAACACACGCTCTTGTAGAACCCACGCGCGGCTGTACAGAGGTTGTTTCGGTTGTATTTTGTGATAATGCAGCCGACTGAACAATCGACAAGTAGATATTTTGATTTTGGTCGGGAAGCTGCAGGGTTGTCTCACCCGCGGATTGCGCCGCGAAAAGAAGCCCTCTGAACTATCTCTTGCACAGACCGCAGCGATGGTACAAAGAGCGTGGGTATAAACAAGACCCATCTGCGCCGCCTCCTGCCTCCAGTCAACCTCGGAGTCTTGAAAGATGCACAGAGAGTCGATCCAGATATAGCGCTGCTTAAGCTTTCGGCATGCGTTGACAGCATCTTGAAGCGTCTGTGGGAGCTTAGACGCAGGAAAGCCCCGCGACATCTCACCGGCCGTGTTTGATGTTAATTTGTAGACGTTCGAGGTGCCCCAACAGTAACTAAGAGCGAGATATTGAACTGCGGAATCGTCGCCCGTCTTTAGACTGAGCCGGAGCTGTTGACTTCCATCCGGCGGCCCGACATCTACAAGTCGGGTTGGCCTAAACCGAGACGTTCCAACCGCATCGCGGCATGAGGCGTGGTGTTGACAGCATTCGGAAATCCACCGTTTGGCCAACACAAAGACTGCATCACTCCCTGTGCTTGTGCTGAGTAAGTGTCCCGTCCGGAGTGATTCCTCGACAGCTGACTGGTGTCTATGGAGTGTGGTTTGTTCGTCTTGGGTCTCGCCGCCACTTGTGTTCGCCTCCACGTCCAGGCCTTTCACCTTAAACAGTTTTAACTTCTTAGAGATCCCGTCTCTGAATTCAAGGGAGATCCGTCGGGATGATGCAGGGCCCTGGTCCGGTTCCAGGCTCCTGTGCCACCAGGACCACTCAAGGACGAGTCGAGGTGGGCTGAGCGGCAAACATGCATATTTTGGGAAGCAACTGCTCCGTAGCCGGCATACCACCTCGGCAAAGAGTTCGTCGCACACTATCGTACAAAGATGACACCCTTGCAAGGCTGAGGAGAGAAGGCTCGCACCCGAGGGATGGAACTCAAATGACTCCCGTAGATGCTTGGTGAACATGCGACCATGCGATTCTTCCGTTGGCTCAAAGTCTGGCATCGCGGGATCCTCGTCGTGAACTCGATGATTCAGGACTCGAGACACACTACACGCCTTCTGGCAGTAGCCACAGAGACGATTCAAATCCACAGTACTATTTTCGTCGGCGAGGATATCGGCTGAAAGGAACGAGGGCGGGGACATGTTCGTCTCGAAATAGTCCACCAAGGCCTTGGAGTCCCACGTGGCGCTGTTCGGGATGGTGTTCTTGGGTCCATGGGGAGAACTCTCATATTCATCTTTCAGGCTTGACGCTGATGCGCTCACCGGGGCGTTGAAGGTTCTCAAGACAACCTGCGGGTCCGGTGAACGAAGGCAAGGGGCTGAGTGCACACAACCCAGCAGCACCAGCGCTGTGTCGGGATGAGCTGTCACAGCGGGACTGCCTGGTTCTGTATCCAAATCATAGTATATGATGTCCACGGCAGGAACCGGTTTAGAGGACCTAGGCTCGCGTAGATCACCGGCCCCTTGGGCAGCCATGTTGCAGGTTTGGTGTTGACGCCGTTAACGTGGATATTTGCTGTGGGGAAAAGGCCCAAGTCTCGTCTGGGTGCACTTGTGATGGAAGGGTACTACAACTTGATCCAAATTCTGAGATGAATTTATGTTCGAGGCGATCACGTGGCGCTACTGGAGGACTCGTTCCCTATGCAAGATAAGCAGTGTGTGTGGCACACCCCACCCAATCAACCCCAGTCATACATGCATCTTTCGCGCCAATCTATCCCATGCGCATGCTGGACTCGTACATCTCATCACCCCTGACTGTCGTCCTTGTTTTTCTACTTCCTTTCCGTTTCGGCTTTCTTTTCTTTTGTGGAAGAGGGGGGGGGGGGCGTTAAGAACCTCGACGTTGCGCTCAATGATCCACACAAACCATCCAATTGGAATGCTTTGGCTGTTTCCCTCAATCTCTGAGTTTGTCTTGTAATCTCAAGATCGTGCACCGTGCACATGATGACAGAGCTGAGGGAGGAAACTTGTTTCAAGAAGGGGAAATGGTTGTAGTGAGGCTCTGCGAGGAAGACGGCTACTGTAGATGAGATGTCAAAGGGAAGTCAAAGTGCGAACGTTGAAATACTGATTAGGCTAGCAGTAAGATCTGCTAAAAAAGACAACTCCACTCAGTGCCAGGGGTTACTTCTCAGAGCCAGTGGGACGTGATGTGGGGCACCCCACGTCAGCCTCTCCAGGGGTACGTACCTAGCCGTGCTAGCCTGCTGCAACATCGACCCTTCAAAAGAACACCTGTAGCTTCATGAGTCTGCAGTCCATCTTGAATACACCCCCAGAGCAGCATCTCGGCGACACAAACACATCCTGATCCCCAACAGATGTGCTCACTGCTGCTGACGACATCATCTTTCTGCATCAATTGCTTGTCAGTCAGATTTGTGAATTAAAAAGAAAATCATCCCATTACTGACGACAAGCAACCCCAATCCCACCATGGCGACTCCTCGCCCGCTGGCTGTCCTGGTTGGCCTTCTCTCATCTTTTCTGCTGATTGCTGGCAGTTTTGCACAGGATGAGGCTGTCCTCAATGCAGAGATAGGCCGTCTGAACAACCAGAGCCTCCACTGGGGCCCCTACCGGCCCAATCTCTACTTTGGTGTACGCCAACGCGCACCTAACTCCTTATTGACTGGCCTCATGTGGTCCAATGTCGATAATTATCAGGTTGCACGCGACAGTAAGATCACTTTCTGCAACATCCACCCCTCCCCTCTTATGTTCTAAATTCTTTGTCGTTTGACACACTTTTAGACTTCAGGTACACATGTGAGCAACACCAGGGAATGGCTGGCTATGGCTGGGACGAGTATGACATACGGAAGGGAGGCGTGCAGACCATCCATGATTCTGGCAACGGCATCGACATCACCACTTCTTTCATCAAGGTCCCTGGAGGTGCCAATGGCGGCAGCTGGGCAGCCAGGATCAAGGGCGTCCCTCGACCTGGCGTCCCCGATGATGCCAGGACCCAAGTCGTCCTCTTCCTCGGGCAGGAGGGTTTCGGCAGCACCATTGAGCCTCAGGCGGACGGCGATGATAACGGTTTCCCTAGTGATGTGACCTTCAGCGGAAGCTCAGACTCCCTTGGGAACTTCAAGGTTGTCGTCACGAAGGGTACGGGCGAGCACCCTCCGGCCGGAACGGACTTTGATGAGGACCAGGATCTGGAGAAGACCGTTGTTCAGTCCCTCAACGTGCCCCCAGAGCTTCTCTGGCAGGCAAAGGCCATCGCCATGCGCCAGATTAGCGAACGCATGAACGCGATGATGCCTCGCATCAACCAGGAGGCCCCGCCCCCGGCTTGGCAGATGTACGGGCTGTCCAACAAACCTGGTCTCGGCAACACGCACATCGTCCAGAAAATCTTTGAGGGCCCCTTCGAGTTCGATATCCTCTTCTCTAGCGCCTCAGCCGGCAAGGAATTGACCAGCGACGACCTGACCCGGGAAATCAAGGAGACAACTGAGTCCTTCGGGGAGCGGTTCACCAGTGTATTCGCACCTCAGGCTCCCTTCACGACGGACCGGTACAAGACCTTCGGCCGCAGCATGTTGTCCAACCTGATTGGTGGTATTGGCTACTTCTACGGTCAGCACCTGGTCGACCGGTCCTACGCTGCTGAGTACGAGGAGGATGACGAAGGCTTCTGGGAGGCTGCTGCAGATGCGAGGAACCGCAAAGAGCAGAAGCTAGAAGGCCCGTATGAGCTGTTCTCAAGCATCCCCTCTCGGCCCTTCTTCCCAAGAGGCTTCCTTTGGGACGAGGGCTTCCACCTCCTCCCCATCGCTGATTGGGACATGGATCTGACTCTTGAGATTCTCAAGAGCTGGTTCAACCTCATGGACGAGGACGGCTGGATCCCCCGCGAGATGATCTTGGGTGAGGAGGCAAGGAGCAAGGTCCCCGAAGAGTTCCAAGTCCAGTATCCACACTACGCCAACCCGCCGACGCTCTTCTTCGTCATCGACACCTACATCGCCAAGTTACAGAAGATCGCCAACGGCAGCGCCACCTCTCAGAAAGAGAAGCTTTCGCAAGGCGAAAGCCTCGGCACTGCCTATCTCGACAACTCGGAGCTCGGCCTGGACTATCTCCGCCGTCTCTACCCGCTGATGCGCAGACAATTCGAGTGGTTCAAGAAGACCCAGTACGGCGACATCAAATCCTACGACCGCGAGGCTTACTCTTCTAAGGAGGCCTACCGCTGGCGAGGAAGGACGCCGCGACACGTCCTCACCAGCGGAATGGACGACTACCCACGCCCGCAGCCTCCTCACCCCGCAGAGCTGCACGTCGATCTCATGGCTTGGGTCGGCATGATGACCAAGTCGCTCATCAACGTGGCCCAGACGATCGGCATTGCTGAGGACGTCGAGGAATTTAAGAAGATCCTCGACGCGATCGAGCACAACCTGGACGACCTCCACTGGTCCGAGGCGGAGGGCTGCTACTGCGACGCCACCATCGACGATTACGAGGAGAACCAGCTGGTGTGCTACAAGGGCTACGTCTCGCTCATGCCCTTCCTCACCGGCCTGTTGAAGCCGGACAGCCCCAAGCTGGGCAAGATCCTAGACCTGATTGGCGACGACGAGGAGCTGTGGAGCCCTCATGGCATCCGCAGCCTGAGCAAGAAGTCCGAGTTTTACGGCACCGATGAGAACTACTGGCGCAGCCCTGTGTGGATCAACATAAACTACATGGCTGTGACGCAGCTCTACGTGAGTTACTCATCACATCTTCCCTCCTCTCTTCCTAGAAGGACCATCAAGAACCACCGCTAACTCACCACCCATGACAGAACGTCGCCACACAGCCCGGCCCCCACCAGGCCAAGGCCAAGGACCTCTACTCCCGCCTGCGCAGGAACCTCGTCGAGACCATCTACAAGTCCTGGGAGGAGACCGGCTTCGCCTGGGAGCAGTACAACCCAGAGACAGGCGCTGGTCAGCGCACGCAGCATTTTACCGGCTGGACCAGCCTGGTTGTCAAGATCATGGCTATGCCAGACCTGGGCGGCTCTGGCGGCCATGTCAGGGATGAGCTGTGAGCAGCAAGATTGCCAATGGCCACACCCCCTTTCAGAGTTGGGAGACAGAAAGGTCTTGCCTTCACGCTCAGGTGAAATGAGGGAGGGGGCCAATGTAGATGAAAAAGAACTGCGACGGGTATCTGTTCTGGAGCACAGGTTCTTTGTGATATACACCCAAAGAGGTAAAAAGAAAAAGATTTCATGGCGTCGATACATGAGGCAGTGCTGGATTACTGATGATTTGATGATGGGTGCGTCGAGGCACATCTCGTGATGGAGAAGGCATATGCAATTTCGACGAGCAAATTCATAGATCATTGAACAAGGGCAGGAAAAGAAGGGAGACTAAATGAGAGCAGGAAAAATGATACTTCAATTTGATGCACATGATTGCCTACAGGAAGGGATGTCCAGGATATTCAAGTTTGGATGTTTTGGAAGAGGAATCAAAGTGATGCATTCATGGCTCTCATTATCCTCCACAGGAATAGCCCAAACACGCCCACAATCATGATCCAGCAAGCGCCCTAGCCTCATAACGCCGATGCTGAAATATGCCCATGTAATATATACAGCTTTATGATTCAAACACCACCGCTGCCGCCATTTTGTGGTTTCCTATTGCCTTTACACTGCCAGATACTCAATTCCTTGACTGAACCCGCTCATCGCGTGTGCGCCTGGTCCGGTTTCGCCAAGAACCCGTCACCCTGCTTCGCGACCTCTTTCCTCGGCAGGACCACAACTTCCTTGCTCAGCAGACGCCGCAGCTCAGGCGTGATGACCTTTTTGGGCTCAGGCTCGGCCTGCTTGCCCTTGTTCTGCTGGCCGTTTGGGGTGGAAGACCCGCTGCTGCTGCTGGCAGCCAGTAGAGACGGCGCGGCAGTGGACAGGGTGAAGCGCGGCGCGGGGAAGTTGGGTTTCTTGTCGATGGCCTCAATGAGACGCTTGAACTTGTGGAAGAGGGCCTCGGCGCGGATGAGTGTGGACTCGAGGTCGATGGTGCCGGAGAGTTCATTGACTGTACAGGGCGGGTCAGCAACGCTGATGGTAAAGGGGGAAGAGGACAGGCTTAGGCTTGAACACGTACTGTATTTGAGCACCTCATCAAAATGCTGCAGGTGTGTCATGATCACGTCCCGATGCTTCTCAAGGATCGCCAGAGCCACGAAGAGGTGGAAGCTGCTGGTCAGATGGTCTGTCCACAGCGCCTCCCAGAGCCGCAGTATATCCAGCCAAGGGAACTCGCGCTTGTACCACACCAACAGCATTCGGAAGAAGAAAAAGAAGTTGGTGCTGTCGGCCTTGTCCAGATGTTCCCACAGCTTAGGGTCCATGAAGTGCACCAGCTGGTCGAGCGTGGTCAGCTGCGTGCGCATGCCGGACTGATCTCTCAAAAAATTGCGTTCCATGCGATCCATGAAGTGCTGGAACGCCCAAAAGGCGACCGCGTCATCTTGCACGACGGCATAGATGGGCGCAAGCAGGTCGGACATGCCCTGGACATAGCCTAGCTCCTTGTTGTACTCGTTGTACGTGAGCAGCAGGTCTTTCATCTGTTCCATGTGCACATTGGTGCCGACCTCAGCGAACGGGGAGTCTGGATCCGGATGAGGGATGTTCTCGCCTGCAAAGATTGGCACGTTCCGGTCGGTGCGGTGGACATCTTTCTCTGTTCGGACTGTTAATTTGCTGGTGAGATGGAATGACAGGAGATGGGCAGAGAACATACCAATTCGGCCACGCTGCTCTCGCCACCATTCGCCCTCCTCGCCCTGGCCACCCAGATCAACAAGGCGCTCCCACCATGCACCCTTGAGCTTCACATATGCGTCTCTCAAGGATGCAATCTGGGCCCTGCGCTCGACCTCGGTGCTATGCCAGTCATACACACCCAGCAAGAAAAGCCAGGCCTCCTTCCGAACTCCATCATCCGGGTCGAGGCCACCGTGGAACACTCTGTCCTTTACCTCGTCGATCGTAACGGCTAGTCTTCCGGTTGTCGGATCGAAGAAAGTCTGCCACTCCTTCATGCTGACAGTTTTCCTCCTCTCCTCCAGTGAAAACGTACTGGTCCCCTCTATCAGCTCAAATTCACCGACATCCGTGTCCTCCATCTCCATCACATCTTGCGCAGTCCATATCCTCTGGCGGCGGTCCCTCTCGCTCTGCTCCGCTATGCCCATTGCCCACCGCGCCAGGTATATCCTTGCGCTGTCAAACTCATCCTGCAGCGTCTTGACCTCGGGGTTGCGGAGCAGGCTCCTGACCTGAGGCGGGATGCGGGGGTTGTCGATGACTTCGTTCGCGGCGTTGCGCGTGAAGGTCGTGACCTTGCTAAACTTCTCCATGATGTTCCAGCCGGTTTCCTTCACGAACTTGGTGAACGGATCCATCTGTGCATCCCTGCTTGATCCGGCTCTTGAGCCCCGGTTTGCACCGGCTGCGCCTCCAATCGTGATACCGCGGCTGCTATCCTGGCGACCGATGGACGAGGCCGTGCTGCTCGTGGGTTTGGCGCCGAAGCCCGTGCTGTCCTCCTTGCTGGGCTCAACCAGGTAGATGTTGGGCTCCGCAACACTCCTCTCGATTTTGACGTAAGCCCTCAGCCACCTCAGAACCTCGTCGCCGCCCCAGAACATCTGCCCGCTCTCCCCGAACGGATCGAACTTGTCCTTCATGTGCTTCTTCTTCTGCAGGATTGTCGACTCGCACTCGCTGTCGTGAAAAAAGAGTGCCGGAAAGCTGTCGCCAGCGCGGCTATTGATTATGACAGAGCCGAACCACCATCCCAGGCTGGGCGGGCGGACCAGGAGCGAGTAGACTGCGCTGACGGGGATGGCGAAGGCATAGTGGCCAACGGAGCCACGGTGGGTTGTAACAGTCGGTGGAGGAGGGACGAGGTAGGACTGTTTCGGAGGAGAGTCGCCGTCAGATAGGTCGACCTTGACATAGATGCTAGCAGCCTCGCCAAGCTGCGACTCTGGAATCCATGCCAGGAGGAGGTCTGCAGAGGCTATGGACTGAGAATCATGGGAATCTTCTGAGGGTCGTGCACCAGACGGAGGCTTCTGTTGCAACAGGGCTATGAAACCGGGAATATTGTCCTTGGCGGAGGGTGTGGGATGTATGTAGACCTGCGCTCATCGGGTCAGCTTTGCACTGCGAACAGGCAAGAAGAGAGTGGCGACTTGAGATTTACCTTGCTCTTGGAGTACAGCAGCTTAACCCCTCGTCCAGTCTCCGTGTGAGTGATGGTATTGTACCCTCCCTCTTCGTCGTCACTCATGGCGTAGAGGCTACCTGCGGGCGAGGCTGGGCGAGCTGGTTGTGTATCCTGAGAGGTTCCTGTGTGAGGCAGCCCGTCAGACGTCATCGTAGGAACGCCACGAACCGCGGGGGAGCCGGAGTGTAAGGCTTGCGGGCCAGGCTGCTCTCGAGTCGTGTCTGGAATTCTTCTGAGAACCATAGGGGCTCGTGAAGAGGTTTCGGTAGGGTAAGGAGGGAGAGAGGGACGAAGAATAGTCGTGTGAATTGGTAAGGGAACGAGGGCAGGATGGAGTGAGGTCGGAAGGAAGGTCGATCATATGATGGCGTCCATCTGGCACCGCTGTGGCACTGCATGACTGACCTGACCAGCAGTGACGCAGGCATGCGGCGGGAGGGCGGGAGGTGTATTACCCCGCGGTCAGCTTGGTCCGCGTGCAGCTTAGGGGCATTACGCACTGTAAGTGTGACGCTAACTCGCCACGCCGAGCCCTGAAAGTGGCTTCTGATAGAGTCCTCGCCTCCCAAACACGCGGCCTCTGCGCAACGCTGTCGAAGGTTCCAGTTGGAACCATTCCAGATCTGATATGTCTCGACTGTTCTTGAATCCCCTCTGCCTTACTTTTTGAGACAGATGGTGCACAAGTTGTACATGGTAAGACCACGTATCGCACAACGTTTCGAAGACGGAGAATCATTATGTCTTCCTTGCACTCCTTAGCGTAGAATTTCTTGGTGTCGAGAGAGGAGGCAAACAACGTATGATGGAGATCCATTCATTCAGCGCTCGAGATCTATGTACCGTTGTGCGTCCCTCCTTACCCAGAACTCCTTGCTCTCAGCCGAACTGATCCAAACTCAAATGCTGCAAAATGCTCCTGATGTTCTGGTCGAATCTGTACCAGATAAGAGAAAATCCATAGGCTGGCTGACATGTGAGCGAGCACTGCTTCTCACAGCCTCCGTGCGTAACGCCCTCAACGTTTCAAAATGGCAATCTCTGTCCACTATCTCATCCTCGGTCCACTGGGCAAGCCACCCATCCTCCTCGGCCCACTAGGCAAACCACCACCGGCCCGTCTTCCACCAGGAGCCGCAGGAGCTGCTGCCGCGCCGCCAGGTGACGACGGCGCATAAGCCCCACCATATGCGCCCGCCTTGTACGGATCATAATCATCGCTTCCTGCTCCTCCTCCTCCTCCTCCGCCGCCGCCGCCCCCTCCCTGCGATGGCGGCGGCGAGAAGGGGCTCGCAGGGCTACTCGGGCTCGTCGTCCTCGCGCCCCCTCCGAGCCTTCCTCTCAACCGGTCCTGTATGCTGCTTCCTGCGCTGGCCGTCGTTTGGTAGCTCCCCGCCCTCTGGCTCGATAGGCTCGGCCGTGCCTGCATTCCCGGGTCGGGCGAAAGGGCTGCGTTGCGCTGCGCAAAGGGGTTTCTGGCGTTAACGCCGCTGGCCACGGCCGCCTGCTGGGCCGGCGCACCCCCTCCCGCCGCGCGGTTCTTGTCCCACAGTGATGAGAGCCCTCCGCCGGTGCTCGGACTGGGCTGCAGGTTGCCGTACCGCGAGTTGAGGGCCGGGTTGGCAGCGACGGGGGTGGGCGGCGGCGCCTTGGGGTCTGGTGGCAGCCAGCCTGGGAAGCCGATGCCCTTCTCCGTGTAGTGCTGGCGCAGCACCCGGCAAACGTACGTGTCGTCTTCGGTGTCGCCATCGGCTTCGCTGTTGAAGACGGAGCGCTGCAGGCTGGATACAGAGTTGTTTACGCGCGAGGCGATGTTGGAGTACCACGACATGGTGGGTGCGTTGCGTAGTAATGACTCTTTGTTTTCGTTGTATTCGTTGTGTTCGCGTAGTTTTTGTTGTTTCTAGCAGAAGTCGTCAGGTAGCAAGGCGGCGAGAATGCTGTGCAGAGTTCTATGCGCTTGAAGACTGCGGTCGCGGCCTTGCTTCAGGTCTCGTTTCGTCGCCTTCGGATGATCAGTAGAAGCAGTTGGCAGTGACTTGGCTTGACTGGACGATTCGGTCTGGCAGCTCGCTCGAGAGCTTAAACAGGATCTCTGTCGAATGCGGTCGTCCCCTGTAATCGCATTGAAAAGGGGCAAGCTGAGTCTACCCTGAGGATCTCGTAAATCAGGTGGTGGTGGTAATGGTGGTGTCGTTGTGAGAGGGGCTGGAAAGTGAGCATGACCAAGTTTAAGGGAGGTCAGGCCCTGGAGCCCGACGTTGGAGTCTTGCCTGTGTCAGGTTGAAAGCGGCGGATCGCCCAAGCACAAGCGACCCCTCCACCTGAAAATGGAGCTTGGGGTTGACAAGCTTGGCCCCTGAAATGCAAACCAGGGACACACCGCCGAAACAAGAAATTAAACCACAGCACAATCACGGACAACTTGTGACTCTGGCTCTCTCATTCGATATACTCTAGTCAATTAGATACGAGCTGGTATCCATAAAGAGAAAGTACGGTTGCTTCATTACTCTGGGATGCAAAATGATGCCCATAATTCTTCCTTTTTAGATGCGCCAACCTACAACGCCTCGCCATTGCCAAGTTAATAGACAAGTAACCTGCCCCAATCCCCCATCCTACCAGTCCGACACAACCAATTTCTCCCTGACCGGCTCTTCCTCAATCTCGCGCTCTATCTTCTTCCGGCCCTTCATGCGCACGACACGGCCTCTCTTCCGCTTGTCGCCGGTCTTCGCCTTGCCGCCCTTCTTCGTCGTAGCCTCCTCTTCGCTGTCTTCCTCGCTGTCGTCTTCCTCGTCATCGTCCTCTTCATCGTCATCATCCTCTTCGCTAGCCATCCAGTCCTCTATGTCGGCAATGTCATCCTCGCTCTCCTCGAGGTCACTGACGTACTCGACGTTGCCCTCCAGCTCATCGTCTTCCTCCTCCTCCTCAAGCTCCTTCTCAAACTCGTTCTCCTCGTCCTCATCCTCAATACCCTCGTCCAGATCCTTGTCGCGCACGCCCTGGCCCTCCTTCTCCAGACCGTTGAGCACCTTCTCCCAGATCTTCTGTGATACGTTCAGGGGTTGGTCACCGTAGGCACCTTGTCGTAGTCTCTCCAGCAGCTCTCTCTCGATCGTCCGCTCCAACTTGGCTGCAGCCTCGGCCTTCCGCTCGCGTGCCTCCTCTCGGTGTTTCACCTTGGGTGCCAGTTTGGGCACAAGTTTCTCGCCGAGACGTTCCTCCTCGGCGGCTATCTTCCGCATGCGAATCGCAACTTGTGTAAGGCGGGTGAGTCGTTGCTTTGCCTTGTGCTTAAGGAACTCTGGCCAGTACCTATTGTAGTATCTAAAGTCAATACAATGTCGCTAGGCAGAAGGAGAGGGGTGAGCCCGCAGCGCGTACATCAACTTCTCGTCAATCATCGCCAGTGCCTTCTGGTAGTTCGATGGCAGCTTTATTTTCTCCCACATGCGATTCGGCAAGTGCGCGCGCTCGACTGTCTTCATGTAAAGGTAGAGAACATTCGGCTTGTCGGGATGCGGCCGGACGGAGGCATATCTGCTGTTGGCCAGCGGGCAGGACTGCCGATTGCAGAGACCGGTGCTAAAGATGTTCAAGTCAGCCGGCGCACGTCCCTCATCATGAATCTCCTAGCCAGACATACACATTGTACTCGTTCCTGCAGAAGTTGGTCTGCTTCTGGTTGTTGGGTGTGCTTCAATTAAATCGTCGTCAGCCATAGTCGCAGGATCAAGGGCAAGGGCTCGGTGCGAACCGTATTTTGAATGCGCAGAAGTTTTGGTTGATATATTGCCTGCAGGGAAAATAGTCAGCGGAGAAATTTTGACTTGGTTCTTCCTTTACGCAAGACATACCAGACGATCTCGTCGGAAGCCATTGTGGGCACAGATATGCGAATTTGGCAAAAAGGTGTTCTTGCAGAAGAGAAGGCGGGACGAGTTCTGCGGAGGTTCTCCTTCAGAAAATAAAATCTTCAGACCCCTGTCTCCAGAGGAATTGTTATCGATAAGTAGCGCAGCCCGCACTGCCCGCCTGCAAATCCCTGCGCTGCGATTTGCAACGGCCTTTTCAAGTGGAGCCTTAGCAGGTTATTTACCACTACGACAGTGCTGCTACTCTTAGTACTCTTCATTGCTGTGTACACAGCGGCTGAGACTTTGCTGTCGAAACAAATTTCCGCCTCGACAGTCCTGTGTCAAGGAGTGCATGTGTCGTGTACAGGAGCTCTCGCGGATTTTCAATCAAGCCATACGACCAATCAATGTCCTGGAGTGCTCGGACGGCGTTTCGAGCTCGACACTTATCACAAGGCGTCACTTCGACCATACCAACACTCGCGCGGAAGGTTGTGGCATCTGGTCCACGGCTTGCCGTGTTTGGGAGACGAAATGACTACGCAAGTCTCTTGAGACCTACGCAGGTCTCGGCTTTTCACGATGGACCGAACAGGCACGGCCTCGATGTGATGACCGGACCTTCCAAGCACGACACGATCTACGCCTTGTCGTCTGGTCAGGGCAGGGCTGGCATTGCCGTCATCCGCGTGTCAGGTCCCGCATGTCAGGATGTGTACAGGAGCCTCTGCCCCGGGAAACAACTCCCCAAGCCAAGATATGCGGCGGTCAGGACGCTCTACGATCCTGAGCGGCCGGACAAGACCCACATCCTGGATTCTGAAGCTGTGACCCTGTATCTCCCGGCTCCCAAGACGGTCACCGGCGAGGATGTTCTGGAGCTGCACGTTCACGGCGGCCCTGCCACCATTAAGGCTGTGTTGGGCGCCATACCGCGGTGTGCAAGTGCCCCTGGGCTGCAGTCCATCCGCTACGCCGAGCCAGGTGAATTCACCAAACGCGCCTTTCTCCACGACCGGCTGGACCTGTCTCAGGTGGAATCCCTAAGTGATGTTCTGGCGGCGGAGACAGAACAACAGCGACGCGCAGCTGTCCGTGGGAATTCTGGGCTCAGGGGGCAGACGTACGATGCCTGGCGCTCGGATCTACTCCTCGCGCGCGGCGAGATCGAGGCGCTGATAGACTTCTCCGAAGATCAGCATTTTGACGAGTCGCCCCGTGAACTCCTGCATAATGTCACGTCCTTGGTGCAGCAGATCCTAGCTTCGATAGACCGGCATGAGCTCGCCGGCCAGAGAACTGAGCTGCTTAAGAATGGCATCAGGATCGCGCTGCTTGGCCCGCCGAATGTGGGCAAGAGCTCACTGATGAACCTCATCGTGGGCCGCGAGGCATCGATAGTCTCTCGCGAGGCTGGCACGACGAGAGATATTGTCGAAGCCAGCCTCGACATTGGAGGCTACCTATGCACCTTTGCTGATACAGCCGGCATCAGGACTCGTGCCCTGGAGGATGACGCCGCCATCGGCGCCATCGAGGAAGAAGGCATTAAGAGGGCAAGGCTCAAGGCTCTGAGTTCAGATGTGACCATCGTCTTGGCTTCCGTGGAAAGAGATGACACGGGCGTCGCCTTTCTCAATTATGACGCTGAGACGCTGGAGCTGGCTGCTCGAGCGGAACAGCGCATCGTCGTCGTGAACAAATGCGACTGTGTTGATCAATCGACTCTGGACGATCTTTTGCGCGGGTTCAAACCCCCCGTCCTGGACAGGATCCCGGGAGCAGATGCTATCATCACAATCTCTTGCAAGGCAGCCGCACTGTCGTCTGTGTTCACACAAAAGGACCCCGGCGGTATCCACCACCTGACGCGAAAGCTTATCTGCTCTTTCGAGAGGCTGACCTCCCTGCCCGAGGATATGCAAGAGTTGTTAGGCGGCACGGAGAGGCAGCGGCAGCTGTTGGCGCAGTGCAGGGAGCATCTCGAGGCGTTTATGAAAGAAGCTGCAGGCACAGGAGAAGATGATGTTCAAGGTGAGGAGAATGTAGGTGATAAAGAACCGGACATCGTTCTGGCCGCCGAGAGCCTCCGCTGCGCAGGCGATTGCCTAGCACGGATCACTGGCCGGGGTGAAGCTGGTGATGTGGAGGAGGTTTTGGGGGTGATCTTTGAGAAGTATTACACCTTTGGCCCCCAAATTCTTTTGACGGAAGCGAGAGGACTGACAAAAGTGGATTGCAGGTTTTGTGTAGGAAAATGAGATTATGTTCAGAACATTGTTATGGTCTGATCTGTTTTCTTATCCTAGTCCTCAGCCCTACACCTTTGATCTCTCGGTAAACAAAATAATGTGGATCATCATCACCACCACCACCCACCAGCTCCACTCATCTGCCCCACCTCTCCCTTCTATTCATAGAAAAGCTCTATAGTAATCATACATGTTCTTCTCTCTGGCTTTGCAGCCGGAAGCTCGTCTATTTGTTCCAATGCTTCTTCTCCCATTCTCCCATGCGCCAGAAAAGACAAAGTGTAGTGAGTAAGGAAACTTGTTGGGGGGTTGGGGCGTCGTATCGGTGATGCGAGCCAACCGTTGCCAGTCAGGTTTTATGTGGGGAAGACGGTGAAGTGATAACCAAATAAAACGCCGGATTTAAGCCTGAGCTTTTCTATCTCTATAATTGGGTGTGTTGGTACAAAGAGGTTCCCCCTTCGTGCCGGAGGACCGGTATAGGGACGGTGATTTGATCAGTTGCCATTGGGTGGTGTGGCAAAAGAGAGAGTGAGAGATGTGTTTCTTGCTTAGGCGAAGTTGAAAGATCTCTTCTTGTCCTTGTCGTCGGAGCCGTCGGGCTTGGAGTTGTATCCACTCCGGCCGCGGTTCTTGTCCTCATCATCGTCGCCGCCATTGGGCTTGGAATTGTAGCCACTTCGGCCCTGGTTCTTGTTGGAGTCGTCATCATCTCCGCCGTTGGGCTTGTTGTTGTAACCGCTGCGTCCGTAGAGCATAGGACGCTCGGTGGTGAAGCTAGTGCTGTAGACGGCCATTGTGATTTGTTGGGGTGGTATTTGGGCTGGTAGTGGGTTTGTAGTGGTGGTGTTGAGATGTGAGTTGTGAAGGAGTTATTGAATTGTCTCTTTGTTGTTTTGGCTTGTCTTTGCTTGTTGAGGCTGTTGATGATGAGATGAAAGGACTGGAAATCAAGGCAGGAGGTGTACTGGCCTTATATACTTGGAAGCAGAGGAGGATTGGGGGGTGGGTGTGCGTGAAGTCATATTATTGCCTGCGTGCCTGGAGGTTAAGCTCTATGGCTGGCTGTGTGTGGGCAATGCATCTACCGTACCCGTTCCAGCCCGAGCAAACGTCAGCCTCATCCTCCTCGCTTCTCACCAACACCATTCCTGGAACGCGGGACTCGCAGTAGGTACACTCATCTCTTACGGGAACCAGTCTGTTGACTCACACGCCATGGGCCACAGGCACAGGCAGACACTCAGCCTCCCTCCCACCCCCCATGACAGACTAAGGATTCAAGGGTATGAGCCATTACCACGCCGAGACCTAGGCCAGCCGCGTTGCCGTAGGAGTCGTGGTGGTAGTTGTGGTGGAGGTAGGTAGTAGGTAGGAAGAGGAAGAGGATTGCCGCCCCTGCTCGCCATGTGGTATCAGACACATGTTCCGGGATCCCATTGGGGCCAAAACCGCTTTCTCTCCCCCCACGGGCCTTGACAAAGCAGCTGCGCTTGTGATCGCAGCCAGGCAACAGGGGGGGTGGAGTGGGAGGGTGGGTTACCAAGAAAGCGGCACTTCAAAAAAAAAAAAAGGGCTTTGGTAAGACAACCGGATGGAGCTCCAGCTGCCTGGTAAGAGTTCCCACTATGCCCAGCTTGTTTTCTAAAATTGGGGGTCGTGGTGGTTCAGAGTGCGAGCTTGCCCGCAGCGTCCGTCCCACCCCTCTGAGGTGCACCACACACAAGGGACAGGATCGTCGGTGCGTAGGGCTGAGGGTATGGCCCCAGGGGGGGGGGGGGGAGCTCTTCTCCCCTACCCTGTCTTAGGCTCCCAGGGCCCCCCTGGGCGCTGCTGCAGGCTGATGCTATGTACATCATGGTTCTCTAGCCCTCTTGCTGTGTGCTCGGGCCAGTGAGCGCACAATAACCTGGTATATGTTTCTTGGAAGGATTATGTTTCGAAATTACTTGTGGTGTATATCATCCAGCTGGGTGGGTCGCAATAGGTCTGCCGTTGCATCGGCCTGGGGTAACTTGAACAGAGGATTGTAGCAAATCCTTCGCGATAATTATCATAGTAGAGTTGCTAATGTGGTAGTCCAAGATAGGCTACCGGCTACAGGCTCTCCCTGTGTGTCATATCCAGTTGAGTGTCCGGAGCCCCTGGCCGACCAAGACACGGGAGACGCGGGGCTTCTCTATCTCTCCCTCTCTCTGTGTCTATGCCCCGTTCCATCCTTCTCCTTTTTCTGACAGCCCTCGCGAGCTCTGGACAGACTCGCTCGTCCTTGCTCTTCCGCAGGTTTCCATGAGGATGGAGGGGGAAGGCGCAACCATCGCACCGAGACATCCGGAGGAGGAGAGGGGCTCCAATCGTGCCTGACTAATTGGCACTATAACGAAACCCCCCCATTCGTCCCAAGGAACGAAAAATACATTGCTACGATTACTATCACGGGCACATTATCTAAGCCACCCGCAGACACGGTGTGGATCAGGATCGTCCCAGACAGGAAGCCGTAAATATCCAAGCCACCCGTCATGCACGTCAGAATTCAGTCACCGCCAACACCACAAGAAAAAAGAATTGGGGGGGGGGGGGGAGTCATCCGGCGTACAGGTGCCGTGCTATGAGGCCTGCACAAAGACAAAAGAGAGAGAACATAAACAAGTCAAGAATATTATTAATAATACACCAATGGTACGAAAACCGACGTGCGCTGCAGATCACGGCCTCGCCGCCGGTCTACGTCTTAGTATTACATGCAGCCCTATTCGGATCTGACGGCGCCGGGTGGTTCCGTTGGGGGATGGCACTTGTTTGGTTGCTGCCGTGCTGTTTACTGATCTCCCGCGGCTCCTCTTTTTTGGGGCACCGGGGACTCTTCTGTCATTGCTCGTTGCCTTGAGAATGTCTCATCCTGATGCCATGCGCTTCGGTACGCGCTTACGCCAGGGCCCTGCCATCATTAAGCAAGCAAGCTGGGATTGGAGACCGACAAGCTGGTGTGCTGCGCCTTTCTTCCATGTTTTTCTTCTTTTTTTCTTTCTGTCCTGGAACAAGGTGCATGCATGAAACACAATCCTCTTTCTACCCGCACACGAAGTACCAACTCTTCACCGCAACATTGCGAACGTCAGCAACATGCTTTCAAGCGAAGCAAATGTTTTTGAGCTTTTTTTTTCTTTCTTTTTTTTTTCCATCTTCTTCACTACGAAGCCCTAACCAATCTCGGGCCATTTGCTGTCTTGTGCCCCCCCTTTTCTCCTTTGGTGCACGTCACACTGGGCGCCTTTTCACGCTCGTAACCTCGTACGACGGCTTGCAACAAAGATGCAGCCCTACGGAGGAACGAGCGCCTGTACCTGGCCTTGGCCTGGCCTGGCCTGGGGTTTGGCCCCTCCCCTTTCCCATCAAGATCTCTCAGGAACGCCTGTTCCACCGCGGGGAGAAAGATCAGATCGATCTCGTTCTCTCCATTGTCCCATCCGGACTGCGGTGAGAGAGAGCGGGACACTGAGAGAGAAAGAGAAAAAGACAGGAGAGTTGTCTGTGCACGGGGTCAGGGGCTGGCTGCATGTCATCGGCTCGGGTTCGGCCTCGAGTCCTCAGGGCTGGCAAAACCGGTGTGACGATTTTCGTATCGATGCTCTGCAGGAAGAAACTTTCGTTCCTGTTTCGTTTACGGGAAGAGCTTGGCGTCATTGCTGCCTCGTCCTCGTCCATACTCTACCGCAACTTGGAAGGTTCAACCCTAATCGGAACTAGACGCTGGCCTTCTTTCTTCTCCTTTTTTTGTCCCTCTCTCAAAGCCCGAGCGCGCTGCCCACATGAAGTGACGTTACTGCGCTGATGTCTTCGAATCCTGTAGCGGCTTCCAAGCAACCTGACTGGTCGGCGATCCTCACCGAGTAGCCTGAAATATGGTGGTACAGTCATCAACCGCCTCATCTTGTTGTGGATTAGGATACTTTTCTCTCTCTCTCTATTACTACAAATCCAAGACACAGCCACAGCCAACCATCGGCTTGCTGGGTTGCCGTATTACGAGAGCCTTCTCGAAGGGGAAAAAAATGGAGAAGAAAGTAAAGGAAGAAAGGTTAAAAAAGGAAAAGAAAAAAAAGGGACTAACAAGCCCCTTCCCAATCATCTCCAAACCCCCACGTCCACGCAAAATATCCCATTTGCAGTGAACATCTCACACCGCCGGAATGTTCATACCAAGAAAGAGTCATTTCTCACAACTGCTCGCATCATAATTGCTCATCTGTGCCTCGTTACTAAACAGCTTGGTCATGAAGGAGGGAAGCACGTCGTTAAATGGTCAATGCGAGACAATGTAAGAATAGCCTGACGAGATCCTTCATTCTTCACCGGTGAGTTTTTTTTATAACAACCCGTTCTTGTCAACGAGGCACCCCTCGTCCAAGCGTGTCATCTCACCCCCATCTCCTCTATCTGCACACCAAATGTCGTTCCTGGGTGGGCACTCCAGTAAGTAATCGGTACAACCCCAAATTCCCCCAAAGTCGGTACTGTACAGTCGTATTTCTCCCACATGGCATTCCTGCCAGGGGTAAAAGACACGCAGCGTTCATCCCATCTGCATGTATCGATTGGGGGCTTTTTCATCATAAGACATACATACATACAGTACGTACAGACATCCAAACGTGAGAAGGTGGGGGGGGGGGGGCCAAAACTTGTCAAACTAACAACCAACGCGGCGACCCTCTCCTCTCCTCTCCTTATCCCAATTACAGTGCTGAGGGGCTTGCGCCGTCGTGTGTCCCTCGTGTGCCCGGGAACAGGTGTCAACGTAGCACAACCCGAGGCCCAAACCTTCCCCCCCTCGAGGCGACCTGTTTTTCAGACCCTCGTGTTACCAGAGCAGGGCTATGCACCAATACTCGTCAAGCCACCCCGATTCGAGGCTTGAATTATTATGTAGTACAGGACAGGAAGCACAGTTTACTTTCCTTCTTTCTTTCTCTCTTGCCGGTATTGGTTCTTGAATATGCAGTTTCGGTTCAATACGGAATAATACCCCGGTTGCTCCGCCCCAGGCAGACTTTCTGACTATTGCTTGCTGACGAACTCTTGAGACCTCGGGAAGCCGGGTCAGTCTATCAGCAACACCCCCGGGGGTCTCATTTGCCTGGCAATGGGTTGTGCTGTCGGACTCTTGTCGGACAGGCAAAAAAAGACGGCGAAGCTACGGAGGAGAGGGGGAAGGGGGCAAAAGAGACCATATGATGGGGGCAGCCTCGGACTCAATATGGGCGTCGGGCAAGCTCGTGTCCATTCAGGGCTGCTCTGTTCGGCTACCTCGTCTTCAATACGCACGCGCGCACACACGGATCCAGCCCCTCGGACGACTAATAGCTCCCCATAGGTGTGTGTGTGTGCCTGTGTCAGGAACCAATACACCATCTATCGTATGTTTTCCCATCCAGCTCTGCTGCCAATGCAACCATTCTATATCTTGATACGGACAGTCGATGGTCTGTCTGTTTGCACCGTCGTGTGGGAAGATGGCGTCGTCTATCCCCTTGTGAACGCCATAGAAAGAGTGAAAATCTTGCATGCAGTAGCTTGCTTCGCTTGGGTTATGCTTCCGCCGCTTTCGCCCCGCCTCATTTTTCATTCCTCCTCCCCTAGACCATCCGAATAATACTCAAAAGCATCCGGCACCGGGACCTCCCTCCCGCCCTCTTCGTCCTCATCCGCATCTACTTCTATTAACTTCTTCTGCTGCTGCCCTTCAGCAGGCGCAGCAGGCGGCGGCGGCGGCACCTCGACCCTCCCCACCGGCATGACCACATCGGGTGCTGTGGTGCGGTCCGTCCCCATGATCCGCGTCATGTACTGCGCCCACTCCCACGGCTTCTCGCGCCCGCCTGGCAGGCTGTTGAAGTACTCCCAGCCCATGATGCCACCGAAACGCTTGTGCTGGCCCACCATCAGCGGGACCACGGTGGCTAGGACGTCGAAGGGGATAAAACCGGAGCCGTTGGCCGGGTTCGTGACAAGGCCGACCACGACCTTGGCTGGGTTCCACCCCTTCATCAGCATCATCTCGTAGAGGATGGGGTTACTACAGTCTCCCCATCCACAGTCTGTAAACTCGACAGTCAGTGTGACATGAAACGAGAGAAACTAGGGTAGAGAGAAAGAGAGAAAGATAAAGAAATGGAGGAATGACCACCTACAGAACTGGCAATTATAAAACGCAATGTCTCTCCCTCTCATGACCTCCAGCGCCTCATAGTCAAACCCGCTCAGGTTCCGCCGCACGTCCAGCAGCGCCGGTGCGACGGGTGCCAGGCTGATGATGAAGTCCTTCCCAAAATCAGCCCGCAGGCGGTCGATCAGCCGCACGATTCCAGCCAAGCTGAAGGGTTCCTCGACGTCCAGGTCGAGCCCGTCTAGGCCGCGCTGCAGCACCATGTCATGCAGGGCACCGTAGTACCTCTCAAAGGTGGCCTCGTCGTCGCTGTCGAGGGTGTCCTTGGCGAAGGCGCCCTTGGCCGCGCCGCCCAGCATGCCCATAACCTTGACACCAGCGGCCTGCAAGATGCGGGCCTCAGCCCAGAGCGTGGTGAATGACGGGTGGCCTGGGACATTATCGTTGAGGGTGATGATATGTGACGGGTCGGGCTTGCGGTTGATGTGGAAGGCGGCGATGTTGAGGTGGGTGAGGCGGATGCCGGGCTGCTGGATGAGGGGTAAGAGGGAGACGGGGCTGCCATCGGGCTTGTGGTGAGACTGGAAGTAGATGACAAGTCTGGGGAGGTCAGGACTCGGGAGTGGGGCCATCTTGAGGTTCATCGTCGGCGTGCTGCTGCCGACGAGATGAGCTTGTTGTTGTTGGTGTATGTGAGGTTGATGGGCCTGATGATGAGTTGACGGAGGAGGAGGGGTCGTGTCGTCTGGGGAGAAGCGGGGCTGCGATCGCGGCCAGATGAGACGCCGCAGAAAATAGGACGGACTGAGTAGAAACAAGGTTTTATAGATGAGAACTCGTCGCCATGTCTGCTTGAGGACGACGAGGATATACAGCAGCTGATCACACATGTGAAGTGTGTGCAGAAGTGAGCGTTGAGGGGTACTGCTATACTACTGTAGTTACCTTCAAGGGTTGTGCAATAGGGCCACCACCCCCTGGCGACCTGCTGAAGCATAGCAAATCACCCCCCCCCCCTCCCCGGGCCCCTAATACCCTTATACCTATCGTAGTGCAAAGAATTGCATGATCAATTGGAGCTTATTAAAATCAATTCAAGAGCGAGCAAGAAATCAACAGCTAGGAGTGAATTGAAAGAACAAATTTAAATGAAAAATTGAAGGTCATGCCGAACAATTGAACATCATCGGATGATACATACAGTAGTACAGTACTATGTGCTTTAACATATGTACTATAACAACGGCAGTAGTAGTAGAGTTACAGCCAAGAATTTTAGGCTCTGGAGCCCTGAAACCTTGAAAAACATCCTTTGCAACAGCAGAAGTCCAGTGGCACCGGGCGCGGAAGAGGCTAAACTCGGTACGGACGAGATAAGCGACGCGGTTAGTGTCGGTTACCTTAGGGCAGGGGTGGGCCTGTCTGGTGATGCATTTACTGCTCATAGCACTGTAGCAACTACTGACCACGATGCTACCTGCACCTTCTGGACCCAGACGCCTGCTCCTCTTCTTTCTCTCTCCTTCTCTTGCAGATCTCAAGGGCATCCACCCAACCACCCCACTGCAGACTCTAGTTCAGCACATGTCAGATGTGGAAATAGTTCGTCCAGAGTTGAGGTCATACAGGTTTGCCGATCAGTTGGGCGCGGGAGAGGTGGGAAAGGAAAAGAAAGAAAAAAAGAAAGAGAGAAAAAAAAAATTTGGATGATGGCTGCAGTCATTTGATATCCCATCCTGTCCTGACGATCCACTCTCTCTCTTTCTATCTAAGTACATACCACGGAACCACCTTTCAATCTCTCTTTTTCTTTTCTCTTTATTGTTACGTGACAAAGCATACCTGCCCACCCGTCCTCCCTATCTCGTTATCTTTTCTGTTCCGTCGTGGTTCGCAATTTCCACATTCCAGGCGATAATAACTGTATCCGAGTCAGGTTTTGCAGGATTATCTACAGTGCACCTTGATGGCGGCCCTGGTGACATTTACAGCCTCGGCTTCATAGCCCTACTCATATCGTAGTGATAGATGTGGGTGCGCCGCCGGGGAGGTGGTTGCTAGACTCTTCTGTGAGTAGCAGCAGCAACCTTTGAGCTTGTGCCATCTGGTCGTCTTGTCCTGTCTTGACCTGTCCCCGTCATTTTGACACGCTCAAACTCTCTTCTATTATCAAACAACAACAACGACGACGACGAGAGTGTGTGCCCTTCTGACCTCAAAGATCATGTTAGCCTGTTTCCCCGATCTTCCTCCCACCACCGGCACCACCAGCAACAGCACCGCCAATCAGTCAATGCCCCATGGATCACAGCTAATATGCTGCGTCGCATCGCATCGTTGGGCTTCGAAGCCCCTGATGGTCAGCCTGGCGACCGAGAGTCCATGCCTCCCATCCCGGGGGATGCGTCCCCGTCTTCCGAGTCCAAAAGTACTGGAGGCCTGGCCAGCGTCTTCAAGGGCCTGACGGGCGGGTCCAGGATCTCAAAGGCCCCTCCCGTGCCCTCCTCGTCCAATGCCCCCGCCTCAGCTCTGCTGTCCTCCGAACGAGTCAACACCGCCTCGCTAGCTGCCACAGGCGTGACCCCTCACTACAACGAATGGCTCGACAAGCTCAAGTCCGGAACCCTCAGCGAGCGCATCGCTGCTGCCGACTCCCTCCGTCTGACCCTGCCCGAGTATCCGCTCGCGCCTGTCCTGCAAGTATGGGATGCTGCAAAAGATTTGGTAGAGGCCTCGAGGCCCAGCGCTGTGAGGGCCGCCGGCTGGGAGCTGATGGCTGAGTGCGCCAAGAACACCGCGATCACGGAGCTCGAGCGCAAGGAATACTTCCAGACCCTGTCTGGCCCCGCAAACCCAGACGACTCCTACCTGCGACTGGGTGCCCTTGTGGACCTGACGAACCACGGTCGCAACATCTCTGGATTCGACTACGATATCATCCCGCTCCTGACGACCTGGCTTGCAGATGCATACAATACTGCCAAACACAGGCGGAGGCAGACTCGCGGCGAGAAGAAGAGCTCAAAGGGGAAGGCCGCTGCGCCGTCCGATGCGCCCGTGGCCGCCGAAGACAAGCTTCTCTCCCTGCTGGTCGCCTACATCATTGAGGTTCTCAAGTTCAACTTCAGGGTCGCCGATGACGATGTCATAGGGCGGCTGATCGATACACTCCTTGACATCTGCACGAAAACGACTGTCGAGGAGGATCTGATATGTTGTATCGAGGTAATTGACGCCGTCATTACCTACGGGTCTGTCCCGAAGCGGACCCTGGGCCGCTGTGTTGAGATCCTCAGCTCGATCTACTGCCTCGTGAGCGATCTCCAGAAGACAGCCTGGCATACACTGGCGAATCTCCTCAAATCACACAATGGACAAGCTACTGTTCGGGTCCTGCTGAGCCTGCTGAGAGACTATCCCCGCAACGGCCACGAGTCGAGTGAAGCATTCAGGATTGTTAGAGGCTCCCTGAGCGTCCTCCAGAAATTGGTAGGGAAGTCCTCCGAGAAAGGATACCCCACAGTGCCGTTGGCTTTGCTCATAGACGGCTGTAACAATGTCATCGGCAAGTCACAAACCAGACGGATAGCAGGGCCGACCCTGAAATTGATCAACACCTTATTCAACGACGGCACACAGAAACTCAACCCGCTTCTGGAGGACGAGGACTGGACCCTCGTCCTGGAGGTGGCTGAGAAGTGCGTGGGTCGCCTGCCATCTGACACCGAGGCCTCGCGGTCGAGATTGAGCTTGTCCAGCGAGGGCAAGAAAGGTGATATAGGTCCCGAAGAACTCGAAATCCTGCTCCGAAGACTAGAGGTTCTCGTGCGAGAGGGCGGCTCCGACTTCATCCAGAGACAAGAGTGCATTGCATTTCTAACCAGAATTCCTCACGTCCTCCTCGACTCGACGGCCGCTCTCGTTCTGGATCACTTCAAGGAGTTTCGGTGCTGCTATCCCTCGGATCTGGACTGGGAAGCAAACCTCTCCCTGGTGTTGGACTTCTTCTTTCTCGATCGTAGCCGCTCAACAGCTGTTCGGATACAGGCTCTTCAAGCTGTGACCGAGGTCTACGACATGCTGGAGCTGGTAGAAGACGAGCTAGAAGAAGAGTGCGTTCCGAACCTCGTGGAACAGATCCTGTCAGGCATCTCTGAGGAGGCGGACACCCTTGTTCTCCAGGAGACGGTCTCCTTCATGATCTCGGTTGCAGTGTCTGCCGAAGTAGCACTCTTTGAACATATCATTGACACCCTCAACAGCGTCATCGCGGGTGAGCGCCGGCAGTCACTTATGGCACCTCCACCATCGGAGACGCCGGGCAGCACCGATGAAGCTTCGAATCCTCAGAGCCCGGCTGATGTCGTGACAAGAGGCTTCGTGCTACTGTTCCTGAAGACTATGAACACCGACAGTCGCAAAGCCAGCGTAGCCTTCAATCTTCTCGTGGAGATCACCAGGTCTGCTCAGTCCACCGATGCCCGCCTGACCGCCATGAAGTTGCTCTTCCGACTGAGAGCTGACTGGGCAAACCGCATCTACGTCATATCGTTCACTGAATCCGAGGGACTGGCCGGCGTGCTTCACAGAACAGAGGCTTCACTGGCCAGGAAGCTTGCTGAAGACGCAGCGACTCTGCACAGGTCCAAGAGCGAGCATGCAGGAAACTCAAGAGCAGCCAGGGGCGTTTCCTTTGGCACAGCGGTACAAGATAGGATGGTACCGAGTCGCACAGCTAGCAGCGTGAAACATGGCGCTTCCAGGTACCACCAGCTTTGGTCCCTGCCAGACGCAGACGCCCTGCCAGAGACGCCCTCCTCGAGCGCTAGTCCGGTACTATTCTCTCACGTGGATATGGAGGTGCAGCAAAAAGATAAGACCCTCGGGGACGGCGCAGACGTTGGGGCAGACCAAGACGAAGAAGAAGCAGTACATAATAAAGCGCCACTGTTTGGGAACCTTCGCATCACGTCATGGCTCGACGCGATCCTCCACAACCTGACCTCAGGCGGTGCTGATTGGGAAATATACAGCTTCTGCCTTGTTCACCTGCCATCACAGCTCAGCAACCACGCGCTGTTCAGGGACGCCATCACGCAGATACGAGAAGCTCGTCGAATCATGTGTGAGCAGAGCAAGCACAACCTATTCCAGGACCCACCACCAGCCACGGGCCTCCGTCGACCCGAGGTCAACATCTGCATCTTTCAGGCGCTGACAACGATCATGAGTTATCATCAGGACTTTACGAAATCTGAGGACGACGACCTGGTGCGGACCTTCTTGCAGGGCATAGGTCATTCGACGGCAAAGACGTGCATTCATGCCCTGACCATCTGCTGTCACGAGATGCCCCTCGCCACCACGAGGGCACTGGTCAACATTCTGCAAAAGATGTCGACCGTCATTACGCAACCATACGTCGCGGTGCACATCTTGGAATTCTTGGCCGGTCTTGCCAGGCTGCCGGCACTGTACAGCAACTTCATTGATGACGACTTCCGTATCATTTTCGGAATGTGTTTTCGATATCTCGACACAGTCCGTGATAAGAAGCGATATGCCCGCAACAGCTATTCTGGTGAGAATGTGGCTGCTACCATCAACGCGACTCACGAGTACAACATGCTTGGGCAGCCTACCATCAGTGATGACTTGCCTCAATATGTCTACGCTCTTGCGTACCACGTCATCAGCTTCTGGTTCTTGGCCTTGCGACTGACAGATCGAGCGAAACATGTCAATTGGATCGCAAAGAGGCTCTTTCAAGGCCCGGACGGCGGCTTGACATCGGACGAGCAGGCTCTCATCACCATGGATTTCCTGCAGAGGGTGGCATATGCAGACGCGGACGACTCGGCAGAAAGCCCTTGGTTCACGGAAGCCAAGCGAGACGAGTACACGGAGAAACGATGGATTGTGGCCAACAGCTTGGTTTCCATCAAGCAGGCCAAATCTACGCCATGGGCACAGGTCACAAGGAGACAACCATCGGGCACCTCTTATTTCACCGTCCGCGAAAACTTCCGGGCGCCGCCACCCCATCAAGCCGGCAGCTTTGGGGAGAGAAAAGACAGGGCTTCGCTGACGACGAATAGCTCCCTTCCCAGCCACCTTCTTGTCCACATGCTCTCGTCTATTCCCCAGAGCCCCGAGGCAGTTCTGCGGCCTATCCCCCTCCCGGACGAGGAAGCTGTCGCTCGAAGCATCAAGATCTTTGATCGCATCTCCACCGTCGATGGGCACAAGGTCGGCATCATCTACATTGGCGAGAACCAGACCAGCGAGTCCGAGATCCTGCAGAACGTCTCTGGCAGTGCTGACTACGTTGAGTTCCTGAACGGCATTGGCATGCTCACGAAATTAAAGGGCGCCGAGTTCAATACGCAGGGTCTGGACCGAGAGTTTGATACGGATGGCCAGTACACGTTCTGCTGGCGCGATCGAGTCACGGAAATGGTTTTCCACGTCATCACGCAGATGCCAACCAACCTCGAGTATGATCCTCAGTGTATTCAAAAGAAGAAGCACATTGGCAACGACTTTGTGAACATCATATTCAACGACTCTGGTCTCCCTTTCAAGTTTGACACCTTCCCCTCGGAATTCAATTATGTCTACATTGTCATCACACCAGAGTCTCGGGCCTCATTCGTTGCGTCACGGGAAAATGCCGCTAAAACGAGCGGGGAGAGCAAGCACAACGGTGAAGACGGACACGAAGGAGACAGCAACGAGACTCTTCACGGCGGACCAAACGAATATTCGCCCTTCTTCAAAGTACAGGTGATGAGCAAAGAGGGCTTCCCCGAGATCTCACCTTGCGCAGCAACCAAGATGGTCGACCTGAAGGCTCTGCCGGACTTTGTGAGGCTGCTAGCCTTGAACGCGTCCGTCTTCTCGCTCGTCTGGGCCAACCGTGAATCAGGCGAGTATCCCTCGTCCTGGCGCAGCCGACTCAGAGAGATCAACCGCCTGCGCGAACGGTATGCGCCCAAGGGCCTCATCACCTCGACATCTACCATGCCTGGAGTGGCTGCGGCCAACATGCCCCCGCCCGGGGCAGCGGTACCGCCCCCTCTGTCTCTAAGCAGCGCGCTGGCCACCGCACAGCAGACATCAGGGCACCCTCCGCCCCCTCAGCAGCAGGTCGAAAGCCGCCCTTCGAGCGGGCTCAGGGACAGTACCATTTCTGGTCTCAGCGGCATGCGGCGTGCATCGGTAGCCACGTTCCTGACCTCTACGAGCGAGCCGAACTCTCAGAGCCATCGAAGCTCGGTGCTGAGCACGGCGACGGCCGACACAGAGATGGTCATGCCACCCAGCAACTTGGACTACGTTGTGGAGAGCTTAGATTTCTCCAAGTGGGCTTGAAAAGCCCTTTCTCTGCACATATTTACGCGCTATGCATGTTACATGCGACTATGATTGGAAGAAGAAGAGAAAAAAACCAGGGGATCGTCTTCAAGGAAATTCTAGGCGGGAAGGGGTAGGGCGAAAACTATCTGGAGAAGAAAAAAATCTGGTCTGCTCGGAATGAAGTGAGGTGCAATAATAGAAACGGTTGAAGGGGCTTTGTCTGCGTTTTCGAGCGTTGCGGATGGAGTCTAGGAATATGGGCAGGCGTGCTTGACTATACCACAAAAGTTACTGCTTTTTCATCTGCATTCGACCTCGTCTCTTCTCTCTCTCCCTATTTCTTTTTCTTTTGTCTTTACTGGCAACTATTTACGCGGAGAACAGAGGGCATGTGGTGGTCGAAACTCCAAACAGGAGAACACCGGGGCCGTACAGCAGACAGATCGATCACCTGTGTGTATTATAGATACCAACCCCCAAAGAAAAACACTGCGTCTCCGCTCCTGAACAAAGGATGTCGAAGGTCTGTTGTCTAACCATTTGTTTCCATCTCGGTCCTCCTTTTGTCTCTGTCTGTCTTGCATTTCATCACATCATATCACGTGGGCAACAACTCGTGTGCACAAGCGCACCGAAGGATTCTCGACACGTGCATGCATGGCCGGAGCAGCGTTTAGGAATCCTATATCAGTTTTCACATCGACCAACCTCGCCATGTCACACACACACACACACACACATATAGCCAGGGGCCCATTCCTTTTTCTGCGTTTCCTTGCCTTGTTTTTCCCTCCCCTGACTGACGCGGGCTGACACACACATCTCAACCCTCTTATTTCGGGATGGGTGAGCGGGTGTCATGCCGGATGACCGCACGAGCTCTTGCTGTGTTGGAATCCTTCTGAGGGAAACTCACTCGCACCGAGAAAGAGAGTTGAGTGTTTGTCTGTGCGTGCGTGTGTGCGTGCGTGCGGCGCAGTAACGTTCGTGAGAATCAATGTTAAGCTTACCGCCTTTTCATCCCATCCCATTCCTCTCGTCCTTTTTTCTCTCCTTTATTTCTTCTTTTGGTCTTACCTAACATACATAGCCGTTCTTTTCCTTGTTCCTCGTTCACAGCAAATGACTTCCCAACTACTTTGCTTCATCACCCCCCCCCCCTGGCCCCCCCTCTCTCTCTCCCTTACGCGGTGTCCAAACCTACTTTGGTTATATTCACTCGCATCCAATCTTCGCATCGCGGTCTGTCAGCAACCCCCCTATCGATTCCATCGCGCCAGATGGTAAGCACGCACGGCGGCGGCGGTGGTGGCGTCAGTCGCAGCCCTTCTCGAGGGGGCGGAGAGGAGTTCTGTCTGGAGGATCCCTCTTGGTTCTTCTTCTTGATGCTTGTATGGGCTAGCTTGCCTTGCGATTCTGCATTGGAGACAGACACACAGGTTTCAAGCGTCATTTGTCTACAACTGTTTTTTTTGTCCTTTCCCTTAAACCTGTTTTAGCAAGTCATATATGAAGAGGGTTGGTAAGAATGGTGCTGGTGTGTAGTAGGGAGAGGAGGGAGAATCATCGTGTGCTTCAGCATGATGGCTTTTGGTCACACAACTGCGTACAGTCACATAGGATGAGTCTCACCCATGAAGAAAGAGGCCAGCAGGCCTCGTACAGTTTGAACGGTCAAGTATATGTGTGCAGGGCATCGAAACTCCGGTCTGTGCCTTGGCATGTGAATAATATCAAAGCATGGGATCGCTGGGTTGGACAGGAACGGATGGTGGTGATTCTCTTCTTCTTGCTCACGGTCCCTAGCCTATTTTGGAGAAAAGAAAAGAAGAAGCAACGAAGAGATTAGTACCGAGTACATTAAGAGTTACACGCAGAAATGTACTTGGCCACGGCTGTCGGGATACAAGCATAAAAGACAAAAAGAAAACGAAAAAGCAAACGAACTCTCAGACCTAGACGATGGGATGATCAAGCTCTAGGTCACACCGCTCGTTGCTGAGAATGTCGCTTACGACACCAAAACGACAGAACAAGATCCTGTCTGTCATCTGCGCAGTGGATGAAAAGATAGGCAGGCAGGGAGGCAGTGGGATCAAGCAGCACAGGGCAGGTGTTGGGGATGGATGTACAATCCTTCTCTCACTCGGTCCAGAAACAAGCCATCAACCAGTTCGCTACTGTGTCAAAGAGGCCTTTTGACATTACACATATTACTAAAGTTCGTGAAAGAAAAGAAGAATAAGAATGCTAAATTAAGAACTATGAATAATCCCTCAAAAATAAACGCTGTCTCCCCTTTCATAGCGTGACCTATCCCGACCGAAGCACTAGAATCCTTTCCCGCTGGAAGCTGCTACCACTGTCTTGTGACGCAGATGGGAAAGGGTTGTTGCTTGTTGGTCCGCCAAGCCAAAGGCGGAGGAAGGAAAGAGAGGGGGGGGGGGGGGTTTACTGGTCAGAATTGGTTCCTGGGGCGGTGGATGAGCCGGTCTGCGTCGGTGCTGGGGTAGAAATCCTATTTTTTCGGCCCAGAATCCTCCCTGTATCACCTTTCTTGTCCTGCATGAGCCGCAGGGGCCGAAATAGGATTGTTGAATATGGAAGGCGGAGGAAGCTGTGTCTATCGTTGATGGGGCGTGTCGTGCCAGGGGGTGAGAGAACCTGTTGGTTCCACGACCGAAGGTGTCGAGAATAGCAATGTGCAAGTGTTTAGCCGTTGTTTATGCAAGGGGCTCACCAGGGTGAGGATGAGGCTGAACCAGACAAGCAATCTGTACAGGAGATAGGGTACGGCCATTCGAGTGCTGTGACGTTGGGTGTCTCTCGAACTTCGGTGTTGCAAGTAACGCTGCCGCCATAACTGACCGGCGGGATCAAGGAAGAGAGGGGGAGAAAAGGGGGCGGGGGGGGGCAAGGAAAGAATCCCATCCTTGTCTCTTGACAGGCTCACAAGAGCATGGTGGGACAAGACGTGGCTACAATTTGTTGTGTCACATATCCATCCAAACATCTTTGTACGTGGCCCATCTCTGAAAACCTGTTGGGAGCATACATCAGTAAGAGGGAGGTAGACATGATTGAGTCTAGAGAACCTCGACGCACCTATCGACTGAAAGCCAGTCGCACCTCCCTTGATAGCGTCAACAAACATCTTGTTCTTATTCTGGAGTTTCAGTTTCCGTATACAGGTATCCAGAAGTCTGACCATGATCGCGTCTCTGTTCACGACATCTGCATGCAAGAGAGAGTCAGTGGAGGAGAAATGTCTCGGACTTGGGAGTGTTGTCTCAGTACTGAACAGAAGAAAGAAAGAAGAAAAAAGAGTAGCCAACAATACCTGTGATACAGATGCACGTGACGCCTCCTGTGTCGTCTGAGATGGCGGGTGGCCAGGGGATCTCATCCCCATTGGGATTATCAGAATTTGCGGTATACGTGATGGCCGTGGCAACAATGTCTTCATCGCTAAAGCCCAGCACGATGTCGGTCAGAGAAGGGGAGTCAAGCAGTTTCGCGTACTGGTCAAACCAGCACATGTGGTCATCCCGCCGGCACACGCGCTCCACGACCTCCATGGCCAGCTGCAGGTCCGCAACTTGGCACTGTCGGAATGTCAATCCGATCTGTGGCAGCCCGCCCGTGGGCCACTCGTCAAACGACAGCAGCCAGTCGCTGACCTCTTGGCCCGTGCCGGGCACTGTGCCGTCCATCCGCCAGCCCCGTCGTCGAAACCAGCCTTCCTCGGGATGGTCCACCGGCAGTCCGTAGAAGAGTCGAGGGTAGGTGCTGCCCAGCTGGACCCGGCTAACCCCTCGCGTCTTCTTAAAGCCGCGCATGGCCTCCTCGTGCAGGAGCCTGCCGATCCCCTGCCGCCTGTGAGATGGTCTGATGATGAGGGCTGCGATGGACCCGACGAGGAGCTCGTCCTGCGAATCAAGATAGGTGAGATAGGTGGCGCAGAACCCCAGCACCCGACGTGGCCCTGGGCCGGGCTCGCGGACGATGAAGTGCTTTGCGTAGCCATCTCGCTGCAGGGCACGCATCAGGATGGGCTGAGGGAGCCGAAATTGAGATGGCATGGATTCATTCCACAGCGTACAGACATCCGGCACGTCTCTGGCCTGATCCCACAGCGTCACGTTCCACCTGGGAAATTCGGCGGCCTGTGTTGCTGCTGCTGCTGCTGCTGCTGGTGGTGACGGCTGCGTAGGCACGTCTGCCGATGGTGGTGATGACCGTGGCGACTGGCCGAGGAAGATGACCTCTGCACCCATCTCCAGCTCGCGCCTGGAGTACCCAGAGAGCTGGACGACGGTGGGGAACGGGACGGCCCTCCTCTCGAGGTCCTTGACGGCACAGCAGGCGACGACCACGTGGGGACGGCGGTCGCCAATGGTCTGTACGATGTTGGAGAGCTCGACCTGGGAGGGCTGGCCCGGGCTGGCCGGCCCTGTAATGACAAAGACCAAGGCCCTGGCTTTCTTGATGAAGCCCACATGTGTGCTGGTAATACCGCCTGCCGCCGTGTATGGGACGTGTCGAACCCGAGGGTGGTACCTCGCCAATTCCTTGCCCAGGGGCTCGAAGGGGTCCTGGTCGGAGTCGCGCTCCACAGGCACGACCACCGGTGTCAGCAAGACGAGGAGGTCGTGAGGTTCCAGAGCCTTTGAGAGGGGAATGTGGTTTCCGCGGTCACTGCACAGTACCGCAGAAGGGCCCACGGTATGGTTCGTCGTCCCCGCTGACGCTGCTGCTGCAACAAATCTTGATTTCATTTCCGAGGGTCCCAGCCACCTTCAGCAGCATCGGGAGTATATTTCTCTGCTTATGAGGGTATTTATGCATCTGGTGTTATCTTGTTAGTTCTCCTTTATCTCTGTTTCTCTCTCTCTTTCTCTCTCTCTCTCTCTCTCTCTCTCTTTCGCTTCTTGGGGCACAGCAGCGGCGCGATTCCCAAAGTCCGACCAGCCAGCCAGTGAGCGGTCTGCCGTGCTTATCTGCATGTGTGTGGGCGCACGGGACCGTAGGTAATGAATGAGTGCATGTGCTTACCTGCTGTGGACTTTATTTGCGAGGTATACCCAGGATTGGCATCTCAGTAGTGCAGAAGCCAAGGTGGCCCAGGTCAAGTCTACACAAGCACACACAATCAGATTCTCACGTAAAGTGGAATTGGTGATGGAACCCGTCGTCGCGCGAAATGCACCGCCCTGCCGCTTTAGGAAACCTAAGAGAGTGAGGGAGCGGGGGCCAAGCCTTGGTCCAGGGCTGTCAGACGAGTGTCCTTTTTGAGAGGCCCTCCGCAGTATGTCGCTGAAAGCTCCTGGTCTGGTCTGTTCTGGTCTGGCACGGGGCGCGCCTGCGTAAGGAGGCCTTTTATAAATTGAAATCGATATATTCGCGGGTAGCCGTGCTTTAAGTTACATGCACAGAGCGAATCCTTGTGTAGCTGTTAAGTCATCAGTGCCACGCCACTGATGCAAAAGGTGTGTGTGAGAGTGAGGGTGAATACGGCAAGCTGGTCATAGGTCGTCAGTCGGATTGTGCAGTCTGCGAATCGAGTTGTCATGTAAACATGTGCTGTACATCTGATCATAAGGCTTTTTTTTGGGGCTGCAACTCCTGGAGGAGTAGCAGCATCTACCTGTGGCTTGTCAACATGGGCCCATTGGAGGAGAGAGAGACCTGAGCTGTGCGAATGATTTATCATCACCATCTCCTTCGCTGTCTCTTGCTCTGTTTCTCCCTCCCCCCCCCCCCTCTCTCTCTCTCTCTCTCTCTCTCTCTCTCGCTCTCTCTCTCTATTTCTCTCTCTCTCTCTCTGTGTGTGTGTGTGTGTGGTGTAATGTATACGAGGTCTTTGCCTATTATTCCGCTGGTGTAGAGAGACATACACCCACAGAACGGCTGGCTGTTGACAAACCTTGGCTTGATTCGAGCCTCGTCCAATATCAGCGGCGCTCTCTGCACCTTGCTACATTGGGTTGTGTGTGTGCGTGCGCGCGCGTGGGTGTGTGAATACTACTACTTGTCAGCGAGCTGGATGCCGGAATAGATGACCGAAGGGTTACACAGCTGAGACCAGAACTGTGATCCATCAGCCCCTCCCTTACTGGCCTGTAATCGGCATGAGATGAACAGGTCGTGCTGTAGCAGCGTCTTCAAAAGAACATTGGCTGTCTTGCCTGACGGGGCCAGACCTGCACGAAGACGGTCCATGCAGAAGGGAGGGGTACATATTCCCGCTCAGTGGCTCTCAAGCACTGCAAAGATGGGGCCTCGAGTTACACGCCGAGGATCTGCTGACATGCAAAGGGGGCCGCCACCACTTTCTATGGTACTTGCCTGCAAAAAAAAAAAAAAAAAAAAAAAAAAAAAAAAAAGCCTCGCGCTTCTCTACTTAGGCAGAACACTCCCAACTAATGTTAGGTGGCTTGTCGTGACGACAGGCCCTCATAAAAACAGCCCCACGTCAGAGTTGCATCTTGCAAGGGGGAGGTGTGGTTGCGATTGGAGAGGGCTGCCATCGAACAAGGTTGTACTGGCTGTCCATGCGCATGTGCGTGTGCAATCATTTTCGTGATGTCAGGAAAACATTCCCAGACGAGGAAATAAATTGGAACATGTGGCGCCGCAGGCGTACACTGTGTAACAACTGTTCATAAGACGGGAGCCCAGGCAACAACCAGGCGTCGCCTGCGCATTGCTCCATTCCCAGCACCGTCATATGCGAGTACTCGGAGGACATAGGTTTCGGTGACTGGGGGCATATCGGCATGCGAAAGGTAGTACATCATCGAGAGCCTGGGTGTAAGCGTTCTCAAGCCTCGAGGTTGTTGGCGGGGAACGGTGGCTAGCCCCTATTCTAGCACGAGATTATTCTGGAACCGAGGGGGCTGAGTGCTGCTGAAGTGCCATGCGAAGACAGCAAGAACAAGGTGTGTTCGTTCATGTTGCACCCAAGGAAACCAAGGCTCTCGTGTCCCAAAAGAGCACAGGTGGGAGCGAGTGTGGTCAAGTTTCATTGTTCCACAGAGACGGGACATGATGAGCCCATGCGACACTGCCGCCCTCCTGCATCTGCAGTTGGGAGGGACCACTCGTCAGAAAGAAGAAGGTCGCCCCGTGCTGTGGTGGCCGGGTGCATCTGTTGAGAGGCGCTGCTCTTCCTTCTGCCCCCCTTCCTCATCCTCCTTTTCGTCCGCCTTTTTCCTAGGATCAAACGTGCCATCGGGGGCCAAAGGAGGATTGCGTTCAATAGAACAATGTCCCCGGGGCGCGTGTTTTGTTTGTTGGTTTTTCTTTTTCCCGCAGCGGCTGGGTAGCAATAATAATGCGCCCAACGTGCCAGTGTAACTTGTGGCGTGCGGTCTTGGATGGTTGCCTTTGAGTGTCTTTGGGTGCCTTCGTCTGCGTGGCATGTGTTACACAGCATCATGGCTTGGCTTAGCTGGCCCGTGTAGCGGACGTGACGTGATACATTTCGTTTGTGTCGGCACACCTCCTCTCTCTTTCTATCGCTCGCTCTTTTTTTCTCTCAAGAGGGGGGGCCTCGAGTCTATATCGAGAGCCGAGAGCACACCGGTCTCGAGGTGACACGACAGCTTGCAGATACATAGCTGCAGGCATGTCAACTATTACTTGGGGTCATCCCACCTGCATTGTCACATGCTTGCGTTCTAGCAATTTGAATCAGAAATGCAGACGGCCATGCTCTGGTTGAACGGGTAGAACGGAAGAAATAAACCGAAACAAGAGTTGCCAGAATGACCGTGACGAAAAGAAAAAAAACACTTGAGAAGAAAGTCGAGGCCAGGATCCAGGATACAGGGTCCGGGGCCAAAGCGTGCTTTCAGGGTTCATTCATGTACAAGAAGTTCGGTACAAGGACCGTGCCGCCTCCGTCTCTTTTCTTAAGCCCCGGCCTCCCGTGCCGTCGCTCCACAAGACATACTACCTGCCATACTGTATGCAAGACCTTACTCGGTCACTCGTACGAGGATTGCCATCACTGGGCTGGGAAAAGAATATACCGAGTTCCTTATACATTCGACCAAATTTGTAGAGCCTGCCTACCTTGTTCGAATCGATTCAGATATGGACAGCATGCAGCACATGGCAGCCCGAGATGGTTACATGTTTTCGTATTTACGTCGAATATTTATTATACAGAGAAGAATTGGTAAGAAGAAGAGAAAACGGGTTGGTATGGTTAGATAGAAAGAATTTACGTCGAGATAATCTGCGCCATTTGAAAACGAAAATGGGTGTAGTTCAAAGTTCACAATGTCCTCCCATGGATTTTTTCTTCTCCTCGCAATTCCCATTGCGTCCCCTCCTCCCGAGTATGCCTTTTCTCAAGAAAAACCAGCCGCCCCCAGGATTCTAAGAAAAATCTTGTTTCAGTGTAAAAGTTTGTGTCGTCTCCTCCTCTTCAAATCGTTCCTCCTCTTTCCAATCCTGTCCGTATACCAAAATATCAAGAGCAGAATGCAAAATCGCAAATAGGTATGCGCAGCCGTGTCAAAGCAGTTAAAAACGCCATGCTTGATTATGTGTTGCTGGAACAATGCTGGTACAGGTCGATGATAGATAATAAGTCGTGATGGTCATTATGCGACGACAACAAGGCGATGCCGCTAGGGGAGGGGGGTTCGAGAGGCACAAAAAAAGGATGGATGATGCAGACCCGCCTCGATCTGGGTGAGGGTATTGTTATGGGTGCTGGTTGGACAGTCCTTTGGTCGACCAGGCTGGGGAGATAACAGATTCGAAAGCCTAACGGGAAACGATAGGGTGCTTTGTCGCTTCATTCTTTGCCAGCCCTCAGAAAACACCACCAATGTCGTATCAAGGGGAGGAGTCCAAAGAAGGACGGAGGCAGAGAACGGTCGCTTGGCACAAGGTATCGCTCACATTAAGCTGCCCTCGTTCCCAAACATGCCGACGCTGTTCCGCCAGCTCTTGCACTTCTCGGAGCGGTCCTGAACATCGGCCCTAGGGGAGAACATGGACGGCGGAGCGCGGGGCTGCATGACAGACGACCGTCTGGACGGGATCTGCTGCTGCTGCTGCTGCTGCTGCTGCTGCTGTTGCTGATGCTGTTGCTGTTGCTGATGCTGTTGCTGTTGCTGATGCTGTTGCTGTTGCTGATGCTGTTGCTGTTGCTGATGCTGTTGCTGTTGCTGATGCTGTTGCTGATGCTGAGGCATCTCGTCCACCGCCGCCGCTGTAAGGTCGCCGTGAGCGCCGCCTGTCTGCGAGAGAAGCTTGTTGCTAGTGGAGCTGAGCCGGCGCGTGAACTCGGTAAAACTCAGCCTCCTGCCGCTGCTCGTCGTCGAGTGGCGTTCCCGGCCCTCTGCGATGGTGCTCGTACGATAGGCCGACGACGGGTTCAGCCCGACCATCGACTCCTCGGACGTAGTCGTGCCCGCAGAGACAATGCTGCTTTTCCCTGGTGACGAGGCGTTAGGAGCAGTGGCGCCCTGCGCCACGCCGAGGCTCAGGGAGCCCAGGCCCGAGTGCGTGTAGCTGTGCGTCCTCTGAACGCCGCCGTCGCCGCCACGGCTGCGAGACGACCCGCTACTCAGGGCCGCAAGTGTCTCGGGGTTGTACGAGATGGGCGAGCGAGGTCCCGCAGAGCCGCGTGGGGACTGGGCAGGCGTTTTGAGGAGTGCTCCTCCGCTTTCCTGTCTTCTTGTTGCTCCTTCTGTTCGTGGGAATATGGTGGTCGCTCTTCGCGATTCGGGTCTGACGCCGCTCATGTGTCTCTCGA